GAGAGATCCTGGGAGTTGTGATCTCAGAAACGTAGTGGTTCTGCGACCCGCGGGTGCGCCCTCTGGATAACACGTTGCCAGGATTGATCCCAGCTTGTGATCGCGGTACTGGAGTCGGCCTATGAGATAGATTCTGCTGAGGCGATTCCGATGATCTAATCGGCGTGACAATTGGGCCAATATCGGGCTCAGAATCGCTGAGTGTCGATTGAGGGTCGCCGCCGCCATCATCGGATGCGACCAGTGAGATGACCAGAGTGCCTAAAGTGATGACGGGCTCAGGGACATTTATCCAGCCCTAATCTTCTTTATCTGACTCATCCGATATATGCTGAAGATCGTCAGCGCCCTCTGAAAAAAATGGCTTCTTCAGATTGTCTTCCTTATGGATGGTTCGCTCGTAGTCGTTAAGTGTACCTTGGAAGTCTGGGAAGATGTGGATTGATTCCCAAGAAGCAATGTACCCATCTAGAATTTCAAGATGTGCACTGGTGATGACCGTCTGTGATTCAGGCAAGTAAACCTGATACTGATTAGAGCCAATTGAGCGAAGAATTCGCCCTTTTCTCGCATGAGGAGCCGTCTTGTTGCCCTGAACGCGGCGCTGACGTGGCAGATGGACCACGGCAGCCTGCCCGATTGGGAGGAGATCGCTCAGATCAGGCTTGTTATCCTTGCCAGGAGTTAAATCGTCAAAGAAGACCTCATCTGGGGTCCTGTTATCCTTCTAGAGGAAGGAGGTGTAGCTCACGTTGAGCCGATCACATACTGCAGGGCCAATAATCGGCCAGAGAGACTCTGGCAGCTTTATCTGCTCGATAACACTCCGAACAAACGAATGAATCACGCTAAGAGAGCGCTCTGCCACCCCATTTTGTTCAGGAGTATATGGAGCGCTCAGTTCGAATTTGATACCTTCAGATCGGCCCCATTTAACGAACTTGGCGTACTCCGTGCCGTTATCCAAGCGAAAACAGCGAGGGTAGCGACCATACTGGAGCTTCATCCGCTTACAATAAGAAATGCAGATTTCTGAAGCCTCGCCCTTTTGCGCGTGAGGATGATATTCACGCTTTCGTGACTTGCCATCAACTAGCATCGTGGCTCGTCTAGAACCATCGTATCCTTCAGCCGAATGGTACGCGGTATCAGTGTGAACCACGTCAAGGGCCTGATCTAGATGTTCTTGCTCGACTCGGGAGACCATTCGACGGAGATTCGTCTCCAGACAGTCCAAGCAGGTGAATTCCTTTGCCAATTCGAGCGTATTTGGCGGTAGATCGATGCCTTTGACGATTTTAGCCGTTTTGACGATATCGCCAATCGATCGGTGGCCCAGCTTCGTATGCCAGAGGTGAAGGAGCTTCATAGCCTCCCCTTTGGCCCTCAATTGGGCATCAGGATCACTCTCTTCCTCTCCTTCTGCTGGGAACAGATTGATGAATGCCTGCGGAGCGCGCATAATGTTGTAAACCTCCTTTTGTAGCAGTGGAGTAATTACCTTTACATACATGCCGTTGTGAAGGGATGTCACCCAGGCGCCAGCAGAGTCAAATAGATCCCGAATTATCAAATACCAACCCTGACGATATAACTGATCGCCAGAGAGGAGGTTGATCTGGAAGGAGGGCACGTAGAGCACTTCAGTGATCAATCGAGTAACTCTTCTGCCTTCAGAAGTGACGAAATCGATCTCCACATCGCCAACACCAAGTGGTTGAACAGGGCCACCACCTGTAGCGATTGGAAGAAGGTCAGGGTCTATTTGGAAACGAATGAACCACTTCTTGTGGTTGCAAATAGGAACCGTGGATCCAGAATCGAATAGCCATCGATCAGAGGCGGCAGAGATGGCGTGAGCGTGAGCTTCAGGTTGAAAGGGGACATTGAGGTCAATATCCACCTGATTAGCGCCGCAAGGAACGTTAAAATATGCTTCCTGTACCGTGACGTCGCTTGCAGTTCTCGCAAGAGCGACACCATGGTCTCCTGCAGCCGCAGAAGTCTCACGGCACCAGTGAGTAGCGGGAATAGTACCGCCAGCACCAGATGATCCCCTAGAAGAGCCGTTCGCAGCTCCCTTTGAAGCAGCTTGCAACACCTACTTTAAGATGCGTTGGTTGCAGCCATCGTGCCCTTTCTTCTTGTTGAGCTCTCCACACTCAAAGCACCACACAACTGTAGTGTTTGAGGCGCTAGGATCCTTCTGATCAGGTTCCCGAGCGCCTCTGGAGCCTCTTTTGCCCCTGTTCTTCTTTCGCTGCTTGTTGCCTTTGTTGGCGCCAGTAGGAGTGGCAGGAGGGGCAGGAGATCGGCCCATATGGGTCGCAAAAGTCTCATCCTGCGATTTGCGGATGTATATCTCCTCCTGAAGCTGATAGATGAGGTTCTCTGTCGTCGAGTAGATCCCACGGTTATAATCCCGTGAGATTTCGCGGTGGAGGGTTAGAAAAGAAACCCTGATTGCGGCTCGGAAGTTACAAATCTGACTCATCGCAGAGTAATCGATCTTCTGGCGCTCCACACGATCCATCAGAAGGCGGTAGCGCGCCACAAAGTCTTCTCCATGATCGGAGTATCAAATTACAGATAGATCGTCTAGGACCGACGATACCTGGTCGATTGTCATACCAGAAAAGGCACGACGAAGGGCGATCCAGATCATCCCAGGATCACGCAAGCCGGCAATGCGATAACCTGCTTCCGGCTTAATATTTTGCGTGATCGAGAGATATACGATCGCCTTTTGCGAGCTTAAAAACGTCTCGCTGGTAGGCTCCTTCTTAGTCTCATCTTTGACCTTCGAAGAAGCCTTGCTCGAATGACCATCTACGTCGACAGCAGAGGTCTTGAGCGAATAAGGGACCTCATCGTCCTTCTCGATGGCCTCTTGGATGAGAGGCCAGAGGTTAACTGCGGTCAGCAGTTGCTCCATGTTTTGAGCCCAATTCTCCCAATTTTCGTGGCCAACAAGCTTCTGAGAGTCCAGAAGCCTGATAATCACCTTGGAGGAGTGCTCGTTCGAGTCAGACATGATGGTGATAAGGGGATACGGTACGTGATAGGTGGCTTCCGACGTCAGGGAGCCTCTGTTATAAAGAACAGATTTGTATTCGGAGAACGGTAAGGGACTGCGACAATGAGGGTAGCTAATCCTCGTGAAGCAGTGAAGAGAGAGATGATCAGCAGCAGAAGATCTGCAAAGGTCGTGATCGAAAGTGAGATGCTACCATGTGAGATTTCAAACCGTTCTGTATTGAAAGGAAAGAGAAGAAGATCTCTGGTGGAGAAGCCCCCATATGTACAGGTGTGCCATCAGGGTGACCAGATAATCATACGATAATGGCGCCAGGATCCTGATGGCCTGAGGGTGGGCTGACTGCCCTGAAGCTAAACCCATTAGCGCATTCAGCCCCGAAAGCCTCAGCCTGGTATGATATCCAACAATAATAAATATTTTATAATTTTACTTAATATTTTTACAATATCAATTAGCGCGTAAAAGTAAGCTATTACAGTGTTAAATTATTTAAAGGCATGCTTATTACTTTATGTTTTAAATAAAAACCGAGATATAATAGCGACTTAGGTATTATTATAATTTTAATTATAATTTAATAAATTCGTATTTACTTTTATTTATTATATAAGTAAATTCTATTAAATTAACAAGATCAGGTTATTTAATTATTTAGTACGATAATTATAACTTTTGTGACGAGGCATCTAACCTATAAGGCTAAAGGGTTCTATAGGGTTTATATTCTAAGGTAAGTCAACACAAAGAAGGATAGAGGCTTCTGTCAACTAGAAGACACTCAGATACTGGTGCTTGGTCTGAACCCGGGTTCACTGAATAGTCGAGTCGTCAGGAGATTTCTCCCACCTTAGGGTTGGCTAAGATGCTTAGATTGATCACTGAGGTAGAGACTGTCTATCTGTCTAGCTAGGAAATGTCCATCCTTATATATCTAATCTTTCCCTCACTGATGGAGTAGCTCACCCTGGAGCGATTCCTATCCTTTCGATCCAGGCACGTGACCTGCTTGGATTATATAATCCGTGATAACCATTGTTCCGTTTTCCTGGACTCCCGTCCATTCTCTGCCAATAAGTCTGTCTGGCCTGTTAGTAGGCCGCCGTATTTGTTGGTTTGTAACAATTTTATAGTTTAGATTAAGATAAAAATACCTAGCTTTATATATAGCATTTCATATTAATATTTACTGTTTTCGTTGTAGAAGCTTAAATAAAATATAATTTAATAGATTATACTACTGATCGTTGCCTGTCAGGTCAATGCATCGGCACCTGGAATAGAGATAGGTAACCTCGTTGTGACATGTGGTGAGGTTTTTATGCCTCCATATTGGAGATGAAGCCATCGTAGACCGTGCAAATGTGCACAGATGGTCGATACAAGAAGTGTCAAAGGTAAGGAAAAGGGAAAGAAGACTGTACTCTTAAGGCGGACATTTTTGGTGTCTTGTATGCCACCTATTTCCGCATTTACAATGTTACGGTCCCGGCGAGCCCTGGCACACGATAATACGGCACAGCCGCCTGTTGAGTGCTCGTCTCGCGTGGCAGTCCTAGAGCCCGTCGTTTACCTACCATAACGGTTGCCTGGCCTGCATAATGTTTCTTATCCACTATAGCTGCGCACACCTTCCTAACATTAATAACAACAGCACCAATGCAGCAGATTTGCATCCTTCTGGCCTTCTTGCTGTGCAATCACATCCTGAACCCGAGCTCAGACGATTTGGCTTGGATGTCAGAGCCCGGTGACGAATCGAGTCGGTGTGCGAGTTGCGTCCAGAACCTGATCTTCCGCCCCCTCTCGATTTGTATTACGTAGGGCCTGTGGTAACAAATTCGATAGTTGGATGCTCAAGTGAGGGCACTATTGGCTTGACTTATAGGCAGACGCGGAAGGATCAGGCTCAAAAAGCATCTCCTCCATGTCGACATTCGCAGTAAACCAACCTTTTAGAAAGTCATTTTTGGTCCAAATCAAACCCCTGCCGATTCGAGTCCTGCCACCCGGTTTCTTTGCGCAGATATTGTTCCGCAGAGACAGGCTCGTCAAGGTCTCGTACCACGTCGGCAAAATCATAGACAAGGTCGCGGAGATCTCCAGCGAAGATCAGGTCCTTGTGTTGCTCTATTGACTGTCGTGCGCTCATGAGGTACGCCAGCGATTCTTTGAACTTGCCTATAAACCTTTCAGCTAGTTATGGATTTGCTGATCTCTGTAAACAGACAGAATCTAGTCAGCTCACTGTGGGCCAACTACAGCCTGAATGTCTATACACATAAGCCGCGGGTCGAATAGCGGTGAAAGCATGACTGCCGGCTTGGCCTCCATGACGACGACCTCAGCTGCCTTGGGCCTGATTCTCCGGTTAACGACAGAGTGGTTTTTGCAAGCTCTATTTCCTCATACCATCGTGACTATCGACCCTCTTACCAGCACCGAGCCTGCATGACATATTCACTCTGCCGACCACCTCAGGAAGGTCTAAATGATGTGAATGTCGGTATCGAGCACAAAGAGCAGATGCGTACCGCATTGGGAAAGGGCATCGAGGCCATAGTTGAGATTGTTAAGAAGCTTAGGGATCAGGGTTGTTTAGTGCTAGCAGGACAGGCCCTAGGCAGCCCACACCCTTCTTCCGCTGCAGATAAACGAAAGAGGACTCGGTCGGCGCAGTTCTCAACGAGGTGCAGCAAGCTGTTACGCTTCGACAAGGAGGGTGGCTCGGTACCCCTTTCGCCAACAGACGATGCAGAATAGAGCGGACCAGCCATCGCATGGCTTGCATCCGTGATTAAAAGCTTTAGCTTTTTATCGGAGACCGATCGACCCGACCCCGATTCTCGCTAATGATGTATTGTTTACAGTTTTCTCGTGCCTAGTTATAAGTACGTATCAAGGGGTCCTAACCTCCTTGCTGTCATTGTTATACTGTGAAATAAGGCGCCGGTTTTTATAAGTTGACACATCATGGAAAGTCCTACTATCCTTCAAATCTCGGTCATCTACACGGCACTTGCTATTGAAAGCTCGGTTACAATTCTAAGATTGATTGCCACCTTTAGGCTACTAAGTCAAATATCTCACCAGCCGCCATTTCTAGTGAGGGTCCTGTACAGGCGCTTATACACAGTTGCTGTAGCTTCAACGGCGGCACTGGCACGTCGCTCACGGTTGCCTTTGCAATCCTTTCATGCCTGAAGAGCGGATATTGGCCAGATTGGTTCTTCGGAACGGCAGTTCTCTGGAGCATGATACGTGAAGTAAATCAAGCCATGTGGTGCATGCTCTAGATGACTGATATCCATAAGACGTTACTAGCAGTGGGGACCTGGAGACACAGCCTGAGGCCTTTCTCTCCTCTTCCCCTGATCTGTGTCACAGGCACTTCCTGCCTATGTTTTAGCATTGGGACAAGAATCGGACCGTGGTACTCGGCATTGGGCCGCCCCTTGTACCAAGCTGCACTTGCGTCGTTGCGGCTGCGGATTGTGTGGGAATGGACGAAAGTTGTCCAAGACCACCCGAGGGATAAAGCCATCCTTACAGCGCACTACCTGGTCCGAGTAGGAGCTTTGTCTCTGACAATTCTGGTGGGGCAATGTTCGACCACGACGGAGGAACTCCTGGTGAGTTCTCGCATCCCGGTATTATAATTATATTGACTTTCTGGGTTATTTGCGCTCTTGTTATGACTTACGATGCAATCAATGTTGTGCTTGCTGGATATGCGAAATGGAAAGGTAGGAGGGCTCAGACTCGCGAGAGGCGCTTGCATGGCCGAGATTCTGGAGTAGCCGCGCAAAGTGGGGTGCGTGTGGGAACCACGTCCCTCCCACAGGCCGAGGTTCACATCTTGAGCGCTCTATTAAGATACGTTGATGTTATAGTAGAGGCCGAGTTGTCATATATAAGCACGCTTGCGTTATAAGACTGGAGACTGAGCATGGCTCTCGCCCCCAAAGCACCGTCATAATTTGATGGGCGCTTGGCACAGCAGTTGAATCCTCCGGTCCTTTTACGACCAGGAAGATGTTGGGGACGATGGGAAGGTCTTGCTGGGTCAATTTGGTTATCAAGCCGTCAAGTTCGGCGTGGGCTTGGCCGCGCCACACACCGGTTCAGGTACCTCCTGAGAACGATTGGTCATTACTGGTAGTAGGACAGGTCCCAGTATGTCGCCATGGAGTCCTATGCATTCGCACTTTTAAGTCAATGGTCCCGTGGTGGTCTGCTTATGAGTTATCCTGATAATGCTGCACCATCGTAATCCCAAGCGCCACGTCAGTTGAGTTGGGAGACAGGTGGGAGCGACTAGTTATCGGGGGCCCTGGATTTACTATATAAAGCCTTTCTAAGAACGGGCTGAAGATGTATCTCGGCAGTTCTTCAGTATCTACAATAAGCAGGACGGAGAATGAGCTTAGCGTCCTAGCTTGGTGTTTCCTTGCTTCTGACATGTACGTAAATGAGTGACTCATAGCCAGCCTCACCTAATCCCATGCATGTGTATCACACCACGTCACTGCCTCTGGCCCAATCCCCATAGCCGCTCGACAGCATCGAGGACGCGCCATCCCACGAGGCATATGTTCTCCCATGATGACCTACTCGCAAACTGTCAAGCAGCGTGTATTATGGTTTTTCTGGTTGATAACGTGTATTCTAGTGATTCTGATTAGACTGTGTCCTGTCTAGGATCTGATGTTGTAACATCTCCCACCCCCCTGCGGACCACCCCCCCGCGGACCAGCGCGTTCTGACCCACAAACGCGTAATTCACCAACCACCAGGATTATGTGATCCACCATCTACACCATCACTTTTGCATCTTTTTTTTCACAAAGCACACTATTTGAATCCTTATCTACTGCTGAATCTCATGATGTCATTTTACGACCGTCAAATAAAAGCTGAAGCCGCCATTTTGGCCATCCAACGCAAAGCTCCAGTCCGCTCGTCAGCCCTCGAATGGCAAATCAGTCGCTCGTACGTCAACCGACGAATCTCTGGCACCCCAACGCGGAATGAGACTAGCGCTCTCCAACAGGCTCTCTCACCGTATCTCGAACATAAGCTGGCAAGCTGGGCCCTGAGGCAAGCACGGCTAGGGTATTCTCCGGCGGTCTCTAAGTTCCGTCTCATGGCCCAGCGGATGCTCCATGCCATCGGGGATGCTCGAGAATTAAGGAAAAATTGGGCATCCAAGTTCCTGTCTCGAAACCCGGAAGTCAAGATAATAAAGTCTTGTATTATCGACTACAACCGAGTGAATGGTGCTACAGCGGCAAATATCAACATTTTTTTCGATCGGTGTGACGCCCCTGACGTGGTTAACCTCATGCCAGCACGCTGGTACAACGTCGACGAAATGGGAATCGCCCAGGGGGTTGGGGACTCCCATTGGGTGGTCTCCGAGGCCTCCGGCAACATGGCTATGAAGAAAGGGGTCGAAAAAGGTGAATAGATAACTGCCCTAGAGTGTGTGAGCGGATCTGGTGAGACCTTGCCGCCGCTGGTGATTCTCAAGGGGATTAATGTACAAGCCCAGTAATTTAGCAACCAAAATGAGGGCAAATTCACCGACTGGAGGTTTATTACGTCGCCCAATGAATGGACCTCGAATCCCATTGCGTTAGAATGGCTTTAACGTATCTTTATTCCTCACATTCGAGAGGTCCACGGCAACACATGAGTGGTTTTGGTGTGTGATGGCCACGATTCCCACACGAATGACGAGTTCCTAGCCACTTGCTTGAGAAACAAAGTATGGTTAATCTTTTATGAACCTCACTGCTCTCATATAGTCCAGGTGTTAGATGTGGGAGTCTTCAATTTAGTGAAGAAGAGGTTGAAGACCTTACTCCAGGAGACGCCCAGCGGCCGTCTGGGACTCAGGCCATCTAAGGAGGAGGTTTTGGAATGTTACGAGCAGGCCCGGAAGGACACAATGACGCTCCTCAACATCAGAATTGCCTGGAAAAAGACTGGGATTGTTCCTCGCAACAGAGCGGAGGCATTGAAGTCGAAATATGTGATTCTGGAGGACAAGGGGGTGGCCAGGGTACACCAGAGGGACCTTAAGGCTTCCGAGCGAGCCACAACACCAGATTTTCTCGAGATGGTAGCTAAAACCATTATCACAACACCCTCTGGAAGCCGGGCTTTGCGAGAGAGTGCTCAAAAGCTCGAAAGAAAGGACCCTTTCTTTGGGGGGCCCTCTGAGCGCTTGTTGGTGCGGAAGGCTGGCAAGGCCATGGATGTTCAGGCTGCTACCATTGCAAATTTACGGGCCAAATGTGAGCTGTTTGAGGCTCAAGTGGCTAAAAAGGCTAATATCACTCAAAAAGCAGTCAAACCAATACTAAGGGAACGATTCGTCACAATGGCTAACATAAGAGAGGCCAAAATGGAGCTGAAGAACAGGAGGGTCTATAGGGACTCCGCTGCAGGCAAAGAGGTCCTATAAGAGGTCCCTGGTGAAGATTTAGGGCCAGAATCGGATTCTAAGAGCTGTATTATGGTTAGAACACCACAACCTTAGTGTATTTAGCAACTGTGGTGGTTGTAGATGGCTTCATCTGAATGAGAGTGGTGTGGTGTGGAGTGGTCCGTGGGGGGGTGGTCCGCAGGGGGGGGTGAGATGTTAATCTACAAGGCCCGAAATTGCCTGTTGGTGCACTGCCACCTCCCTGAACGCCACTGTGGCTTGAGTGCCATTTGACACAAACAAACCAGAGACCAGGGTATACTTTTGGCCTATGCATGTGGGCACCCTCGAGAAGGTGGATGGCCTGTCTTACCACCGTTGTTAACAAATCCATCTTAGGAGCCAATGGCTTCTCTTACATGCTCTAGTTGTTACAAGCAAACGGCAAGGCAATTCGAGAAACAACTGAGAATGATTAGCCATCAATAGTCGCAATAACCACCTGCCTCGAAAGATATGCAACCGGCACATTGCCGTGAAGCCCGGGTGATTAAAATCAAGGCTGGACGGGAGTATGGCAGAGGGACACATGTTTTTCAGTCCAAACGCATGCCTATGTCTGACCCTCATTTGGCACTGAGTCTCCTTATAAGAAGAGGAGTACTTTCTGTTAAAGATGCAATAGGTCTCCAGGCTGTAACGGATGGTAATGAGCTGGCAAGACAGGAAATAAGTGAAGGTAGTCGTCGTCCGAGGAGGGCGGCAGCGCGTGAGCGATGTTGTTGCGTTTGCGGCAACACTGGCCATAATGCGCAAACTTGTACAATAGAGATAGAAACGTCTGGAAAAAAAGAATCCAATTGATTAGATTGAATTAAATGCGTTGTGGTCGAGTTATTTGACATGTTGGTTAGAAGGTTGGTGAAAAGTTGCCGTTCGCTTGTAATTGCCGCTCGCTTGTCATCTACGTTAATATAAAAAGATACTTAAAATAGTAAGGCTTTATAAGGTATAAAAAATACTTTAACATAACCTACTATAACTTAAATATTTTAATATGGTTAAAAAATATCCACGATATCTATGTTAATATTAACCCACAATAGCCTCGTCGTTGAGTTAGTTGCTAAGGCTGCAGAGGTATCAGTAGATTAAGTTGACGTGGATATCCACGTCAATATCAATCCACTGTGGATATCCGTTAAGTTGTTCGGGATCTTGGCCCCCACTCTTCGTGTAAAAGCTGGCTATCAGCGTCAACGAGCCTATCACTGTTGGCGCGATGAACATGTCCATCTCTTCTACGGGAGGTTCTAATCACATCCACAACAGTAGTTGGATTGCGAAAGGCAGTAATGGATGCCCAAGGTTCCCTGCGGTCCCAGGGAAGGCAGAAGAGGAGAGACACCCGGGTAAGGTAAACGTAGGGCAGCCTTGATTCGAAGTCGCCGTCTCCTTGGCAATCTAAGGCGTAGACCACAGAGTTCAGGTTGAAACCGTTTGGATGCTCCTTGTGCAATGGGCGAGCACGTCTTGAGAGAATCATCTGTTCCGTGTGCCATTGGTTGCAAACTCGGCGGCAGATGCATCGCCCAGGCGTATGCCGCAAGGAATTCGTGTTTTGCTAAGCAGTGTGAGATTTCAAAGTGTTCTAATGAAGGAGAGAAACCAGGAGTAGTTTCTGAAGGGCAGAAGGCCCTTATATATATAAGGAATACAGAAAAATTGTATGTGAAAAGGACAGTGCGTCCTTTTCTAGCAATCTTAGCACAAAGGACAGATATGGGGTTTTTGTAGGATTGGTGACGTGGAGACCTCAGGGTGAACCAGAACCCCTAGATTCCAACAAACAGCACCTTTCAAGCTCTACCCGAGACATCACAGAAAATTTTTCTGCGATTCCAAGAACTCGCCACAGCACACACTCCTGGAGTGACCGTCAAGTGGATTCCTGGACACAGAGATATTGATGGTAACGAAGCTGCCGATATATTAGCAAAAGAGGGTGTTATGCTAGAAACAGACACAAGAAACCTTTCTACAATCTCTTGGGTTAAGAGAGATCTCAAGAGAAAGGGCAAGAAAGAGTTCAACCAATGGTGGAAAGACCAATCAGAACCTAGGTATCAAGAAGTATACTTACATGCAGTAACTGAAAGAGGCCTTATATCCTTTAAGAGGAGCACTCTACACAGACTTCTAGCGGCCAGATCTGGACATGGCGACTTTGCCAGATACCACGAACGCTTTGGGCATACAGACTCGAACAACCACTGCAGCTGTGGTGAAAAGAAAACACCACAACATATTTTCTTTTGTAAGAGGCTAGGACAAAATCGGTTGTTGCCTAGGTACTCGCCTAGGACAGCCTGTTTACAATACTTAGAGGAGAGGAGCACAGAATGGACAAAATTCGTGGAGAAGAGCAAATTCTTTTTATCAATCTGTCCTCGATAGATAGCTGTTCTTGAAGGACCAGATGGATGACCCCAAGGTCATACCGCTGCAACAACGGGGATGGGCCCGTGAGCGGGACTGACTGTACTTATTTTCTTGAGACCTTCACAACCCTGCGATGCAGAGGCTCTGGGAGGCGTGGTCTGCACTACTGAGGAGCTACCCCCCACGTTAAATACAAAACAAACAACAAACAAACAGCACCTTTCAAGATAGGAACGAAAGCGAACCATGTCATAATTACCTGGCCAAGTCTCCCTTTCAACGATCCATAAAAGAGACGCGAGGATCTCGTCGAAGAGCTTTTGCGTGTTGAAGACTGTTCAGATGCACTCGCTATGGTAGTGATCAGTCTCGTGTTCCTGGCGAGAAAGGTCCAAGAGAGAAGATGACGACAGAACCTATTAGGCGAGTGTTGATTTCCTAGGATCGTAAGTGTAGACAACAAAGTGAGGAATGATTAAGATTCACATGTGGCGTTGGCAAATACTGTTTTTGCTTAAAGAGGTATCATGTGATGAAACTGAGAGCTGCCGATTTTCCATCAAATAGTTGGGGCTTGGTGGCTTATCCAAGACCGCTGTTGAAGTTTAACGAAGATTTCGTTTTGGTTATGATGGCGTTGGGCCTTTACCCTACTATTATAATGAGAATAATTCTACGTTCCAAGGTCTTACCAGGAAACACGGGCCTTGAGACATCACCCAGCCACCTATTATTGAATGGCACACAAGCCAGCGTGGCGTCAGGAAGGTGGCAGTGCACTGAGCAGGGGTCATTAGGGCATTCTGGGGCTACAAACCCACAATAACAACTTCAGAACAACACAATTAGCATACGCACTGTTCGACACCTGTAGGCTATAGCACTGAACGCTCCCTCGTTCCTCTCTCAACCTCCTAATACGATCATCCGAAACGAAACCGAACAACTAGATCTGACCGTCACATGTGACATCACTCCCCCAACGAGTCTGACCGAGCTAGACCATCAGCATGGATCCAAACCTTTCCCACTGCTCGACTTTCCGGACCTAGTGGTCAGAGAGGTCTGCATCTGGCTCTCACGCGAGTCGCCACCCCGCTCCGCCACACGCCGTGAGACGCACATATGGGGGATCCCACATGATGACCGGGTCCAGTTGCACATGTGAATGGCTTCAGACAAGTCCCAAATGGACCAATCAGAAGCCAGGATCACTGAGGGCCGCGGGTGTTATGAATGCCCTGCAGTGGGGCATTATAGCGCGTGGACGCTGGAGTCCTATAGCCGTGTCAGAGCATGTTATGATATCAAACGCGCCCTCGGGCATTTAATGATATCCCACAATGTCTCTAATTGTCGTTTGTCAGGAGCCAGAAGAATGCCTCGGGGGCTATGTGCCATTGCATGCGTGGCGGTACTCGCCTTTTTCAACCCTGCCCCAGGAAGACGGCAACTCCGCCAGCATACTTCACATAAATTGGTTGAACCGAACCCAACACCGTTGACATGGTCAACTTCGATCGGATCCTCACACTCATCGACTCAACTATCATGTCCATCATTGACCGTCCCAGTCCCAAGTGCCAGCAAGGCTATGCCGAAAACAACTCCCATGGAGAAGTTGGCATGGAACCAATTCATGGAGCATCGGCTCAATTGAACGGCGGCAAAATTTATCCCATTTATCCCAATGAGGAGACGAAACTCGACAGAGGACCGATCGTGCGCTCAATGAGATACCGGCGACGAAGCAAAACCGCTGGTGCCGGTAGGTCGGTACTGGATCTGGGGAAGTCTCATGGTTTCTTCCTAGAATGTGCTCCAACAGACGATCGATTGAAAGAACTAGGGAAGCGGTGGCTCATTCCCGAATTTCTCCGCCGACGATTGCTATACTGCGGTCCTTTCTTCATACGGTTCGAGGAGGCTGAGTCACGGAACCACCTTGGAGGAGGTGCTTCAAGACTCGTTACCAAGAACCACCACGAGCTGTCGGACTCCTTATACGATGGCAGTAGCGAGGGTTTTGCCGAGCAAATGGGGAGAGCATGGCCCGAGTCATTTGGATCACTGATCACGCAACATGAACAAGCCCCTCGGTTCCTGTGGAAGTGTGATGCGCCGCACGTTGACGACAACACAGAATACGTCTGTCGAAAATCCGCGATGCAAGGCGAGCGCCAACTCCTCGAGGTTCTCTTTCGGGGATTCAAGATCTATCATGGGCCTTCAGATGATTTACTGTGGTAGATAACCCCTTCCACTACTTGTTTGCCAGGCTTGACAGCAGTACTAACATGGTACTCCATCTCGGCCAGGCAAGTCATGCCAAAAATCACCACCAGCGTTTTGTCCATGTCAACAATTGCTTTTCTTGAGAGCCTGTTTGCCCCAACCCACATCAGCCACGTTGGGCTGGGGACTCTGAGTGACAGGTTCCCCATCCAGGCCACTACACCTGTTCTCCACAGCACAGGAGACTTTGGCGAGGGCGATTGGCTATGCGTCCGGTTCAACATGCGCGCCTGCATTCCCGATGATGGAAGCCACCGCGCCAAGCGATTCAAGAACGGGCATGGCATCTCCCCCGAGAGTCTGGGCTTTCCTCTCAAGCGCCAGACAGCCCGGATCCCGGGATTTTTCGGGGCCAAGGACCAGTTCGCCGTTGAGTACCTTCTATCTGTCGCGATTGTGATGAGGAAGAGACTGCAAACGCGCGCGTCATCCATCGTCAAGCACAGCGTGGTAGTCTGGTTGGACTACCAGACTGACTTTGACAGCAGCGCCGGACGTGGGTCTCTTTTCCCTGCGCTGTCTGACAGGGTCGATCTGGATCTGAAGCTCAAAGACTGCGGAGCCGGGGGAGACGGTATCTTCGAGTTCCTTGTTGTGCTGGTCAGAGCGATAAACCACTGGAGAGTATGCTGGGACGTGACTATGGGCCGGATCGACGATTTTGTCAGCATTCAGGTTCGTTTTCTTACCCGTCTTCATAGGGGCCACTGCGCCCGGAAAACTGACAGAACAAAATCATCAGCTCCAAGATACCCTGGATAGGAGGAGGTGGGAAACGCTTATGTTTGACGACTCCTTTCAACAATCGGAGCAGTATTTCACCGTGCTTCAGCTGCTGCGCATCTTCCACGACTATATTAAGGAGGTAGAAGAAGGCATCGAAGACCTAAGAGAGGAGCTGCTTAGCCAGTGCAGATCATGGAAAGCCTGGCGACAGCGATACACAGCAGAGGATGAGAAAGCGTGGCCCTTGGACATGCAAAACCTGGAAGCCGACCTCGAGAGCATCAAGGGTTTCTTCGACCTTCGAGTTGTTCCCCTGAAAGAACGCCTGGAAAGGAAGAAGATCGAAGTGGAAAGTCTACGAGATGGTGTAGGTCACTCACCACCCCACCGCCCCTTCTCCCCGTTTGTACAGATGTGTCTATTCGATGTCACGAACCGGTACGCGTATAGCTAATCACGGCTCGCTATATAGCTCCTGAATGCTGCCTCGCTTCGTGAGACTCTCAAGGCGAAGACGCTGAACTTGTACATCGGGGTCTTCACCTTCGTGACGGTGCTCTTCTCCCCACTGGGCTTCATGGCGGTACGTCTGTTCACTTTGCTTCCCTCTCCTAGCCCCATGGGTACACTCAACCTCCAAAAGTCTCCGTACACCTCTCGTTCAGCAAGCGAGAGGTATGTTCATTGGAAATGGAGTAAGCACCCTGGGATAAGCATCCAAGATGGCTTGCCAAATCGAAGCTGCTTATTCCATGTTACTGATTCCATGGTGCTTATTCCATGGAATGAATATAGCGTTGATATCCAGGAATGGATAGAGACATGCCGGGCCAAGACTTCTGGGGGTGATTGTAGGCGACCTATCACTAACTGGGAATTCCACAGGCCTTTTGGGCAATACCATTCTTGGCACCAAGCTCCCAGAATGCAACACTGGGGGGTTTTGTCACCAGTTTCGTGGCTGTGCCCGTGATCACGTACCTGGTATCTGCTGCGTTCATCGTCTACGTCTGGGGCCGCTCATCTCGCAGCGTCGGGGAATTCGTTTACGACCAGGTCCTAGCGGCGACATGGGCTGTTTATGGAAGGACGGTCATGGCTCTGAATCAAGTGCTGCTTGTAGCCAAGGGGGTTTGGGGCCGCTCACCTCGCAGCTTGAGAAGATTCGCTTACGACCAGTTCCTAGCGGCACCGTTGGCTGTTTTGAGTTGGACGTTCTTGGTTTTAGATCTGCTCCGGCGCGTAGCGGAGAGAGTCTGGAGCCTCTCACCTCGCAGCTTCGGAAGATCCGTTTACGACTGGATCCGAGCGGCGACGAGAGCCGTTTGTGGAAAGACGGTCATGGCTTTTAATGAGCTGATGCACGTCGCCAAGACGAGGAAGAATACACCATCCGACCACAGCGGTTTGACTACACGGGTTTGACTACACCGGGTTGACTACAGCGGTTTGACTACCTACCTTGGTATGTAGCTTATAACAGGTCGTCAACATCAACATGTATTTATTAGCATGACAATCCACAACCGCCGGAGTGGGAGACACTCTCAGTCATCTACAGAAGGCTTGTAAAGTACAATGAACCTAGCATGTAGTCGGAGGAGGGCTGCGACGATCGAGATGACGAAAAGCAGAATGATTATGCCATAACCCAGCGCACTGTGATTCGGCTGCAGTCGCAACTTGTGACTCACAAGTCCATAGTGCAGAGTTGCGGCGTCGAATGCCAACCAAGATTTTGACCAGGAAAGGACCCCAATGAGTGGCAGCGGCATTGGCATTGGCTGGAGAGTCCAGTGGTCGTAGGACAGCATATGCAATCACAGCCAAGACCAACACAAAGAAGACCAACAAAAACAATACAAACAGTACCAACGCAAACTCCGAAGTGTCGGTAAGCAGCCCTGAGACTTTCAGACGAATCCCGAGTCCACGAATGAAGTCGCGGATAGAAGTCCGAAGTCAGGAAGGATGGGAGCCCGTCACGGCCGACCAACACAAACAACCTCGACACAAACAATACCACCAGTCAGGTTCCAGCCATTCGAATTTGGCCCTAAGAATCTGCAGTGAATACTAATCAGCAGGGTACCTTGAAACAGACTACTACCCCGAAGGGTTTGTGATACTTTCTTCCAGACTGTGACCGTGCAAGCTGCATGTCACGGCACTACAAGACGGCCCCACAGCATCAGGGGTCAACTCCTATACATACCAGATCATGTCTCCTAGCTAGCTTCATAGTTTCCTTCCTCCTTGCGTACACGGACGAAGTCATTTCTAGCGCCACCAGCAGTTGAACTTGACACTGCATGCCCCTGAACTTGGACAGCAGTTCCCCCCTGTTCAGATTATTCCACATCCAACATCAGCCCCAGTCTCAGCCCCAGTCTGTCTCAGTCTCCCCGACAAGATGGCTCTCCAGGACTACACCAGCAGTGGTCTAGCTTACGCTATGTCGCTCATCACTTCCTCGGTAAGGTCAACTCAGCGCCGCAGAGTTCGAATCCTCACTGCGACTCCGTAGGTTCTCATATACGCGGGCTACCTCATACTCCTCCATCCTCTACGCAAGTTCCCTGGGCCGCCGCTTGCCAGAGTCACCGATTGGTTTGCTGGCCTCCACGCCTTCAAGAAGGACCTACATCTGGAAATCCTGAGAACCCACGACAAATACGGTGAACACCAGCCCTACAGCCTGTTTGACTGCGAGAATCTGACTCTGCGTGACAGGGTCGGTTGTCCGATTCGGGCCGAATCGACTGCTCTTCAATACTGTGACGGCTTATACAGGTAAGTCTTCCATTGCAGTGCAAGAATTTGGCTCTATTCACATATCCTCCCCCACATGGACACAAGAGAAGCTGAGTTGTACAGAAATCTATCAGAACGATCGAGTCTCCAAGTCGCACACCTACGGGTCTGCCGTTCGGAACAATGTCGATAACGTCCTCACCGCCCGCGATAAAAGCCTGCATCAAACCAAGAGGAAGATGATCGCTCCAGCTCTGTCGGAGCGAGCTGTCAAGTCTTTCGAGCCGTCCATGACCGAGCATGTTACGGTGTTCCTGAAGCAAATCCTCAAGGCCTCGCAAGTTTCCGAGCCAGTCAACGTGTCAGAACGAGCCAAATACATTGCTCTGGACATCGTGACTCAGCTCAGCTTCGGCTACGCCCTTCAAGCCCAAACGAGTGACGAGAATCGCTTCGTATCGAAAGCCTTGGCTTTTGGACTCTATCGGAACAACGTCTGGCACCATCTCTTCTTCCTCTCCAAGTTTTGGGTCTATAGCATATTGGACCGGGTCTTCTTCGAGTATCGGGAAAGATACTCCCAGCTGCTGGACAAGATGATAAAATCGCGCATGGCCCGTGGAACGAACGATGAACGCGACTTCTATTCCTTCCTTGCTGAGCTCGACCCGGATCACGCAGCCAATGTGCGGAAGAGCGGACTTTGGTGGGAAGCTCATTTCCTTGTCATTGCAGGTAAGTCGAGCCATTTTGACGTGGTACTTGGTGCATGGGCTAACCAAGTGTCCAATGTGTACAGGGTCAGACACCTCGGCGACGACCATAGCCGCCACTCTCTTCTATCTGTCTCGGAACCCTCAATGCTACCAACAGCTGGCCAACGAAATCCGCTCCACCTTCGCATGCACGCAGGACATCAAAGGCGGGCCTCGGTTGGCGGGTTGCCACTACCTCCGTGCGTGCATTGACGAAGCCCTGCGGTTGGCGCCCCCGGTCCCCGGAACACTATGGAGAACACAAGACCCGGACGATGACCAGCCCCTGGTTATCGACGGACATGTCGTACCCAAGGGCACCATCTTTGGTGTGAGCTCGTATGCGATCCATCACAACGAGGCATACTTCCCGGACCCATTTGCTTTCAAGCCGGAACGGTGGCTCGAGGAGCATCCTGCGGGGGCCAAGCACTTGTCTAATGCCTTCGCGGCCTTCTCAGTCGGTGCTCGTGGCTGTGCAGGAAAGGCCATGGCCTATCTAGAACTCCGCCTCGTTCTAGCGAGAACGCTGTGGTACTTTGGCTTTGAGGCGGCATCCGGCTCACTTGGGGAAGTTGGGGGCGGCAGGGCGGGTGGCCCCTCGGGCAGGGAGAGGCCGGGCGAGTTCCAGGTGGAGGATATCTTCACCGCGCGACACGACGGTCCCTATCTCGTCTTCCATCCTCGAGGAGAACTGTGGAAAGAACTGGAGTCGCCATCTTGAAGCAGCTTCTCTACTGTTCTCCACCAAAGGGCTGATCCTGGTGTACCTTGATCGCCGTGTATGCTGTCGTTTGCGCTGAGTGTGAAGCAGCGAGTAAACACGTGTTGGTGGATACTTCTTATTGTCATAGCTAGTCATCTCCTTGATAATTTACCAGCGTAGCAAAGACTCAAGCCTGTTATTTCCGTTTTCCGAGAGGAGTACCCAAAGTCATTGGCTGAACGGTAGATCATGGTGTTGTAGGGCGCTGCAGGAAGTCGGGCGGAAGGCTGATGAGCAACCCTCGTCAGATGCTTGGCAGGGGTGTCATCACTTCCTCAGCCGCTCTGAGACAGCCTTCCCTAACACGCTGCTATGCAGCCGTTGTCACATTGATCACCGGAGGCTTGTACCGTTTGGGGACGTTGAAGCCGGCGCTAATCCGAAACCTGACGGGTATCTGCAGTACGACCAGCAGATGCTTCTGACTGTAGGCATTGACCATCCAAGTGAGACAGTCACAAGTACATATAGGGTTCGAACCTCTTCTCAAGTGTGATTAGTTTCTCTACCTAATTGAAAGGTTCTTCTCATTGTCATCAGGTGATTTGTAGGCCATAAAGCCACGTCAGCATGTCGGCAATCCGTAGTTCCGCTGAGGACTTATCCAACACTCTTGAGCAGCTGGCTATCAAACACTCGAAGACCTCTGAAGACAGACCGGCGAGCGGTGATGTTGGTAACAGTCTCATAGAAACTGCGGAAACAATCCTTGGAGAGGATCGTCCAGGCGCAGAACTAAGTCAAGTTGAAGCGCGCCTGGTAACGTTAGAGCTCAACAAACAGCGCATGCAGAAGAATGCAGATACCCTTCTGAATTCCGACAGACAGCAAAGCCTGCAGGTTACAGCAAGCCTTCTCTTCGACGATCCAGAACAGTCTACTATCAATAATAATGTGGACTTACTACTCGATGAAGACCTCGAAGCCTTGGATGGGGCAACAGAAGCCTGGTGGACAAGTGGAGCTCACGTCATTCCTCAATACTTGATTGAAGAAGTCGACGAGAGCATCAAAGCCTGTAAGCTGGCCCCACGTGCATTTGTGTATTGTTCGAGGCTCAATAATGGCCATTGCTGATCATTGACCAGTGATGCCAGATGGCACCGAGATCGTCTCGATCGGCCGACATGGGAACAGCACATGGTCACGTACCGCGGAAATAAAGACCGAGCTACACGGTGAGCCTGTATCTTACTTCGTGAAGGTCACGGACTACCGATCTGGTGAGATCATGTACCGGAGCGAGTTTGAATCTCTCAAGGCGATCCACGCAGCGGTGCCCGGTTTCTGCCCCCGACCTATTGGATGGGGTTGCTACGCCTCGGATCCCAATGTGCACCTCCTTCTCACTGCATTTGTTAAGATGTTAAACAAACCTGCCCACCCAGTCCTTCTTCCTCGGAGGCTGGCAGAGTTGCACCAGAAAGCTACAGCACCGGGAAGTACGGGTGGCACGTACCTATGGCTGGTGGTCGGCTGCCTGTTAGGCTCAAGAAGAGTGCCTCCTGGGAAGACTTTTTCACCCGATACATTCGCTTTCTTTTCCGGGCCGAAGAGGTAGTTCAAGGCCCTTGGCCAGCCGAAATGGAGAGACTTGTCACGGTTCTGTTCCAACGGCTGATTCCTCGATTACTTCGGCCTCTAGAGACTGGTGGTCGGGAAATCGTGCCTGGGATACACGGAACGAAAATATGCCTTTTCAACACACTCACACTGACCCGCACTTCCGTGGACCAATGTTCGGGCTTGGGGTGATGGTGGATCTACATGTGTAGACAAGATGGATATCGATTGGAAAATGAAGGGACACATTTTCCCAGCCTTTGGAAGATACGTAGAAGTGTCTGATTCGCCATGCAAGACTGTGTAGTTCCAACACGGCAGCTATCGGGGTCCATCGTTCGGTACAATAACCCCTCATAAGTCTACGTATGGGCGCCCAGATGAAAGACCTTACCACACCAATCTGTTTAGAATAAGCACTCTGGAATAAGCAGTTTTTTATCCACAGCACGCTTAGTTTAAACAGATTAGCTGTTATACATGTAAGGTATCGTGTCGTTATTGGTAATAGGCGATACGGAGACTTTTATAGGATGAGGTGATCGTGTTGCGGAATATCGACATTGGACTTTCAGGTTGGCGTTCCGATGGTACATTCTTCGTTAAAAGACGTCATTCAATCACTGCTGACAGATTGCCGACATACTTATCTCCAAAAAAAACAACCATACGTCCGTCGATTTTCCTTCTCGTCCCTTGTATCATGGTGACCGCTCAGGGGTGCAAACAGGCTCGCGTTCACTAGCATGATCGTGCTGGCAAATGCGATATCCAAAGCTTCGCCAAAGTCGCTATAGACCTGAGAGAGGAACCTATACCTAGTGACCAGTCAATGGCTGCTGCGAGACTCGGTACCGTACTTCTGGTACCGTACTCTCACATTTGATCGCTATGGCAAGTGATCACTCCGAGTTTAGGTAAGCATTTCGCATCAATCCAGCATCATGGTGCCTAACAGGTCGACGTCAATACCCGGACCATCATGAGAGAGCTTGCGTCCGGGGTGGTACAATACCTAGGGGTCACATTCATCATTGACGCTTGGGGTAAATATGGCCCGGAATCGGATTCGTGTAGCATCAGCCGCATTCCAGGATTGAGCCAACGTGCATTCGCATCAACCAACACAGTCATGGCCAGGGGCTCATTCGTCGCAGCTGGAGACTCTGTGGGCATTCCGCGAGGGGCAATTCAGGGTTAATCCACTGGGCCAGCCCCCCTGTAGGAGAGCGCTAGCGCAAGCTGGAATGGACAACTGCAGTTGGTGGTGCCATAAGGTATAGGACTTCAAGGGACTCCCACTGGTAACCACAAAGTTTCATGGGCAACCTACAGGTCTGATCAGAGACCGAGGTATTCTCTCGGGATTGACTCGACTACACCATCTGTTTTGCAAATTCTGGCCATGACTTCGACCGTAGCAAAGGATGATCTTGGAGTAGAGATAGCACCGCAGCCAAGTTCATGGGAACGCCCGCCGAGTCAAGGATCGCCAATGACTGTTGGCGACGACCAAGAGAGCCCGCAACATGAACCGTCGACCAGGCCATACACCATCTTCACGAAGCGGCACAAGCGCCTTTTGATAGCAATCATTGGCGTGACCAGCCTAGTCTCTCCCTTGACCGCGAACATCTATCTTCCCTTGCTCCCTCTCCTCCAAGCTCAGTACCATGCCTCGGCCCAAGCCATCAACCTTACCTTGACCCTCTACGTGGTCGTCGCAGCGGTCATGCCCGCATTCTTCGCACCGGCTGCAGACGCCAACGGCCGGCGCGTTGTCGCACTGGTCACTTGCGTGATATACACGGTGGGCAGCTTGGGTCTGACGATGAACGATGCCGCTCGGAAATCGTACACTGTACTGCTCCTGATACGGGCAGTGCAGGCCCTAGGCGCAAGCGCCAGTGCCAGCATCACGTACGGCGTCATCAGCGACGTGTGCATACCTGCGGAGAGGGGGACGATGGTTGGCCCGCCATCAGCGCTTCGAATCTCGGCGTGGTTCTGGGACCGACACTAGGGGGAGCGATTGCCTGGAAAAGCGCTGGCACTGAGTACGTCTTCCTGGCGCTCACAGCGTTTGGGGTCGTGAACTTCATGGTGGTCCTACTGTTCCTACCGGAGACGGCAAGAGCAGCCGTAGGGGGCGGACACGAGGGGAAGAGGGCGAGCCTGCGGGGTGTCAGGGCCTGGTTGCTTCTGGGGACACGATGGGGCACGCCTACTCCTTCGTCAACACATGATGATGGACGCAGGGCCGACAGAAAAGACAAAGTGGTGCCCGGAACATCGGCAGTCCAAGAAGGCGATCCAGATACACAGCCCATGGAGGTCACTGGAGCTAAGGACACTGACGAAGGGGAAAGAAAGCCTTCAAGATACCCAACCCTCTCCAATGTCTCAAGATCATGCTTTGGAAGGATACGAGCATCCTACTCTGGCTGGCAGGTTGCAACAACGCAGTTTGGTACTGCATCACCGCATCGTGGCCCCAGATCTACGCGGGGGTGTACGGCTGGTCCACTCTGGCCATTGGCCTGGCTTACCTTCCCAGCGCGGTCGCCAGTATAATAGCCGGGTTCGTCTCTGGTCCCTGGATGAAGGCCAGATACCGCCGCACGGCGCGCGAGGAAGGCCTGACGGCTGACAGTCATCAAGTGGACGGGTTCCCGATCGAACGCGCTCGGATCCGGGGACAGTGGCCGGTGTTCGCGGCGACGCACCTCGGGATCGGTGCCCTTGGCTGGGCGATACATCAAGAGGCGCATCCAGGAATACTGCTGCCATTACAGGCCGTTATTGCCTTCTTGCAGGCGCTCCTGTTCTTTGCGTTCAACACGCTGCTTGTGGATGTCCATCCAGACCAACCAAGCACTGCATCAGCTGCGGCATCGCTGGTGCGAAGCGGCCTTAGCGACATTGGTGTCGCTGTGCTTCAATCAACCGCTGGTAGGTGCAATTGACTGGGGATGGTACTTCACCTTGTTGGCGATATTGGTTGGTTCTCGCAAGGTATTGGGATGGTTGTCCTATTGAAAAAGGGGCAGCAGTGGAGGAATGCCAGACGGCAGTGATAGCTTAGAGGTAATGGGACCTAGCAGCCTTTCCCCAGAGCTAATGATCCAGCTAACCTATAAAAGCTAGACTATCTCACCCTAGGCTCTTTGGATAAAATCAAGATCCGGACCCCACTTCAGCCCTCCGCCTCCGCCTCGACCTCCGCCTTTCCGGATCCTTCCTCTCGCATACCGACAGCCACCAGCATGACTGAACAGAGCGGCATCGACATTCTCTGTGACGTTGCCGGCTCCGACCTGCTGCTGGGGTCTATGTTTGCCGCCCCTTCGCCGCAACACCCGTCCCAGTCCGCGAAGCGCGTCAAGCTATCCAGTGATGCCTCCGCCGCTGCCTCGCATGTCTGCCATATATGTAAAAGGGTCTACGAAAGGTTCGCAACCCCAGAGCCCACTTCGACGCTATCGGTAGCGCTTGCTGACTTGGCACCTCTCTCTCTCTAGAGCCGATCATCTGACGAGACACTTGCGATCGCGTTAGTGGCCAACCTTCTGCTTGACACCTCCTCTGTAGCTGGCAACATAGGCTGAATAGAACGAAGACGAGAACGCTCGCCCTTACCAATGTTCACGGTGCCCAAAGAGATTCAACCGAGCGTTCGTCAGACCTGAGTAGTGCGCTGGACCTCGTCATCGCAGCGACTGATCAATCCATAGTGATCTCCTTACACGGCACGAAACCACCCACGATCGGGACGATGGCGGAAAGGGCAGACCAATTATCCGCAGGAGCGATCGCGCCGCCGAAGCCTGCCTGAACTGTGCTTCGTCGAAGGCGAAATGCGACGACCAGAAGCCCTGTGGCCGATGCAAAAGCAAGAACCTCTCCTGTCACACCTCCACGAAGCGGCCGTCGACATACAGGACCTCTATCGATGGTAAGATGTACCGCAATGACTCAATCGTTGCCACCCTTGAGGCAAGCGTGTTCTAAAGCACGGCATTCACTCGCAGGTCAATCTACTGTATCGTCTTCCGACTACTCGCCGAACCAAACGGGCTTTGGTCTCGAAACGAACAGGATGACGACGTATGACATGGATCGCGAGATGTCCATCGTTGCTGGCAACGATCACCTGGCCGTGAATGACAATGTGGTTCAGAAACCGTATCTCGCCGATCCCTTGACGCATTCCGTGCCCATAGAGCGTATTGCAGACGACATGGTCTATTTCAACCCAACTCACAATTTCTTCCAGGACATGGACTTCACGTCATGGGACCTTAACTTTGACGGCTTCCAAGTACCACAGTTCGAAGTAAATGGGCCTAGTCCACAGTCATCTACGGCCTCGGCTTCAAGGCTAGCATGCATCGCCCGAGATCCGTCTCGTGGCCATGCTGCCTTCAAACGCTCGCCCTGGCTCTGGGAACCGAAATCAAAGGATTACGTTGGGCGAGACAAGGAGGGTCTGGCACTCAACGAGGACAAAATCCCCCAATCTCCAGCATACGATAAGATATTGGCAACGCACTCTCATCGACTGAAGGTGGAACTGGTCATCCGCGATCGGCTATTTGCTATGGTGTTGGCTCAGAACAAAGACCCACTGAGAATCCCTTCATTCCCATCATTGGAAATATTGAATTATCTCCTGCAGACTCATTTCGTTCAGGACGAGTATCAGGCTGATAGTTGGATACACTCGGCATCTTTCCACCCATCAGAGGCGATGCCTGAACTCTTAGCAGCCATCATATCAAGTGGTGCGACCTTAATCGCCACCCCTGCCGTTTGGCAATTTGGACTTGCCTTACAGGAGGTAGTTAGGATAGGAATGGCAGTCAGGGTGAGTCAAACGAGACGCAGGTTGCTCGCCGTGAAACTGCGGTGTGACCGTCTGGATTTTAGACGTCATAACTCCCACCACTAACTATGAGTAGTTCGAATCGAGCAATTCGTTTACAAGAGACCTCCAATGCCTTCAAGCGTTGATGCTGGTTCTCGACATCGGTTCTTGGAGCGGGTTCAAGCGAAAGATGGAACTCGCCGAGAGCTTTTTACAACCTCTCATGACGATGTTGCGACGAGCAGGGACTTTCTCTGCCCCTGCAGATTCGCCGTCCCTGATACCGCACGCCCTCGATCCACCTGAGGTTCTCAATACGAAATGGCGCAACTTCATCCAGAGGGAGTCTTACAAAAGGTGTGTCTCGCACATGTTTTCTGAGTATCGCATCACTGACCTGTTTTAGACTGGTCATCCACCTCTTCGTCCACGATATCCAATCATCCGTCGGCCTACAAAAGAATCCACTGATGTCGTTTACCGAGCTCTGCTTCAGTCTACCTGCCGCGAGAGATCTCTGGAAAGCACATAATGCAGAGGCATGGCGGGAACTTTATCTCCGAAAAACACCCGTGCCGTCGGACATGAATCTGCCCCGAGTGTCTGAGGTAATGCACTGCATGAACCTGCTGGACGTTTTCGAGGACTATGTTGATGTCGAGCTCTGTCATACAGCGCTCATGTACGGTTACTGGGGGCAGATTGCAGCATACCGCGAGGCAGTGAAATTCTACCGTCATGATGCTGCCCCAACCAACCAACGCGGCAGCATCAATCGCTTGTGGCTGACCTCTCAGCACCAAGAGCTGTATCGAGATCTGGGCGAATTCTTCACCCTCTTGTGCAGCTCACCACAGGCGACGCCACACTTGACTATCGTCACCGAGCTCTTTATGATGATACTCCATGTATCGCCCGATGAACTTCAGCGTTTCGCTGGCAAATCTGGGGAGGAAGAAGCCCGCCTCGCGGCTATCTCGCTCGAAGACGAATGGGCACAAAGTCGTGAAGCACGCCATGCTGTCTGGCACGCGGGACAAGTATTTCGTAATGCGCGTCTGCTCCCGCCGGCTTCGCTGCGCGGGTTCAATGCCATCGCCGTCTACTTTGCCTCGCTGACCCTCTGGGTCTATGGCCTGCTCTCATGCTCAAGATCCACCGCACATGCCCAGGAAGATGCGAACATGCGAGTCCCTCCCACGTACGCGCTGATGGACGGGCATGAGGATCGAGACACACGCGCCTTCCTGCAGCTCGACAAAGGCGTACCGGGACTCAGTCTCAACGGCGACCCGGTGGCAGGAGCCGAGTCCCTGTCGAATCCGGGGATGGTCTTGAACATTTCCCGAAGTCTCTTCCGGGACAGTTATCCCGTGCGGACAGAGCCGCTGCCACCGCTCGTTGAGAGCTTGGGGAACTTGCTGAGAGATCTCGGGAGCGGTCCTGCTTGCCATGCCAGTCGGGTACCGAGTCGGACTGCCAGTGAGGACAGACCGTGAATGGATCCCTGTAGATTACGATGTTAGGAAGACTAGAAGTTCAACTGGGGGAGGGGGGTAAATGAGTTTTGTGGCAGGGAACTTAAGGTTGGGTGTAAGTTATGGTGTCTGGGCTTGGTGTAAAATAGCTGCGTTTCCCCATGATGCGAGGCGGTACAAAGGAGTTGGGCAGGCACGGGAAAAGATACCAACAGTTTGAGTTACAACATGAAAAGGTCAACTGCGCCATGATTAGAAACACGCAAGCAAAAAGAGTTGGGCCGAAGCGTATATCTCTGATGTGTCTACTCCGTAATCATTTGCACACTACGCCCCCGAGAGACAGGATCACTTAGACACTCACGCACTGACTCACCCACCACCAGCGAAGGAACAAACTAGAAGAGAATTACGTATTCAATTGAAAGGAAAGGAAAAACTCCATTAACGTACTCCCATCTAACTTATTAGCCCGATCCGATCCGCACCTGACATCCGTGCATCCGTACATCCATCCATACATGCAAATAGCTCTAAACCGCGCACCCCAAGACTCATATACCACACCTACAGCCTCTTCAACATCGACCACCGCAGTCTAGAAACTGCTTGTTTTTCTCTGCCCAAAAAGTAGTACATAAGCCCCGTATCTCTCCGTCTCAACAAATACAGAAACCGAGGAAACGAATAAGAATATGGGAGGAACAGAACAAAAAGGCAAAACGACAGATTCCGTTTACATCGTTGCTCATGCTGTGTCTGTGTCGGCTGTGACCCGATCCGATAGAGTCGGTGCCATAGACCACAGCTCCTTGCTCGGACGAGGCGAGGCACTCACAGCTCGTTGTGCGGCAAGAAGGTCGGGCTGCCCGGCACCCATGAGAGCGTGGTCTCGGCGCAGAGCTCGTCGTCTGGTGCGCCGCCCTCGGGGTAGATGTCACGCTCGTTGGGCAGCAGGGGCGCGGTGTTGCCACCAGCACGACCGGTGGCGCTGCCGGTGGGGACGCTGGATGCAGCCGGGTCAACGATCACGCCGTTCTGGCAGGCCACGGCTGTTTCACTAGTCAGTATACTGGGGGTATCAGGGATGGGAAGTTAGAGATGGGAGACGTACCTTCGTAGACAACAAGGCTCACGACCTCGCAGCCGGCGGGGAATGTACTGGGCGTGGAGAAGGTGGCGTAGACCTGTCCGGGTGCGACCTGGCAGAAGCCGGCCTTGCCGTCGAGGAACGCGGCGTTGTACCATTCCAGTAGGCCGTTGACGACGCTGAACGTGGTCGAGATGGAGCCGGTGGGGCTGACGCGGATAGGCGCAAACGCCACGCCCGGCTCGGTAGAGACGGCCTGGCCACCGCTGATCAGCTCGCCGTCGGTCAACGAGAACAAGGTCGCGTCCGTGCAGACATCCGGGTTGATGGGGCCGGCGCCGCTGATGAAGCCGCTGGAGGCGGGGGCGGTCTGGCGGCGGATACCGCGGATGCCGCGCTTTTGGTTGGCGCTGGCGTCGCCAGGGATGACACCAAGGAGGATGAGCGCGTCGGGGATGTCGGTTGTGCCTGGCACACCCGAGGAGGTGCCGCTGGGGGATGAGCCGGTGCCAGTCGCGGTGGCGTTGTTGGAGCCAGGGGCGCCAGTACCGCTGGGCGTCATGCCAGTGCCAGTGCCAGTGCCAGTGGGGAAGCCGGTGCCGTTGACACCACCTGCACCACCAGGAGCGCCGGTGACGGATGGCACCGTACCAGATCCAGTGGGGATGATGCCAGAGGCAGAGTCAGTCGGGATAACACCACCAGAGCCAGTGCCAGTGGGGATTATGCCTGATACGGAGTCAGTCGGGATGATTCCACCTGAGCCGGTGCCAGTTGAAAGGATGCCAGTGAAAGAGTCAGTGGGGATAAGGCCCGAAACGGAACCAGTAGGGATGATGCCCGAGACGGAAATCGAGACGGAAATGGTGGGGATGATGCCCGAGACCGAGCCAGTGGGGATGATTCCAGAGACCGAGCCGCTCGCGCTGCCAGAAGCTGAGCCAGAGGGCATGCCTGCAGGAATCAATGTTAGTTGCCATATCAAGCGGAAGATAAGGACAGCAAGGAAAAATGAAACGTACTTGTGGCACTAGCAGATCCCGAGGCGGTAGTGCTCGTGTCATTCCCTGTCGGTGGAATGAGGACAGCCTCGGAGATGGGCGCAGCCAGGATGATGTTGAGGAACGAGTCGGCACGGCGCATGAGCTTGGCACCTCCACCGCAAGTCTGGGACGAGTCGGCGGGGCAGGGAATGTTGCACGCGTTGCGGTCATCGGCCTCGTTCAGAACCAGGGAGCCGGCCAGGTCGTTACCGCAGAAACAGTCACCGGCGTTGTTGGCAGACAGCGTGAAGTTGTCGCCGGCACAGTAGCCCGAGCAGCTTGCGGCCGTAGCGCCGGCGTCGCTGTTGCCGATGAAGTTGGTCATGTTGCCCGTGAAGGGGGAGTTGCCCGGCGAGATCTGGAAGCAGCCGACGTACTGGATGACAAAGGCGAGCGTATTGAGCATGTCCGTAACGAAGTTATAGACTTGGAGCTGAACCAGTATGCCAGTTCCGTCTGGAACAGCGGTCAAGTTGAAGATGTTACCGTAAGGCTCAACGTCGAGGGAAGCCAGCGTCACGGTGGGCGTCAAGGTGTTGCTGGTTCCGGTGCCGCCGGATGCTGTGGTAGGGGAAGCAGACTCGGAGGTCGGGGCAGCAGTAATGCTGCTGCCTCCCATGCCACCGCTACCGTCATCGCCGCCGGCAGCCGATGAGCTAGCCGGCCCAACACTTCCATTGGGGAGAGAGTTTGTAGGGACGGTGCCATCGCTGTTGATGGAGCTAATTGGGAAGAGGGACGCTGACGCAGAGGGGGACTCTGAAGCAGAGGAGAGGGGGACGACCGAAGTGGGGAGTATACCACCTGAGCCACTTGTGTCACTGGGGGGGATCGTGGGGAGAGTGTTACCTGAACTGGCTGCCCCTGAAGAAACTGCTGCCCCTGAGGAAGCTGGTGCTGCCGAAGAAGCTAGTGCTGCCGATGAGCTAGCGGCAGCGCCGGACGAAGCAGCACCTGACGAAGCAGCGCCGGACGAAGCAGCGGCTGATGAAGGAGCAGCAGATGAAGGAGCAGCAGACGAAGCACCGGCTGATGAAGGAGCGGCAGATGAAGGAGCAGCAGATGAAGCACCAGCAGATGAAGCAGCAGCGGAGGAAGGAGCAGCGGAGGAAGGAGCCACGGAGGAACTGGCTGCCGCGGAGGAGCTGGCTGCGGCCGAAGAGCTGGCTGCGGCAGAGGAGCTGGCAGGCGCAGAAGAACTGGCAGGCGCAGAAGAGCTTGCTGCAGCAGAAGAGCTTGCTGCAGCAGAAGAGCTAGCGGCAGCAGAAGAACTGGGGGCAGCAGAAGAACTGGCGGGAGCAGAAGAACTGGCTGCAGCAGAAGAACTGGCAGGGGCAGAAGAACTGGCGGCAGCCGACGAGCTGGCAGAGGCGGAAGAGCTGGCCGCGGCCGATGAGCTCGCTGTAAAGTAGCATAGTTAGTTATGAGTGCCGTTATAAATCCCTACAAGAATGACAGATACGTACCGGTGTTCTTGCAAGCGTATACCGGCGTGGAGCTGTAGCTGGCCGTGAACGACGCCGCCCACGGCCCCCCGGCGGCCACGGCGGCCTTGGCGTAGACGAGCGGGCCGTTGTTACCACCGCAGTTTTCCCGCGTGGATCCAGCGCAAGGCTGGTTGCAGTCCTGCATGGCGTTGTTGGGGGTGACACCTGTAATCATGTTGCCGGCGGCGGCGCAGTAGCACTTTTGGCTGGCCGGGACGCCAACCACGGCTGCGTAGGTGTAGCCGTTGGTGTCACAGTAGTTCACGCAAGCCGTGACGCTGACGCTGCCGCTAGCCAGACCCGAATCGACGGGTGTGTTGAATACGCTGCCGATCACGGTGTTCTGGTAACAGGCGTAGATGGAGAACGCGTTGGCCGCGGGCGATGCCGTGGGTACGAAGCGGGCCGACGCGGACATGGTTGCGGCAACGTAAGACACCGACGAAGTCGCTCGGGCAGCGATGTACTGGGGCGTCGGGAAGCAGTCGAATCCACCTGGCGCAGAGGCGTCGGACACACCGGGAATGATGGGCGTGAAGCAACCCATCAGGGCCGGGTTCACGTAGATGGGGAAGGGCCCGTTGCTGGCACCGCAGCAGTCTTGGGCTGTGCAAGCCCTGGGTGCAGGTTAGCCCCTGATATGCTATACGTGAGGCTGGCAGGATGTACTTACGTTCCGCTGTTAGGGGCACTGCACTGGAGGGTGCAGGCATTTCCTTGGACATTGGTCGCCACCTGGGTTCCCTTGCCAAATTCTGTTCCACATCGGCAGTCGACGACCCTAGCACGGCGCGTGAGTATATTTTCAATACGTGATAGTGGTTCAGGGAAACGTACTGTCCACTGACTCCAGACGTTGACGGAATCATTTGAACAAAAGGCATCCCCAGGTCTGCGCAGAAGGAAAGACATTGTGGCCCACTGGCGACTTGGGCCCTGGTGACCCCCTCATTGGACGTTGGCAAGTTGGCTGTTGTGAAGCAACCAAGAACCTGGTAGCTTTGAGCGGTGGCAGCCGGGCTGTTCAAATTCCGCTCGTCGGCGAACGAGGGATCAACGAAGATACGGGCGCCCCGGTTGGTGCCACAGTATTCGCGTTGATCACCGCCGCATGGACCGTAGTCACCGCCAGCCGCGTTTTGTTGGCACAGGGTTTCGGTGCTCCCAGGGACCAGCATTACAGGGGCGACCGCCCCCGGGTAAGTGTAACTAAGACTGCTACCGCAGTTGCAGCCCTTGTCCCAAAGCGCGGCGTACTTGAAGCCATGGGCGCGGCAGACGTTCGAACAAAAATAGGGGGTGATCGTTTGGTTGACAAAGTCTCCGTTGTCCCATTGGATATAGCCTTTTGAGTTGTCGGCGCCGGAACTCGGGTCCCATCCGCTGGGGGAAAAGGCGAACGGCTGCGACATCGTTGGCGCGCATCCCAAGTACTGGTAATTGTACTGCGCAGGGCACTGGGCACCCAGATCTTGGAAGTCGAAACCCTGAGCGTTGGTCACGGACGTGAAAGCCAACAGGGAGGCCAGAGCCGCAGCCCCGGCTCGATACAGCAACCCCATGTTGACGGACAAGCCCCCTAGGAACCGCGCAGTGTTGCGTATTGGAGGCACTCAGATACTTGACGAAGGTATATCCAGCAATGCTTGTAATAGATGAAAGGAGCGAGTGATACCAAGGAGCGTGGTGGTGAAAGAACGAAGCACGGCGACTATAGTGTAGACAACTGCGAGATGTGCGATATTTGAAGACCTGTGCAAGTCCAAGGGATGTGCCGCCTGGCGCACCCTCCACATGTTCGAGATACATGTTTGGAGGTGGAATGCTCTTGGGAATTGCTCGGAAGGCGAGTCTAGTCTCGCATAATAGCGGCATTCCCTTGGGTGATTCACATCCATCACCACTCAATGCCACTCCGGCAAGCGGATGTATTGATCCATACGGGGAGGAGGATCCCTCCTTGCCCTTGGAATGAGGGCGAAGATCCGGCAATGCTATGAGCTCATTTGCCTAGTTTAGCTATAGTCCCAAGCCGGGCGTGCTTCACAGGTGGCAAATCGAGGTAAAGGAGCTGGTCAAGAGCCGAGTCCCAGCCTTCCACTATCAGCAAGTCAGCCTGAGGTGCTACAGTACTGTCATTCGGATCCTCGACGACGACCGCCTGCTATTATGTCTATCGCGTGGCATTCTGCTTCTTCAAGGTATGCTGTACAGGTTATTGACACTTGATGGTAATCAGCAAACAACCAGCCATCCGAGATTCCTGAGGGGAGCCGCCATCTCACCAAATTCTTAGCACCCTCGCCATGTCTCAGCGCCATCACTCGCCATCACTGGAGCTGGCCCGGTTCATCTGAATTGAATTGCACAGCGCATCCTTGCCACAGTAGCGCAGCTTTGGGTACACCCTTGCCGACAGAGCACCCCAGCACTCTAAATTATGTTCCAGAACCAATACCTGACTCCCTTGACCCGTCCGCTATTCTTACATGCACATCAGCTCTCAAACTCCACAATTCCCTGTATTGCAGAACTGGCCGGATTTGGCCTCCCTCCCTCATCGTTGGCATCAAGAATCGATTGGCTCGACCCTTCTTGCCCTTTTGCGGCTCCGGCGTCGGCATCAGCGCCGTCCAAGAGGTCTCTGTCCGAGGACCGCACACTTCTCCGTTCGGGGTCTCCACCTGCAGATCTCACTAGACCCTGCAGATCTTCCTCGTCGTCTTCCTCGTCATCTTTTTGGCCGGGGACCGCGTTCTTTTCTAGTTCACCTTGGGCTTCCTCCATACGTCGTCGGACCTCCGCTGCAACACGTGATGCATCCGTGACGATATTGTCTAAAACACCGCGGAGACTGCGGCCAGGGGCTGCCGCACCGGGTTGCGGGACTGGTATAGGTGCAGCGGCTGCGCGGCCAAAATTCAAATTCGAAAAAGTTGTTAAAGACGACGACGATTGGTAAGTCGCATTGGGCAAGCCATCCACGATGTGTAGTGAGGTAGGGAACGAAGATTCGAAGAACTGCTCGAGCAGCTCATCTGCAAGCACAACCATGCGGAAAGTAGGCAGTGTCATGTACAGCGGATTCGAAGGATCCAGAGCCACGTTTGCCTTCTCCGACTGTGCTTTAGACACTGTCCGTTCTGTGCCGCTTCCACCTGCAGGCTTGCCCAGCGCTGGAGGAATGGATCCATTATCAGGCGTATTCGTCGTGGAGCTTGGCTCCGGCGGGCCATCAAACGCTAGAAGATCGTCTTCGTCGTCGTCGTCATCGCCAATGGCGAATGCATCGTTGTCAGCCACTTGACTTGCAGTGGGGAAAGGTGAGGCGTCAGGACCAGAACTGGCATGCTGGGCTGTCCCAAAATGGTTGTTTGGATGGTCCGGGTCGGCATATTCAAAGCAGCGTCTTATGAAAGCACTAATACTGCCAAGGAATCGCTCATTCACAGTTCCACCGATTGGCGGGCTCATGGACCCGGGCTCCGAGTCTGCCATTCCATTGAGCATCGCACTCGAGTTGGAATTGCTCAGGGCTCCTTCGAGACCGCGCCTCGAAAGAAATAAGAGCGCTTCTGATATGCGAAGAATGCCTTCACGGTCGACCTTGCCATCACCGTCATCGTCGTAGAGTTCGAAGAAATAGGTGATTGTGCCCATGATATCACGCTTCCCCTTGATCTGGGCAAGCCCAGTGACGACGTTCTGCAACGTCAGCGTCGAACTAGAGTCCACATCCCATCTTCGAAATAATCTCTGCATGAATTCGTGTTCTGCTGGCTCTGGACCTCCTCCCCATGGGGTGAGCAAATTGCTCTCTGATCGCCTAAAGCTTCCAAAATAGGGGCTGCGGTCCTTTTCGGAAGACTGGTTGCGTCTGGGGGAGGCCGGTGCATCCGAGATGGCCCATTTCGCTATGCTGGCCAAGAACTCGCGGAATGCATCATAGTCCATCAGGCTGGTGCTTGGGCCCAGGCCAACTCGACCCTTTTCCACGCCGTGGTCGTGACGTTCAGCAAATGCCTCTGTAGCTCTTGTCTTGTTGTGTTTCGCTCGGCGTAGTTGCTCCTCTTGAATAATGTGATCTCGCTGCTGTCGTTCATACAAAATTGTGTAGAATCTATCATAAAGGGAACCAAGCTCTTCAGCACTCAAGAGCTTGCTGTCCGGTCCAAGGTTGCGTATGGCTGTTCGCTTGGCGAAGTTCTCAATGTTATTAAGAACAGCGTCCTTATTCTTCAGCCGCAAATCCTGGATGCTGCTATGGGTAATGCCAGAAAACTCCTTGAAAGCAACCACCATGAGTTCTTGAAATCGGTTGATGGCTCGTAGCTTTGGGTTTTCCGACTTTGGGTGTGCGGATTCATCGAGACGTGAAAAATATGATTTCAACACCGATATGAACGCGCCGTCATCAGTGGCGTCTAGTAAGTCCTCGCCGTTAATTCGCAAGATTGCCAGCCCAACCTGAAAGAGGACCTTGGGCCCCTCGACGAAGAAAACATCTAAAACCCTGAAAGCGAATACCAGGGGCATGGAGTTGATGTAGAGGGAGAGAAACCAGGGAAGAGAAACGACCGAAAGTTGTACATCGCTCTTGACGAGATGTTCCCATAATATCGGCATCGTCTTCTCCACGAGTGATTCGAACACCTTCTGGTCCAATAGCGTGCCATACATGGTGGACGAGTAGTAGCCGGGTACCAGTCTGTCGCATAGCGCCGATAGTAGGAAAAACGCTTGTGCCTCTGACATGTAGATCAACAGGGCAGCCACAACGATGTTCATGGCCTGGCAGTAGCCAACCTCAGGGTCGATCCAGCTATAGGCTGTGAGCACACGCCGCAGCCGGTGGATGCCTTCCTCGCTCTGAAAGCCGGGATATTCCGGTAGACTCCGGTTCAAGTCCTTTTCTATCTCATCGATCGCCAACGATTCTTTGCCAGAGAACTTTGCTAGTGTCTCCGCATACAGAGTCGGGTTTTCCAATCGCAGATAGAACGAGCCGGAGGTTAGTTCCCACATTTCGCCTCTAAGTCGATTTGGCAGTCCAACTCGGATCAGTTTGTGAAATGTTGGTTGGCGAATGAGTGTAGCGTTGCGACCATTGTCACGAAGGAACTCAGCCCATAGCCGCATCTTTGCCCGGTCCCTCAGTTTCTTGGGATCGCCAGGGTATCGGAAGATGAGGCCAAGCCCAGCATCAGGAGAAGGTGCGTTTTTCATCTCCTCGGGCCGCAAAAGGTATTCTGAGTAGCATTCCGCCACTACCCTTTTGCATTTCCCAACATTGCCGACTGCAGTCCGCAATCCTTTCTTTAGACCATCGCAAAACCTCTCGCAGGCCTGGCGGCTCCCAGCAAGCTGTATGGTGATCCTCTGTTCACGGAAGTCTTTCTTGTCCTTGAGTGCGTCCTTGTCCTTGGCCAGTTCTTGGGAGATGCCATTCCACGTGGTGATGGCAAGTGCAAACTGGGGGTTGGCTAAGTCAGCCTAATTTCAGCATGGATTCCCAAAGACTTTGTTACCTGGAAGTTTTGGCTGTTCAGCCGTTCGACCCGTCTGATAGCGCACAGGGGAAAGGTGAAGCCGTTCCCACTGGGACCACCACCGTGGGTCTGGCCGGTGAATGCAGAGGAAGTAGAGGTGCTAGCGGTGTGGACGAAACTGGTCGAGGTTGTGGAAAAGCAGATGTAGGACTCGGACAGGTGCAGCTTGCCAGCGTAGTGCCAGCCTCGGTCGCGTTCTTTGTCCCCCTGGGTGACGTTGGAGGGCGGGATGGTGAGCTCGGCGGGTATCTCGTACAAGGGCGTCTGGGAACTGGGGAGTCGGAATTGGTTCTGGAACAGGGAGGACTTGGATGGGTTCTTGTCGGAGTTGGTCAGGTTCAGCCCCTGCATGGGATCAATCAGCTGCTGAGCAGCCGACTGAGCCTTCTGCACGAAGCTGCTGAAGTTGTTGAACATGGTTCAAGGCTTTCCGAGTCGAGCCCGTTGAACGTTGAACTGGGGGATCAATTCATAGCTGGCAATTCGCTGCAGGTATGTAGCCGATGGCCGTCGCAGGCTGCTGAAAGAAGAATAGAACAGATCGAGAACGAGAACGAACAGATCGAGAACGAGAACGAGCAGATCGATGCAGGCAGCGCAGCTATACCTATTGGGATGTGGTGGTTCGTTGTTGTGCTTGTGGTCGTGGTGTTGCAAGGCAAGAAGATCGAAGCAACTGACTGGGAGTGATGGCAACGTGGGGTTGTTCGACTCGGGCCAGGTAGGAAGAGCAGCACGGGGGAATGCACGAGATGCACTGGGAGTTCAATGTTGCATATGGATTTGTGCAACGGTACGTACCGATGCATGGTGGCTTACATGCAACTAAACGCTGGTCTCAGTGTGGCTCCTCAACCCATTTTTCAGCCACAATGACGGATAGGTCACGGACTAGGATACAAGGTACCTTGGAGCCCAACTAGTACCCGTTTATACCTTTTTAGTACTTAACTAGGATAATAGCTACTTTGAAAATAGGATTCTTTTTTTTTTTTAATTAACCAACTTTTAAAATATAAACTGATAGTTATCTTTTATAACCTGAATTTCTATTTAAAATATTATTCCCATGAATAATAAATAATTACTTTCATAAATAAACAACTAATAACGATAATATAATAAGAAAACCAAGCTTTTATATATTTATAAAAAGTTAATTAATTATAATTAAAAAACTAGGTACGCTTAGTTTAACTTATTATTATCGTAATATTAAAGTTATTACGAAATTTAAACAGGTTATTATTAAGAGAATTTATAAAGAAATTCATTTAAATTTTAACCGTATAAGAGTATTGAAAATTATCGTTATATAAGCGAATTAATAGTAATTTTATATAATTTAAGAAATTTCGTACGATTTTACGTAAAATAATATAATATAGCTTTTGAACCTATTTTTGAACTATAATAACAAACAACTTATAAATCAAAATACAAGGTACTTTAAAGTCTAACTTATATTTGTTTATATTTAATTTATATCTAATTAGAATAATATCTACTTTTAAAAGAAAGATATTATTTATTCTTTTTTTAATCAAGCAACTTTTAAAATATAAACTAGTAGCCACCTTTTGTAACCCTAGTCCTTATTTTAAATACCGCTACTATAAGGTATATTAGCTTTAAGACAGGGTTATGTTTCCCTTTCTCTACATAGATGTGGCTAAAGCTTATTAAGCACGAGAAGCCTTCTGTCAGACTTGAGCCAATCGTCAGAGTGAGGTGTGTGTGTGTATTCTGTCTGTCTAGAGTGCCAGAGGAGGCTGGATTGGGACGGAACAACCAGGTTCCGTTGTCTACCTGTCCAGGTGCCTTCTAGGCATACCTTTAATCCAACACCTGGCAGCCTGGTCCCTCCTTTCTATCTTAACCCTTTCTCTTTCTTAACCCTTTCTTCAACACGTGTTTGAGAAATGCAGACTATCTAATCACGGGATTGCCCAGTGATACCAATCATCTGAGGCTGGTAATTTGTTCCATGGTTTCCTTACTGATAACATCCATACCACACAACGTCCTACTCCCTCTTGGAGTCACATGTGCTTTGCAGGAGACGTACATATGTGTGGCATGATCGTAGGGTCTTCCCGACAGGGCTGCATGGCCACACAGCCAAGGCAGGCAAGTCAGATGGGCCATGCACTTGACCTCACGGTGGCTACATATACTACCTTTGTGGGTGAGTCTTATGAAGTGGTGTGATTATGAAGTTTACCGGTACCAAGTAACGTATCGTCCAGTTCGCTAGACTCATCGGATGGATGTGTGAGTAGTTGCTTACCTATGATCACATGAGGTGCCTCTTCCCATCCCTTGAAGTACAACGCAGTCACTGATCATCCTTCCATCTCATTTACATCCATGTACTCGAGTTAAGAATTTTTCATGTTATGCTTACTGTGCTGTTACACCCATCTGTATGTACATTTGATGCCCGGCTATCGCCTACTAGGTACCTACCATCAACTTTCCCCCGCCCCAAGGTTCTGTAGATATTTCTGCAGCAACAACGTCATCAGCGCTGGGCAGTAGGAAGCGACCAAACACGAACCTAGCGTGGCGTCGCCTTCCTGCTAGGTATTCTAACAGCCTCATTGCTCACCGATCTTGGATCTTGGATCAAGATCTGACCCTCTTCTCCGACCATATTTGACGAGTGCGCTAACAAACAGATCATTATACAATTTTCATTCTTGTCTATTCTACCAACTGCCTCTACTTGTTACTTCATCCTGACTCCTGAGCATGTCCGTCCCCTGAAACCAGACGTTTGTGTCTTCATTGATACCGGGGCCCTGGTCGGTGGATCTCACAGGCGCCCTCAGCTACGGCCCACTGGCGAGCGCTATCGCAAGCAGGCGATCCGCGATCGATCCCTCCAGCAGCAGCAACAAACCTGCACCACCAGACAGATTGCGCATTGCCAGAGACCCCTCCAGTCTCCGAGGACAGCGTCGCAAGACCAATACAAACTACATATCGACTACTGGGCATCCTATAATGGCTGCGACAGTTGCTACGAAGCCGGGCCCGATACCAGGAGTAGGACAGGAGCGCAGCTTGCGGCCCGCCATGAATACCGACGCTGGCGGGGTCTCGCAAGGAGGTGCTGCCGGTGCGGGGCAGAGAGTACCACCACAGCAGCAGCGACTGAAGCTCAACGAGTTCGCCCTGGTGCGCACGCTGGGCACAGGTATGCAAGCCCCTTTCTGTCTCAGCGCTGGCACGCGCTGTGGTGTCTCGCGTTACTGGCCGGGTTGCTGATGGATCCGCGATGCGACAGGTACATTCGCCAGAGTCTGCCTGGTGCGTCCCGCGAAAGGCAGCGACGAGGAAAGGGAGAAGGTGTTTGCCCTCAAGATCCTACGAAAGGCCGAGGTCATCAAGCTGAAGCAGGTCGACCACGTACGAGACGAGCGACAGATCCTAAGCGACGTTGCTGGCTACCCCTTCATCACCGAGCTGATAACTACATTCTCCGACCACGACTCCCTATACATGCTTCTCGACTACGTCCCCGGCGGCGAGCTCTTCAGCTATTTAAGGAGGCATAGGAGGTTTCCGGAAGAATGGGCGCAGTTCTTTGCCGCAGAGATCGTATTGGTACTCGAGTTCCTGCATGAGAAACAGGGTGGTGTGGCATATCGTGACCTGAAGCCCGAGAACTTGCTTCTGGACAGCCAGGGGCATGTCAAACTGGTCGATTTCGGCTTTGCAAAAAGGCTGGGCAGCAGAGACGACAGGCCAGTCGAGACATACACGTTATGTGGCACACCTGAGTACCTGGCACCCGAGGTGATTCAAAATAAGGGGCACACGACGGCTGTTGACTGGTGGGCGCTGGGAATCTTGATATACGAGTTCCTGACTGGATACCCTCCATTCTGGCATCAGAATCCTATTGAAATTTACAAGCAGTCAGTGGACACAGCGCATTCTGGATTATATCTGTAGTGCTGACGTCTTCCAGGATCATCGAAAAGCCAGTCCTCTTCCCGGCAGAACCCGTCATCTCACCCAATGCCCAGAATGTCATTCGGTCTTTCTGCACGGTGGATCGTTCAAGACGGTTAGGGAATATTAGTGGCGGCTCCCGACCGGTCAAATCTCATCCCTTCTTCCAAGGTATCGACTGGGATGCTCTGTACAAGCGACAGGTCCGGCCTCCCATTCAACCGAACATTCGATTTCCTGGCGACGCGCAATGCTTTGACGTCTACCCCGAAGACGACGGCAAGAGGGAGCCCTATACAGAAGATCTGGCTCGCCAGTATGACAGCCTCTTCGAGACCTTTTGAGCGAGCCCAAACCTTAACGACAGTGAACGAACGACACACGTCTTTTCTGCCCCGGGTCTATGATGGTGGCGACAGGCGCTTTTCTCGAATATCATGACCGACCTGAACATAACTCCCGAAACATGGCCTAACGACAACGTATGTATTATTGTATGGGCTTCACGCTACCGCTACTTACGTTCTGAGCTTTGGGCGGCTCCTGGCTAGCTAGCGTTTTGATGAACTTTCTACTATATCGGGCAGCGGGAGATCCCCCCTGTTGATTTCTAATGTCCTCAGGCATGAAGCCTCGAGGTCTATAGCGAGAGAGTCCTTCCGAGTCAGCTCTCTGTTGTATTTATATGTCAATATTTGTTCATAAGAGACCTATGGTATAGCGTAACCGGCTCTTGTTCTGGCATAAGCATGATGGTGTCTACTGCGGCCTTGGGGACTGCTATGTGTATGATGTGGTCTACCTGATAGGTCTAGGCAACTACAGGTTGACCCCTGAAATAATGTACCGTGGGACTGGTTATTGACAGGGCATCAGCGTCGTATATGTTGATATGTTAAGGTACTCTGAACTTTATTCCAAGAAGAAATCTGAAGTATTTTCTCGGCCGGGGGGGGTTGTCAGCCCTTATATACTGGTACTTGGCAGGGCTCCCTGTCGAGACTGGCCCTACGGTACGTTATTTCAGTGGTCGACCTGTACTACCTTCACCACAATGAATGGGTTGGTCTCCTGCTTATCATCGTGTATGTGATGGTGCCTCCAGATGTGATGGGTGTGAGTGTGTGAATGCCTCCAGATGTGTGTCTCTCAATGTGATCGTGATGCCTGTGATTTCTGTGTGTGATACTGCTGTTCCCGTCTGGCATTCCGCCTCCGTAGGGTTTAATTCGTGATTCGTGGTTTGGGTGATCGCGTTGGTTTGACTGTTGACTGCTCTGAATCGTCTGTTGTTGGTCTCGTTTGATGTCTCCGTATCTGAACGTGGCTGCTGATGAAGTCTGTTGAGAAATGGGTGCTTGAGAAGCTGTTGTAACCGTGACGCTTCCGTTGGAGATCGAATGACTGCGGGGGGGTGTGTTGCCAGCATGCCAGATGGTGGCTTTGGATGGTGAAAAGGAGACGAGGGCATCCAGACGTCTCTGAATGACACATCTGGTTCGAAAGCAGTACTAAATGAGTGTGACGGTCAACCAATCCACCTCCGCACGCACCGCACCAGATGGATGGCATGAGGTGGAAAGGGATGATGGTCCATTCATGGTCTACTGTCTGCCGGAAGGTCTATGTATTTGTATGTACATCTTGGTGGCACGTGCCCGGAACTGGGACGCCTGGCGATGAGTAGCGGCCCAGCTTGGGAAGCTGCAAATTCTGGTGGTCACTCTACCGCCTCGAGTCGGCATGGCACTAGGTAGGCGGGAGAGTATGAGCGAGTCACCCGCACACTCCGTTGGGAACGCATTTGGTAAACAGCGTTCCAACACCTCGCCGCGAGTGGCGAGCCTGAAATCTGGAAGTCATCCCGAGCGTCTGGGTAGCCTATCCAACACAACCGCTCACGGCCGCATCGAGTATCGCCTACATGACATGGCACCGGGATACACCTGTGACGTTTAAAAGCCCGTAAACCCATTCCGGACTTCACTCCAGGTTCAACTCCAGCATACCCCTTGCGGTCGTCTTCAGGAATGTGAAGACCGCGTTATGGCCCTCGGATGCAACGGCCGTCGTCCTACACTCAGTAGTCATAATAGACGGGCATCTCAAAGCGGAACACCGTCAAGGATACGAAATTGCAACTGGATGTATCCTGTTCCAGACATATGTGCTCAACTCCATCTATGCATCCCCAAGGCCGTCAAAAAAAACCAAACAAAAAAAACTATTTTTCTTGGCGCCCCGCTGTTAGGGCGCAACCTTAATATTTGCACTAAAACAGGCACTTCTCTCAGTAACTGACTATCTCTGTCAAGGCACAAGAGAATTTTTCTCACAAGCCGGATGGCACCCTTCCACGACGGGCCCCCAAACACGCCTGTGGCCGTCCCAAAGACGACCACCGGCGGCGTGCTCAAATCCCCGGCCCCTAGAAAGACATACGGCCCGGCAACTCCGAGCAGGCTCCGCCAGGCGCTGCTTGACGACATCAGCAGCAGCCCTTCACAGGTCTCTGAGGCTGACTTTACCGTTATTTCTCCTCTGAAAGGAAAATCCTGAAATATTAATAACAACAGCACTACTGGAATGAAATGACCTTAATTGAACAAAATCTCGACAGACCAAGCCATTACACGCGATATAGGGAATAAAGCCTCCTCCTCAGAGTGCCAAGACCAAGTTGCCAGAATACTTGCTAAAGACAAGCACCTCTATAAAGCCAGGATAACAAGGTTTCAAGAGTGTGTTGCAGCGGTTGATAAGACACTTAAGAAAGCTGGAACCAAACTATACTCACATGCCAAGGAGTTCAGCGCCTTCTTCTCTAAATGTCTGAGTGAGTGGCTGGAAACCCGAGATCCGCCCAAAAGGAAGACCATCCCTGGGGGGATAGGGATGGTAAAGCCCACCATAACCTTTGCCCAAGCTGTCTCCTCTAGCCAACGATAGCATCTATAGATAGTCAACACTACCATAAAAAAACATAGCCTGGCGCCCTTATCACTGCCAATCAACTAAAGAAGAAACAGGATAATCTCTGGGTCTTTGTCCGCATAGATAATAGCTACCTAGAGCCTTACGGAATAAAGTCTACACTGAACAAAAGACTTAAGCTCCACCCTTAAGATCTTAAAGAAGTGACCCGGTGCCCCTCCAGATTTACCTTACACCCAAGGGATAAGCCAATTCAGGCTAAGTTCCTGGCCTTCCAAGAAGAAATCACCGATATTCTTAAGGCAGAAAAGATTGAGACCCATACGGTCTGGCATCACTATAAGGTCAATGGATGCCCAAGAAAGGTCATCAGTGCGGAAGGATTAATAATCGATATTACCGACATTGCTATTGCTAATGAAATTAAAGCCCAAACAAGTGACAGACCTTTAAGGTGCATACTCTCAAGGAACACAGTTGATTCTGACCCAGAGACCACATGGGTGATCTCTCTGCCCCGTGCAGCAAAGAAACTATTCACGCTTTTTGCTCACTCAATGACCTTAAGGCACATTCAATACTCCCCCAAGGTTCACCAGTGTGCGAGCTGCTTCAGATACCATGGTAGGAACTACCGATGTGAAAAACAAGTATGTGCACGTTGTGCCAGTATAGTACACCAGGGGGAGTGCGAAAAATCAATCCCAAAGTGTGTCAACTGCAAAGGACCTCATGCTACCAACTTCGATAAATGTCCTGCACGCCCCAAGGTTGTGAAAGGCATCATCCATAAGCACACATGGGAACAAATCCAGGAAATAAGGCTGGCTGGAGAAAGAGCCAGATCCAAGGCCTTCAATGAAGCAGGCAGAAACCAAGCTGGGTTAACACCCAGTAATAATAACAAAGACATCACAATGCAAATCGACACAACAGATACAACTCATCCCAGAGATGCCGATACCATTGTTGTCAGTCAATGTTAGGTACATCAAACGAAACACATCGACACGGGCATCTAGTCATCCATTCTATGAATACAGCAGGAGGACAAAAGGGTGCAGGCCCTACAGAGTTAGCCATCAACCTGGCTGACTACAAAGGAGAACAAGCAGACATCATTCTGATGCAAGAGCCCTGGGTTGGCATACCACCAGGCAGGAGAATGGGAGTAAAGACACACCCCAATTACGATATATACTCCCCAGTGGATTCCTGGGATAGCGACAGTACACGGCCCAGATCTCTCAGCTATGTGAGAAAACACCTTCAAGTGGATCAACTTCGGCCTTATGTTACACAAGACATCACCTGGGTCAAGGTACAAGGCATTACATTTGCCAGTGTCTACCGGCCATGTAACAACCCACAGGAAGTGGATGATATTCTGGAAGTATGGACTCCACCTTTTGGCTGTGTTATAACTGGAGATTTTAATGCTGGCGACATATCCTGGGACTCGAGCAATCCAGGATATCACGGTGGCGTCATACTGGCACAGACTATGGCAGACCACGGACTGGATCTGATTTCTGAACCAGATGTCCCAACATATGACGATAGAAATGTACTGGATCTGGTGTTCTCAGATGTCCCCATGGCTAAAGCCTCAGTCAATGATGCACTTCAGTGCACCTCAGATCATGAGATATTACGAATAGTCATTCCAATTCAGGGAGATCGGGACCGAGTTCCTAAGGCCAATCATTGGATAATACCGGACGATAAACTATAAGAGTTAGCAAACAATGTCCAAACCAGGATTCATGAACTCCCCTGGCTGGGTGTATCCCCTGGCCAGGTGGATACCTTTACACAAAGCTTGATCAATATGATTCAAGGCTATATCAGGACAGTGGGCAAGAAGCCCCATCAATCTAGGCCCACTGCTTGGTGGAATGATGACTGCAAAGCAGCTGTTCAGACATACAGGGCCCTTTTTAAACAGACCACAAGCCAAGAAGGGCGAAATTCAGCCCAACGGGAATTTCACTGTGTGGTCCAAAAAGCTAAGAGAGAGTACTGGCAGACTCTAATTGATTCAGCGACTGAACCAAAAGACCTGTACAGAATTGTTTCCTGGCACAAGCTGTCAGCAGGATTGCGTTCCCCCCAATCATCATAGGGGACCAAATCTTTGAGTCATAAGAGAGCAAGGCAAATGCACTACGCTTAGCCACGCTTGAACGAAGTACCCCAGACAACGATATCATTGACCCCTGGTCTGCTCAGATCACACAAGCCAAGCCACACATTCCCCTTGAATACCATGTCGGACTAGAAGAGGCTGAAGGGTGCACTATAGGGACCAAGAGCAACTCCCCAGGAGTAGACACCCTCACAGTACGGACTCTGAAAGCTTGCTGGCCAGTCATTGGGGAGCATATCAGAGCCCTTTTCCAGACCTGTCTACAGATTAGACACCACCCTAAACCATTCAAAGTAGCTGAGATAGTGATGATCCCAAAACCAGGAAAGAAAGACTGAGAAACATAAGAATGGCCTGGATACAGTTATTGCACTCGCTGCCGCAAGCCGTCTAGATGAAGCGCGCTGGGCCACAGGAATCAAATGCCGCCTCGCCAGTCTCGAGCGCCAGACCTGGTGGGTTCAGGAGGATGGCGAAAACATCTCACTGTCTGGCGAAAGACCTGATTCCGCGTGTCGCATTTCACAATTTACGATCGGCTCTGATCATCTCATCTTTATTAGCTTGGATTATGGGCTGACAGTTGCGGCGCATCGAAGCAAGCTAGTTTTCTAAGGATCAAAGTATCGCCAAATGACACACAAATATGGCTGACCGCGTTTCCTAGCCGAAATCGACAGGGCTCTACTGCTAACAGATGTCAATAGATGCCGCCTGCAAATAGATAAATTGGGCTCCTGGCCATTATCTATAGCAGAAGGTGTGCGGGGACTCTCTCAAGGCGTTGAATGGACTTCAGAGGCGATGTTTGGCGATTCAAACCCCCTGATGCAAGGGATGAAAGGGCGCCTTGTGTGAAGGCAGAGGCAGGTCATCTTGCCCGGAGGTGGTGAAATGGGCAACATTGCTGGTATATATACAGCCACAGTCCGGTCGGGTTTAGGGAGGCCTAGATACCGTGAAGCGACTTTTTCGTTGCCTTTAACAATCACTTTGTCCTTGAAGTTCGATGTCTCGGTGTTATTTTGTGCCTAAGCCTTTCTACGTTTTGTTATAGAAATGTACCTTGATTTCATATATGGTTTGTCATCTTATCTACTAGGCTTCTTTCATTAAAAACATATATTTCCGCTGCTTCGCTCCGTTTCAAATTTCTCTGCAATCCATGATCACTCTGCTGCTGTCCCTTTACCCAGACACTGCCTACTGGACACTGAGCCAGTCACCGCTTGATACGTGCGGCGCCCCCTGCCGCTTCTGCACTACTCCAGAGATTGCACACCGCCTAACCTATTCTGTAACCTTGTAGAGTAACGAACCTGAAGAGATGCCTTACTTCGTCTTGGAAAATGACTCGTGAATTCATTGTGGATGCCTTCCCATGATAGCCCCTTCACGTCTTTCAGTTGAACGAGTAGTCCTTCGAGATTTCCTTCGCGCAGCTTCGACCCTTTGTCTTGGATTATACTGCTTGGTCGTACTCCCTGGCTCCCACGAAAATTGCAATTGGAAGATGGTTACATCGCCCACCCCTACGCGCTTAAGTAGCGTGTCTTTCAGTGGCCATTCCTCGAATACTGCTGCAGATGATTGATGAATAGATCCTGTGTCAGATGAATCATCGGATGGAAGCGGATTCGGATCAATCTCTCTGTCTTCATTGTTGGTAGTAGCTGACTGTGATGAATAGTCCAGGTCATGACTATTATCTTCGGATGATTCATAACCCTTGTCGAAGGGCGGCGTCGCACCTTGTTCAGATACTCTAGAATTCGCACGGTCTAAGAGGGTGTTTTCTGAATAAGAACCAGGAGGCATACATGCGCAGCCTCGCTTTATATGGTGCTTCTCAGTAGAGACAGTCCCTGACGCTTTGTGTGGTAACTGAAAGGTGTCGGGCATTACATTTAGGAATGAAGAAACCATTGCGCTGCTTGGCAGGGGCGAATGAGACAGAGGGAATTATGCCGACTCGGATACTGTGTTGGCTACCGCACTCGTCTGGCCAGCGTGGCTTTCAGTGTTTTCAGAATGATCAGGGTAGTCTATCATAAAGCGTGGCTGATCTCGTTGCATTTCATACGGTTCTGTCAGTGAGGGAGTAGAGCAGCCCTGCGCCACAACTACCTCAGGAGTAAGTGACGCAGAACAATTTGTGTCATTTGCGGTCCCAGTAGCAGTCTTCTCCGAGGTAGGAGGTCCGTCGCTCGGCAGCGGGCGTGATCCAGAAGGCAAGCTTGAGTCTCGCTGGCCATGGCCCTCTTCAATCCCGTTCGAACTGGGATATCGGATACGACCGTCTGAGCCTAAGCATGTGGACTCGTGGAAACCCGGTTTTCTTACAGAACCAGATTTCTGTGAAACGATTGGCTTAGGGGGCGTGTAGAAATTGATATAACTAAGATTGACCAGCATTGTCGCTACACTGTCAAGAGTAATAAACAAGTTATTGAGTTGGCTTTAGAGCAGAGTCCTCTAGAACATAAGAACGTTGACTTTATAGCTGGCTCGAGACGTAGAGCTAAGCAGAACGGGTATTGATCGTCAGCCGAAACGAGAGGTAAGCAGTCACACCCAAATTAAGTGAATAATCTGCCAAAGCATGAATATCACGAGCACTGAATATCATCGTGCCGTCGATTACTACCGCCAAGAGATATCACCAGACCACACTGATCCTCCGCGATCATCACCAGCCAATAGTTTCTCCCGTGGTCATACGATTCTCGGAGTTGCCGCGACAGAGTATGAGAGTACTTGCCTCATTCAGCCAACTCGGAGGCCTCCAGTGATGATTGAGTGTCGAGGTTTGTCAGCTGATGTATTCCGTTTACCTGCATAAAATGGCTGGGTTACCGCAATAGTCCAATTGCATGGACGAGAAGGAAATTTTTGAGCCAAATAAGCGCCCAATGTGGAGGGCCGCAACGCCTCGCTCGGTCCTTGTTCAGGCTTCCACGGCGAATTCTGGAACCATATGCAAGAACTGACTGCCCCTTACCATGGAGGACCTGTTTTGTGCATGCTGCAGACTGCCGAAGGATGGGTGTACCCCCCCCAGGCGTAGTCCCCTGAGCACTCTGCACAGCGTCCAGTACCTGATGAAATTATCTGGCAGAGTTTGGGCCCCTACCCAGACATTCCGAGCTCTATGGCTTGGGCAGAGAGGTATTCAAATTCCAGCAAACGATGGATGATAATCGACAGCTAAGGTGGCGAAAGCCACTATATGGGTGTCGAGGTGGGTGTCGAGGTGGGCAGGTTCACAGATTCCCAAAGTAGCTAAAGTCATTCTCGGAGTCAGCTGTGAGTCAAATGTCTAGGCAATAGCAGGTGATGTGGAACTGAACGGCTGTGAAACCAAGATCCACAGGACCGAGGGCGGGAGTCAAAGGAGGGGATGTAGAGAGTACCCAGAAAGGAACATCGGGGGTGCCGTCCGTACTTATGAGATGCGGCGGACTGGACTATGCACGTGCACAAGCTCACATGGGGCAGATGAGACGTCATGCCGAATCGGGCGTGCCGCTAAACCCGGCGGAGCAGGCAGCGACTTCTCTATTACAAAAATAATTATTTGATTGAAGTTTTTACTTAATATTAACAAAAAAGTAATTTTAATACATACGGTTATTACGAATAATATTTAATTTGTCTATAATTTAACTTGCATTAATTAAATATAAAAAGTTTTTTTCTACTAAGCTAAGTAATAATAACCTAAAATATAATTTGAGTATTTATATTATTATTATGTGTCAGTCTTTAAGGTTATTATTATAAGTAAGAGTAATTTTAAAACCCCACGATTTATTACGGCTTTTTAACTTTTTAAAAAGACTAACAAGTTTTTATATTTACGAATCAAGCTAAAGATAAATAAGCATAATTATGGTAGTTACAAAAAACACAATAAAAGTATTAAACGTAACTATAAAAACTGAAAAATTATAATAATAATATAATAAATTTAGTTTTTAAGATTCTTTTTATAATTATAATAATAATTGAAACTAATAATAATAATAATACTATGTTTTTAAAACCCCGCTTTTTTGAACAGGCGATTCTATCGCGCTATATATAATAATAACCATATATTATCTTTATTTAGAATTAATATTATTAAAATTTAAAAAAGTCCATCTATTTTAATTTATAATAAACTTTTGACCGAATAATAACAACACTTTTTTAAAAAATAATCGCCTTTTTTATAAGCGATTTATTGCTTTATATATACAGCCTGTTTTTTATCGCATTCATACCTTTCGGCTAACTTAAGAGTATAATAAGGGTTTTTTCTTAAACCTTATTCACTTTTATCTTATTTAATAATAGAAACCTGTTTCTTAAAAACTAAACGTTATTTTTTCTTCAATTTTTTAAAAATTTAATAAAAATATATGTTATTTATAATCATAAAAGTACGCAATTTTATTATCCTGTCACTTATCGTGATTTTTATTTACATATATTTAAAGGGCTTTTCTTATTAAGGGTTTTTTTTTTTTAATTCGCATTATTTAATTTTTTTCCTATTAATTAAAACAAATGATTTTATAAGTGTTTCCGTTAAAAGGTAAATTTTATTTATTTATGTAATTTTATACGTAGTTATAAAAGTACATATTATTTATAGAACAATGCCGCCAAGGACAATGTCTGTCGCAAGTTGGGCTCCGTTCATCCTCCCTCTGGTGTCCGGAACGATTTCTCATTTGAGAGACGGCCTTTTTCGAACAGGCACAAACCCTCCATCTGTGGCTCAACTCGCAGTAGCGGCCCAGCTCGTGCTTTTTGAAGTCAAGATTGTGCCATTCGGTGAGCTGGGGCCAGTCCACAAGGTCGTCAGCCATGTCAGTATTGTTGGCCGCAACCGCAATATCGTTCAGGTCGGGAGTGATGGAGTGGCTGTGCACCAGCCAGTGGCTGAAGGCTTTGCTTGAGGTGAGCAAAGGTGCTTGATTGTAGGACGTTGTTGCGTCCATAAGTAGCGACATGGGTTGAGATTATAGCGACAGGTGTTGCGGGCGATTACAAAGCAGTATTGTCAGCCGGTTGTATGCATTTGCCATCATTAGTATCAGTTCGCTGCTCGCTCTGCAGTTTTCCGTCCTAACTGAGATGGTTCAAAGGCGGCAGCCGATGTGGTCGCAGCATCATTGTAGGACCGTGATCGTTCCCTTGGGTTGGTTGGGAATGGGCTCTACGTTGACGCCAAGATCAGTATACACACCTGGCTTCAACTCAAAAAACCCATCATCCACGGTGTAGGCACGGGCCTTTTGCTCTAAAAAGAGCTTCGTTGAGTCCAGCTCCTCCCGGGCCGCCTTGATTCGATCAACCTCTGCCGTCCAGTAGGCATTATCAGCATTGGTCTTTGCCGCCTCGAGCTTGGCTTGGCCATCGAGGAGCTTCTGATCGTTTGCCGAAAGCGCATTGCTTAGCTGAGCGTGGTAGCTTGAACACCTTGACTTCATCCCGCGGGAGTGCAAAGTTGCCTCCTTGTCGCCAGATTGTCCTCCTTGCTCGCCTGGCCTGGTCCCTGGATGTGTCCCCTGTGGGAATCAGCGGTGAATCAAGTGACAAGGTCCAGTTGGGGTATGATGTGAGAGTGACTCACCTTCATTGTGCTCGGTTGCCTCGTGACCCTCATGCACAAATCCATGGGGCTAGCTAAGCTTTGCAGCTGGGCAAACGATGAGGTGGAGAAACCGTGATTCACATGTTCCTCTACGGACAATGAGCCACCTAGGTGCACAGGTAGCCAACCATGGCACCAAGTGTGTGGGCCTGGTAGTTGATCTCGCACAGCGTGCGGGAGGAGGAGGTCGCCTGTGCGAAAGGGTGGCTGGCCACTGCATCATTCAAGGTCATTGACCGGAGGCGCCTTAACGTGGACAAACTGCGCACTGGACGCGCGGGCTCTACGAACCTGTCAGTCTGGGCTATTTTTACATGCCGATGGTGTATCGAACTCACAAAAATCTGGTGCAGACCCATCCCCGGGGGTGGCCCGATTGCCATGGGCGCGAATGCATTTCGTCGGCGGAATGCCTGGACTTGGTGGCAATAGCAACTGACCGCGGCCGTATGGCGTAATGGTCAAATGCGCCTGGTTGTGTTCTCGTTTGTGCGGTGGGCGACGAGAACAAGTGGGTTCGAATCCTGCTATGGCCCCCTTCTGACCCGGCTTGTGCGAGTCGACAACCAGCACACGACAGTGGAGAGGCCCCTTATCGCAGAGCCCGATAGCCAAGCAGCTTGTCTCCATAACACCCATTCCTGCGAGGTTTTTCTCCTTATGGTTTCCCTTGCCAGCAGATAACAAATACTTACTTCACCTACCAATGCGACATATATCGAACGGCTACTGGAACGATGTGTATACCAGAGGACTGAGGTTCACTGGGTCGCTTTGTCACTAGACAGGAGGTTTTTCTGACAGAATCGTGCTTGGGTATTGACTAAAACCATCTGGTCACTCCAGGTTGGTACCGCTACAGCGAGGATAGGCTCGTGCGCGGATCTGAATGTATCTAGACTGACACCTCTACAACCTTGCGATGCAATGGCTCTGGGAGGCGTGGTTTGCCCTATGGAGGGACTGCACCCACGATAAATACAATCAATCAATCAATCAAGCAACTGACCGCAATGAGTCTTCCTGGCTGCTCTGGTGGGTAGAGATCAAGGGTTCGTCTGTGTTGCTAGTGGAGGTAGGTTCATTCTCAAGTGCGCAGTGCAGGAAGAGAGAATATGCGACGGCATATTTGGTTTAGACGCGTCGCGTCGCGCGTTTGCTTTGAGGGTGATTAGCTGGGGGTACGGGAGAAAAGACAAGCCGAGGGAACTACGATTAGCGCGGCCTCACCTCTTCTGTCCTCCAGCGCAGTCGAACTGGCGAGCGCAGGTGTAGGTTGTTGGTTGATCTCATGGTCCTCGGTGATGAGAGGATGGGGTGCTTGTGGAAGTTGAGCAGGAGAAATGCGAGGAGGTGGTGGGATGGGGAAAAAGCAAATAGGGCTGAGTGGTGTGGCCATTTCTGCCTGGCAAAGGCCAGAATTGAGGACTGGGCGGTCAGAGCTGGTACCTGTCTGTTTGCTCCATCATATGGAATTACTAAAAGTTTAAAATGACGGGCTATGGTGCATAAGTCAAGTTGCAGTCTTAAGGGATCCATTGAGTCATCCACGGAGGCTGGTGAAGACTTCCAGGCACACCCCTCTTCAGCAAAGGAAGGGTCGATCGATCTATCATAAATATAATATGTATTCTGGAACCAGCATCGCAGATGACTTATTAGATACAAGCCGCTCATTCCATAGCGCCTAGTTCATGCGTATGAATGTACCAACAATGGTCATCCCCGGAGGTTTCCATCGTCGGTGAGGTGATACCTGCCATCCAGTGAGAACGGTGCTTATCATGATATTGGTATCGACTTCATTGCAGACAGTGGGATGGCCTGTCTGACCCTATCAGTCTTGAAATGGCGCGCGTCTCGAAGACAGCCAGTGCCACAGTCGTGGAAAGAAGATAGGGGTATCGCAGCAGTGCAACTTTGGGAATGCTGTGGCGCTGGTCAGAACGGCCATTGCGATTTGAGACACCGAGAATAACACAACCCAACACCTGCTGCAAGCCAGCCTGGCAAGGGAACAAGGGATAGAGACATTGATGCTGAGCATCAGGACAGTCTTAGAACCGTTCTTCGTCATGCTGTGTACGTAGGCTCTGGAGCAGGCTGATGCAATTGGTAGGCCTGACCCGGATGTCCCCAGCATACCGGTATCAGTGGGTCAGGATCTTTAGTGGTGAAAACAAGGTGGAACTACAGGATGCGATTTCTCCCAGCGACACCAGAGATGCTATTGAACCTATATGATCCCTAAAAGCAGCCCGGTGTATGTGTAGCGAAGAAGGAAGGCACGGAACCGTCGGGTGGTTTGAGATGTCGCGCGCCTTCCTAACCCACATTCCGGGACACCGAACTTGCGGCCTCTGACGGGGGTCGGGGATCGCCGAAGACACACCCCGACTGCGTGTTGGAGCAAAACATACCCCTGGATCTCAGAATGCATCTAGGAAATACCTAAAAATGAATTCCTGCTGACTCAAGTATGTCATTCGCACGAGCAGAAATAGGTGCTCGTAATAAAGTACCTCACGATAGAAGCGTGGGCGGGAAATGGAAATAAAAAATAAAAAATAAAGTAGTTGTCAACTAAAAGAAAGGGTCTGACCGGGATTTGAACCCGGGGCCTCTCGCATTGCTAGAGCAATTAAGCATCAGAGTGAACCCTAAGCGAGAATCATACCACTAGACCATCAGACCTATCAGGTAAATTGATGAACATTGCTTGTTGTAAAGCTCTCTATATTTTTTACTGGCTAAACTGTGTGGGTTGCATGATTAGGGCTGAGCCCAGTAACACGTCAACTCACTTGGAGGGCGGGAGGGGCATTGACAGATCCCTGGAGCAGAAAGGTTTCGTCCAAACCTCGCTAGTAACGTCAAAGGTCCATGCATGTAGGGCTCCGGGGTACCGGCAATCCTGACGCGCCTGGTATGACTCAGCCTACTAATCAGGTGTCTAAAAAGAGACGAGAGTCTCTAAAAGAGCCTGGTTCTCTCTGCTAGGTTTATATAAAGACTGCATCTAAGACGTGTGCTGGTTGTGAACGTGAAAGGGGGAGCTGTCAGTTTGATGAACCAGCTGAGTTTTGAGAGATTGTGGCTAGTGCGAGACACCAGCCACATGTCTTCTCCATGCGCTAGCCGTGCCAAAAATAGCTCCAACCACCGGGAGGTCTGGGTCCACATGAGCAAGCACAAACAGACAACCAGCTACATGTAGCATGAAAGGGCAGAATCTCATTCACAAGTGATCGTGGTTGGCCGACATTATTCTCACGTCAATGTACAATACCAGCTGGGCGGCCACGTGCTTCTTGGTGATGGAGAAGCACGCAACACAGGTACTGTGGTATTTCCATCTGACCTTTGAAACGGGACTAAAATTGGTTCACAGGTGACTATGACAGGCAAACATGTACAGGCTCATGGGTTTTCGGTACTCAAGTGACACTGCAAGATTAGGTGGTGGACAAGCAGACATCACGGCTCAGAACTGAGAGTGCTGTTTGGCTGGCTGTGCTGAGTCCTGACTCCTTGGATCTAGTGGGCTTGAGGCAGGGATGAAAAGGAGATCCTGGGGCTCATTGCCACCCCTTCATCAACTTCGTAATAAGGTGCGCAATTCTCTCTTCGAGTGAACCAAGACAGAACATATCATGTTACCGGTACCATATAGCGTCCTTACGTCACTTGCCGAGCTGTGAGACTGCTCCAAGACCAAAGTAGTGATTAAATTGTCCGGCCAGGATCTCTGCACCCCCCTACCGGTGAGTCTATCATTGGCAGCATACAATCTAGAGCAAATCGTCCCAGCTATAGGCCATGATCAATCAGCTCTAGCGATTTCGGACATCTAGCTAATTCGCAGTACCTAGCTCGTGGATTGCACGTGTCGGTTATGACGGCCCCCCCCCCGGCACCGCAGGCAAACCTCCAGCCTTAACATAAAGTATACCTACCAATCACAACTCGCTTACAGGCCGTATGGCGCAATGGTCAAATGCGCCTGGTTGTGTTCTCGTTGTGCGGTGGGCGACGAGAACAAGTGGGTTCGAATCCTGCTATGGCCCCCTTTCTGACCCGGCTTGTGCGAGTCGATAACCAGCACACGACAGTGGAGAGGCCCCATTTTATCGCAGAGCCCGATAGCCAAGCAGCTTGTCTCCACAATACCCACTCCTGCGAGGTTTTCCCCCTTGTGGTTTCCCTCGCCAGCAGATAACAAACACCTATTCCACCCACCAATGCGACATATATCGAACGGCTACTGGAACGTTATGTACACCAGAGAACTGAGGTTCACTGGGTCGCTTTGTCACTAGATAGGAGGTTTTTCTGACGGAATTGTGCTTGGGTATTGACTAAAACCATCTGAACACTCCAGATTGGTACCGCTACAGCGAGGATAGGCTCGTGCGCGGATCTGAATGTATCTAATTTGACACCTCTACAACCTTGCGATGCAATGGCTCTGGGAGGCGTGGTTTGCACTACTGAGGAGCTACCCCCCACGTTAAATACAAAACAAACAAACAAACAACTCGCTTACACGTATGGCGGTGGCGAAATCGTCCGAGTATATAGATTACTTCATTCTTAACAATCATAAATGAGTGTCATGTTTCTCGGCCCTGGTGGTCGACAACTCATTCACCGATCTACTGAGTCAACGAGAAATTGCTTCGGGCCAATTCCAGGGCAACACGTCGCTCGATCAGTCCTAGACCGACAAAAGAAATTCGGCTGGAGCTTCATTGAATGAATCCGTCTTCATAGTACAGCCATGATGAAGCATCACCTCGTACTGGCGGTGGGAGAATTCGGACGACGGTAGGAGCTTATGATTCATCACCACCCAGGGTGCTCCGGCGCAGGAAAAAGCTGGCAGCCAAGGTCTATAAATGGTAGACATTCCCAAACGTGGTTCTTCTCTAGCGACTTACCAACTTCCATCGATACGAGCACCAAACAGCAGATCCAAAGCATGTATCAACAGACTACCAGAACCCAGCATCACAATGACTGATGTTACAAACCAACGAGACATATAGGGGAAGAGGCCCGATGGCAGGCCCAACAAAAAGAGACAGGGACGTAAGAGAACTAGGAGGACACACGGACCACAGACCAAGAGCACGGATCACGTGATCTAGGTATCACGTGACGGATATGTCGGATCATACATATCCAACATATCCACCTCATCAGTGAGGGAAAAATTGGATATATAAGGTTGGACATTTCTTAGCTAGACAGATAGATAGTCTCTATCTCAGTGATCAATCTAAGCATCTTAGCCAACCCTAAGGTGAGAGAAATTTCCTGATGATTCGACTATTCAGTGATCCCCTGGATCAGACCAAGCCCCAGCATCTGAGTGTCTTCTAGTTGACAGAAGCCTCTATCGTCCTTTTTGTTGACTTATCTCAGAACATAAATTCTATAGAAACCCTTTTGCCTTATAGGTTAGACGGCTCGTCACAACTGACCACCAGAACCCAGCCATCACCATGACTGACCACCAGGGCCCAGTCATGACCAAAAGCACAAACTCTTTCATAGCTCAGTATCGACAGGTAAGCGAATGTCCAATGACTCTATAGATGGACATTTAGCGGTAGCTCACGTCAATGTATAGGCCAGGAAATTCGACCAGGAAGGAAAATGGGAGGAAGCTTGTCACGGTCCTGTCCCGCCTCGCTTTAGAGAAGGACCTATCTCTGCTGCTACGAATCAGTGTCGAGTACAGCCTAGGGATATCCACCAAATCTCGACAATTGAGCGTCGGCGGTCGCCTGATCTTCCTGATGACCTGCTGGCAGCTCGGCCAGAAGGCTCGCTATGATGCTTGGACCGACAAGGCAGAGCGCTTTGTCGAGCATATCGAAACTGGCATTCTCGACCGCGTTCTTGAGGACTATGGCGATCACCATGTTCTGGCCTTCGACAAACGCCCGGATCCGACCCCCAATTTTGTATTGTACAGGCGTCTGCTTCATTCACAATATCCTGGGAACCACCCCCGTAAGTGGCGATCTGTTACAGACGACGAGCAGATACTGAGATACTGATTGGGGGGCAGAGTATTTCAAACTCTTTGACGTAGAGCTCTCCAAACGCAGAGCACTCAAGGCTGTCGAGCGAATGACCGCCAGGATCCCCAACCTACAGGAGACAGTGATCAAGGAGGCAGCCAAGTCCCCGCACAAGGCGAGCCCAGTCCAAGAGGAGATCAAGGCCAAGCGTGGATCTCCGCGTCAAGACGACGAAGGCCCGGCCCGGAAGAAGGTGAAACGTCAGGTGGAACCTCCGATGTCGTCGGCCGTCGCCCACATGTATGTGTAAGCCGCTAGAGGATACCATGTTCGGCTCGATATGCCAGGAAGTGCTGGACCTACAGGTGCGGCATAAGCCAGGGGCTCAGAGTATTGTAATTTTCTTACCAGTTACACATATCAGCTATAAATCGAGAGTCGATATTTTACTTCCCTTGAAGATGGATTGCCGCTGGTTGAATCGAATTGAGCAATGTCCAAATACTCGTACGATATTACGCAGTTCTACAGCTCCGAGACTATATCACTACTTCAGATCGCCGCCACCCAGAATGCACCGCACCATGGCGTTTACGAGTCGATGTACCATCCGGAACCTCAAGCACCTCAGGGCTCTCCGGTCCTTTCCCTCCAGCTTCCTCCCCAACCGTCTCCGTATTCTTCCCAACTCTCTCAGTGTCACCATCTGCCGGGACGCCATTCTGCACCGGAGGCTGCAGCCACCCCTTTCTATCGACCTCCCGGACCTTCTCCATGAAGATATCGCCCATCAAGAAGTACCCGCGGTCCGTCGGGTGCATGTCATCGGGGCCAATATCCGTCAAATTCGGTCGATTCGGAAGCCCCTGATCAAAATGCATCTCCGCTAATGCGATCGGCTTGCCCTCCCTTATCAAATCAGTCGCTACCTGGCGGATCTGCGCATTGGCGCCTTTGACGCACTGCTCGGTGCCTGCCCAGGGACACGTCACGATCGTTGACATGACGATGGTCGCGCGCGGGGACTCAAGGAGCAGAAACTCGATCAGGTCGTGCATGTCGCGGTACACGTGTCCCGCGCCCCAGTTGTCCTCCTGGAAGCAGTCGCTCGATCCCGCGTTAACGAGGATGAGGTTCGGCTGCGTCGCCGGCACGATCTCCCGCGCCCGGTCTAGCGTTGGCTTGATGGGCTGGGCGCCGAAGGCTTGCACGTCATTGTCCTCGAAGTCGCCATAACGATTCTAGCGGAGGGCAGGTCAGCAGCAGGAACACCTACGAAAAAGAGCGAGATCTCGCCACATACCGCCCCGACCGCGTTCACCCGGTTGCCGCGGGAGACGATCCAGTCCCGGATCTGTTTCCGGTACCCGACCTCCCCGGTCGAACGGTCGCCGAGCGTCACCGAGGCCCCGATGAACATGATGCGGATCGGGATGCCGCCTGCGATAGGGCCCTCTGCCTTGAGGCCAACCTTGAGGCCAGCCTGCGTGATACGATCCCAGCGGTCGTGCACGACGTCAACGGTATCAGAGCGCATTAGTGCAACTGGGGTTTCGTAGTCGCATGTCAGCTCTCGCGCGGATTTGACAAGACAGGATGGCATTCGCTTACCGAAAGAGAAAAGTACCACTGCAGCTATCACCAAGGCCTTGTGTAAGCTGGGGAGCTGTCTCCAGGCCATCGGGATGGCGGCTGCGCGCTGCTGCAATCGCATCGTGTTCCGTCTTGTTCCGGCCCGGCCAGGCCTTGGATGCTCTTGGAGCAGTCGACCTTCGTCTGAACTCGTGCCCGATGCGATCGGTGCTTGTCGTACGTTTGTTTCTCCCCGTAGATATCGTCGCCAGTGTTCTTTGTTATTTTACATTGACGAACAGCTGTCACCTTCGATCCTTGCGATGGAAATTGCAGGTACGCTGAGCGGTCACGTGCGCAGGGAGGTGGCTGCGGTGGACGATAGGGCGAGGTGGCCAACATGACAAATTGGTAACAATAACATGACGCATAATGCAACCAATTGTGGCTGTTGCCACACTCCGTGACCACTAAACCTAAAACGGTCATGTTGGCCATCTCTCCCTATCGTCCACCCCAGGTGGCACAGGAATCCTCAGGGATGCTCTCCTACCCCCTTGTCGGCGTTGGTAACTTCCGGTTATCGGCACGAAATGTTCAGCATCCACGACCTACTAAACGTGTACGTTCACATCTGCCGGGCCACGGCCACACAGGTTGGGTATCGTCCAACGTCAGGGCAGCCTCAAACCAGCTTGGTGGAGGATTAGCTAGATACCGCGAGGCAGGAGAAGATGGCCGACCATGCCCCTATTCCCGAAGATGGGAACTACCGACCAAGGGTGAAGGCTCGGCCATTGGATGTCGCGTTGATCGCGGCGTGACTTGGGCCCAGACTACCCTGGCCTGATGTTCCGTTATGCTCATCCAACAACGGCCCTCCGATACAGTCAAAAGTCAGCTTCTAGATATGGCATCGCTCTCATCGCTGACTACAGAGAGTGGCCATTGGTGAAGATTTCTGCTTGTCGCGGAGTCGCGGCGGTGATGACGGCGGCCGTTGAAGCGTGGGCGGGTACAGGTGGCGGCGACGTACGAGGAGTCCACTGCAGCTCCAGGGTCTCCGTCTACTCATGAAGAATTATTTACATGCGATAGCGTGACCTCATCATCGCAAGCACCGAGCACCGGCGATCAAAGTTCGAGCATGAAGGTAGCTTGCGTGGAGGTGCCGGCAGTCTGCATACTGCGCCTGCGTTTGGACTAACAGACTGTGTGTCGTGCTTGCCCCTTGGGGCAGAGGCCCTTCTTCCCGCATTTTCTTTCACGAGGAGAAGTTAGCAGACAGACCTCTCCCAGTCCACACGCTCACACTACAGACCGAATATTCCTGTACAGTGAGCGATGACCTCCAAGCCCCCTGATGTTCAGATGGTTTCACTGACACACCCATCAGAGCACTAGCCATTGGTCATCGCTATGGCGTCCAACGTCCACATCCACCTCGACACCATCAGCGAGCAGATCGTCTCCGCCATCAAGACCTCCATCGAGAAGGCGAGCGAGAAGCTCCTCCAGAAGGCCAACAACATCCGGGACCTCGGCGCCATCAAGGACTCGATCTAGCAGATCAGCGGGCAGCTCATCACGGTCTCCGGCAAGCAGGGGAACACAGGTACCGAGCGCTTTAAAGGTCGTGTTGTCGGGACTGGTACCACGATCAAGGCAGCCGTCGTCCACCAAGCCGTCGTCCACCCAGATCAAGGGAGCAAGCAGCAGTACGTTATGATTCGGACCATGGACACGGCTTCTGTCGAGACGGCGCTCAACAAGCTGCTGTCCATGACTATGGTCATGCTGAACGGGCTCTGGCACACGGACCTGTTCATCATTGAGCAAGGCACGCAGCGAAACGTCATGGAGGGGTACGGGTGCTCGTATGAGGTTCCAAAGTAGAGGCATTGCCACGGTTGCGAGCGGAGTACGATATCGCAAAGAAGCAGGCATTTTGACTATTTCTGGAAGAATGCCGAGGAATCAGTGGCATCCTAGAACCTCATTCTTGCGCGTAAAGATAGCTTGTCGCGCTCGAAATAATGCTAGCAGTCTCGTACGCACCAAGTTCACACCTGGGAGATTCCATCTTGAAGGTGGTTCATCGTTATCATTCTGTTCATTCAGCAGTAGGTATAGAGAGCCTTGGTAGTTGCCACCACAGGATATCCCCTAATCATCTACCAAGCCCGGTTTCCTCCAACCCTAGACTTGAATCCTCTCGAAATATGATTGCCTCCTTCCAGAGTCCGATCTCAAGAAGAGGTACCACTGCGCTGCCCTCTCGGGAAATCCGCCACTCAAGACCAGTCCACGCAGTTTCGCCGTATGACAGTCCAAGCAAAGCAACGCCCTTACGGCAAAGCACCACCCTCCGTCTTCTCCAGCCGCTTGTCAGCGCCCACAGGCAGGGAGCCCTTCTTGGCCGCAAGTCGCTCGTCCTCAGCCGCCATCTTGTCCAGGCCCTTCTCTTGCATGTTCTTGTTGCGCAGCGTCGCGCCCGCCGCCGCTTGCACACTTCCCACACTGCCGCTGACGGCGCCGCTCACATCGCCCTTGAGCTTCTGCGCGATGGAGGCATCTGGAGCTGTGCTGGGGTCTGTGGAGGTCACGACAGCGCCGTCTTTCGTCATGGTTGTGGTACCCGGGCCGGAGGTCTCGAGGTGCTGGGTGCCGCTGAGGGTGGGGGGAGACATGATGTGTGGGGTTCAAGGTTGTTGCTCGATCTCGGGGTGGGATTTAGGGTTTTTGGTAGTCGGTCGTAGGCAAAGGCGGGTATCTTGGAATGCTTAGGCTGGCTTTGATGTTCGGTGTTGGTGTTGGTGTTGTTGTTGTTGTTATTGAGAGGGAACTGACGGGAATGGATGCTTTGACAGCTCAGCCAGCTGTCGGATAACAGCGCCTAGATACGTCATAGGTCAGTGCGACAAGGATCTGACGTCATCGTCTACCCATTGCAAAAATGCACGCTAAGGTACGTTACCTAAGCTGCTAAGCCACAGCAGTGGCTTTTCCTGTGCCTGCGCTTTTCCTTCATCGTGAGAATCTTCACTCTTCACTCTTCACTCGCAGACGGGCAGCATGGATGTTTCTATCAGGGGCCACGAGCATAAGCAGTGCAATACCTCGGTGGCCCCGTTCTGAGGAGAAAGAATCAAGACTTCGGAACATCCCGAGAGTCCAACCCTTTATGCCTGTGTCTCCTGACTCAGTCTCCTGAGTTCTACTTACACGCTGTCACAATATCTACTGCGCAAACAATGCTCCCTCCACCACCACCTCGTCACGGCTCAGGTATAGTCATGCATATGATGCCATTGGTGTTGTCGTTGATGATGCCTATCCCTTTTTCCTGAGGGTATAGAATCATGTTCGAACATCATTGAGTCAGAGACAGAATTTCCCGATTGGGAAGAGGTCACAACACAAGGTATTCTTGCAGCTTGTCAGGTGGTGCCTGCAAGTCCAGGAGGTCCAAACAGCAGGAGCCGTGATGATGACGAACCGGCCCGAGACTCCAGACGAAGTATGCTGTGGACAACCCCGGTACTCGATTGAACCAAGCTCCAAAGAAGTCATCAGAGAAAACGTACCTTTGACATTTTGACATTACATCTTATTAAAAACAGGTGCTTAATATCATCGCCATCGCAACATGCTTACCATCAGCTAGTGCCTCCCATCCACCACTCACGCAGAATGGAGTCTCAGTGGCGCCGCAGTCTTCGGCAACATCCCGACGTTGGCTCTCTGTTCGGCAAGGAGATTGCCTCAACTGACACTCTCCGAATGGGCATAGAGGACTCCGCTTTCGTGGCCTTGGACACCGAGCTCAGAAGGTCATTACCTTCCACTATCGCTATACCTCTCCAGGTTGGCGTTGCATATATGCCCTCGTTGGAATATCGGAACGAGCCATTTCACGATTCCCTGCAGAATTTCACCCAACGACAGCATATCCTCGCAAGCGCAACGACTGTCATGAACGACATGCAAAGGCAGCCCCTCCGCCAGACTGAGCGAAGGTCGATGCGATTTGGACACGATTTGTCAACTGAACTCGGAGAGTTGTAAGCTTCTCTCGATCAGCTGCTGCAGGGCTACAAGGAGCAAGCTGCAGCTAGAGGAAAAAATAACCTTCTCCTGCAATCATTCAGCTATTCGGCGAAATGGTCCTTTCTCGCCCAATTCCCTCGACTAACACGACACTTTTCAGCATGGCTAGACGTCAAGCGCATCATTCATGATGCTATTCCCCAAGGCAAAACGGCAGGCTTGCGCGGAACCTTAACAATCCTCGGTTATCCTCGAACAGACACCAACAGACACGGCCAACACAATGCTGGCGATGACGCTGTTATAACCCTAGCTGCGTTGGAGGCTGTCTTGGTCCCTGAGAACCAGGCAACCCTACGTTTCAAGCAGCTGTGCCGTCAGATAATCTTACCACAAGAACGACTCGACCTTCTCAAGTGGCCATTTGCAGCGAACATCCGGACTCTGGACCATGCCGCGCTCCCCGAGTCATTGAACAGTGCTGTCAAGCTGTCTGAACGCTTTTTCGCCGACTACGTCCAAGACGTCTAGGAATCTCTAGCTTTTCTAATTCAACCACGGGCCGGAGGACGCGTGGAAAGCGAATATGGCATACACATATAAGCGGTGCATGGATCGCATTCGGTACCCTTGGCGAACTGGAGTATTTCATACAGAAGAATCAGGCGTCTGTACTTGACGGGGAGGTGCTGGAAATCACCAGCTTATACGAGCCGACGCTGGCTACGGCGCAGCTCGCACGGAGAGAAGCCGTCCGACAGCAGAGGGAGGAGTCGAAACCGCCCCCCATCAGTTACAACGACCTTGGCTTGGACAGCTTATTTCCTGAGGAAAGTCGAGACAAATACCAACTGGCGTCCCTATCACTGCAATCTGTCGGGTGTGAGGTGGTAGCAAAGTATCTGTTAGATACCCGCCTGCTGTAGCCGATGCAACATACAGGTGTCCAGGATGGTGGGATCTCCAGCACTGCAGGGTGAGCTATGGTAATGCACCTCCGACAGCATCAGCATCAGCATCAGCATCAGCATCAGCGATTCATCTTTCCGAGCAGCGCCTTAGGTCTGTATTTTGCTTATTAAGCCGTTTAAAGCGCCAAGCTCCGATCTATAATTATCTGCAATGGTGATAGGTAGAACTTTATGCAATATGAACTTCATGTTGTGGTACCAACAGCCCGACGCACGCAACCCCGGCAGCTCCAACCCCCCGATTGTTACTTATGCCAACGAGTCTCTTACTTAACAGCGAAACGTAGATGGAACGCCGCCGGACAACATTGTTTCTATCACCATTGTCTCTTCGTCACCTGAACTCTTCCTCCTGTGCGTGTCAGAGATATCATGACTATGCCAAGTCCTAATGAATCGAGGAAGCTGCTCTGGGACTACATCTTCGTTGGCGGGGGTCTGTCTGCGTCGGTCGTAGCGACTCGTCTGCATAAATATGAGCCAAGGCTCAAAATCCTCATCGTAGAGGCCGGGCCAAACGTCAATAACCGATCTTACCTCAGCGGGCCGCGCTATGCCAACCTCCTTGGGGGCGATTTCGACTGGAAGGACCACAGTACGAAGCAGTCATGGCTTGAAGGCCGTACCGTCGATCTGCCGGGCGGCAAGGCCTTGGGTGGAAGCACAGTCATCAACGGTGGTACGCCACCACAATTGCTTCACCTTCAAGACAGACTTTGGGCACTGATCTGACCCCTTCATGATACTAGCTGGATGGGTTCGTGGCGATAAGTTCGACTACGACGCTTGGGGCTCGGCGACGGGCGACGCGCGCTGGAGCTACGATGGCCAGCTCCCCTTCATGCGGAAGTCGGAGAAGCTCTTCAGCGAGACGATGAACCCGGACAAACACGGTCTAGACGGGCCGATGTCCATCCAGTCAGTCACGTCGAAAAACAGGACGTTTCCTCTTCGCGACTACGCGCTGCAGGCCTGGGCAAAGGTCGGCATCGACGCACTGCCCGTTCTGGACGGCAACGCGGGCAACCCTCTCGGCGTCGCGGAGTTGCAAGAGAACAGGGAAAACGGTCAGCGTCAGGTCGCCGCGGCTGCGTACCCACTTGACGGCATTGAGGTGATGACCGACACTATGGTAGAGAAGGTATTGATCGAAAATGGAGCTGGCGAGGAAGGTGGCCTCACGGCTGTTGGTATCCTCCTGGCGAACGGCGACGAGATACGCGGTCGCGAAGTCATCGTGGCAGCCGGAGCAATCCGCTCGCCGCAGGTCCTCATGCTCTCAGGCATCGGGCCCGCTGCCGATCTGGCCAAGCATGACATCCCTATCTTGCTCGATAATCCCGAGGTAGGCAACAACTTGGCGGACCACGGGATAGCCTGGCACCCCTGGAAAGTAAAGGACCTGGCGGTGGGAAGGGCGCTCGGCTCTTCCAACCCCGTATTCAACGAACCACAATACGGCTGGGTTTTCCCGTTCGACTTTGTCGTTTCCACCGATGTTCCTAAGGAGGGGCTCGCCGCAGCCATTGCAGAGGACGAGGGCGCGATTCCGGATCCGGCTACCCATCCGCTTCTCGCGCACGCGCGCACGTTCGTCGAACATGTGTTGATGTATGCCGGCGCAGTCGACGGATCTCTTGTCACGTTCGGGATCATCACCATGCTCCCCACGGCTCGCGGGTCTATCAGGCTGGCTTCGGCTCATGGCCAGGACGCACCCTTGATCGACCCCAACTACTTGGGCACGGCCGTGGACCGCTACGTCGCTCGTGAGGCTGTCAAGCTGCAGATCAGGTATGCCGGTAGCTACGCAACTGTCATTGGACGCGAGATACTCGACGGAGAGGCTGGGGCTCCGGGGTTCGATGAGGTGTTATCGATTGATTCTACGGATGAGTACATTGATGCACGTATACGCGCTGGCCTGGGGTAATTCATTCCTCCCACTCATTGTCATTCCCCATTCCCATCAATGCTCACTTGGGGTTCTTGCTAATTATGGTATAATATAGAACAAGTTACCACCTCATGGGAAGCAATGCCATGGGGAAGGTGGTAGATACAGATCTCCGCGCCAAAGGCGCCATTAACTTGCGGGTGGTCGACGCCTCCGTCTTCCCTGTTGTGGTGACTGGTCACTTGCAGGTCGCTCTTTATGCTTTGGCTGAGCAGGCGGCTGAGATTGTATTTACTGGTAGAGGTCGCGCTACGTAGTGGGAGGACTGCTCGGTAATGACACGAGAGCTATGTGGCAATGGGTTCACTGCATCTGCTTTATATTCGGCGTCCTCACATCTATTTTGTAGCATGTGTTTTGCCCCACGCCTGTATACCGGTGATTGCACGTTGCAGGCAAGATAAAAATGCTGCGGGTCAATGTACTGGCCTTCTTAGGCATCCTTCTGATTGTGTGCGGCTGCTATGGCGAGCTCTCTAGGGGTGGAATCGCCTCCCTCCGAGCGAGCGCGGCGAGCACACGCCTCCTCTGTACTCTTACCACCGTCCTTCTTTACTCTTGTTGCTTTCGTTTTACTGCGGTAAAACGCCCACCGACCCCGTCGAATCTAACCGAAAATAGCGAACACTCAGATCGGAGGCGTACCTCTGCGAAGTGCAACCGCTGATGCCGCTGCGCCTGTTCAATAAACGTGGGGCTCGTCGCCATTGTCATTACTGCTAAGGTCGCTGCAATGCTATACCACCCGCTCACGGTCATCTGCTTACATCGCTTCAAGCGACATTGATATAACCAATAGAGCCCAGAGCTCCGTGGTCGGCGGCGATGTACTGCTCGGACATGTTGGCTGTGATCTTTCACCGCATCTTATCTCCGACTCCTTTAATTATCTTCGCGATCCAAGCCCCTTTCTTGTTGTTTGTTGCCTCTTCTGCTGCAAGAACAAGAATAGCCGAACGACAGCCAAGCCAAGAGATGAGTACTCGTGACTCCAGGGCATTGCGCTTAGCCAGTTTCTCAATTCTCTACATTTCAAGACTCAACTAGCAAACCGTTGGCGCCGTCGCTCTCCCCATCACAGTATTTCCATCGCCTCCTTAATCTCGCTCAAGTACCACGCGGCTCGTAGCCACAATCGCACAAGCAGCAATCGGCTGAAAAAGAATCGCCATAATTGATAACATCCCCTTTAAGAAGTGAAGCTCCTCATCGAGTCCCAACATATCGGCCTCGTCACCTATGCTTTGCATGGGCTACTCTATTAAGTAAGAGCGACTTGGGCTGATCTAGTAGTGAGCTACGAGCCTTATCCATTGTTGTGTTAGCATTTATGTTCTGCACAAAAAGCTTCAAAAGACTGGAGTCTACAAGGACTATATTCAGCCGACATAGCTCTTATACTAACTTGTAGGCATAAAGGGAGGGCTTACCCTTGCAAAGGACCCTCTTGTGACAAGCCGTCTAACCTATAAGGCTAAAGGGTTCTATATAGTTTATGTTCTGAGGTAAGTCAACACAAAGGCCGATAGAGGCTTCTGTCAACTAGAAGACACTCAGATGCTGGGGCTTGGTCTGATCCAGGGGAACACTATATAGTCGAGTCATCAGGAAATTTCTCTCATCTTAAGGTTGGCTAAGATGCTTAGATTGATCACTGAGATAGAGACTATCTATCTGTCTAGTTAGGAAATGTCTATCCTTATATATCCAATCTCTCTCTTACTGATGAGGTGTGCTTACTGTTGATCGCGTGATCAGAAGTGAGCAACCTTCCCTTGCTCACCATTGCTCGCGTGAGCAGACGTGAGCAACTCTAGTCACGTGATCCTGACTTCCTGGATCACGTGCCTGGATGTCCTGCGCTGTTCTGTATTGTGTCCCCGTTCTAATTGGGTTCCCTCATAGGTCATCCTTTTCCCTTCAGGCCTGCCAACAGGCCCGTGGTATTGTTGGTTCGTAACACCTCTAGCAGCTTCTTTATATTGGTCTTTAGTAGTAACATCATTGTTGTTATTACGCTTGACTTGGTGAACCCCTAGCAGCTATAGGAACATCAATCAGGACGCCATGGGGTTTGAGTTGTGTGTGTGGTGCATTAGATTGTCTGTATAAAGAGTATGGAGCTATCGTTCACACTCAGTAGGCCCAGGGGCGTGTCTGTTCGGTGCCGTCTCAAATTCACTCTATGCGTTCAAGGTCGTGAAAGGTTGCCAGGAACGAACTGGTTCTATAGGTCGCCATGCGAAACTTGCAAATAAGCTGTCTCGAGCCCATTGCCTTCCTTTTCCATCCGAGCAGGCACGGCATCGAATGTACCATCCCCCCCCACATCTCGTACAACCAAACCCCACCAACACCACCAAAACACCCCCTTATTCACCCACATGTAAAAGAACTCATTCAGGTCAGAGAAATTCAGCAAAATTATCATTCGAGAGTGCAGAAGCTGCTAATTCGTAATATCTAGTGGGCGCCCGAATGGATCGCCCCAAACGGGTCTGCCTAGGCTCCTGTATGGCCTCCAAAGCGGCCTCTTCAGCCGAGTCTTCGTCTTCTTCTTCTTCTTCCTCGTCATCATCAACCACAACGTCTGGTACATTCGCAGAGGCACCAGGGGTGATGTTACCACCCGTACTTAGTACCTCCGTGACTGTTCTGAACTTCTTATTAAGATTAGGGATCTTCTGGCGCTTCTTTGGCCGTAGCCGCTCCAGTTCAGCCTCCAGGGCCTTGATCTTTCTGTCCTTGATAACAAGGTCGGTCTTCTTAGTCTCGAACGCAGTGGCTATCTTCCTGTACTTCAGCCGGGTGCCAGGAGACTTATTTTTGCCGAAATTCATGATCTGGCGGCTCGTAGTAGGGGTCCGTTGGTCCTCTGGTTCAGAGCTTTCAGGGGTCTCAGGCTCAGGGTTCTTCTACTTCTCTTCCTGGATTTCTGGATGCGCTACCATCCCCCCATAGAAGTCGGCCACCCCTACTAGTCGGCCAGCCAAATTGTGGGGTCACCACCAAAACACCCCCTTATTCACCCACCCACGAATGAAGCTGTTCAGATCGGAGATTTATGGAAATATTATCATTCGAAAGCGCTGAAGCTGTTTACTCGTACAATCTTACGGGCGTCCGAATGGCTCGCCCCGAACGGGTGTGCCTAGGCTCCTGTACAGCCTCCAAAACCTCCTCTTCAGCCGAGTCTTCGTCTTCGTCCTCTGAATCCTCTGAATCCACAACTACAACTTCTGCTTCACCCGCAAGGGCACCAGGGGTGATAGTACCACCCGTACTTAGTATCTGTATGACTGTTCTGAATTTCCTGTTAGGATTAGGGACCTTCTTCCGCTTTTTAGGCCGTGCCTGTTCCAGTTCAGCCTCCAGAGCCTTGATCTTCCTATCCTTGATCATAAGCTTGGTCTCCTTAGCCTTGAACGCGTTCGATATCTTCCTATACTTCAGCCTGGTTCCTGGAGATCGTTTTTTTGCCGAAATCCATAATCTGCCGGCTCGTATTAGGCGTCCGCTGGTCCTCTGGTTCAGAGCTTTCAGGAGTATCAAGCTCAGGGGTCTTCCTCTTGTCTTCTTGTATCTCTGGGTGTTTTAAGCACTTTCTGCGGCTAATAGGATAACATCCAGTGACTTTGAAGCCAGAGAGGATGTTTTGCTTCGTGAAGGCGGTAGTTCTGGCTTTGCTATAGCACCGGATGAAGTTGATCTTGTTAACAGGCGAGGCATCCGTCAAGGAATTCAGCTCAGAGAGAAATTTCTGGTAGTATGCCTTCAGGGCATTATAGGGACCGTTATCCAGGGGTTGCATGCCGTGACTAGTATACGCAGGAAAGAAACAGAGCAATATGTTGTTGAGAAAGCATATAGTCATGAATTCATCCTATTAATACGCGTTAGACCATATTAAATCAGAAAAAATGAAAGAAAGTCCATTTAAAATAAGGAAAAATCGTATACATACGGAGGTGTGGCTCTTGTGGCCATCCAGTATTAAGAGGATAGCCTCAGACTGGTCTCCTCCTCGTTCTTCGTTTGCCTGTGGGAAGAAAATATCTTCTAGCCACTTGCAGGCTATAGTATTCGAAGTCCAGCCATTCTCTGAGCATATATAGAGCCAATCTGCGGTCTTTTTAAACTTGTTGATGAACCACTACACTTGGAGGTCCTTCCCCTTGAAGATAATACCTGGTTTAAGGATTTTTCCAGTTGCTGAGATGGTTTTGATAAAGGAGGTCCAGCTACGGCCCTGTGGGCTCTTAAGGAAGGCTTTCTTGGTAACAGAACTACCTAGAACTAGGGAATCGATGCCTGTGAATCTAATGAGATTTTTTCCGGAATTAAAGGGGTAGATATAGCTACCAAAACCCGCCATAATGCCGCCCTTATCGACGTTATAAGTGTTCTTTGGCTTCACCCAGCCATAATCTTCGAGAATTTCGAAGAACCAGTTTAACTGACTTAGGCGTGAACCCCTTGAAGCGTGCTGTTTCTATCCTTTTGCCGACTTTCGTCTTGATTTCGGGGTTGCGGCGCTTGAAGGCTGCGATGAAGGTGTCTCCTAGGGGGCCCTCATCTCCCTTCTTCTTCAACAGCTTCTTGACGATCTCACGAACCAGGAAGTGCGAAGGGGCTAGGCCGAGCTTTTCCTGTAGTAAAATCCATTTGACTATAGTCTTTTCCTGGGCAGGGGATAGTCTCTGTTGCTGTGTGTGGGCTTCGGTTCTGGTAGCCTTGCCGTTGAGTCGATCAGACAGCGTTTGGTGCAGAATACCGTGTTTTTGACCGGCTTTTCGCACAGATAGGCCCTTATCTGTGATATCTAAGATCGCCGAAGCCATCTGATCCTCCGTATACGAATAGGGAGGCATTTTGGGCGACTATACGATGCTGCGGTGCATATAGAACGAGGCTTTAGGAGAGCCGTGAAAATCTCTATTTAGGGTACTAAAGGCGGGGTAATAGCTCCTCGATCACATAAGCCGGGAGGGGTAAATTTTGTATTGAAGAAAACCTCAAGATCAGGGCTATCTAGAGCACTAAATACATTGTGAATAGCTTCAATATCAGGCTGAATCTGTATAAGTGAACATGTAGGAGTTTTGGTGGTGATGGTGGGGTTTGGCTGGCCGACTAGTGGGGGTGGCCGACTTCTATGGTGGGGATGGTACTTCGCGGGCCATCTACTCATACTTGTGCAAAGCCTTGCCGACCAAGCATTGTGCTCCTGGTGATTGTCAGGGCCTCTCAGAACCAGATAACATCAATTGGTCAGTGGACCACTCAAGGTTTATCAGAGGCAACCAGAACTCCCTTTCCTCGCCCTCGTCAAGGTGTTTCTCCTTTTCGATCCCATTCAAGGCTGAGGCATAGGGCCCTCTTCGCCTCGAGGTGAAGATAACCTGTGTGATTTCTTATGCGAGAAATTGTTCACATCTTTCCCGTCACCGATTCCTCAAGCACACGCCGACCAAGGCGAAGCCAGAAGGCCCGAGCCAACTAGGATCATAGGTCGCAAGCTCCTCGCCGACTGGGCACCTTCCCTGGTCCTATACATCATCCGCATCCGTACCGTTCGTATACCGACTGATACGCTATCGGTAGCTTCCTGTTGCAGACCGAGTTCTGCTCAGAGTTTCTATATGTAGTCCTGATCTTTTTTCTTTCCACTTGTTCGATTTTGCCTATCTTCCCTCTTCGTCCTTCTCCAATCCGCATTATTGTTACACGCATTCTCTCACTTCCTCCACCGTTACGTACTCGCATCTTCATGACCGGATCTCAACTTCCACGTCTTTCGTTGTCCGTGTCGCCAATGGACGAGCACAATTCCCACCACTCCCTCCACCGAGCACATGCTTGAGTTCTGACACTTGCTTGCCCAGGTACTATACAGCAAATTGGCCGTACCCTCAACGAGTGGCAGTCGATCAGCTTCAAACCGCCGGGTTCTGCTTGAACCTCACGAGTACGATGGGAGAATACAACCCGAGCGGCGAAGCGGTTCTGAGGAACACTGCCACAGCACGGCTACCCTACGAGATATCAATGCGACGCCGCCCATGCCCAAGACTGGTTTACCCCAAGTCCTTGGGGTCAGACCTACACTGCATACAACCCGAGCGGAGAAGTCTGAAGCGGGGGGTCTTAGTGGTGTTTATTAAGCCGTATAGTCCAAAGGCTTTGTCTTGAAGTTGGGAAAGGTTCACTATTAACCATTTCCAACTTTGATTTGTTGAAAACCAGAGCCTTTTAGGCTTATAATTTACGTCTGCAAAGTGCTAGTTGGTATGTGCAGGCACCGAGACAACTGCGGGCTCCTATACCAGTCCGCTAGTGCGGAATTTGATACCATTGTAGCTTTAATCCTAAGAGAGGACCCCCTAAGCCTCCCTTTCAAGCCTGCGGCGCTACAGTAAACGTCCCTCGCGTCACGTAATAATGGCTTGATTTACTAACAATTAAAGACCAATTAAAGCCTGCCAACATGCGACTAACCAATCAGAAAGGTGCGAATACCTTTAACGCCGAATAGGCTTCGAGCTGGACCTGCTTGGAGGGTATAAAGCCACCGCGAAAGCTAACCTAAACTTCGGTAAAAGTTCTAATAGATTGGTGATAAAACCTTTCCCAATAAAGTCCTGTTAAAGTGAAACGACTATTTATCGCCTCCTCGTCAATGTCATCGTGGCCAGACCGATCGAACCATGGGCTGTCCTCGGTTCTGCTTGGACTGCTACGACTTAGAGTCATCCAGGTCAACGCGGCAGCTATATCACCTGCCCGTCACGATGGCACCTACCTGCCAACGGGGCTACCAACCCGATTACCACCCGTGGCTCGGAGACCATGATCGCGATCTTCAAGTCAATGCGGACCATGACTACGAGTTCAAGACGGCTCACGAGGTCGTTCACCACTGTCGACGCAAACACGGTCTCGTTGGTCCCTCGGCCGCCAAGCTGCTCGAGTATGGATCCACCGGCTAAGGTCAAGTATGCCCAACGTCTGATACGTCTGGTTTCGTTGAGTTAGCTGACAACCTGGTGACCAGGATTCACGTTGTGTGCTCAACGAGAATGCCATCGGCACACTTTGACTAGGGTTCTCGGTCTGCGGAAGATGGCCATGACGTCTGTCTCTCGAAGGGGCGCAAACCTCTACTGACACTTTGAGGGCATTTTGACTTTTTCACCCTTTTTCAGACTTGGTCTTGCTTGGACTCTTACGCGTCATAAAGACGTCCGGTCCGGCACGACCTTCAACTGCACTTGAGACTCAATATTCGCGGGACCAACATTTTATTCAGGAGAACAATAACCGACTATAGACTCTTTCCGCCTTGCGTTACCTCCGACCTCGTCGCCTTGCCTCGGCCCTGTCCGACTGACGCCTTCCGAGTCAGCTCCATGTCCTTGCGCTTTAGCTGCGACAAGACCTTCTCGAACCATCACGACCATCACCGTTCCTATGACCATGCCACAACCGTCTCCACAACCATCATGTCTGATGGGCGCTTTTGGCACGTCTAGTGGTGTAGGCCGTAACTGATTCTTCCACGCCTCAGTACTTGGTTGGCCAGCCCCGGCGCACGATAGCTACATCCTCTGATGATGCCACTTTCCCGTCTGGCCTTGGCCTCCCAGCGCCAGCCGCCACGCCACTCATGTCCTGCTTGGACGGACGTGTCAGGTAAGTTACCGAGGGCCCTGCTTCAGCGGACCGACGTGGAGACACAGCTGACGTAGAGTCCTTTTCTGTTGGGTTTCTGCGTTTTTGAAGGTCGAATACGAGCGAGTGGATGAAGCCACGAATCGCCCCAGACCATAGAAGGGGAAAGATGGTAGGCAGAACCTGCTTGGACCTGGACTACTCGAGCTGCCCGCTGTCGTCATCATCAGCCAAATACGCCATCTTCGAATATCCGATACCGATCTCACGCCATGCGACAGCACACAAGCGAAGAAAGCAGCCCGCAGCACGCGATCCGCCCCTGACGATGCCCGAGAGGGCTGGCCACAATTCCAACCATCGCGGGTGTGGTGCAACATCCTGCCGAGGCAACAGCAGGAACCGGCCCTTCGGTCATGCCGCCTTCGCCCTTGAAGAAAGCCAAGACTGCGGTCTTACTTGGACTACCCCTCGAAGCAAGCTGCGTCATGCGACTCCTGCTCTTCGCGAACTCTCTGCTTGGGCGGAAACGAGCAGCAAGTCGCCTCAGCTCTGCCCTGCTTGGGCTGTATTGTATATCACTCATGTCGCTACTCCCGTAAGAACACGAACTGACAGTATATCTTCAGGTTGACTCGGTGGTCATCGCGCAGAAAGCAGGCTATAAGATCGCCAAGTCAGCTAGCACTACCAACTGGCACCGTGAAGAAATAGCATACCTTCGCCGGCATCCAGAGGCTCAGACCGATGCGACACACGCCGAGCTGCATGCGCACGAAGCCTTGCCTATAAATCTAAAGGCTGCTCGAGACACCGTATTGCCTCCTTCATCCTCCACTATACATCCAAGTCAACGAAACATCGCCGAACATCACACCATGTTCCACACCATGGCCCATGAACAGGACAAGCTGAAGAAAGAAGCGCACCTTCGCTCGCGCCAATTGAAGAAGAGACGCAACTTGATCCCGACGAGGAGAAGGCAGGCCATCACCGCGGCATGGTCCTGCTTGGGCTTTTGTTGTATTCCACCCAAATATCTTACTCCCATGAACACGGGCTGACAATATAGTTCCAGATCTGCTTCGTCAGCGACTGTACCGAACCCCGTCTTCGAGAATGCCAAGTCGGTCAGCACCATCTGGAGCCAGTTGAAGAAGAAGCACAATTTCGGTGGCCCGAAGAATTACGAACGACACCGTCCCGAAGTCCCTGCTTGGGCGAAAGACGAAGAGTCCCGCGTGGTCCTGTTTGGGCGATGAGGAAGAGCCCCCCTATCCCGATCACGAGACGGAACAGCGCACCCGGACTGGACCGAATCATCGACGGAGTCAATCGCCCCAGAGCCGTGGGAAGAGACACAAGATGGCCGTGCTCTGCAGGAGATCGTGCCGAATGTTGTCGCACCCCACGAAGATTTACAATTTATTTTATTATTAAGCTCCTCGACCGCAAGGGAAGAGCCAAACCTAAGTACCCTAAAATACAACAAAAATTAGAGTCCCCGTGCTGTATGCTGAGTCTCACAGAATAAAACGCCGCAAATCATCTCAACGACGAGTGGCCATGTCTGCCTCGGTACGTGGATCAACGCGTAGCTTGTGGTAAACCAGAGCGGAAAAGACTCGAGTATGAGATCGAAACTAGAATCGGAAACTTGCTCCGGCGTATACGTGTGGAAGTAAGTCATAAAACCATAGTCTGATCTAAATAGATCTTGTACTGGTATAAAGCAGACTTGCACGACAATCTTGCTACTGTGGAGTTCAGGGGGTCTAGTAAGCCCTGATCGTGCGAGCTGAAAACGTTTTGCGCCTCCCGTACCGTATGGGGAATCACAACCTCATATCACCAACCTTCCTGTCGCCGGTTCCTTGAGCACACGACCAAGCTCAAAGGGCTCGCGCCGATGACCTTCGACCACATGACGAAGTGTTGAATGGGGCGCAAGCCACCGTGGCGTTCAGGGAGGTGGCAGTGCACCGAACAAGGCCGACAAGGAATTTTGGGCCACCTAGCCCACAACAGATCCTTCTAGTTACACACACATACACGGAATCACTAGAATACACGGTTTCAACCATATGAACCAACTTACGCACTGTTCGACACCAAGCCAGAAGGCTGCTGCCAGCACGATCACAGATCACAGTCTTGCCAGCGGTTTGGGCACCCCCTTTCTCACTTCATACTCTACATCAGCCGCCTTCGCATCGCGAACCCCGATGTCCAAGAGGACATCCTCACAGCACACCAGAAGATGTCACGGCACTAGAAGACAGCCCCACTGTGTCAGGGATCAACCCCTATATACACCAGATCATGTCTCCTAGCTAGCTTCATAGTTTCATTTCCTCTTCACGTACAATGAAGAAGTCATTTCTGGAGTCGCCAGCAATCGCATTGTGGACGAAGACCATCAGGCCAGCCGCTGGCGGCAGGGCTGCCAGCACGGTCACTCTCCACGAGATGGGCTACACACTATCCAAATTTGTTCTCGAGTATGTGATTCAAGGTGGGGCCGACGAGATTTGGTTCAGAAATCAGCAGGCCGCATTATGGTGTTTGTCGACGAAGCGGAGGAGGACGTGATAGAGATAGAGTATTGTGGTGGCAAGTAGGGCACAGTTGTACTCAGCCAGGTGCAGGCTACACCCAGCCCTCGTAAATCTCCGCGCGCACCATGTTGGGAGGATTCTCAATAGATCACCCATACAAATTAGAAATACTGGAACAAGCAGACAGGAATAAGCAGCCTTGGTTTGATACACCACTTCCAATGCTTATTCCATGGTGCTGATTCCGAATTGATGAATACACCGTTCAAACGTTTGCTGGACGGGTGGTGCACGGAGATTTATGGGGGTTCAGTGTAGTAGAGATAAATTGAATTGATTATGACGGCCGTATGGGAAACTACGACTACGTAAACACATTTCTCCTGTACGCAAGCAATTGAGGGTTTGCCATAGCTTTCAGGCCAGGGAGGATGGCCTCAGCTGTACCGTCATGGGGCGCGATAGGAGCTTGAAAGCCCTAGCTCTGAGCAAGAATATCGATTGGAGACCTTTCGTGTCTTCATCTCAGTGCCAATTGTGGTCGGGGTACGGGGTTCTTTCATTACGGGGTCTATCACTGGGCCAGCTCGTTGTTACCGATTCCAGCTGCGTGCTCAAGGGAAACTGCACCTCAACAAGACTGAAAAGAAAGATCAACACAAAGCCCCGAATCAACTGGAAGGAGTGATCAAGTAGAATTCAAAGACTGAGACCGGAGCATGTAAAGTCCACTGTGTAGGTATGCTACGCTGCCCCTTCAACCCACCGGCTTCCCTATGGAGAGCCCCTTTGCCACCGGTCACCGCACTCGATGGGACCTGGAAATCCAGAAGATACCTGAAAGTTAAGCCCTAGTTGGGGCACTTTGGGGACCTTCCAGATGAGCCCTTGGGTAAAAGTACCTACTGGATTCCTGAGGCGAATAAGGTGTAATAGGCCACAGACAGGTTGCCACGTGCTGAGATCCCGCGCCTCAGGGAAGCCGAGCATGATCATAAAGAAAGATAACATGGTTAATTTATTTAATTTGATATATCTGTGGTTGGCAATTGCCCTCGCTTAAACATGAGCCTTAGCTGCATAAGTTGTCGCCTGATGTTAACGGCCAACCTCGTCCTTTTCACAGCCTGCCAGTGGGCACCCATAAAATTTCCAAGGCACACAGCACCCACCAGCTGTTTCTTTCTTTCTCCATCCACCCATTCCCATCCCTCGTCCCATCTCATCCTTCCCCCAACATCGCCATCTCTTCAACCTGAAGTCATCTTCAGACTTCATGGTTCCCAACCCAGCAGATTGAGAGATGGTATCAATATTCCTATCATTTTAGGCTCTGCCTCTTTTTGAGCACTTATGTTCAAATAACGCCGGCTGCTGCTTCGTCGAATTTGGCAACGCCGACGCAGCTCAAAAGGCTTTGCAGCTCAACGGAACTCCTGTCCCCAACACTGATCGCGTCTTCCGATTGAACTGAGCGTCAGGCTGGATACGCGACGCAACTCCCCAACCAAGGTTATATCGGCGGATACCACGGCGTTCTTAACGTCAGTATGTGCGACAACTATCTGCCCAACTCAAACAAGGGCCAGGTTCGAGCTCACTGAGGACGACCAGGGATGCGCGGTGATCACCAGAGTCCCCAAGAGCAAATAGACCAGTCTCCAAACTCGACCAAGGCTAGACCAACGCGACAATGCAAACGTGCAAGACGCGTCAAGAAGACAGTCAACCCGGAAACGGAAACGTGATCAGGAATCAGCAAGCTCACAGTACATTCTTGTTGTCCTCCCCAGCCAGGCAGCAGTCCTTGCCAGCCAGGCGGCAGCAGACCAGGGTATGTACAACACTGCCTCATTGCCCTCACTCGATAACTAACTACCCAAGACACCGCGGCTCCCACGGAAGTCCACCAGGTCACAGGTGGTACATCTTCCGACCAAGGCAGGCACGGCAGGCATGGCGAACATAGACCGGGCGATGATGCCAGCAAATGCACTGTCGTGCCTCGCCTCTGCCCGCGATGATGCGAGCAAATGCACTGTCGCGTCTCGCCTGCGCTTGCAATGGCGAGTACAAACACAGCAATGATGCAAGCAAATGCATCTTTCGCCTTCGTTCACTCTCGTTACGCGTGAGAGTTTTCACACCCAGACACTCGCCAAACTTGGGAGAGACCGCTCGGCCTTTGACCAAGGTAAGACTTCTTTCTCCTTGTTCGTGATGTGTTGCTTGTTGCCACTGTCACACTCTTCCCTTCCCACGTCCATACCCTTGTCGATATAGGCCACGAGGTCGATAATGCTGTCGGCTATTATGTCGACACCCCTATTGATGTCGGTGATCTTGTCGATGCCCGTGTTGTTGTCGTCACATACATACCATCTGCCTTCTGCTCTGCAACCCCCTTAATCATCGTGTCAACCATGTTTCCCAGGCTAACTCTTCCGCTTGGACAGGTTGAACGAGGAGACCAGCCACCCCTCGAAGCAGACCAGCAAGATCGCTTCTCCAGCAACCGGTTGCGAGACGTGAGTGCCGCTGGCACTGCCACAAACTTCGACCCGGCTCACGCCCTAGGGCTCGTCATCTGCCCTTGTTGCCAAGGCAGCGTGTCAGGACAACGGCGAATCACGAGAGACTTGGTGGACCGTATACTCATATGCCAAGCGTTTCCGGCCAAGCATTGTGCTCCTGGAGAATGCCAAAGGCCTCTGTTGGCAACTCGTGAGCCCTGAAAAGGGGTTGGCAACCCGTGATGCCCGGAAAAGAAGTTGACAAGGTCAGTACGCAGGTTCCACAGCAGACAATATCCACACTAACCCGCCAACAGACCTCCGCAAGCACCTGAGCGAGGCTCCGGACACCCCCGCGGTCCTCCTGGTCCACGAGGGATTCCAGACAGACGACAGCCAAAGGCCACTGGCAGATCAGAGGAGAGTCGGTGACCGATGGGCAACCCGTGACGCCCGGGATCGAAGTGGCAACCCGTGATGACCGGGATTGCAAAGGTGAGCGGCGGAGTTTCCACCCACTCATTCGTAGGACGATGCTGACTTCAACCAAATACAGGGCTATTCGATTAGAGATTCCCGCGTTCGCTTGTCATGGGGAAAATCGCAAAACAACTCTGGCGTAAGGTACTCCCTACCGTCCTGCTCCTCCGCCTCCCCACTATTTCCCTAGGAAATGGACCACTAGTACGGCCGCAGGGCCCGTGAAGCAAGAAAGGAGGCGCATACTCCCACCTATCATCATACAACCGATGATGGGCAACCCGTGACGCCCGGGATTGTCAAGGTGGGCGGCGGAGGAAGACGGGGGGACATGTCATCTAGTCCACCCTCGGTCTCATCCAGCAACCACGGCGCCCAAATCCAGCAAGTGGGACGATACGATGAACGCTCCTCTCTACCAGTCCATCTACGACGTCCTGGACCCCAAGTTCACTTAGGAAGAACAAGGCACTATCGTGGCGAGCATGGCCGCCCAGGCTACTGGGTGAACTGGAATGGCATCCGGTTGGTGGTAAACTTGTTGTATTCATGTGCAAAGCCCTGGTGGTGTTGTTGTTCTTACTTGTCCATGCACCCACTCATCGGTATGCCGATTGTGGACTTCAACCTAGGAAATAGGTACCACTAGTGGGGCCGCAGCGCCCGTGAAGCAAGAGGGAGGCTCATACTCCCACCTACCATAAAAAAATTGACAGTGGACTCTACTCCTCCCGCCCAGCCCGTGACAAGACCAAGCTTGTGCTGAACCTCCGTGAGGTGTTGGGGTGGATGGCGGAGTGAGACTGGGAAACCTGGCCTTGGCTGTTTGCCAACAAGGACGCCGGGCCTTGTCTCATGGAACCTGTCTGGGTGTGGGCATCGGAGGCCACTCCACCCACGGTGGTTACGGATTTTCGAGCCGGTGGTGGGGCTTGGCGATGGACTGAACTTGGTGGGAAGTCTGTTCCCTGTGAACACCTTGTTCACAAGGAGATCAGCCCCATCAGGCACCGACCTCCATCCTTCTCCGCACTCTTCGTCGTTGTCCTCTTCGACGGCAGATGACTGGTTGTCGACCGGCCCTTCCGACTCGAGCTCCTCATCGCTGATACTATCAGGATCGGATGCATCCGGGTTTATATCCATCAGCAGAGTCGTCGCCGACCTCGGGCTCTAATTCCTGGTCGAATGCATCCGCAATTACCTCCGAGTATGATACCCTTGCAGTTTTGACACACACAATAACGACTCGCTCTCGCTTAACTGTATAAAGCACCTCCTCGCTGAAATGCGCTGCGGCAGGAGCGAGCCACAGAATCTCGTCACAAGGCTTAGTTGGACTCCGCTCATTACAGAATTGTCGACAAACCGACCGTCCTTGATATCGATACACGCATAGGCACGTGAGAGCTTCTAAGGTATTGTCCGTCTTGGTTAACAATGAATAATGTCGGATGCCTTGCTTGCTCTGGCGATGCAACTCCCCCTTGGGTCTCGGTACCAGTGCCAATGACAGCAGTCGTGGGAGTGGCGTTGGGGTCCGATGTGGGATGAGCCGCGGTGTCGAGGCCGGCGGTGGCCAGTGCCGACAACGACCGAAGTGGTGGCCACGCCGACGGGAGGGATAACCTCGGTGCCGCTAAGAGTCGCAGTCTCTCTCCTCGCTTGAGCTTCATCGTCTTCTTCGCTGACGGGGGTTGTTGATTGTCTTCCTGATCGCCACTCAGGAGCGTGGGCACAAGCAGGCCTTGGCCAAGGCAAAGCAAGTGGTTCCAAGCTGTGCGTTCGAGCTGCACGAACACCTATGTCAGTATACGCGCTCCCCTCGTGCCGCCGGCTTGATAAACTAACCCTTTACCTACTGGCGGATGGTCGTCAGCTCGGTGCTGTTGATTGTCTGGTTGGCCAGGACTTTATCAAAGACATCGCTCTCTTCCTGCGTCATTCCCGGCGTACTCGGACGTGTCGCAGCTTGCTGTGCTCCCAGTCGCTACCACTAGTCGCTACAAAAAAGCACGGTGAGCTACCGTTTTCACCCTTTATCTTTAGAAAAAACGGTTGTAGCTTTGGCCGGGATGTTGGTAATAGTGCGTTCCTTCTCGGCTTCGTCACCCCCATCTGTACGACCAAGAATGACATCGGCATTGCTTTCATCTCGCTCATTGTCGTCTTCTTCATCCTGATCGTCGTCGTCGTCATCATGTTCCCGTCAGAATACGTGCTCAGTGGCGTATTTAGCCTTGTTGTGATCAGTATTATGTTGTCATCCTGTGGGATCACATGTAGCTGTCAGAGATACCATTCCCACCTATTGAAATAAGATGGTACCCCCATCAGTTATCCTCCTTCCCTTCCAATGCAGAACGATCCTGAATTTTACAGTTCCTCTTCGACCTCGCCCTGGAGATTGATAAGCGGAATAACGTCCAGGGCAGCCCGGACTGCCTCGGCGGCCTCCTAGTTCGAAATGGCGCACCAGGATCAGGGCCTTGCAGCGACCTTCCTCCTCGATCCAGCTGGCCAGGTTCAGGGCGCAGGCGTGTAGCTTGAGGCTGTGGCTGCGGGTGCTGGTCGATAAGCTTTCGAAAACCTGCCAAAACCGAAGCTGATAGTCTTGTCGATGCGAGGACAACCCAACCCTAACATTATCTTTCGCAACCTCTTGAAGTTTTCGCTCTAGCATTCGAGTACGTGTTCGGCATGCTGAACTCCTCGAACCTTGTCGAGTCCAAGTTTGATGGCCGTTGTGACCATGTCGGCGAAGGAACCATCAATGCTGTCAATTGGTGGCAGATTGAAATCAATACCCTTACCATCGGCCGCGCTTGAGGATTTCGCCGATCAAGGCTTGGGTCGAGGCTTGGATCGAGGGGACAGCCATGTTGACATTGTTGTCCACTGCAGGACAAGAACTGGGTATACAAGATTCGGTCGAAACTCAAGCGCAGGCGTCGGTTCTGAACGTGAAGGTAACTACTCTCCAGAGGTGAGCACCGTCATCGTGGCGATTTCTCAGCACTTTGATTGTATTCGCAGCAGCATATGGGAGCTCCCGGTCCACCGACTTAACAGCGTCTTTGTTGCAGTACGCCTTGATTCCGTACGGACAGTAAGCGACATTCCTATGCTTCTCGGCATTCTGGATGATGGAAAGTCCTGGTTACGAGGATTGCGCCCTTGTTGTGGGCGGAGTAGCATTTTGCGACGTCCTGCTCGGTCAATTGGGTGGCCGGGACTGTGGTGAACACGAGCTCGTATCACGAGCTCGGAGTCTCAACTCTCTCTCGGAATCGCCACGACGAGCTCGAATGGTGAGAGGGTGCTTGTAATTTCCAATAGGAGAGCACCAAAAAGTAATCCAAAAAAGACATAAAGAAAAGTAATAGAAAAGGAGCCCAAGCAGGGTGCACTCATCACGTTCTCCAAGATCACGACCCTAGGCCGTCGACCACTCGTATAGTCGAGCACGGAAAAGAAGGAGAGATGGGACTGATGCGCCGGGACTGGTTCGCTTGAAGAGCAAGGCCTGCCTTCACGGTGCTCGTGAGTCTTGGCATCCAGGGGCCTCAAGCTTCAGTGCGAGGGGCACGACCAGCACCGAAGTCGGCATGTCACGGGGACGCACCCGTGTAGACTCGCTCCGCGACTGGTACATGCGAGTGCTGGAAGTGTCGAGGTGGCGACGGGTCCCATAAAACAAAATCCAGAGGAAAATCTCAGGGTTGAAGTTAACAAGCAAGTGGAACCATGACCGAGTCTCCTTGTAAGTCTTTAAAAAACACTTCCTCTAGTTGACGTCCTTCAGCTCCAGGTAGCGCTCTTACGGTGTGGCAGGTAGCACCGATACTAGAGAATGGGAAGGCTGGGAAAGGAAGTGTGCATGCAGGATCTCATGTAATTTACTGATGCGCTGGTTCTTGAGCCAGGCGAATGATTTGGAACCTGTTTTGGCCATATTCCCCCCCGTCTACCGTATCGTACAACCCGCGTCATCCCCCGTCACTATCATACTCAACCCAAGCACCGGTCGCTCACCCCCGCCTGGACGCTATACAACGTCTTGGAAACCCACTGCGTGGCGAACGCGATGACGTCGAACTCGAACGCCGAGTGCCACATCTCGTCATACATGAGAGATGAAGATACGAGACCAAGTCCAGCTTTCGCTCGAGATGACATAGAAGTCACGATCGTCACGATCCGTCGATGGCTAGCCTCTCTTCCCCGTTAGTGGGAGAAATACCGTGTCGATGCCTCGTTGCCCCGCCCACGTCCGCTGCTTCCACCTGTGTATCCGGGCACCACGGGTTGCCAGGTCGGTTCATCCCGGGCGTCACGGTTTGCCAACTTGGTTCTACCGCTACTCGCTGAAGAGAGCGGCAATGGTGCAAACAGCACTGTTCGACAGGGTGGAGCTCGTTGCCGCCGCCTGTGCGCACGTCGGGCTTCAACCAGAAGAGGAAGGCACGATCCATCTCATCGGGCGCACATTAACGCCCTCATCCGCATCCTGGCCCTCACCACATGCACCGGCCTCCAGTAGAAGTGGAAGGTGCAAGATCTTGTCTGCGGAACGAGAAACATTCAGATTCAGAGAAACTGGATCGAAACTCCACATGGCCCACAAAACACGGATGGGAACCAGCCTTGCATCAGCCTCGGCCACCACGAACTGGGCAAAGGACCGTTCCAGATCTTCCCGATGCAGCCTGCGTCCCAACTTCTCAGCAACGCTGTCTGCGAGCGAACACCAATAATCCAGGGAAAGGTCGTAGGCAGTGCTCCAGCTCGGTGCTCCAGCTCGGTGAATCGCGACTTATCAGCAACCACAGACTGTTAAGGCCGCACCTAAGTGGCGTTTACGAGGGCGTTGTGGCGAGCGCAAGGCGATGTCACCAGAAACGGTGACGCTCGCGATTGGTGTGAGGTGTGCTGCGGCATACCGGACTGAGGCATGTATTGGGGTGCGCCGCCTTGCACGTAGCCCTGGTAAGCCAGCGCCTGCAGAGGGTCCATCGGGACGTATGCCATATAGTGACCTCGTTGTAGTCCGGCTCTCCGGCATTGGGATGAAGTCCCGAACATACTCCTCGAAGAATGGGCCCTGGGGTGGAAGATCAGGCTCAGGTTCGCCGCGAACGACGCCTCGATGTCGAAAAACAGGCTCTCGAGCCGGTGCCCCAGGATGTCATGCTTCATGTAACCAGATCATAGCCACGTTGTAGCGCAGGACCAGCTCGTGCGCCAAGGCGTCGAACATTCACCGTCGGTAAAGGTTTACAGGGCGTAGTCTAGTAAGAAGTTTCCGAGGAAGTTATAGCCTATTTTATTATACTGGACGTGGTGCTGGCTCAGGGGCGGAAGGTGCTGCGGCACCGTGAAGTGCGCGAACTCTATCTCGAGCGTGGCTTGGACGCGTACATACCACGATGTGCCTTTATACGAGATCACGTCCCGGAGTCCAGAGGTCTGGCTGGTGTTGGTATACCCCGAAAAGAGACCCTCGGGCTGGGGCAATGACCGAGGCTTCGCATCTTCGCGGTTAACAGGGGTACTGAAGTGATCGCTCGTTGATCCTGCAGCACCGTTCGAGTCGGGCCTACAAGCCGAGACGGGGACCTCAGTCTCGCGAACGACGTTGTTTCTGTTGCATCGAACGGCTTACTTAGCGAGGTTCGCTTGGCAGCCGGGAGGGCTCGGAGTTCTTTGGACAACCTTTGATTAGCAGTCATTCGTCGTCGTTGTCGTCACCACCACCCCCAACCCCTTCCCGTCGACAGCTGCCTCTCCGGGCGTGGAGGCTGGCGTGAGCTGATCCTCGCCAATGCGCGGTGGCTCGGGTAGATGAGATGCATTGAATCCTTCCACTCTCTCGAGGTGCAGGCTCTTGTCGCCATCCTCATGTCAACCCATCTCCATCTCGGTATCTTCTCTAGCCTCAGTCTGGGCCGGATTGTATACATCAGAGGAGTCGAAGTCAACTTCGGGCTCTAGTTCTTGATCCGAGCAAGCATCCGGAATTACACCAGCGAACGATACGCTTGGCCGACTACGGAGGGAGCGAGCCACAGATCCGGGTGACAGGGCCTGGTTGAACCCTTGGGTCTGTCCCCTCAGTGGAGCTTCATCGTCGTCTTCACTGATGGCGGTTGCATATTTAGATGCAGCCTTCCCTGCCGCGGATCGGATCGAACGTCCCAGTGCGTGAGGCTCGTTTTCTCGATCTCTTTGCCTTTCAGGTCCCAAGACGAAAGAACGGAGACCCTGACATGCCCGAAGTTGATCTCTGAGCTTGTACTGGACTTGCACTGAAGTGGTGGGTCGGAGAGAGATAGGGAGCTGTAATCATAAATAAACCGAGGACCGCGCCGGCTTCAGTGCCGAGCGAGAAACCCGAGCTACGAGTCCACGTGTTCTCATCTGTCCTGTGTCCCATACGCTCATGAGACGCTCATAGTTGCATCGTCGAGAAACCCCACACACAGATCACGCTCCTCTCCTTCGAGTTCGAGCTGGCTTAGGAGGATCGCGACAGGATTCACCAGCAAGTAATACAACCCCCGCGGGCTGCGAGCCACCGCACTCGCAGGGTCACGGTCAGCGAGCGCAACCGTCGCAACTTCCAATTTCCCATGCATTCGACAAGACGGAGCTTCCAGCGAATCAGCACCGGAGGACCTCTGATCGGATTCTGAGTAGGCCGATTGTTTTGCAAGGAGATTGCTTGAATACGCTTACAGTTTTCGTCGACCCAACTCCAGTCAGGCTTTTCGGCATGCTTCAGGTGGTACTCAAGGATGGCATCCGGGCTCTGGCCCTGACCCATGAGTGAAGCCACGAACCCAGACCCCGGCTTACCCCCGTATCTTTGTCGTCGCCTTCATCGGCGTCCGTTCCAGACTGGTTGTAGGTCTGGCGAGCTTGAACGAAAATCTCGACAACCTCTCGATCATCGCCGACTTCAAGGTTGCCAGCGACGTGCCATTCGGCCGAAACGGTGTGAGAAAGTCGAGGACCAAAGCATGGTCACCATGATGACGCCGTATTCAAGAATCTCTTAGGCCGCCAGGCCACCCACGAAGATCAGCTCAAGATTCTGCAGCTCAATATTCTACAGCTCGTCGCTCACGGTGCTATCATCGGCGCTGGAAATGATAAATGACACGCAAGCCACCGTGGGCGTCAGGGAGGTGGCAGTGCACTGAACAGGGTCCAATCTCCGACGCTCGGACCATCGACTACCCGTGCCACGCACGACTTTCCACCTCGCTGGGGCTCACCACATAAACAGGCTCCCGCACGCTCGAACCTGGGAGTACAGCTGCTCAAGACCCTGTTCCCGTGCCCCTGCCATTCGACGCAGGCACTGAAGAATAGGGCAGCTCGCTCGGGCATCGCGTCTGCGACGGCTGTCCAACACTTGAAGATCTGGGCAGCGGGAGGACGGCAGCCAATCATCGCCAGGCTGCATGATTGAGACCCCAGAACGCGGAATGGTGCAAGTTGGTGATGTGATCGCAAAGGGAGAGAAAGAGGGTGCTGCAACCCGTGGACCAAGACCAGTACACATGGGAGCACTGGAGAAGTAAAAGTCACGACTTGAACTGAGGTGACTTGCCCGCAGGCGTATCGGGCCGCCAGGGACGCTGCCAAATCCGGCCGGCTCTCGTGCTAGCGCAGGCGCTTGACCGTGAGTGATCTATGGCGCGAGCGCCTGGGCTTTCCATTTCTACGCAAGGATTTGACTGGTCGAAAGTAAGCCCGAAGTGAGGCTTACTGCTTTGGAAGGTTGGGTAATGCCAGATAGCCGTCAGGATAGCGTCTAGTGGACCAGAAGGCTTGGGCGCGTGCATTGCCTCTGGGGCGTTTATTTGGAGCGCTAGCGCCTGGGCTGGGCGCGGGTATCGCGCCCGTGGCGGCTGGGGCGGATCGTCTAGCGTCCCGCTAGTACCGGATCTGGGAAAGCGGTGGGAAGGAGGCCAATCCTCGGCAGGATGCATGACCGCGGACCTCCTCCTTTCCACGTAACCTTGCGTATCGAAGCTACTTCAATCCAGTTCACATTGCTGGCTTCGGAAACGTCCAGATTCCCATTTACATGTTTCTTGACATTCGCCATGGTGCCCTGACGTGTAGTAGCTGTGCCGGCTGAAACGCCAGTGCCAGATTCGGCCATGCGGCGGGATGGGAGCCAATCATCGGTAAGCTGCATGATGATCTGGAGACCCCAGAACACAGAGACCATCAAGGCATGTTGGGCACCAAGGCCACAACAACAACTTCAGAACAACACAATTAGCACCGAATACACGATTATCAACCCGTTGAACCATCTAAGCACTGTTTGACAGACGGCAGCCGGGTTCTGGCTCTGGTCCTGGCCCATGAGTGTATGAGAAAGTCGAGGGCCGAAGCATCGTCTCCATGATAACGCCGCGTGCCAGAGAAACTTAGGCCGCCAGTGGGGCCAGGACGCCACGCTCGATTCTCTGCAGCTCGTGGGCAACTCTATTGGCGACAGCCTGTCGCTCACGTCGGCGCTGCTGGCAGCGTTTGATGCCGACGCGGATGAGGTAAGCGGAGCCGATGGTGCCGCAAACAGGCGTCCTGACTCCATATACGGCTTGTCGTTGTGGCAGACATCGCTGAGCGGCTCTACTTTGCGAGGGTCCCGGTCCCCCACCATCTTGAAGCTAGGACGCTCCGGTCCCAAACCACAAATACCTTAGCTTCCATCTCGGCTATCTGATCTGTCGAGACGAGCACGTGTACCAGGAGGACAACCGGCCTTCTGTCTTAGGTCGCCAGACAGTTTAGGACGATGCGCCCAATATCCCCGTCTGCAGCTCATGGCCGACTTTGTCGGCAACATCTCGTGTTGAATGGCAAGCCACCGTGGCGTCAGTGAGGTGGCGGTGCACTGAACAGCACGGGCCATTGGGACATTTTAGGGCTCCAAGCCCGCCAGTGCCCGCTGCAACAACAACTTCAGAACAACAAGATCAGCACTGAATACACCACCTTCCACCAAGTGGCTTACCGAAAGGCCTCCCAGGTAGTGCCGATTCCTTGGGCTCTCATTTCCTCGATGATGACCTGCTGCTGCTCCTTATTGAAGGGGCCCAGGCTGGCGAAGAAAGCGACGTTCAGGGCATATCCGCGCGATCGCCCGGTCTGCTGGTCGGTCGCGATCTTGGCAGACTTGCAGGACGGGAAGTTGCCCTGGAAGAGGAAGACAAGGATATATTCATTAACTTCCGGTCCAAGGTCGCCGATGAAGATGGGAGTACTCGGGGCTACGGTCGTCTCGGCGATCAACGAGACCCTTGTAGGTTTCGAGGGGCCAAGATCCTTTCCTTGGTGACGCCATGGTAATCGGTCGACAGGCCACATGAACCGTCAACGCACTGTTAGAGGCGAGAGTTGGATGTGCTTTCCCCCGCTCCTTGGACACTTGTTCCAATTGCTGTTCTTCCCATTCGAGGACTACACTTTCGTAGTAGCCAGGGGGAAAAGGAGCAAAGGTCTCCCTGCTCGGCGGATACCTTTACCTTTCCATGTCCTCTCTCCCGGCTAGTCACCGACGCGCACATCGGCCATAGCTTGGCGATGAACATGGTCTAGGCTGAAGCACCGGTAGTGACGCAGTAACGAGAGGCGAAGGTACAGTATGTACAAATGTACAACTCGTAGGACATGACGACGTGGGCTTCCATGCCGGATCTTGAACCGTCAGAAAAACTCGTGTCTGTAAGACAGATCCTACGCGGCTTTGCCACCATGGTATGTGACGGCTCGGAGTTCAGGCACCCACTGCTTCAGTTCCCGCCGACAGTTGCGACAAGTCGAGTTGGGTAGGATGATCAAGAATGGCCAGCTTTTTGGCTGGTCTTCTCTCATTGACCAGAGATGAATGATCCTCTGCAGCTGCAAGCTTGGCGCCGACAACATACTCTAGTCGATTGAAGTCTACCGTTGCTTGACAGCTTGTCGCTCACGTCGGCGTTGGCCACAGCGTCTGATGCCGACATCCATGAGGTAAACGCGCCGATGACGGCGCCAACTACTGCGACGACTGCGAAGAAGAACGCCACGCCGAACAAGGCCTAATCCATCTTCCGATAGACCACCACTTTGAATGCCTTTTAAGGTCATGCCGGACCCATCTCTTGTCGGTGGTGTTTGGTGGACCTTTATGCCGCCCTGCTCAGGCGGCGAGCCTCGCAGCTCGTTTGCCCACACTTCCATCGACGATTTCAAATTCGTCGTTCTGCCAGTTGAATTGTCCTCCAGTTGTCAGATCGTGCTGAATCATTTGCACCGTGCATCTAACACAGTGCTCGAGCTCCGTGGAGTGAGCTTTGTCTCTGAAGGGTTGTTGGAAAGAGAGGCGGGAGCGAGGGGAGTTGGTGGTGGGCGTAGAGGCGGGTCGAGAAGTCCATCGCTCGCCAACATGTCTCCGACTGCCGAGTTCGTTGGCGACAGCCTGTCGCTCACGTCGGCGCTGCTGGCAGCGTTTGATGCCGACGCGGATGAGGTAAGCGGAGCCGCCGACTGCTCCAATCACTGCGACGACGGCGAAGAAAAACGCCACGCCGAATGAGATCAAGATCGAATCATCATCCATCTTTGCGGTTCTTCGCAATCATCTCGTATCCGCCACGAGAGCACTCCGTTATCTCTCTCTCCATATCGGAGCTTGGCACAGCCATCGACGACGCCGCCGTCGGGGATGAGTGCAACCGCTCGGGGCATCCACAACCGCCGCGTATATCTTCGCCGCGCCCCGAACTATGCGATTTGTTCAACGAAATAACATGACAATTTCAACCTCGTAAATTCTCGCACGCTGTCGTGGTGGGTTGCATTCAGTCTTCCTATGGAAGCGGCGAGTGATTTGCGTGTAGGTACTATTTTGTATTAGCAATGCTGTTTGTCATTCTAGGAACGTAAAGGACGTACTGGCGTTGACGATCGGGGATCAGTGTTGACGTATTGTCACAGGCTCGTGTTGATCGATCGAGGTAATGTCTAGTAGCATTGCTACTGTGCAATACGGTGGCAGACCAGCGAAGAATAAAGAGGTATTCATTTCGTCGCAGACATTGGCAGAGTGGTTCGCTGCTGCCGCGTTCTCGGCAGTGTAGGAGGTGGTGAGGATGTCGGCGAGTGTGACGGTGATGCTGTCCGTGGTACTACGTGATACAGACCATCGTATCGGATTCCACAGGGTGGGAAGAACTTGGTCGAACCTCCTGAGCACAATACCCGGACGGGATTCTGGGATGCTATAGAAGCCTTGAGAGACTTTGTGCCGGAGGTCGACGGATTGGGCTTGTTCGGGTCTTCGTCGGTATGGCTGTTTGAGCCAGAATAGAAGATAATGTCGCCCAGGTCTCTATCGAGGTTATGATACTTGCTAGAGAGCACGATGGATGAGGCGCCGCAAACGGTATCGCTAGAAATACCGCCCATCTGGTGGTGACCTTGTCGAAAAACCGCGAGAAATAGCCAGGCGAAGATTCCCCCGATAGTTGTTGTCTGGAGGTCCGAGCATAACCCCTTCCAGGCCTCTACACTCAGGCCTGGATACTCAATGAGGCCTCGTAACTCCTCAACGTTCGTCTCGTAGTTGGCATTGAGCCGTTTCTCCGCGAGGGAAGTCTCAACTGTCTCCGGGCCTTTGAGCTCGCCGGGGTCTGGCATCGCGGCCCGCTGCCGTCGTCCGCGAATGGACATGCTTGAGCTCTTCCGGTGACAGATCTCCTTCCGGAAGGCCTTCGCCGCGGCTGCTCACGTAGCGGACAAGGTCATTCAATGTCACCTCTTTTCTGTCACGTAGAGCTTTCTGTCACGTAGAGCGAGCCGCATGAGACCGTTGATGTTGAAATATCCGGTGCGGTTAATGGTACAAGGCATGTCGAACAGAGCCTCCTCGATCAACATCTGACCAGGGGTAAGCAGCCCACAAGCACACGAACCTGGCACCTCGGCACCTAAGCAGGGCGGAGACGATGGTGTCGAGGTGGTCGACAAGCTCGGGCCGGGAGGGAAATAATGGAGAGGCGGAGGAGCAGGACGGTAAGGAGTACCTACCCCAGCGTTGTTCTGCGATCTCCCCCATGACAAGCGAACGCGGGAGTTTCCAATCGGATAGCCCTGCATTTGATTGATCGCCATTTCGGCCCCGTGTCGGGGGACGAACTGAACGAAGCCACAGCACCGTGGTGAACTCGGTACCGCCAAGGGAACCGTCGGCTGCCTCGCTCCCTGCCAATGGACATCCGCAGGGAACGTCGCGCTGTCGTTGTTGTTGGCCTGGACGTCTCGGCCCGCCTTCAGGAGAACACCATCGATCTGATTGACGATGATGGTCTTGAGCCGGGTCGATGTCCAGAAAGTCGACGAGCTGGAATAAATCGACCAGCTTCGGAACGCCGATTCCTGACTCGCTGTCCCATTCAGCGCCTACCTGATGTGTGTGGCTTTCCATCGTCGTCGTACCGTGTTGTGCGTAACCACAGTGCATGAGTCCGCTCTCCTCACTCGACGATAGGCCTGCTGCAGGTGTTGTTACCAGCGAGTGCGACCGATTGCTCAACCTCGCTCGCCGGTCAGAGAGGGAAGATCACCCATGACTCCCCAGGTCATCCTTCGCTTTGCACGGCGTGGACACGGCATGGTCTAATTGTTACTGCCAGATGTTAGTGCATATATCCAGAAGAAAGGAACAGATACGACCTACGCGCCAGCTGCGGACTCACTTCCCATGTTGAGGTGAAGCACTTTGCTCCGATCATCGGGTTCATCGTTGTCTTGAAGTCGATAATCCTTGTGGATGCAACGCCCTTGGAGCCAAGAAGTGATTTGCAAGGTATCTTGTGGCAGTCCAGCACTTTTTGCAGGGTCTCCACTGTCTCGTCATTGGGTGCAAAGATGACGCCCTGATGACTAGGTGGACTCGGCAGAATTGGCGAGCTGGACGCCTGACACAGCAACACGCGGTTTGGTTGCTAGAGATTCCACTGTCAGGGGGAACTGGTAACCATCGTCACCCTGCGGTGGCGTTGCTAGTCCACTAGAGAGGTTGCCATGCATCGATGACAGTCCGTTCACCTCCAGGCCTACTACCACTGGGAGCTGGGGTCGCGGGTGTTTGAGCTCGCCAATTCTGCCGAGTCCACCTAGTCATCAGGGCGATGCCGCCTGGCAGCCGTGACGAGAAGAATAAAATCAGAGACGAATGGTGAACTCGACATGGTCTTCGTTGAAGGATCCGTCACGACGTCGTCGCAATCATCGTCAGACCCAGAGGTGCGCAAGGGGTCTCAAGTGGCCATCCAACCTCATCTCACCGGTAATCTCTTACACCGGCGCAGACGCAGCACCAGACGCGACTCCAGACGACGAGGGGGCATCGGTGCCGGAAGACTGAGCGGGCTGTGTGCCAGTGCTGGATCACGGGCCAGTGGGCTTGACGCTGCTGGTGACAGTAACAGTCGAGACGGTGGTGCCAGTGCCCAAGAGACCAATACCTTTGCGCGCGTTACAGCGAGTCCCCAGGGGTTTTCACTGCGGGATTACCACCATTATTACACCTCAGTGCCAGTGGGACCACCAGTGCCGGGCACTTTAGTGCCAGTCTGAGAAGGTCCTCGAGGACTGGCTGAGAAGAGTCTCGGTACCAGTACCAATGACTCCATCCCTTCCGCGCCAAGATTCATCTCGCGCATTGCCCAGCGATTGGCGCTCTCATGGTTTGGACCGATCACGAAGTAGGGGCGAGGCGTGCAAAGTGTGAAAAGGCGGTACGGTTTACGCTCTGTTCGAAGGGGACCAACGCCGTCTCTTCAGGCTTATTCTGCTGTAGGCTCGGCGACGATATCAGCATCGCACTCGACTTTGGTACTTGTCAAACAGTGCGTAAGGTGGTTGGTTCATATGGATGAAAACCTCTTGGCCTTGCTTGGTGCACTGCCACCTCGCTGAACGCCACGGTGGCTTGCGCGCCATCTAACAGTACTGGCTGTTGGTCGACTTCGCGCGGAGGAGAGGTGCACAGGCCCTGCATTTCGAAACTTTCTTCGGTCATCGCGGAATCAGTTCGATGGGCGCGATGAGAAAGTTGCTCGGCAGCGATTGAATCCTTACTTGAGCGGCGATGGAGACAGCTTGCCACCGCGGATAATGGCGCATGCACTCGGTAGGTATGGACGCCTTGGTCACCATCTCTCAATTTGCTGTGTTGGGGCCGGGTGTGCAGCCAGAGCAACGACAGTCTCAACAGCTGGCCGCGGATAAATAACCGCTGGTATGTCCTGGGCTGCAGCTTGTTCACCGATACCAACATAACCAGCTAGTGAACATGGTCATCGTGTAAGTGAATGACCAGTTCACGCTGACGAATACGAAGACAGCTGCCATCTTCCTCTCGAAGTAACGTCAAGCGACGGCGTCCTAGTAGCTGGCTGCGTACTTGGTGGAGATGTCGACCGTGATTGACTTGCTCTCGCCCGGAGCGAGTTCATCTTCTGCGCATGACTACGATATCGGTGTAGTGATACTGCTCGTCGGAGTCTTGAGTCATCGACCAGTTGTCCGCCTGTGGACAGTCCTCTTGGGTTAGTTGCGCCGACTGATTCGAGCCTGGCTCGCACTGTGCGGCTTCGCTCCTCTTCCTCCTCGAGCACACCGCTTGTGCGCGTCAGGTGATGATGTCGCGGCTGCATCTCTTCCCATCCGGGCGCCGAGTATGCGGTGCCGCTGCGGTGGCCAGAAGCACACCCCCGACGTGGTCCGCTTTCTGCCTATATGATTTGAGAGACGGCGTTTCGAACAGGCACAAACCTCTTCGATGAAGACATGAACGGGATATCACCAGGTCGGTGTCTCGTCTGTCCTCTCTGGCCATATCGTCTTTGCGAGTCATTTGGTATACTTGCGGCTTCCTGAACGCACTGGTCGAAGTCCACGGTGCCAAAGTAACCAGCGTGCTTCAATCTCGAAGTGGCATCGAGGCCCAGAGTCGGCTGACTGTTTCTCTGGGCCTCCTCACAGAGAAAGACCTTGAGCTCCTCGACGGTGAGGTCAGGAACTCCCATGACGGCCTTTAGACGTCGGTGTTGGGGGTAGGCTTGTTCTCTTCAGCCCAGGCCTCGAGATCACGCCTTTCGGCAAGTCGCTCCTTCATGAACTTCTTGCGGGCGTGCTCGGCACGTCGCTTGTATCTTACGAGGCGGACCCCCTTCATTGCCTTTCAAGGTCGTGCAGGACCCGGCTGTTCCAAATGAATGGTTTGGGAAGCAGAATAGGTCTCGGGCGACGCGCTGAACTGCAATGGCCAGAGTATAGTACCGGTCTGCAAGAGCCTGTTCCTGGCAGCGGAAGGATCGTTATAGAGTTATGAAAACTCCAATCTCATGTAAGCGTACCACATCGTTGCTGGAAGAAGCAGTTAGCTGACTGGAATAAACGCATAAACAATGCTTAGTACACTGTTTGTTACTCCGCTTTATCGATTTTGAAAACATACCTTCTTCTCCTCCGTGGTCAAGACCTTCTTGGTCTTCTTGGTCTTCTTCTGCGCATGGCCAGCACTAGATGGCCACCGAAGTGGTCGATCAGCTGCGCCTCAATCTGAAAGATCTGGCCGCAGCCACGGCAGAAGCAGGTCCTTCCAAGATGGTCGAACATCAAGTGCTCTTTCATCTTCGGCACGTCGGCTCTGACGACCGTGCAGTCCCGTTCCGGACATAGGACACCACCACGGACCATGCGACTATTCTTGGCCTTGGCAAGGGTGGCGGAGATGGCGGACAGGTCGCCGCCCAGAGCAAGAACAACAGCCGGAAGAACAACGGCGTTGCCAGCCGGACCGGGGAGCGCACCGCCAAGAGCAGTGGTAGCGGTAGACTTCTTGGGCGGCATGTTCGCGGCTGATGGGGCGTGATATGGATGGAGGGCAGTTCGGAATGTCACTGTAGCGATCCCAAACGCCAGCGCCGCTCCCCAACCAAGAAGGCCGTGCTGTCTGCTGCCGAGGTCGAGGACGACGATTCCGAGGCTGACCCCGCCGGCAAGAATGGCGCTGCCACCACAGCTGACAACGCTGAGGTCAAGGCTGAAGGCGCTGCCGACGAAGCCAAAGCCGACAAAACTATGATCAAGGATACGTTCGGCGAGAACGCAGGTTGCCGGAACTGATCATCCCAATATGATGAAATGTGTGGAGGATGTCCCCGGGACATCGTGGCGGCCAAACAGCCTGAGCAGTCCCAGGGATGGAAGGCCAAAGCCCGGAAGCAAGAGATGCAGGATGCAGGAAACCAAGGCACCGGCATCGTTGTATCGAGAGCCAAGATTCTGGTTCAGAACCTTGTGGCGCTCGTCGAGCTCGTCGGCCGCTGTAGTCACAAGGAACTTCTACGTTCCCCACACGAGAACCCGAGGCTATCTCATCGCTGTTGGTTCCTTTTTGCAGCACCTTTTGGTACTCTCTTCTCGAGATCCCGTTCGGGGTAGTCTCTATTGGGGGTACCTTCCGCACGGCGTATGGTTCGAGGCAATTTGGGGTCGTTGGGAAGTGCGGCGCGGCAGGCTTCGCAGAAGTCGATGCGAGAAGCTTCGTCATCATCCCACGCATCAGTCCAAACCATGCACCGTACACCAACACGGCGTATCGCGAGGTCCTCGCTGACCTGACGCGACTTGCGGCACTCTCAGTCCTGGATCTACCACCGATTGCTATGATTCATGAAGCTAGACAAAAAGAAATTCTACATTGTTTACACAAGGAAGGCGAGAGGTGGACAACAAACCATTCATTTGGAACTGCCGGGTCCTGCACGACCTTAAACGGCATTTAGGAGTATCTCGTTGCTGTTGACATTCCCCACGAGAACCCGACAAACCAAGAGCGTCGATCATGTCTTCCAACCGCACCCTCATGAACTGGAACGCGGGTTTGCATGAAGACATCCTTATTGCATACCAGGAGACCATGAAACCGAACCCTGCGCAGTTGGCTGCCATCGTGGCCCCTCTCCACGAGGTGGGCTACTCCTTCAGGCTATATCATGGAATGTTCACCCGTATCCTCGTGGATGAAGCGGGCCTCCGTGCACACATTATCAATCAGCACCCGGTGACGCAGGTGCAGGTAGAGGGACAGCAGCAGCAGCCTGCCATCAGATACGCGTGCTCTTCGCTCGTCTGCACCAATACCTCAAGGCGAAGCGGCGCGCCGAGCGTGATGTCCGATGGCACCGCTTCCTAGAGCTGGCGAAAGGCTTGGCTGCCGGTTTTTAAGCAGAAGCAAAAGAAGAGGAGAAAGACGATGATGATGTACGTGTATCTGTGGTGATTTTACCAGTACCAGGCTAATAGATCGACAATAGGATCATACAAGGATCAGTTAGCTGGCCTGAGGCCCCTTTGCCGGGACGCCCCAAGAGTCTGAAGGCCGGTCGTGGCTACATAGTTTTGTTCCGTCTCGTCTCGTTTGGTTTGGTTCCGCTCGGGGCCGTTTGCCCGCGTTGTCTCGCCGCATCACCCGCAGTACGCATCAAACGGAAAATCGACAAAGGGACAAGCCGAACGAGAGAGGATCATCGACAAGGTCGAAATTCGTCAGAACACGTCGTCGCGCCACTCGGCGACTTCTTAGGAATGTATCCTCATGGGCGCTGTTGATCGGGTCCAGACGAAATTTGGTCACAAGCCAGTGACGGACATTACCGACGGCCGTTGGCTCGATGTTAAAGTCAAGCTCCATGTGCTCAGCATGCTTCACTTGTCGGATAATGATTCGACCTCATTCGACGTGGCCTTCTCCTTCGCGGTTGTCGCAGTAATCGGCGCCGTCTGTGGCTCCTGCTCTATCCTCGACCTGCCGACAGATGTTTTCACCATGATCTTCGAGCATGCCGCCGAAGCACCGAAACTGAACGCGCACGTGATGCGACTGAAGCATCGACTTCACCTGTGGATGGATCACCTTGATGAAGCACACTGCGGCGACGTTGCGTCCGATATACGAATCCGCCAGCAACCTCATGGTGGGCACTTACCAGCCCCTCATACGCATGAACCGTATTCGGACTCCGACCCAAATGGCATCACGAGCTTTCGCTGGTCTAGTCGACTTTGCCGCCAATACCAGATTCTTAGTCTGCGAGAATCCAAGTATCTGAAGCGTCTGGACAAGACTCCTGGACGGGGCAACGTCGTCCTGCGACGTCTGATCACGAACGATGGAAAGGCGGATGAGGATTAATCGTTACTTGTGCTCCGTAAGCGAGACGCAAAAGTCTACGGCCATAAAGGTCTCGAATTCAGAATGTGGTTCGCCTTCCAGATCGTAGCCCTGCAGCGAGGAGCACATGGCTCGTCGATGGGTGGTATTGCTGGCAGTACTGATCGCGCGTGGTTCAGATCAGCGGCCCGCGTTGAATGGCGCGCAAGCCACCGTGGCGTTCAGGGAGGTGGCAGTGCACCAACAAGGCCAATAGGGCATTTTTGGGCCACTTAGCCCACAGAAGGAGTTTCACAGAGATACAACAAGAAGACGGATTACACCAGAATATACGTTTTCACCCATCTAAAAGCCCCCACGCTCTGTTTGACACATCACTCACGCACCGATGGATTTCGATTACGCCCTGGACAGAGAGCTTCCCATGGTCATCATTATCGACTATCACGGTGATTTCAAGTACGATCGTTCCGAGTCAAACAAGGCTATCGCAGCCGTCTATACTACCAAGCCAGGACAGTACCTCGACTGGAGAGGTCACATCATTGCGTACGGAAGCAAGGGACTTCCATCCGACATGGATCCCACCAAATGCACAGATGTCAACATGGCCGACTTCAAGTACGCTGCCGACATGTTCCTCTCATGCAATTCAGGATAAACGCTGCGGAGTATCTATTACTGCCCGACTGGATCTTTCTGTAACCGGCTCGACCCCGACTAACAACCATAATACAATCTTCCTGCACCTTTCTCTAGGCGCGACGGTCGAGTTCTTTGCTCATTCAGTGGATCAGCGACGAGAATCCATGATCGACACAACGACATCGGTAAAGTTCTTGTTGTTGGTCAAGACTAGGAGACATTGGACTAGTTGGCAGTGGCGATACTATGGATATATTTTTATAACGAGGCTCGCGCATGGCTATGAGGGAGCAAATGATGATTTGGTGCGAGCGCTTGACGCAGATGCGCAGCAAGAAGATGCCGGTGCCGGCTTTGATAGCTCGTATCCTCTGCCAAATGCGGCCACAATGGTACCTGAACTGGCCATGAAATGACCTTAATTACGAGCATCAGTTCCCTAAACGTTTGTCCTGCAATCTGCTGTCTTTCTGTCTTCACTATGCCCGCATGTTTACGCTATGCTTAGTCCTTACGTGATGGGTGTACTTATCGTTCTTGGACATCATCATCTGCTCTGAGTACCTCACTTGAGGTGCGAGTCACGGTCTGGCTGGAGGACGTAGATCACCCCTGCCCTGAATGCTGACCTTTGTGCAAGCAGGGCCGAGGGCTGACTACTTGCGTATCGGAACGGCGTAGCTGGTTGCTTGTCTGCTTCCGTCCTTGAGTACTGTCAACCGATTGGAAGGAATCCCGAGGCAGACTTGTGAGTGTGTGCTGAGGTGTCGGTTGCTAATCAGACCAGATTTGGGAGGTTCTGGGTACTGCCTTGCGGCTCTTGCGTCTCAGCTCACCCTAACACCACGATGGGCTTGATGGGCATGTAGACAATAGGTTGGAGCACCATACGAGTAGATGAATGGCACGTAGTGAATACCTTAAAGGTGCTTAGGAGTATCATAGTCATCCAAAGTATGCTAGCTGTGTATCTTGAACGAGTAAATGAAGATCATGGTTGTCTAATTCCCTTCCCTGATCATGCCTGACCTCTAGCTACACTGAAGCCTTATCAATCGCCGTACGCCACCCCTCCAACAAATTACAGTATACTTGTCGAATCGGCATAAAGCACAATGGAATAAGCATGAAAAACAGCATATCAACCTAGAGTCCTCGGAGACATGTGAGGGCTGAGTGTAGGACTTATAGGAAGGAGTCCGGTCGCATCTTATATACATGCCGTGCTTCCGCAGTCGGCAATAAATCCCCAATAGCCATGGCAAGACTGGCACTGTGTTTTCGTCCAAATGACTTTCGATGACTAGGAAGGTATGAACGTAGCACTTGGTTGACTGCACTTCCCCATGTTCTGCTCCGTCTGCCACCTTCCTCAAGGTGTCCCGACCCATCGTTGCCCGTGTTACTCCTTCCCAACGTGTCCAATTGTTGGGGTATCGTCTTCCAAGCCAGTGGGTCAACATGAACACCAGGCACCAAAGCAGCCGGTCCTCGGCACAGTACTACTAGAGGTGTTGTTCCCCTGGGGCATCATAGAAGAGGCCTATCAGGGGTGTATAGGCCTACCAGGGCTGCGGAGATTTCTGCGGGGACTTTCTGCTCACCTGACCTGATCAGGCCTGCCGCATCCCACAACCCTAGTTCAAATAACATTGAATCTTCTCGTCCAGACTTTCTTCCTTCCTTCCTTCCTTCATTCCTTTCCCCAAATACTTTTTCTCGTCCGGACTTCCCTCCCTCCCTCCCTTCTTCCTTTCTTCACCCATCTTCACTTCATCTCTTTCCTTCCCCTTGCTTGTTTACGATTCCTTTATTTTCTTATTTTCTTATTTTTTTATTTTCTTATTTTCTTATTTTCTTATTTTCTTATTTCCTTATTTTCTTATTTTATTCTTTTATCCCATTATTCTTATTTTACTTATTTTACCATCTTACCTCCTCGGCATGCGAAACCTACGGGCAGGAGTCCAAACACGGAAGACAATTGAGGTAAGTTCCCATTGTCACACAACCACAACCTCTTCATTCCGCGCAGCGTCACGTGCTTCTAACACGACGCTGACCGTAGACAATACTTCGTACCGAATAAATGGTCAGCAGCAGCAACCCTACTACCTGCTGGCCTGCTCCCTTCCAGCAGCAGCAGGCGTTTAGGCGGCTGGTCCACTCCCTTCGTCCAAGGAGACGTCCGTTCCATGGTCCACAGGCTTCGGACTGTGCCTGCGGCCTGTACAGGGAGTCATTCTCTTTGGCCACGGGGCGGATACCCCCGCAACATCCTGGGTGGTGTTGGAGGGCTACACTTCGGCCGCAAAACTGGTCTTCTTCCAGCATGAACCAGCCGCATATCTCCACGCAGAGATTATCATAGGAGAATTCGCTGTAAACGGCGGGCACCCCGCCGTAACATGGAACCGAGTCGGTTTTAAAGGAGATCCGGCCAACGGCCGCAGTCGCGTTCTACGGGTCGAGGGCCCTGAGCACATGCCCCCGAAATCGGTGTCCTCCCACCCTCATCGACGACGCACTCAAGGTTGTGCACGCGCTACTACCAGCGTGACGATGCCACACACATCGACATGCACAACGCCATGTCAATGCTGAATGAGCTGGCGGCTCTGCCCAACTCAAGGAGGATGGACTAACCGGAATGGAGCTCTCGCTCGTTCACAATGACGGGGGATGCCCTCAACAGCTGGGTGTCCTCCGGGGGCTGCCCACGCAACATGTTGGGTGTCCTCCCGGTGTCGGATGCCCCCACAACATCCTGGTGGCCTCTTGCCGATGGAACGACGGGGTGTTCGAGACTATCGCAGAGATAGAAAGCTTCGCGGTTTTGAATCAATCCCGTCAGGAGACTGCATGCAGTGGGCCCATGATGCCAGCTCCCCCGAGACGGACAACGTAGAATACATTACGGAGCACGAGATGCTGGCCCATTTCGACAAGCTGTGCGTCTGGGATGAGTTAGAGTTGGGTGTGTAAAATAGGTAGTAGGAGGGCTAGTTCGATATACTTTCTTCATCCGTAGTCCCCGAAGTACACTGTGAAGGGTTTGTCTCATGTCGATTTTCATATAGAAGTTGGTGACCAAAGACTCGTCCATTCCTGAGCTAGATACCGCAGGAGCACCAACTCCGCAGAACTTACCTTGCAGCGCGAATCGAGCTATTTGAATTTGGGGATATGCTATGAAACTGAGCATTGGGAACGACTTCGGCACCATCCCTCACCCGGAGGAGGGGGGACACGATGGGAACCGCTGTTTAAATACAGTGGCTGTCTACGGACGAGACCTGCTAGCTGGGCAGCTGTATGTATATATATAGTATAGGACCTGGCCTAGCACGCCCGCGCGCCCTTTTGGAGGCCCAGGGCCGCCGCTATGCGGCAGGCCCCCTGGCGTTAAAAGTTACAACAACAACAACAACTGAGCTAGATACCATACCACCGCAGTCATTAGTGGTGTGCGGGAGTACTCTTTCGCCAACAAAGGCGCTCTCAGGAGTGTAAGAGTTGGCTCTTCGCTTGCGGGACAAATAGCTGAATAATAAAATAAATCCAAAAATAAATCGTAAACCATGCCCACCGTCAAGATCCTGGAGAGATAGTCGAGACAATTCGACTATATCCGAATGGCAACGACCCCCGGCACTTCCGAGCAGCAGCAAAACAAGGCCTGTAAGATGCATGAGAAGATGCATGTTGGAAGATGGCTGGTACTCCAGATGGTTGGCACGACCCACAGTGGTGACTGACTACCTACCTACCTCATATACGGGACATTCAGCCCCTGTACCATCAGATAGATCTCTCTGCACAATCTAATACAATGTATTCACACCTCATAACTGCGTTATTCTTTGACAATGCAGATGCCTTGCTCCATGACCAAGGGTGTCAAGTTCGATCCGGTCATCACGAGCTCCTCCTCCACCACGATCCCTCTGGCCCGCGAGCATGCGAACCTTGATCCGGACCTGATTGTCGATGACCTGCATCGCAACTCGACTCGCCGCTTCGTTTCGACAGTACAGCCTGAGAAGCTACCTCAAACTTACAAGCACATCCGCAGGCTACTACCCGCCCCACACCATGACATTAGCAGTGCAGACCCTTCTTGATCGTATCAACAACACAGTCGAAGCCGGAGCACGGTGGCTCTTAGTCCATCGACCGCCGGTTTCGCCCAAGTGTCATGGCACTAGATGAAGCTAGCTTCATATTTTCCTTTCCTCTTCACGTACATCAACCAAGTCATTTCTACAGTAACCAGCAGTCGAACAGTGACACCAAGAGTTTCTTCCTAGAGCACCTTCCCGAGGCAACATCCAAAAGCCAGCACCAGCAAGACCTCCACAAGCACACACTTTCGCCTGTTCTGTTCTCAAGCACGCACACGCTTTTCAGATCTCTTCTCCTGCGTACGTACCATCACGACCGACCACCAACGACCTACCCAACTCCACCAACGACACCAAGATTTCTACCTCTCCTTGTAAATGTCCCTCTGGTGTCAGTGACTTGCTTCAGCTTCAGCGGCGACTGTTTCAATCACGCGCGATCCCTCACCACACCTCCTCGTCACTCTTCTCCACTCGCAAGCAAGCAAACCATCGCTGTGGGTGTTCCCCGTGGTGCATTCTCAGCATCATCGGCGCTCGCCGCGGATTTTCAGAATCGGACTCGATCTGTGCTAATACATTCATTCAGCAACCAACCCGATCGCGGCCACCTGGGCCTTTCCACCCTCCTTCCCCTCTCGCAACGTCCCCGGTAAGTCGTCCCGATACAGCCCAACCGAGTCCGAAGCCCACTGGTTGTGTCTGACCTTCTGTTTAACCGCGATGTAGAACGAGCGAGCCAGCAAACACCCCGGGAGGGAACATACACCGGGGAGCTCCTTTTGGATAACGTTTTGGATAAGATTTTGGATAAGGAATGAACAGTCTCGCAAGCTGGGTACCACTCAGTTGATTGGTTCTACGGTCGAGCTGGGACGGGGGGAAGCTCCCTTCATCTCGATCTCGCGATCGTGGTACGAGGCCACGGACGGCACGCAACGCTCGCGATTTCATCCGCCCGCCGTCCCTCGCTGCGAGCCTCCGAGCAAGGCGAAGAGCGAGTACAGTGACGAGATGTGCAGGGACGGACACCTGGGCCTTCGGACTGAACGTACGAGGGACGCGGAACGTCTTGTTTTGCCTCCAAGAAAGACCTGTCTTTCCTCCTTGGGTCTTCTTATTTGAGATCCACCTGTTTTGATAGCATTATACCCAATGTAGTGTCTGAATATATGTAACCAAACCCGCGCGTCTTATAATCGCTGATAAATAAGGGGAAGGTCACCATCGAGGCCAAGCACGGCTGCAGTTCTCTCCCATCAGGTAGCCCTAATGGTTGGGAATGTAGAAGGGATACTCATGTACTTCAACTTCAACTCCCACTTCCACTCTGTCTGTGATTTCACTTCATGATCACCTCCAGCCACAATACCAGACAGCTGACCCTTATCAATGAAGGCATCATGTCATCGACAGGAACGGCAGAAGCAACCATCGACAGATGCACCGCGGAGAGGCGTGCTAGCTCCCATTTCAGGTCGCATGTCGCCTTGTAGACAGACTGAGATCAGGGATAGGGGCTGCAAGCCCTAGGTACCAGGATCCGCGAAGAGATCTAAGTTTGAGAGGTTGGGCTGGGGGTAAGGCCCCGAGCTTCAGGGCAAACCAGTGACTCAGGGGCTGGGGTACATGCAAGCCATCACGCAAACGTAAGCAAGCCAAGTATTAAGACATGACATGTACCTGCCAGCTGCAATATGGAATATTCCTGGAGGCATCAATGTGCGCAGAGGGCTCACCAGGTACCATCGTCAGTTCATGTCCCACAGTCATTGCATGTAGACTACTTTGACGGCAAGAGTACCTAAGGGGATAGCAGCCTTGATAGCCTGACAGGCATCGCCCCGAAAACTCGGAGTGCTTGTAGATATGACGGCGCCCCTGGGTCCAACATGTCAGCGGCACAAACATAAGAATGTGTCAGGGGCATAGGGAGATGATGTGAACCAGGTGAAGCCCGTCTCGACTGCCAAGACTACCATTACAGTCCCAGATCATGTGAATGGGGTATCTGATTATCAAAATTATTTTCGGCTCTTCGGTGCCTCAGATGCCTCTCTATAGGTAGTATGGTCTCCGTAATTCTGGTCAGTGAAATCTATAGAATTCCCTGTTGCCCAGCACCATCTTCTCAGCCAACGCTCCGCGCAACTGAATTCCCTTCTACTGCGGCCTTCCGCTTCCTTGCTCGTTCTCCCGTATTCTTCGCATTCTTCATCAGCTGGATGATTTTCTCTTAGCTGTGTGCTCTGAATCTTCTCTCCCCTTTGCCTTGCAAGATGGGCCTACCCATCCCTCTTCAGTAACACTGCATTCGATCTCCTCGATATTTCCATCGCTTGGGCTGCTCTGGCAGTCCGTCCGTCAATTTCCAGGCTCATTTTCTCTTGATAACTGCCGTCTTTCTTGCCCTTGGTATCATATATTCGAGGTAAGTTATCTTTCTTCCTGTGACTCTCGTCTGAGGATCAAGCCCTCCAGCGCTAATTCATTTCCCCAGGCTCTTCAAGATGTCAGACCATCCGGGTCGCCGCATGCCAGCGGCCTCTGGCCGAGGCACGAGGGCCACTGTCCCGAGTATGTTTCCTCTTCAGCATCGACCCTAGGTACATTTATCGTAACTAACAGGCTCGGGCTCCAGTCCAACCCGTCGATGTTACCGAGTCACTTGCCGTCAGATCCTCAACATCATCCCTTGAGCTTGTCTCAAGGCTTGCCAACAATCACAAGGTATCTAAACCAGACACGGGCACAGACAAACTTCCAGCCATCTGCAACCTCAGGGCTCGCATCGGCTTGAACGTAACAGTCAACTCCAAGAAACAACTCAGCCTCCAAAAACCGCATTAGCAGTTCCCAGTCGGGGACAGGCCTTCGCCTTTACAGACCAGCAAGCAGTCGCTTATGTCCAGTCGCGCTTAGCTTTAAATGCACGAACCAATACCGCGGAGCAACCTAACGACCAACCAACAACCGCCAGAGATAACTGCGCCGTGCGAATCATTGGAATTCCTATCGACTCCGAGGTCCATACTGTCACCAGAAGACCGCTGCTCGGGCGAGAGCCGGGCTGCTACATGGACGGGCCGCCGTTAACCCTTCCTGGCTTCTTCCGTACCGAAGACTGCCCGGGCGCCATCCCGAACGACCTGAACCCGTGCGTGTGCCTCATCGATTGCGGCACAACCATAGGCCACCGCCAGAGTCACCACTAGGCTGGTGACGTCGCGTGTGCGTGTGCGTGTGCGTGTGCGGTCTCGTGTGTGGGAGAGGGGAGGATTTGGGGGGTAGGGGAGCAGGGAGCAAAGAAAACAACTATGTCAGGGCGTTTTGTGGGTTTTCTCGATTCTACAAAAATTTGTGTAACCACTGGTGGCGACTGGCAAAGTCCACTCCATCGCGCTGCACATCAACGAGGAGAACACCACCGGACGTGAGGCGGCGAACTATGCCCGAGTGGTTTACTGGACACCATAAGGCGCTCGGGCTACGGAACGCAGGCGACCCTGGGCTACGGAACGCACGCAAGCCAGGGCTACAAAACGTAGGCAGCCCAGGCATACGGACAGAACGTACAGGCCTACGGGCAGCATACAAGCTAGGCTCTCGACCAGCACTTGCAAGCCTACGGACAGTTAGAAACCTAAACCCTCGCACAGCAAGCAAATGCCTACGGACTGCATACTGCAAGCCAAGTCTATGGTCACAATGCAGCTCGGACCTACGGACAGCACGGAAGCTATCAAACAGAGCGTTGGGGCATTTAGATGGGTGAAAACGTATATTCTGGTGTAATCCGTCTTCTTGTTGTATCTCTGTGAAAATCCTTCTGTGGGCTAAGTGGCCCAAAAATGCCCTATTGGCCTTGTTGGTGCACTGCCACCTCCCTGAACGCCACGGTGGCTTGCGCGCCATTCAACAGAAGCCGGGGCGGTTAGAGCAACCATGGCAACCAGAACCAGCGCCGCCAAAGTCGCCATGGCGCCAGTAGCTGTCTGCAGGTGCGACGGACTTCACCCACGGCACATCAGAAGCAGGATTTGCGATTTATTTAGCGAAGTTCCTAGGACCAACTTTCGCGATCTTAACGTCCTGTTGCAGAGCCTGTCGAGTCCGAGGTCGACTTGTCTGAGATCATCAAGTCTGAGCCTATCGAATCCGAGTTCGCCGCGTCGAAGCTATTCATGTCTGAGCCTGTCGAGTCCGAGGTGCCCACCTTCACGCTCAGCGTCAACCAGGACTCGGCACCCCGGATTGTCAATGTCCACCTCGACAGTGAACAGCCTCAGCGACGACGGGCAACAACCCACCAGAACCGCTGCCTACTCATCGCCGGCGCGGTCGATTTAGTACACCGGGCCCCTGGTCAGGATAGCTTTGGTCATCTAGCATGAATGCTGATTGGGCAGATTCCTTCTTTGGCAATAGACTAGGTAGTTGACCGGGCAGTTTTTCTCCCGTTCGTGAAGGGGCTCGACGATGGTTTTCGTCCAGATAGAGAACAGATAAAATTGGCGTGTTTCTGAAGTGAGTGGTTTTCAGACTTGTTGCCCCTCGCTCGTGCTCTGTGATGAAAGCTGTGGATGGCAGAATAATGACTGCAGCGCGGCTATAAGATACCTGGTAGTATTCCGTCGCAGCCCCCGTCATATCGTTTGCTAGCCAGCGAAGAATTAGCTACATCAGAGCATGGGTACTATTGTTTCAACATCAGAGGCGAGTTCGCTGACCTAGACCTCGTGTGGGAGGTCGACCCTCGTTCGCCCAACCAAGCCTGTGCTTTCCGTTGGGCGTTCGCAAGCGCCGGGCAGGCAAAGACGCTGTTCGATGTCCTGCATGGCCACCAATTAATCTACCTTCGATACGTTCCGGACCCCTGCTGTTGAGATAGAAGCTTGAAGCTTGTATATTTAGGAGAACAGAATACCAAAGTATGTACTCTACAGGTACCCATAGTACCGTGGGTACCTATGGTCATGTGTAATCCCCGTATAGTTATTACGGTCGTCCATCGTCTCGCATGATCAAGCGAAAAGGGCACCGAATATCAAGATAATACCAGATCTTCGGTGCCTCAGATACCTTGTGATTGATGTGGTCTCCGTAATTCTGCCTAGTGAAATTTGAAGAATTCTTTGTTACCTAGTATTTTTTAAAATCCATGTCCCGTAAAAACTAATCCCTTTCTACTACGGCTTTCCGGTTCCTTGCGCGTTTACAATATCTTTTACATTTTTCGCAATCTTCATCAGCTTGATGATTTTCTCCAAGCTGTCTATTATGAAGAGTCTTGCTATTTGCACCTTGTCTCCCTGGCATTTGGCAAGGCCGACGCAGCCCAGAAGGCTTTACTGCTCGACGGAACTCCAGTTCCCAACACCAATCGCGCCTTCCGATGGGACTGGGCGTCAGGCGATGAACTCGCTTGCCTTGTAAGTTGTGGACCTACACACTTCCCTGCACTCCCCCATTCGATCTTCGACACAATTCCCTCGCTTGCTCTGCTCTGCTGGTATGTCCCTCAATCTCCAGTCAGTTGTGACCAGAGCTCGTCAGTGGTCCTTTTCTGTCGAGGACTGCCCGGCCTACGACCTGCTGTCTCATCGCTGCTTGGTCTTCTGGCAACGGTGCTTTGTCCACCCACGGATTGGCTTCTTCAACGACTGTTTCCTCTGCTCACATTTCAATTCTTCTAGGCTTCTTCATTCGCCCACGACTACCTAATCTACATACCGCTCTGCCTTTCTTGCCCCCTTCATATCGCACATCGAGGTAAGTAGCTTTTTTCCTGCGACTTGTCTCAGGATCAAACTCTCCAGCGCTAATTCATTCACCCGGACTCTACAAGTACGATGTCAGACCATCCGGGTCGCAGTACGCCAGCGGCGTCTGGCCTACGCGCGGAGGACACTGTCCCTAGTATGTTTTTTCTTCAGAATCGGACCGATCTGTGCTAATTCATTCATCCATCAGCCAACCCTTTCGCCCCCACATGGGCCTTCCCTCCCGGTCACCCCTCTTGCGACGTCACCGGTAAGTCCAGAGGTGGGGTTTCTGGCCAATTTCCAGTGCTTGTTTCGAGATTGAGTTCCGGCTGGATTTTGTAGCATCAAGCCTTGATACACCTTGGTACGTAACTGACAGCTTCAAACTCCAGACAAACCCGTCGCGGTTGCCGATATGCTAGACTTGCAAGCCCGATACGAGCAGAGAAATGCGCGGATTGCTGAGCTGGAATCGGTATGATATAATCCACTGGGACTATCCCTATGGGTCACTGGCCGTGGGCTGAGCGATTCCTAGTCAACAGTTCGCACACCTGGATCCCCGGAACCAGGCGCTGCGTGATGCTTTCCAGACGGGGGAGCGGTCGATGACGAAGACGTCTTCAGCGCTCAAGCCATCCCGCGCTACAACCGTGATGAAGCGGTCAATTTCCCGGTCGCCGAGAGCATGAGCGCCTACAGCCGTGGCCAGACGACGACCACGGCTTCGCTCATGGCTGCCCAGGCCGCACCCAGCTTCTTCCGCCAAGTACCCACCTCTGTTCGAACTACCCGAGCCAATCGATCGGAGAACCGACACAAAGTAGAAGGCGTCGACACGCAGATCTACTACTCCCCCGAGGCCTGTGGACTCTGTACGAGTACCTTCGATACGCCCCGTACCCCTGCGACATCATCAGCGGAGCGTGATTTGTGCATGTGGGTTTTCTCGACGATGTAACCATGAGCGACGTCGAGCAACTAGAAGCCGAACACCTCGAGGAGGGTGGCGACAATTACCTCGCCCACGTCGGCATCGGACGCTGTCAACAGCGCCGACGCGGTCGGCCGCGAACTGCAGCGAGTCGAGCGAAACGTCCTGAACGGCCTCGCGGCCTAAGTTTCTCTGGCCCGCGGCGTTATGACCCGCTGTTCGATGAGCGACTCTACGTCGCAGCTGACTAGATGGAAAATGGGGAAGTGGGATGGCCACGATGAGCAAACGATTGCAAGGGCAGCGACTGGACAAATCGCCACGGTTGCTTTTCTAGGAAGCGATCCGGATCGCTTCCAAGTGTGCCGGCGTCATCGCACTGAGAAGGTCAAGGCGAACCGTGAGTGTCTCCTCTTCTCCGCCGTCTCTGTCGTCTTGAGCGTGTCACGAAAGCTAACCCAACAACAGGGGCCTTCGTTGTCTTCAGCGTCGCGGGACTGGACGTCGACGTCGAAGAAGCTCGGTATGAGCTCGACCGGGGCCGTACTCGGCTCGGGACTATGCGTCTGCTCTGTCTGCGGTGGGAATGGTAGATCGGAGGTTACTGCGTCTCGTGGGTTTACGGGACACAAACCAGATAGGAACGCAGCGAGTACAGTGACAAGAAAACCGAGTTCTAGGCATTGCGACTTCACTGCTCCGGCGTGCGACATGAATCTTGGACTTGATTCTGGTTCATTCTGTTATTTCCTTTCCTTCGGTGAGGTATCATAGAGCAGCTGGTCAGGATAGATTTGGTCATCTAGCATGAATGCTACTTGTAGACTCACAATACAAGTGGAAATACGTTCTCTACTGCCTCGATGCTACCATCATAATCGTGTGATCCTTCCACCCTCATGCTGACCCAAATTTGCGTACTTCTTTGAGCCACTTGGTCAGCTCAGACCAGGGGCTGCGTTGGATTGCTTCTCCGCTGGCCTGATGCGTGCCAGGATATTTATCACATTCTGAGCATCCATACAGGGTCTCACCGGAACTCTCGGCCTTCCGTCTTTCCTGCCCCTGGGTGGATGGTGGAACTTGTTGTCACGCGGTATCGCAGCCCACCCGAGATAACGGTCTGGTCCAGCAATCATGAAACAATGTTGCCCGCCCAGGAATCACTGAACTTCGCAGAGCAGCAGCTTGAGGATTCTCACGGCTCCGACTACGGAAAGGGGACAAAAATCCATATGGCTAGGCGTTCTGGCTTCCTCGAACAGGTCTGACGCTGGTGGTACGAGGTAAAGGATGTGATGGTCTTACTAAATGACGCGCAAGCCACAGTGGCGTTCAGGGAGGTGGCTGTGCGCCGAACAAGGTCCATAGGGGCCACCTAGCCCACAACAGATCCTTCCAGATACACACATCACGTACATCACTGGATACACACTGAATACACGATGATCAACCTTCTGAACCGTCATACACGCTGTTTAAAAGTGGCTTGAGTAAGAGGCCTCGATCAAATCATGGTCTCGGATAGGCCGCTATACCCGCATTCTATCGAAGAACTTGCTAGGGCATGGCTACTTCCATTTAAAAGTAAATCTTAGAGTGATAACAGAGAAGAGATTCTTTCTATCTACTTATATATCGTGAGTAGCCCGACCAGTACCGCTTCCTCAACGCCGAGGAGAAGCTGCAGCTACGGCTTCGGCGTGCGAGGGGGACTGGTGGGTTCGGTCAGCCATCATTTATTAGACGCAGGACATGGTGCATACATTCTTAATGCCAGCTAGGTTCACTGTGTACATACGCTTGCCCATTCAACTTCAGGTTGCGCCGGTTTGCTTCGTTCACTGTAATGTTCTTGTTTCTATTGTTCGGTGCCCAGTTGGTGACGGAGGCGCCGATACTCAAGCAGTAGTTCTTGAAATAACCCCCGCGGTCGGTGGGCGGTCCGCCTACGAAGAACGTCCCGTCGCCTTGCGACTTCCAGAACATCTCGAGGTCATCCCATATCATGCCGTCCGGTAGCAGCTTATCTGCTTACCTTGTGAAGGGGAAGGTGATTCCAGAGGGAGGTTGAGACTGTGGCGCAGCTGTCAGATGGGAGCTGTGCAAGTGATGATTGTAACAGATGGAGAGGTTGAAGGGAATGTGGCGCAGCTGCCAGGGGTGTCGAGTTGATCTCGCCTGCTCTACACCAGAAAAAGCCAAATGGAACGCACATTGCATTCCAGGCACAGTATCCGACTACTTCCCACACAAGATCCAAGTCGGAGACTTGTCCCACGCTTCTCGGTGACATTGGCATGCTCTTTTTGCTGTACTATAGTCAGTAGACTGGCTAATATAGATCCCCTAGTGGTAGAACTGACAATGAACTGGCAAAATGCGAACGGCCATGTTCTTGGGCATCGCAACGGATTGTCGGCGATGTTCTTCGGCACCGCGACGGATTGAGGCGGATCTCGACGAAGACGGAGCCGAAATAAAGGGCATGTTCTTGGGATCTCGGCCGGCCGCGGCAGAATCCGACGGATTCTTGACGAAGACCGAGTTGAAGCAAAGCCCAGACAGTAGTTCATCCAATCTTATATAGGGCTTTGCCCGGGATGGATCAGTTGTCTGGTGCGACGCATCTCTCGGCGTCGATCCGCATCGACAAGCACTTCTCGCAAGCTGTATGACCACAATGAGTGATGAGGCGTAGCTGAGCCGTCGTCGATCTCTCGCTCTCCACTCCTGAATGCCTTTTAAGGTCATGCAGGACCCGGCTGTCCAAATGAATGGTTTGTTGTCGTCATCTCCTTCTCCCTCAACATCACCGGCACCGATGTGGGCTGCAGTCTCGTCTTCCGCTAGGGTGGTTATTTCCCACGCCCCAGGTCGTCATAGTTGCCGGGTTGGCCTCCATTCAGGGGCGCCCCCTCGACATTGACAAGCTTAGGCTCGGAGCTCTGGTTGGTTTGGTCTCTTGTTAGCCTATAATCGCGCATTCGTGTGTGCACTGAATGCAAGTTGGGACAGGACAAAGTGGCTACGCTACTCACGGCAAGCTCCTCCAAGTCGGTGCAGCCCCAGATGGGGCGTACCGCTGTTGGGATTGCGCTCCCTCACCTTGGTCATGTCAAGGACCTCGATAGGTGTGTCGGGAACTAGTGGCAGGCTCTTCGTGGTGGGCGCGCACTTGTCCATCTGCTCCAGGCTGCGCAGGTTCTGGTTCAATACGCTCTTTTCGTTTTGCAGATCCTGCAGAGCCTTTCGCGTAGCCTTCGTGTCATTGGGGTTCTTGTCCTTCGCCGATTCGGATTGCCGCGTGTTCAGCCATCACATATTCGTGAAGGGCAATGGAATGGTGAGGTTGATACAAGCTGTCTTGTCGTGAAAGAGCGAACCGTATCGCTGAGATGAAATCAGAGAATCAAATGCTGGAGGGAAAGAGAACCCGAACGTCAACCCCCTTCTTCCCAGCGAGGACCAGCGGCAGCAACCGAATCGGATGACGCGGGGCCGGAGTTATTCATGATGGCGGCGTTCTTGGTGCTGTTCTTTCTCTTGTTCTTGCTCTTGTTGTTGCTGCTGTCGGTGCAGTTGTCTCTGCAGTTGTCACAAAACCCAAAGAAGAGCATTGGTTTGTGCAGGGCTTCACCTGCTTGGTCTTGTTTGAGTTAGTCGACACATACTCGCAAGCGTGTAGACCTACTTATACTCATAACTCCATCCATCTTGCTGTCGGCATCGGTAGACTTCTTGTCAGGAGCGGCACCTTTGCGCTGGGCGGAGTGTGGGCAACGTGGACCTCGCGAATCTTGGTGCCGGGCGCGGTGGTGGCCTGGCGCATGCGACTAATGCCGCCTGGGAAATGTCCAGTTGGGATAGGCGTCCGTCGAGGAGATACGGTACCAAATACAGCTTTGGGAGCCTTGTGGTCCGAGAAATATCGGCAACGGACAGGGTTGATGAGGGCCAGTGCTGACAGTTGCAACGTGCTGACGCTTGCTGGATTGATTGTAAAGTGCGGATTGAGACACCTGAGCTCTAGTTGCAAGCGGAGCCGAGGCAGCAGACCCTGAACAGGATCTGATGGGACTGTAGAAGAAAGGGACGGAGACCCAGGTTAGGGAAACGAAAAGAAGGACTAGGCTGGGATGTGTGGAAGGCAGTGAAGAAATGTGAAGAAATTCTGGTCTAGGACCAGGCTTGGCTGCGCGGGGTGAAATACTGGAATAATCTGCAGGCATGGCAAGCGCTTGCAGAAGGCTAAACTGAGAACGCTATCGGGCAAAGCGGTTAAGCAAGCGCGACCCAGGCATCAAAGAACAAAGTTACACGTGGCGGCAAATGGGAGAAAGGAAGTGGGGAAAGGAGAGTGGTTGAGATATGAGCCTTCAAAATTGCAAGGAGGAAAGCTACCGACAGTCTGGTATGCCTAGCTCTTCTAACCTGCATTGGCCATTGGCTATTACTCTTCTCGTATCTTCATTTCCCTAGGCTGCCTCTATTGCCCACGACTGCTGGGTCAGCATACAACTTCGTCTTCCTTGAAAACCTAACATCGTCTATTGAGGTAAGTTGTATTGCATAGAACCTGCCGATCCCAGCACGGTTGTTTGACCACCACCAGCTTTCTTCCAATGACCTTCTTTCCCGGTTCAAGACTTCGTGTTCCCAACCCAGCATATTGAGAGATGGTACCCCTCTTCAAGAAGCGCAAGCTCATCATCCAGAAGGCCCTTGAGATCCCGTGTCAAGGACGAAGATGCCAAGGATCCTGGTTTGCTTCTCCTCCAGCGTCGAGCCTTGATACACTGCAGTACCAACAGCTTCAAGGTCCAGAGACACCCACTGATGCTCATCTGCGATATCAACCAGATAATCATGGATCTGACACTGTTCCTCACCCTCCCGACCCTGCTCCCCAGCACCGCCTCCTCGATGCCAAGTCCTGACCGTGACTGGAGCCCCATCCTCGCAGCCAACATAGACACGGCGGACTCGGAAGCCTAGTGCCCTCGACCAGAATAGACTTGGCCTACGGTCTCAACGACTCCAAGTCTGCCAATGCCCCCCTGGGCATGGATGTCACCCTGGACATGGACTACCCTACCATCCTGCTGGAACACGCACGACCCAATACCTAGGCCCATTTTAACCACCGATCGATTACGGCCAGAGGAGATTGCGAGGTACGCATCATCGGCATCCCTACTGACTCCGAGGTGCATACTTGGGTGGTGGTGGCGGTGACCCTACATCATGGGAGGGAATGTACGACGATGTCCGGCCTCCTGAGCAGCGCTTCGCCGCTTCCCAAGCGTGGAAGCGGGTGTCGGCCCGGTTGTAGGCCAAGGCCACCTCTCCCTGCGTAGCCAGTCTATTGGCGTACGATCGCAACACAGTCGCAAACCTTCAGGCGCTCAGAGCCTGGAACAATGGACGTTACCGCTCACGCACCATTTTCGACAATTACGAACCTACTGCTTTCAACACGATTCAAACTTGAAATCTCTCTGACGGAAAACAAGGCAAATACAGTGTAAGGGACTATTCAGCCAAAGGCCACCTACCCCCCAGCCCAATGCCAACCCGGGAGGCCGAGGAGGCTTCCATCGAAACCGGGGTAGCCACGGGTAAGCTCTTCATCCTATAGACCCGGACCAGAATACATCTGACCAACCAATGGTGATCGAACACCATGGGTCTGCTAGACAGACGCCACAGCAGATCCAGTACACGGCGCCTACCCCCAGAATAGCTTGGTATCCCAGCCATCGTATGCATATCTGTCTCCTAGCCTCCGTGTTTCCGCTCTAGGAAGACGTCCCAGAGCTCCCCACTGCCCACTGGATGGTATTGCAAAGAGTGCATTAGCTGATTCCGTTATGTCACAGTGCTTTCACTCCAAGTTTGGGCCGCAGCCCATACGCATAGCGGCCGCACGACAGGCTAAACAATAACGCGGCCTACAACCAAAAGACGGGGACTTCATCATGCCCAGCGGGGGAGGAAAGTTGACTTGGGTCAACCGGTATTCCGACCTCGGCAAAACGAGACTTCAAGTGGCTGTTCTACAACGCCATCCAACACGTGATCGATGACCAGTATGTCACTCTGCCATCGTTCCTCTTTGAATACCGCTGTTCTCATAACTAACATTCTCCCTCAACAGTCTCTTCAGTCCGGTAATCGGCCCAAACGGCCAGCGAGGAAGAGACCAAAGACCTGGCGAGCAGCACACGCAGGGCTATGGACAGCTGGGAAGCCAGGCTATGGACAGCAGGCTTAACCGCACGAGCCAATACCGGCGCCTCCGGACTCGTCCAATGGGACAACGCCCACTTCGGGTGTCGACTCGGCCGACTCGGAGGAGGAGTCGAACGGAAACATCCTTAAGCCAGACGGGACGCTCAAGAAGACTTCGTGTTCCCAACCCAGCAGATTGAGATGATATCGATGTTGTGGAATCGATTCAGGCTCTGCCGCAACCTTGAGCAAATAACGCTCAAGAAGAAAACGAGCCGGTTTAGAAGGAACGTGTCCACCTCTTGAGGCCAGCCCAACAGCAACATCAACAACGCCATCATGAACGTTCCAAGACCGCCTCCTCCGTTCCCGCTGATGCCTCGGGTCCCCTTCCTGGCTCTGGCTCACGGGTGTCTGCAGGCGCATTCTTTTACGGTGAGGGTGAACAACGATTTGGCACCCAAGCCCGTCATGTCCACCTCGACCGTGAGTATACTCAGCGACGACGCGCACCTACCGGTAGGACAGAGACGAGCCCCCGGAATATGAATAGAGAGACCAATGACTGACCGATTCAGACGTGATAGAATACTGCCTCGACGAGAAACAATTCGGAAAGGGGGAGGAGGCGCTACGCAAGCAGTTCTTCAATACGGAGGGCGCCAACGGCACCACCCATCCGAGCCGCTGTTTCGCCGGCGCGATCATCTAGTCCACCCGGCGCACAGCTACATCAGAGCATGGGTGGACTCCATTTTTAACTTCAGTGGCGAGTTTGCTGATCTCGACCTCGTTTGGGAGACAAACCTTCCATGTTTTCTCCCACAAAACACACCCTCCATCTCTCCTTCTCTTTCTCCTCCCGCACAACTCTCTCCCACTCCCATCTGTATCTGCATCTTCAACCCATCGCCTTCCCGACGGTTTCCGACAACGGCGCCCGCGAAGTTGGGTGCCGTTTCTGACAACGGCGCCTACAAAGTGGGGTCGCCCCCCCAATTACCAAACACGACTTGTGCTTTCCGCTGGACGGTTGCAAGTTGTCGCGGTTCCATCTGACTAGCCACCCATATAAGTGGATGCAGACGGTCAAGAGCTTGACTTGACAACGTTCTACTTTTGGTAGTGTTACGGAATGGTGCTGCATTCCTGTTCCGTTACACAAGTGCTGCTGGTGGTGCCGTTCTCCTGCGCGACCCTTCGGTCATCCCGCCCGAAGCTACAGCGAAGGCGAACGAGTTCGCCGATACCTATGCCGGAGGACGCGGGCGGATAGCGGTCCGACCCTGTCATTTCCAGCCTCAGGGCTGTAACCTTCTCAAGAACAAGGAGGGCATCAAGGAGCACATAATGGTGGACCATATCGGCAACGAGTGCTTCTGGGGCAGCTGCTGCCAGACCTTTGCCACGACAGAGCTACTGATAGGCCACCTGGCCAGTCAGCATCTGCCCCCCGCCCACCAGATCAAGTTGCTATTTGATGTTCCATGGTCATCAAGAGATATACCTTGGATACGTCCCGGACCCCTGCGAGATAATGAGCGACTAGAAGCATTGTGACGGTTGTCTCCCCTACAACAGGGCGGACTCCCGCATCCAACGGAGACGGGACAAGGAGGCAGCTCTTTCCACCCGATCCAGCGTGTGCAGATCGAGGATGTGATGCGTGCCCTCTGCGGTCTACGTGTCCATCCCACTTCAGTGCATGTCCATATTGGACGATGCGAGGAGGCATTCAGCCTTCTCACAGTCAAGAAGTTCTGTACCATGCGGTGGTTTCTGGAGGAGGAGCTCCAGGACGCAGAGTCCACTCGGCAGACTGGACAGCAGCCCAGACAGCAGCACATACCGCTAGCCGAGCCCAGTGTCTATGGACGAGTGAAAGCGGGGCCACCATGATAGGGGCAATGGCCCAGCTTGTGTGGAAATGGCAGAAGGATCATCCTGGTCATCTGTAAGTCAAGAAGCACCTTGTAAGGAGCTTGAGGACCTCAGGCAAAGGCCGATCGGAAGGCCGGACAGCAGGTCGGACAGCTCCGACGCGAAAGGAGACTCAGGCTTGGTCAAGAATGCTAGAAATGCATTGCTGGCAAAGTCATGAAGCCGACCACTCCCAAGGCTCGAAAACCATCTGGCCGCGAGGCCAGTGCTATCGCCGCCGCGGTAGCCCTCAATGCCTCGGTCACCACTCCTGCCACTGCTGCCAACGATTCCATCTCCATTCCTGCTTTCACAAGCTTGGGAAACGGCTCAAGTGGCAAGAGCAAGAACGGCGAAAGGCCGCTCGGGATGCCGGACAGCAGGCCCCTGAGCAGCTTAGACGGCTGACCGACCACAATCTCTTTGTAAAGAGAAGAGGGACAATGGCACCACGGTGATGGAGGCAATGGCCCAACTTGTGTGATGTTGGCAGAAAGACCAGACGAGGACGAGGTGTTCTTGGATGCTGCGGGGAAGGTCTAGGGCAACAACCAGATCCTCGCGCGGCCTTCCCGCCCTATGATGCCCGAGATCATCCTCCGAGGAGTCGCCCGTGCCTGCTGCCACGAGAAGCGTCTCTGTACCGCTCGGGTCTCTGCCGAATGGGAGGACGGTCTCTTCCATAAGGATGGCGATAAGGCGATCGAGAAGCTCTTGAGTCGCCCGCCGCCCACGGTATCCTTGCAGGATACAAGCGCAATCCCTCCCAGGGCAATCCCGCCGTCAAACCCCTCGTGGATTGCTACGAAGCGAATCTCGCCAATGACCAGGAGCTGATCAAGCTGATTGACACCATTGAGCAGTCTGTTCACCCCGCTCCAACCCATTACCCTACTGAGTAGAGAGCTGTGGATACTCGTGGGGTTGCTTTGGGGTCCGATACTCACCTGCCTGTCGACCGCTTACCATGGCGTCACCAACGAAGGGAGCTTGGTCTCTCGAAACCTACGAGGCCCTGAAAGCCGCCTTCTTCGCCAACCTGGGCCCCTTCAGCAAAGAGCAGCAGCAGGCCATCATCGATGAATTGAAAGCCCAAGGAATCGTCACCACAGGCTACTAGGCAACGGAGATCTCCTGGTCGTCTGTAAGTCAGGAAGCACCATGTATACTTAAGACCAGTAGGCTAACTATGGGTTCAAGATCAAGGGGTACAGGTAGTAGCGTCCCTCAACTCGACAACCACCTGCGGGCTCACCTTGGAATAGAAGTAGCCATGCCCTCAAGCATCCAGGATGCTCAGGACATTGAGGATAGGGAGGAGGACCTGCTCTACCTTGAGCAGTTCCCCTGGGTGCACTCAATCAGAGCACCTACGGGTGACAAGCTCATCATGAAGCAGGAGATGGGCTTGTCAAGACCGTGCCTGCGGGCTTATTTCATATATGAATTAATGCATATTTTCCGTCATCACTTTGAGACGTATTTTCAAATGAAAGTTGTCGTGCCCTAGCAAGTCCTTCTCTGGATGGGCAGTCTAGCTGTCCACCCGAGACGGCGGTTTAATCGAGGTCTCTCTGAAATAACTAGGACATGATGACGACGGGGGAAACTGGAGACGAGAAGCCTCAATTCAGCTGTGCGTCACTCTCCGACACTTTTCATTGGCTTCAGCACAACCAAAGCGACCTTGTGCATAAGACCGTACGTAGCCTTTGAAAATGAGCTCAACGCATCAACTATTGATATAGGTGAGCTTCCCTGGTGGTTTCTGACTCGATTTCGGATATAAACCGACTGGTTTACCGCTTCGTTGATGGTGGTAGGTGTTGAATACACGGATGATGATTGATTCTATTGATTGTTGTGCTCTGTGTGCAGAGATTGATTATCTGTGTTCTTGGTGGGTCAGATGCCCTGTGCGTCTCTGCCCCACTGGAGATCTTCCGGTGTCTATCTCCGGCTCCCATTCAACAAAATCTGTTACTGGCCAGGCTGCAACCATGGTGACCCGAGGAATGCGGGCGACTGGAACAAAGCACGCCTTGTGGACATGTCCAGTCTCAATGCCCCAACTAAAGGCAGCATCAACAATGGCACCCCCTGTCTACAAGCAACATGACGAGGTTCCTTGCATGCAGCATCTCCGCCGCGACAACTCGACCTATGCGAGGTACACCATGCAATCTTCTACGACGGCGCGCTCTAATATCGCAAATGGTTCCTAAGGTAGACGGTTCACTTGATTCTTGGAAGAAATACTGGACGCTCGAGGACTTCGTCACGACGCACAAGGGACCATGACAAGGAGCCAGGCAAAGATGTTCACGTCTGTTGATCTTGATGGAAATCGGTCCCATCGGTAGGCCCGTCCGTTCTTTGGAGATGTTCAGGGGCACCAGCAAGGGCTCACCGGTTCACATGTTGTGACTCCGTGTCACGAAGCCTGCGGCAGTGTGCTGGATACTGGTGTTGTATTCCGAAAATAACAAGGTGGGAGAGAAAAGGAACATTTGTGCGTACAGCCGAGGCTGCAGCACATATGGTCCAAATCTCCTTATCTACTCTACACGTGACCTGATGACTCAGCATCCAACCAGGTGGATACAGCTGTACACCTTCACACTCCGCAGCCAAAGCACCACAGAACGTCCAGGCAACAGCGTTGTGCCTACCACGCAACGCGCTCCTCGCACCAACAACCATCCGCAGGATGTGAATAGGTGTTGATGGCAGGTGGATAACGCGAGCAGCTAGGCTCCCTTCCAAGTACGCATGGTTAACCGCTTTGGCTTGGCAGAGAGAACAAAATTTGTGGGAATAGAGCACGCGGGGCGGGGACGAGCAAAGTCTGGCTCGCTCTCATCTTTGTATAGTCGTCGGGAGTGTATTTGTAGTTATAGTAGTACAGGTCAATAGTGGTCAACATGATCCCCCCGATTAGCTCGCCAAGGACTCACCGGAGATACTAAGTACGGGTGGTACTATCACCCCTGGTGCCTTTGCGGGTGAAGCAGAAGTTGTAATTGTGGATTCAGAGGATTCAGAGGACGAAGACAAAGACTCGGCTGAAGAGGAGGTTTTGGAGGCTGTACAGGAGCCTAGGCACACCCGTTCGGGGCGAGCCATTCGGACGCCCGTAAGATTGTACGAGTAAACAGCTTCAGCGCTTTCGAATGATAATATTTCCATAAATCTCCGATCTGAATAGCTTCATTCGTGGGTGGGTGAATAAGGGGGTGTTTTGGTGGTGACCCCACAATTTGGCTGGCCGACTAGTAGGGGTGGCCGACTTCTATGGGGGGGATGGTATCTCCGGATTCGCCGTTATCCTCAAGACCTTTTTGGTTCTGTTGGTACATAAGTATACATCTACCACCTCCCTGGTCGTCCATGCTGCCTTCCTTGAGGCTTACTCCTTGTTGTACAGCAAGAAGTCCAAAAGGTTGCATATCTGCAGTATTGGTGTTGTTGTTGTTGAAGGTCTGGAGGTGATGCGCAGCTGCAGTGGATGTGGGCAATATGCCAACCCAAGTGGGTCACGTGACCACGCAACACTCCTCCACCTCCCGCATGTTGCCTCTGGGCTGATGACTTACGACCCACTTGAATATCCATGGAATTGGAAGCCTATCCAAGCCAAGACCATGGATCTCCAAGTGGGCAGCCTCACCCTCCTCCTCCTCCTCCTCCTCCTCCTCCTCCCGCATGTTACCTCTGGGCTGAGCTTTTCAGGACATACGACCCACTCGGAGATCCATGGAATTGGAAGCTTGTCGGAGGCAAGACCATGGATCTCTAAGTGGGCAGCTTCACCCTCGAAAATGACGAAGCCGAAGCCTGTGGCCTGAAGCTCTCAGGACTTACAACCCACTTGGAGATCCATGGAATTGAGAGCTTGTCGGAGGCAAGACCATGGATCTCCAAGTGGGCCAGCCTCATCCTCCTCCTCCCGCATGTCGCCTCTGGGCTGAAGCTCGCAGGACTTACGACCCACTTGGAGATCCATGGAATTGGAAGCCTATCCAAGAATTGGAAGTCTATCTAAAAATTGGAAGCGTATCCAAGACAAGACCATGGATCTCCAAGTGGGCAGCCTCACCCTCAAAGATGACGAACCCGAAGGCTCTGGGGCGTCCAGTATCCTTGTCCATCATGAGCGCCGCGAAGCACAGCCCCCAATGAGCATTCCTCTTTCCCTGCTTCTTGGCGACATCGGCATACCCCTTTCGCTATACTATAGTTAGTAGACTGGCCAACACACAGATCGCCCAAGGATAGAACTTACAGTGAACTGGCAAAAGGCCATGTTCTTCGTACCGCGACGGATCTTGACGAGGACCGAACCGAAGTGGTGATCATTATAGAGTTACACAACTCCAAAAACCGTCTAAACGGTACCAAGTCCGACTTGGCCTTCGCACGGCGTGAGTTCGGATCGTGAATGTGGTTCCAATGGGTGCTCGAGTTACCACCGCTGGTCTGGTCTTCGGGTCGGCACCGCAGTCGGTGCAGTGTAAGGTTTCCTCGTTGGCGTCCATGTAGTATCGGTTGACGCCCTTGACCTGGACGACGGGAGACGGGTACGTATGCACTAGTTGTGCATGATGGCCGGCGTAACGGTTGGAAACGGCATAGCCGTATAGAGTTATACAACTCCAAAACCGTGTAAATGGTACCGAGTCGGACTTCGCCTCCGGGAGACTATGGTTCGAATGTCAGACTGTGGTCCATTGAGGTCAGGGGGAGTTCAGAGGACTTACTTGGCTACGAAGACACAGGCCTCGGGGAGTAGTAAATCTGCGCGTCGACGCCTTCAACCTCGTGTCGGTTTTTTAATCGGTTCGCTCGGGTAGTACGAACGGGGGTGGGTACTCGACGGAAGAAGCTGGGTGCGGCCTGGGCAGCCACGAGCGAAGACATCGGGGCAGCTGCGCGCGATGTGGCCAACTCTTCTCGCACTAGAATTCGGACAAGTTAGGTTGCATGAAGCCAGAAAGAAGTAGGGAGACATACTGACATCATTGTAGAGTTATACAACTCCAAAGAGTTTTTACAAAACTCCAAACCCGTGTAGACGGGCCACACCTTGTAGCACTTCTGGGAGCCACCGCCACCGCCACCACCACTCATCTGGGGAGCACCACCGCTCTGGGGACAGTCACGGCTGATGTGGCCACTCTGACCGCATCGGTAGCAGGTCTTCGTGTCCTTGGGACTCTCGGGGTAGTCACAGCCTGTTACCGAGGATCAGAAAACGCCAAGCTAAGGGGGACATGGGATGAAAACTCCTGACTTGCCGTCAATGTGAAGAAGCCGACGCCTCGGGGGCATCCCAAATTGTCCTTCTCGTCTCTGGAGGGGCCAGTATCCTTGTCCATCATGAGCACGATGGGGAGTGATGGGAGCAGGGTCAGGTAACTTACGAGCAGCCGGGTATGTCGTGTCAGTCTTGCTTGACAGACGTAGTGCCCGTGTCATCTTGTCTTGAAGCGGAATCACCGCGGAGGTCTGGCAGCTCATCAGGTACTTTCCGTCGGCAGCCTTCGGCCACTCGCGGAGATTGTCGGGGGAAAGCAGGAGCAAAGGCGGTAAGCTTGTTGATCTTCGACACCACCCATGCAGGCTGTTGCGGGGGCATCCAAAAACCACCCGGGAGACACCCAATGTTGCGGGGGCATCCCCCGGAGGACACGATGTCTTGGTTGAGTTCCTGCTGCCGTCGGGCAGCATCACGCCGCGCAATGGCCTCCGCCGGTAGTCGGTTCGGCCTGGCCTGGTTGTCAGCGGGGTTGAGCCCAGGACCGTGCAAGAAGCCCGAACCTTTTGGCATCTTGTCTGGTACGTGGTACCAGATGTTGCGGGGATACCGCAGTAGCCGGAGTGGCCACTCGTTGTTGGGGTCGAGATCCGCGAGATCTCGTCGGATCATGTTCTGACGAATCTGCTGCTCGGCGTTAGATGCCATCTGTACCACGGCGAGATCAAAAGCATACTGTCAGTTGCGGCAAAGTCACGGATACGTACGGTTTCAGTAAGAGTAATGGCCAGGGAGCCTAATGCTGGCCGTAGCCCCTTCGTGAGAGATACTGTTCCGACTAGGGAGGGCAGGAGCAACGGCGGTAAGCTTGTTGACCTTCTCGATGTCGTACGTGATTGACTCGCCAGTGCGAGTTGTGGGTAGGGGAGGGTAAGAGAATAGACTTACGATCGACGGACCACCGGTCCATTGAAGAATTGAACAATACAGTAAGCCCAAATAGGGTCGGTCGGCTGCAGAAGGTGGTGAAAAAGAAGCCCATGGAGGGCTCCTCAAGAGGATGTGGTGAAAAATATGGAAGTGGGAAGGAGGAGGAACTTCAGCAGCGGACTGCAAATAGGTATATTAGGTAGAAATAGAAATTAAAATTACTGTGGGCGGAACGCAATGGAACACCTAGGGCACACGCAACCATTCGCCCGGACAATGGCACAACTAGTTGCCAGGGTAGGCACCCCGGAGACACCTCACGGGGGCTGAGGGTGGTGTAGAGGCAGCTACGGGGGACACAGATGCTGTTCACTCGGGTCGAGCGGGTCCAGTACCAAGTTTCCTACCATCATGAGGCCCTGGAAAGCTTGTGGAGACATATTCACGGGGGCTGAGGGTGGTATAGGGACATCTACGAGGAACCAGACTTGGTATTCATACGGGTCAAGCGTGTACGTAGACTCCTGTCGTGAGACCTGAAAGCTCGCAGACCACTGTCGCGAGGCCCTGGAAGGCTCGTGGAGATAGATTCATGCACTGCATCAGTTGTGGACGATGCCATTGAGCTGCAAGGTGAAGACGATTCAAGCGAGCAGACAGTGTATTCATACGCTGGACTTGGGAATCTAGAGAGGAAGGTGCCCGCAGCTCGGCGAACGGCTCGTCACATCTACCTACGCAGTGGCACATCATCTCATAGCGGTACGTGAGTTACTGAACCGAGTCGCGGCAAAGGGCTCGATGCTCACCTCGAAGCACATATGCTTCAATGTAACACGCATAGCTCCTTGGTACACTCATTTATGCTATTATGATCTCATCTCTTCTGCATTGACTGCGATCCGCGGCGAGGGTACAGCCATCGCCAGATATCCACGACGCCGATTCGGCTCTCGAACATGCGACTACGTGCCTTCCGTTCCATTTTACCCCCTATGATTCGATACACCAGCGGATTGCCAGTGTCTGCATTACCGATGGTCTTCTAATTGCCCAACCCCTGACGGGACACCGTCGTATGATGTTCCATGTATCCTGCGCGACAAGATCTCAGCAACGCCATATATGCATCTCGTTGATTGTCTGATTGATTTATTTATTGCAGTATTCAACGTCTGAGGGTAGCTGCGAAGCAGCGTAGTCCACCAAAGTCGCAAGGGCGATGGGACGTGGTAGGCAATCCACGGAGTGTGCTAGCTACCTACGTACATCGTGGCTTCCGAAGCCAATTCAACCTCCGCCAGGGCGACGGTATCAGGGCCTCCCGTCCACCCCATTCAGGACTATCAGGTCAATGGGGTTCGTTGTTCCCTATCCGCCGTAATGCCAGCGCGTGGGATGCGGGTGTCGGCCCATCTCAGCTGTCTCGGGCGAGGGTATGAGCATCTCGTACCCCTTTAGATGAAGCCCTTGAGCACCGCTGCTTCAGCGTTCAATATGGAGGAGCCAGCAGCTCCGATGACAGCTGTCAAGTGTTAGCAGGGTCGTACTATATCAGAGCAAGCAGACTATGATGGAGTTCGGGCTGGGAGTGATGGTCCAGGGGCAAGTGCCAGGATCAACGATCAATGAGTTGGTAGCATCAAGCAGGCCATACGAGGTTGAAATAAGGTTCTCCTCAATAAGCGGATCACAACCCGGGGTAAGACTGCATGAGGCGTAGTCGAGATAGAGATATGCGGATCACGGACCGGGGTAAACTGCTGGAACCGTTGTCGAAATAGAGTTTTGAGACGCATGCCGAGGAGGAAGGCGGAGTCAGGTAAACGGGGGTGTGTGATATGAATGCCAAGAGACGCACACAGGGGGAGCTCGGCGTTGTGTTGGGACATCAGGAGGGAGGCAGACGGGTACTTACTGTTGTGACTCAGAGCGACGAACTTGATATCGAAGATGCCACTCTCATCCTCTCTCACACGACCGATGCTGACAGTATAGCCACGGCTGAGTTCGCGGTCGAGCCGAGGCTGTGGCCGGTCCGGCTCGTCAAAAACCTTGATGCTAGGCTGGGGTGCGCTGGGACAGCCCAGCTTCTCGGCCTCACTGACGTATTCCCTCAGCGCAGCCTTCACGTCCTCCTCCTCGGGCGGTGGCCGGTTCTTGAAGCGTAATGACACGCACGCAGTGTGGCCATCGAGGACGGCAACTCGGTTGCAGGCAGCTGAGACTCGAAGTTCGTCCTGGTCGACAAACGCAGTAGCATCACCATTGATGGAGCCCAGGATCTTGCGTGCCTCTGTTTCCAGCTTGTCTTCTTCTCCGCTGATGAAGGGCACCACGTTGTCGAGGATGTCCATGCTGCTCACACCGGGATAGCCAGCACCGGACACGGCCTGCATTGTCACCACACTGACTGTATCCACCGGACCGAAGCGTGCTTGTAGAGCTGCAAATGGGATGACCAGCCCTATGACTGCGCAGTTTGAATTACAGACCAAGAAGCCCTTCTCCAGCTTGTGTTGTTTGCGCTGATGTGGGATCAGATCGAGGTGTGGGAGGTTGACAGTCGGCACAACAAGGGGCACCAATGGGTCTCGACGATAGTTCTTTGCGTTCGAGAAGACTGCCAGGTTCGCCTTCATGAATTCCATCTCTGCACAACAATCCGACAGATTAGCTGAAAGGCTCTCTCAGAACCGGGCTGCCTGCAGGGGGGCAATGCGCACCTATTTCCCCAGCGACGTCCGAGTCCAGTCCACTGAAGACGACATCACAGTCTGCGAACTCGCTGGCCTTGCACTCGCGCACGACAAGCTCGCCTACATCACCCATGGGGGCCGCTTGCTTCCACCGAACCGCATCCTTGTACTTCTTGCCTGCCGATCGAGAGGAGGCGCCAACCGCATGGAGAACGAAATGAGGGTGCTGGGCCAGGAGGAGGATGAAGCGCTGTCCGACTGACCCCGTGCAGCCGAGGACGCCTGGAAGAAGCTGCTTAGCATGGAGAGATTGACCGTTATTGTCAGTCCGGAGGGCCCTTACCGCATTTCTTGGAGGGGAATTGGGGAGCCATAGTGGTGCTTCAGTCAATTGAGCAATTTCAAGCTCAAGTAGAAAGAAAATGTCGTTATGTTAGGAGACTCTACGTGTATCCCGTGACTCAGGCCGTCGGTAAGGTAGACAGCGAAAATGTTAAAAGAATACCCCGCCACTGCATGATTTGCATTTGACTGCACCCCACCATCCGTCATCGGCACAGATCTGCTCAAGGGTCCGGCAGGGGTTGGGCGAAGCTTTTCGCGCTAGCGTTTAGGGGGGCGGTATAGTGGATTGGTAAGGCAGTTAGGGCCAGCGGTGAGGTAAGCGAAGCGTTGAGTGCCTATTCTAGTGACAGCCTCAGTACCTATACAGCATGCTATAGCAAAGACCAGTGGTCTTTTAGAAACGGCACGGGATTGCGGAAGCTCCGTCACCCCTCGTGTCTCTATTCACGCCGATGCTTGCCAACTGTCACCAATCTCTTACCCTTATTTCATACATCTCACATCAGCAGCCCCGAACATGACGGCTAAACATGAGCCGAGTCACGTAAAATCCACACAGGTAGGCACATAGGTAGGGTAGAAGCACCACGGTAAAGGTCGTATACCTACCATTCCTGTCTATCCTGGTGATGATACCACAAAAACAGCAAACCCTAAGGTATATACAGAACTCCATTGAACCATCAGCGCACCCCTAGAGACACATTCAAATCCCCCCTATCAACATGCCAGGTCCATGTGTTGTAAATGCTGCGTAGAAACCTCGAGCAGCAGACCAAAATTGTCATCCCGTTCATGGCATCATCAGCCGCGGGCTTTGTTGGCCACAGAACCGGAGGCGAAATGTGTGCGCAGATTCTCAGATGCAACCTGAGCAGCACGGTGAAGACGAGACTCGAGGTTGGTGTCCCCGAGCATTGCTCTGCCTTGCAATGTGAACTCCTTCATGAGTTTGTTCAGTTCCTCGCCAGGCTCGATGCCGTACCAGAACATGACATCGTTGCCTCTGACAATGCTACCGTCTGCCTTGTCAAAGAACCACGTGAGATTCTCATCATCAGACTTGACAGTCCATACCAAGCTGGGAAATTCCTTCTTGATCGCAGCAAAGAGGTTGTCAGCCACGTTCGTCAACCAGCCAGCCTTTGTGATGGTCAGGGTGGCCAGAGTTGAGTAGGACTGGTCAGGGGCAGGATCGAGCACCACAGCCAAAGCCTTCATGGGCTCGTCATAGAAGGCCTTGAACTTGCGCTGTCCCAAGAATTCAAGATAGCGGTCTACCGTTGCCCTAGCATCTCGGACTTCCCGATCCCGGACAAGGACATCCTTGAGCTTGCCCATATCTGTGAAATCAGAGACACTCGTTGCAGTCAGCAGCTTATCTCCCCGGCGGATGAGGGTTCCAGCTCCGGAATCGGTGAAGAGCTCCTTTTGCAGATCGCCAGGATGGATGATAGCGACGCTGGAAGACCGAGGCAGGGTGTCCAACAACTCCTTGATCTCTCGGATCTTCAGGCGGGTTCCGTATCTACACCACTTCTGAGTCATGAGATGGTCGAACTCCTCGTCCAGGTTGATGGCTGAAATCTTCTCTCCCTCGCCATTGAACAGACCGCCCTTCTCGCTAAGATATACAACCTTCAGGGGCTCCAACTTGCGAGCAAGTTCACCAGCCGCCACGTCGGCGTTGACGTTCAGCACCTGGCCTTCTGTTGTCGTAGCCATGGATGTGAGAATTGGCAGGTAGCCATACTTGATAGCCGTCTGAATAGGCTCCTTGTTGACCTCGGTGATCTTGCCCACGAACTTCCACTTGTCCTTGTCGAGATAGTCTGCAGTAAGAGCGTTGTGAATAGGTTGGGCTCGAACGCCCATCTCTTCCAGACGCTGGATGAGCTTCTGGTTTTCAGCTAGAAATAGCCGCCTCGCGATGCCTAGTGTCTTTCCATCTGTGATACGGATCCCTTCCTCGAATTCGGGCTCAACACCAGCATCTTCGAGGAGCTTGTTGAGTTGCGGACCAGCTCCGTGAACTATGATGGGGTACAGCCCGACGTGGTATAGGAATGACAGCGAGGAGCATAGCTCATCCAAGTGCTCGGTCAATATAGCACCCCCAACCTTGATGACGGCAAACTGTTGCGAGGAGACGCTGGAGAAGTGCGAGAGGTATTGCTGAACCTCCCGCTTGGAGCCAACGCTGTTCAGGACCTGGATAACGGCGGCTCGGGTGGTCGAGTCGAATGATCGAGCCGTAGATGAGGCGGCTCGTGAGGAGACTAGGGGCATTCGGGCCTGTGGAAGTGCTTGAGGGGCTCGAGGGGCTTGAGGGGCGCGACGAGCGCCTGCTCGAATAGCGGCGCGGGCCGCGACGCGTACAGACTGCATCGTAGCTGTTGATCGTCTTCTGTATAATCTTGGAGATTAGCTGATTGTAGAAACGCTATGAGCAGCAATTGGTGTTTGTTCCACTTCTATGGGTATCGTATGAGCAGCGCCGAAGATGACGCCACGAATGGGGAACCAGTTGAATGGCAATTGACCTTTCAGATTGACATAGTAATACACGTAGTTGATCTGGCGGTTGTTCCAATTGGAGATGCTTACTCCGCTGCTATGTATTGGGAAATGGCACTGACTGACCTTCAACTCCACGGCCTTGGAGAGCCGTGGTTGTCGGGTGACTCAGTCGGGATTAACAGGTGTCGGCAGCACAAGCAGTCCAATTGGAAGCTACAGGATAAATTGGTCGCAGTAATGAGCAGGAGCTACTCGTTGGAGACGACAGAACCCTTCAAATCACAGGATTTCCCAGGAACAGGGGCACGCGAGGGACAGACTGGACTGACAGGAGGGGCAGGTCAGTTCTTGTGCAACTGCTACCGACGTGAAGCGGCTCGGGCGGTTCTGAACTTCTGCCGGCGGTGGAGGGAGAAAAATTCTTGGGGGCGCCGAAAACCGCTGGCCGTTGAACGTGTCTCCACCTACGTGACTGCATGTGGGCCAAGGACCAATGAAATGTGAGTAGGCCCCGGCACCTGGAGGCTAGGGCGCCGCGTCGTCTTGGCGTGCTTGGCTTGGGGTGTCTCCACTTTGGCAGCTCGTGGTTGAATTGATCTCGTCAGTCTTACCCTCGAGGCGATCACAAGAGAAACACCGTTAGCGATGAAGACATCATCACCAAGTCCGGACAGTCGCTCAGGTCGTCTACGATTTAGGAAGATGCGATAATTATGGTTTCTTACTTGCTGAGACAGCCAAGAGCCTCGAATGGTCCTCTCATGAAAGGCACTTGCACACGTGAACCGCGATGACGACTACTACCCTAGAGATGTGGAATTGTTACTCCTGGTAAACACGTACCTTTGAACGACGCAGATGGATATCACCTCGAGCAGCAGCTTCCAGCATAGGTCTACAGCACAGTCTATGAAGTTGGAGACGGAGGCGCGAAGGAGATACTCGCCGCGTACAGTGACCGTCTGACGACGAGCCACTGCGAAAGAACATGAGAACGATCATACCTTCTCTGACTCAGCGTTCTTCAACCAGATTGATGAATGAGGAGCTCCTAGGTGGCGAGGACCACTTGGATGTCGTGTGTGATATTAATGTTCGCCTCTGCGTTGTCCAGAGCGTAAGTACCCTGACTCCTACCGTCATCAAGAGCTGCTCCAAACTCAGCGCTGAGAAATATCCGTTCAATGCCATGGAGGTTGGGTATTTCCAGACAGTTGGAGTCATCCACTATAAACGCTATTAACATGGAAGCTGACTACGTCGTGCTGCCAGCGTTGTGCAGGTGAATTATCTCATTAGTGTTTCAATGTCGTGAGAGTTTGCCTATAGGCAGGGTCTCGGCACTGCATTTGCTATCATAGCAAAAGCCTGGCTTAGATTAAGAGTCGGCAGTATAATCACTGCAAGCAGCAACTGATAGCCTGGGAAACCAATTGGGACTCGACTCTACTGGCCAACCAGCTACCTAGGTAGGCCATTGCCCCCGTGACTTGTCCCCTATCCAGTATACGGGTTCTTCCAGCCGCTGGCTCTCAACCCTACCCGGTCAACCAGCCGCAATAATAAAATTTGCTGCACTCTGATAAATTCCACATCCATTCCTTTTTCTTCTTCTTCTTCTCTCCCTTCTCACAATACCTTGCCATCCCAAATATTACTACTCCACGTCACGAAAAGGAAAAGAACATAGTTCCCATCACTCATGTGTTGGCATTCGCACCCAATGCCCTTCATCTGATGATACCTACCTACTTCAGTCACTCGTCACAAGGTCATCTTGGTCCTCACCGCGCTGGCCGGAGTCATCCTGCCCACCGCCAACCGAGATGCATCAAGCATTCATACAGTAGCAACCCAAGGTTTGTCCACTCTGACCCCGACACACACAATGGCCCCAGATAAAGAAGCACTGAATGCTAACAATTTATTGCCTACACCTCGAAGTCGCCAAACACCCGTCTCACCCAGCGCTTCAGGCTCGTCCCGTTCGTCCATTGACAAAATGGAGGTATCTCGACGTCGCTAAAGGCCCCGTCTCAACCAGCCCTGTCTCTCGAGTCTGCATGCACTCTACACCCTGCCCAGACCCGCCTCGCAGTATCGGTCCGCACTGTTCTCGCAAGATGGCCGACTGCGCACCAGGCTACGAGCCACCGCAGCATGGACACCCATGCTACAATTGTGGCATCAGTGGTCACTGGTTCGCCGCTTGCCCCGAGCCTACTCGGTAACTTTCCCCGTAAGTAAAGTCCCAACATCTACCTGCGTCGGCTGCACATACATCGCCTAGGTGCATAGCCGAACACCAACCAACCCGGCTCCTTGCTTGCCGACTTCGGCCCTGGGTACACTTTCCAGTATGTCAAGGAAACTTCTTCTCACTTTGCAACCCGGTTTCGAGGTCAGCCACCCCGAGAACCTGTGCATGACTCCAGATCCCCGCGCGGGCCCCCGGGTCCCCGAGAGAAGCCAGACAATTGTCTGCCAAAGGCCACCTGGCAGATAAGAGGAGAGTCGGTGGACGTATGGAGGGAGGGACGGTGAACGGAGGACCGAGGACGTTGAGAAGGAATAATGCATGAGACAGTGTCGCCTTCCGCCCTTTCGAGATGGTGAAAGATAGCATCAAAGAAGAGAATCCTTAACGAATCGTTCATCACCATTCTCAGCAACCTCATGTGCGAGGACCAGGACCGTGCTGCCACACGCGACTACCACGTAAAGCATGCCAGAGAGGCTGACTGGAGCTGGGTTGATGACAACTGTAAGCCCATTGACGAAATTGCCATACAGAAGCCAACATACTGACAAATCTGATCAGAGGTCCTAGGGTGCTCTTCATTCAGAAGCTCTAGAGTGTCCTGGCAATGCGAAATCGAAGGTCGCGTCATTCACTGCCGGGGCTGTTCGTACAACTGGCCGGCTTGGCCACAGCAGGTATGCATTCTTTTCAACATACATTGCCACCATATTTACGTATGTCCAAGTGCACTTGCGGTGATGACTCCACCACAGGTTTAAACTGCAAAGGCCATCCCGGCTCCGGGCGCCATGCTCAACCCTGCCTGCCATGCTTTGGCAATGCCGCCATGTCTTGGTGCTGCTGTCGCCGCCTCTGCTCCAGCGGGAGAGGCTTCCTGCTCCACGACAGTCCGTTGTCCCGCTGGCACGTTGACAGCCTTTGTTGGAGTGTTCGTGACGGGCACCTCTTTTCGCCATGGCCCATGGGCTTACGCCTGTGACAAGCGCCTACGCCATGTGGTGGTTTTGTGCACGTGACAAGCACCTGCTGACAGGAGTTTTGCTGACAGGAGTTTCTGGGCAGTCCGTAGCATTCTCGAGGAAATTCCTGAAGACGCAACGGATAAAGGTACATATAACCCCAAGATCTTGCAAAGGCATTTTGGCTAAGGAAATGTTCGAATAGCAGTGGAACTCCAGTACAGGGGCAAGTTTTCAACACGATTCCCTTTACAGCATGTTCCTTGTGCCTACTCAGTACTGCTTTCACCCTGTTACAGCGCACCTTCTCACTTTACAACCCGGTTTCTAGGTCAGTGAAAGGCCAGGCTGCTTTTGTGAGCTTTTCGAGCAGCAAGCACAAGGAAGATGGTATTGGTCCCGCCTTCTGGTCCGGGCTGATGACCTTGTCGGTTCGGCGACATTGCCGGTACCCCTGCTGCTGCACCTCATGGTCTTCACAAGATAGAAGGAGTTTACTGCGGCGAACGGACCCATGCGTGGCTTGGCGGCTACACCCAAGAACCGGTAAGAGCATTCTGCCTCTATCACTAAATCCACTACTAACCATCAAGTAGTGGTACCAGGGACCTCAGTACAACAACCAGTTAAGTGGAAAGGGGGAGGAAGCTGCGATCAGTGTTGGAACCGCGACCTGGAACGATTTCCTTGTCTTTGGCTTGGCTCTCGAGGGTTTACGGCGTCTTGATGTGGAACTCTTGACGCTGTCTATCAACCACCGGGGCGCGCACATGATGCAAGCCTCCTCAGGTTCCCCGTCATGGCGGCATGGGTGGTCTTTGGGGGATGCTGTCGCAAGAGGCTGGGTGGGTCCCAATCCTCACACTGCCTATGACGTCCTCTGTACTGACCTGACTGTAAACGACGGTGTCGTTTTCGAGCACTCTGCCTCGCCCAAGCATGGTATGACCTTCGAGTAGCTCCGAAAGCTTCAGGCTGCATACACAACATCATGTAAGATCTGGTTGCCCAGATCGATTCTCGAATAGACAAAGAAGCAATGGGGGATATTATGGCCTGAATCAGCCTGCCGACAGGAAAATAAGGAGTTACATAATCCGGTTTTACAGTGGCCCGACTGCCAGCGACGACGGACGAGTCGCCAACACCGTGACCAAACTTGTGGTTCAATGCAACTCAGAGGGTTATGACGATACGCTCGAAAAGCGCTATCAGGCAAACAAGCTCCTGGTTCGCGAGTACAGTATCCGAGATGCCGTGAGCCTCACTTGACCGAATCTGACAGCCAATGCACATGTGGAGGCCTACCTGGAATGTTATCCTGCGCTCAATGTCTAGCAGTATCGTAAGGTGCAGCCCATCAAGGAATACGACCATATGGCCTACATGCAGGAGCGACTCGACAATACCGCTCGGGTAGGTGCTGAGAGCTCCGAACACAAGAACACTCCCGAGCATGGATGTTGAGTGGGAAGACTGAGAAGATTTGGTTGCTCTCTTGGTGGAGGATCAGGATTGCGAGCTGGTGCATAGAGTCTGGCCTCACTCCCGACCCTGCGTTGAAAACCTACCACAGACTGGTCATCCGCCACTGCTTGTGGTGTTGTGGGAGGTATCAACCTGGGGTAGATACTGGAAGACAGCCCAGTCGAACTCGGCGATCCCTCGTGCATCTCGTGGCTTTTTTATAATCCGCCCTTTATGTGCTTCATACAAAGCCGGCTGACTACAGCAAAGCAGGTGTTGGATGCCCCCGCAACAATTGGGTGTCTCCCGGGGGATGCCATCAACAACATGGTGCTCTGGGGGTCGGATGCCCCCGCAACAGGCTGGGTGGTCTTGGTAAAGGGCGACCATACCAACAACGGATCTGGTTCTTGCAGCAGAATGGTGTGGTGTCCAGACGGACGAGTCTACCTTGGACCGTCGTCCAGACTCCCTGGCCAGGGCCATTACGATCAACGTATGCTTCTGGGTGGACGCGACTAACCTCGTACGTCTACGAATACGACAAGGCATAGACGTACAGGCTATGCTGAACGAGGTGACCCGGGCCGTTTAGGACACTTCAGACACTACCTAAGGATGGAGTCCAAAGTTAAGCACTAGGCGATAGAGATATTCCATAAGCTGTCGTGTTCCAAGTATGCTGACCTTACTACAGGAGATTCCGAGATGGATGCTGATGATCCCTTCTTCACCGAGGTCATCAATCCTGAAGCTTATCTGGAGACCGAATCATCTGGCCCGTATCACCCAGACATGGACAAGACCGATGCTGGAGCTGTTACTGGGTAGATCTCACCGGTGGCCTGATCTTTGCGGCATGTCTTTAATATTGAGCACTCGTCTAGGGATAGTGTCATCGGGGTCGCAGAGGCCATCAGCAACAGGCTGGAGGAGTGCTTCAAGGGAGGAACCCCTAGAGTAGATACGTATCTACTCATCGAGATCCGTCCGAAACTGCAACGATCACCTTCACACCAGTGCGCCACCTACGACAACCCTTCGCATGCTGCCGGTATCTCGTCAACTGCCGTCAACACGATGGAATCCGCGGCGCTGCTGGTGCTCATCCTAGCATGGTCTGTAAGCCCATGACGTGTACAGAGGGGGGCCATGAGTTCAACAGGAGCATGAACACCGGCTTCACCATATCCGAGTGAACAAGTCATCCGGTTTCGACATAGTTGATGCGCAGGATGTTACCCACAAAGTCACAGTCCCAGATGAGGCTCTGGACAATGCCGGCAGCACAGTCAGAGACCTTGAATTTTTGGTTACCATGGGGGATGCTGCCCCACAACAGCACCTAGGTACAAAAAAAGGCCCAGGTCGAGCGTGATCTCGACACCCTCGACCCGAACTGCCAAGCTCCTGTCATCTACCGGCAGCTGCTCTTCGACGGCGCAATCCGCAATGCAGACACGGGTGATAGCGCCCCTCTTCCCACTACCACCACAGACACGTCGAGTCTCTGGCCCCAACACAAATAGACCAGGCGGATTACAAGGCAGGTTCCTACTCGCCTTCCTCACGTCTCGTCAATTGACGAATTGGGCATCAGATGGCTCGCAGATATTCATCGAAGTCTGGGGGTTGGATGCCCCCGCAACAGCGTGGGTGGTCTGGGGCTCTACCGTCTATTCCAGACCGAAGTCGCCCTATTTTCGCTATCTTTGGCCCTTCTATCCCATGACATTTACGTGCACCTAACACCACACGGCAATGGATCTGGGACGTGGTGAAACCCGACCCGGATCCATACTGCAGCTGTGATTCATAGATATCCACCTGGTTCTAACAACCTTAGTGCCTGCGCGATAATGGCCGATTCACGGCCAACTCCCTGGCATTAGTGCTAGAGATGGTTTGTCATGCTCTGGTGCTGCAAACACTGGGAGTTTTTCGAGAACGGTGTGGTGTGTTTTCAATATGACGAAGCTCGTAAGGTCGATGACCTGGTCCTTGCAGTTCGCCTGGAGCGTCCTGACTACAAGAGGGTGGGACAGCCGCCACGGACAAAGCCCAAGGTTCTGACCGAGAATGCGGCTCAGCAGACCGTGACCAGCCATTTGCTCAACCCCCGGGACAACCCCAGGACAGAAAAATACTCAAGCTCGCCGTGATATTCAGGGCGGCGATAGTCCCGATCCGGTGACGACCAGCGCCGAGCCTCATGCGGTTGGCAGGGGGTGCAGATGCCCCGGCAACAGCCTAGGTGGGAGGACGTTTTTCTGAGCTCAGATGCTGCGTGCAGAAGAACAGTCAACGCCTGTTCCTGCAACTCTTCAAAGCAGTCTTGGGCAAAGCGACTGCTACAATCAGATCCTTGTGAAGAACCTCGGCCCGCCGGACTTCAGAAAAATGGCCTGGGGGTGCAAGCAGGCGCTTCGACGGGACGCTGAGTTCCGCAAGGTGATGCGCCGGGAGGGCGGTACCGACATCCTTTACGATCTGCCACGGCACTCGGACGTCGTGCCGTTGTACCATTACCCGGAGTACAACGAAAACCTGTATATGTTTGCCGGGGAATACGATTGCCTAGGTGGCCACCTACATGTAGGCAAATACAAGGCCGACGACTGCCACATATCGAGTCCACCGTGGACAGATTGGGAGGACCACCGCAGTACGACTGCGAACGAGAGTGCTGCGAGCCTGCAAGCACGCGAAGACGAGCTGCTTCGTCGTGAAGAGCGACTGGAGGCTAGCGAGGCCATCTTTGAGATCTTGGGGGATGCGGATGCCCCCGCAACAGCCTGGTGGTCCTTGGGGGAGCTCCCTCAGCATCCTCGGTGGAAGAAGTTGATCTGCGCAGACAACCCATTGGTACATTCGGGAGCTGATCCCGGGCCTTCGAGTCGTTTCTCGCTTTGAGTCAAGAAGTGTCTTCGAGTTAAGTCCCCCTTCCTTTTGAGTGCCCTCTCCCACTATCTGATGCGACCTGATGCTCTAGGCATCGTCGAGTTCCCCTCCCTCCGAGTCGTCATGGCCAACCCGGATGGCTAGGTCAGGTCCGGTACCGGTCCAAGATCATTGACGAGGTCATGAAGCACCGTGGTGAAGACCTCATGAGCCCCAAGTCTAAGGCCCGCTTCAATTTCGTGGTTTGCGATGAGGCCCACCTCGTCAAGAACCGCGCCTCGACATTGCACAAGGCGGTGAAGTGCCTCCCCCGCGACATTCGGTGTCCTCCGGGGGATGCCCCCGCAACAGCCTGCATGGGTGGTCTGGGGAATGCTTATAAATCGAGCCTTCACCTGGTTGCTAAGTCAGATTGGTACATGGGCTGCAAGCTGCTCTTGGAGAAGAGCGTGGACTACACAATACGCAACAAGTAGTATCTCAACGAATAGATGCTCGGGGACTGTACTTTTCTCAGGAGAAGGGTGACTAGCAGGAACGTCTGGACCCCCAAGCTACTTTAGACAATCACCTTCTGCCAATGGTCACTCGCGTTCTTGATGCATGTCGCAACTATCGTCATTTTTTCTCACGCTCTACTTGACTGCTTCCGATATCTTGCGGATGCCTCCTCATCCTCGGTGGTTCTTGGGAATGCGCCCCGCAACAGCCTGGCTCAGATCGGTGACAGAAATCAAGAACCTCTGTCGTAACACCGCTTGGCGAATTGATGCCAATCGCTGTTCTTGCGGATATACTCGAACGGCAAAAAACGACTTACGAGTTGGGAATTGCCTAGGAGGCATTCGACCGGTCACCCACCACGGCAATTGTCTGTGCTCCGCGCGCCCAGAGCCCACCTGAAGCCCGAGCACCCTGTGGGCTGGCGCGAGGTTGAGGCCAAACACTTGCCTCATGCTATCGCGGCTGGCCCACACCGAACCGCAGGAGTTTACAATTTGTTTGCCGAAGAATGTGAGCTACGAACTTCATGCCAAGCCATACCACGTGGCTATCGAGGAAGTCTATATATTCAGCATTGAGCTTGAAGCTCAGGCTTCGGCACATGACGCCGACGTTGTGGTCACGGGGCGGATGCCCCCGCAACATCCTGGGTGGTCTGGGGGATGCTCCATCAACAGCCTGGGTGGTCTTGGGGTGACAACACAAGACAGGATGCTTCGGACTGCCGAATAGTCATCGAGTTGGCAACCCGTGACGCCTGGGAAGAATCGAACAAGCCAAGTTGGCAACACGTGACGCCCGGGAAGAACCGACCCGGCAACCCGTGATGCCCGGCCACACATTGTTCCAAGAGCCCGCGATGTCCGTGGTGTGGCTATCAGCTACAGCTGGTAGTAGCGGCGACCCCTGAATCCAAGCTCGATTCACGAGAAACCCTCGACGCGTCGTACTCCAGGCATACTAGATCCTGATGGCAATGAAGGAGATGTGGCAGGATGCGGAGAGACAGTCCGACCAAGGCCGCAGGAAAAAATGCCCAGCAGCGGACAGTCCTAGCAAGCATTCAATCTGATGACGATGAACCAGTTTACGGCTCCAGGAAGTACATAAACCGATTCGGTGGAAAGGAAAGGGCAGATGATGCGAGCCTCCTCAGGTTGCCCGGTACAGTGGCATGGGTAACCTCGGAAGGCGTCCATCATCTTGGATCTGGCGTATAGCTTCACGAGCACCCAATGATTTGCTGCAGCTCGCAATGGCGATGGGAAGCCAAAGTGATCCAGGAGATTGAGCGCACTGCTTTCGATCTGAACCCGAAGCTGAAGGCCAACGGAAAAGGAAAGGGAAAGGGCAAGAAAGAGAGCAGTAAATTGTGCAAGGTCAATACGTATGACCTCGAAGTCTTGATCGAGGCATTCGAGGCCATTGCGGACATGGGATACCCGGGCGGAGCACACCAGATTCAAGGGGATGATTTCACGCCGACCCACCCGGGCTTGGAAGAAGCACTGTCAGCGTTGGCAGTGATAGTATCGTCGGTGCTTCGTGGAAGTGGCCCGTCCGACAGCCTGGATATGGCTATCACCAGCCCCAACCCCAGCCCCAGCAAGCATTCAATGCGATGACAATGAATCAATTTACGGATCATACAAGAACGGATTCGGTGGAGGGAGGACAGATGAGCGAGCCTCCTCAGGCTGCCCGGTACAGTGGCATGGGTAGTGCTGAGTGGGTGCTCCCTCAACAGCCTAGATATAGCTATCAGGAGCCCTAGCCCCAGCAGCAGCAAGCGTTCAATCCGATGACAATGAATCAGTTCACGGATCCAAAGTATACGAAGGCGCGTCCCCCCTCATTCAGGGATGGGTGGTTCTCTTGATAGGGGTAGTGATGGTTGTGGTGGTGGTGGTGGTGGTGCCGGTGGTGCGCATCGGCCGCGGTGGTCATCCGGTACAGATGGCGTCGGCTTCAACCATGTACTGCACCAGAAAGGGGGACTAGGGGAATATGTTAGCTCTTCTCTAGTATCCAATTAAAACAAATCTACCATGCCGAAAGTTGAGCACCAACAACGTGAAGAATCAGGAACAGCGTCGAATCAACCTGTATGCCTGTACAATTTGATTATTCCGTGTGAGTACCGGACCTCTTTGTCTGACGCGGGAATCCGTACGCAGGGTCTTACGAGTCCCACAGTGACGGTACGCTTTCTGCCAATCAGGGAACGGTGAAGCGGCCGAGAGTTGAACATAAACCCCTCGATGCTGTACCATAGACCGCCGCCACCTTCTAGCCTTTCGAGAGAGAAACCCCTCGTAATGCGTAGGTAGGCGACATGCCGAAACAGCAACAACCTCCGCCAGCACTTCCAGTGAGAATAAGCCAAGGAGCGGTCCTTCGACATCGTTTACCACGAAGGCCGCCTCGAGAAATTGCTCTTCCTCTCATGCCATCGATAAAAGACCTCCACACCTGGAAGTAGTGTCTATGTCGGATAGTTAGCCGCAAACACCGCATATTCAGTTGAAGAACATAATCACTTACTCCCTCCCTCCTTGAGTTCATCACCAGCAAGCAACCCAAGCCCGAACGAACCAACCCACAAGCACAAGCACAAGCAACCAGTGAGGAAGAAAAATGGATGGATGGCACCGGCTCACTCACCTGGAAGGACCTTGCAAGTACTCTCACCTCTCACCTCCCAGCTCCCAGCTCCCACTAATTCATATCAGGCCTGCCAGGAGGCCCCTCTCCTGTACTCACCCCAACCCCCCTATCCCAGCACCCGCCCAAGTCCGGAGAAAGCCTCCTCCGCATCACAACACTCTCACTCTCCTGCCCGTCCCCTTTCCCAAATCCAGCAACCCCAATGTCTCCCGCAGGGATGCCGCCCGGCTCTGAAGGCTCGCAGCGAGCTTGGCGGCTTGTATCAAATGCGGTCTAGTAGCCGGTTGTAGGTCGTACCTTACATAAGCAGAACAGAGTCGTCCGTCGGAACTGACGGGGGTACCTGGTATAGAGACAACTGTTTGTAGGAAATGTATTTATGGGCGGGCTGATATATGTACGAATGTCGGTGGTGGTCGAAATATGTAAGTGGTAGGGGTGATCATGTGAAGGACCATCATGTGAAAAGACTGCAGACTGCAGGCCAAAAGTCACGTGGGCGGTTCCGTAACATCTCATAAAGTTTGAATGTCAGTGACACATTCAAGGCTGATGTAAGCAGTTCCAAAAGTCTCACCCGGGCTGGTTCACAAGATGTGGTAGTATCTCAGCAGGCCAAACATCAGGCCACATAGGGGAGGGTCGAAGCAGATTGGTATTCGGGATCATGAGATATCTCAATTAGTCGGAAAACGCCTTGCCATCATACATACAAGTTGGTCCTCCGCAGCCCCATATCCATCGTGCTTGGTCGGGTGGTGACCCGACCTCCATAAGTCCATGCGAGGTGAAGAAGAACCCATCAAACCCAAAAAACAAACTCCTCGGTGCTGTGCGATCCATGATCGATGATCAGGATCGCGTAGGTGCTCATAGCCTGCAAGAATCAACCTCTCATCCTATCGTCAAGACCAGTTTGCCTAATTCATGTGTGTTGTACCCAAGCGGCGCTGGTGCTTAGGGCTTAGTGCCCTTTAGTGGTTGTGACCACTGGAAACCGCGTTAGAGTCGAATCGTGGCTCTGCCATGGAGGACACAATTTACCAACTGGAACAATGATCACGACAAGGAGAAGGATGATACCAACGATCAGGCACATTCTCATCTTCATGTCCTTCCACCACATCTGCTTGCGGACACGGTTGGCACCACGGCGGAAGCCTTGGGCGGAAACAGCGAGGTTATCGGTCTTGTCTTGGAGGTTGTCAAGGCGTTCGCCACGTTGAGAGACCTTGTTGATGTTCTCTCTCATTACACCGACCGTGTCATCGATTTGCTAAAGTCCCCATCTGTCAGCTTCCTGTGTAACATCCGAATGACGTTGCTGGTTGTTCCCAATCGCGAGTGTCTGTGAAGTCGAAGATGCCGGTGCTTGCGGACGCTGCAAAACCACTTGGTGTGGACAGAGTAGCCGAAGGATAGGCTTCTGGGCAGCTCTGGAGGGCTGAAGGATGGTAATTGCCATCGACTGCGCAGGAGGTCCCATCGATACGACCAGCTCCATGTTGTTGCTTCCATCGACCGAAAGCTAGTCGCATCTTGATAGTCGCATAGGCATCAACCCCGAATGCTGCGGGCTACCAAATCAAGTTGTGTTGAGAAAAAAGGCTGCTTGGAGAGCTTTCGGCCGTTCGGTCTGACCGGGTTTCTCGTGACATTGTAGGCTCGCGACCAGGAACAAATGCATCCAAAGTCAATCGTCTGTAGAAGCAAGATGACTTACCGCCTGCAGCGCCTGTGTTCTGGCATTGCCACCCTGCTGTTGCTGGCCTTGCTGGCCGCCAGCCGGGATATAAGGGTCGTAGGGAGTGTCTTGGTTCGACATTGTCGCGGTTGGTGCTGAGGGATCGGTCTGGAAAGAATGGCTCAAAGTCGAGCGGACGATGTGGTGCTTGTCGGGAAGACAACAGCAGATGCAGTCTCGATACGTTCGTGGTTATGACGATGGAAGTCGGGTTGACTGGTCGGTATGCGGGTATGCGGGTGGGCGGGAGAGTGTTGGAATGAGGAAGAAAGAGGTTGGTAGGTTGGCAGAGGAGCGGCGGGAATGGAGATTATCTGGCGGCGAGAGGCTGCTCTAGGTGCCCGTCACTGGTGGCTAGGTGGCTAGGTGGCTCGGTAGGCCTGGGCGCAGGATGTGGTAGCTCCTGTAGGTCACTGTAGCAGCGCGGAGTTTAGCGTGGTTTGTAGGTGTCGCGCGTCGCTTTTCTGTCTTCTGAGACGGCCGGGGGATTGCAAGGGCCCGGGCGAGAACTGTTCACAACTTGTTTCAGCCGTGCTGCATCACCCCGTTCGGTCAAAGCCTCAAAGGTTACGGCCAGCGGCAAAATGATGATGAGGGTAGGTAGAATACTTATCTGTTTGTCCTGCGTAACAAATCGCTATTCTATGTTCTTCTTACAAGTTGCAGCTGTCATCGAAGTCGAGACATGAACACAATCACCAGTGAATACATTGCCGCCCAACCGGCTGAATGGCCTGATAAATAAAGCTTCATGTTGCCAGGGTCTTAAAATACGATATTAAGTATCGTATTAAGTATCGTATTTAGGTTATACGATACGATACGAAGCCATACTATCGTATACGATTTGTATACGATAGTATGAAACAAGGGCGTAAAAGTAGGACTTTTTGATATAACTTATATATCTTTCATAAAAGAGAGAAAAATAATTAAAGATATATTTAAGCGTTTTTCGATATTATTATCATTTTAATAACTATCAAGCTTTAAAAATCGTATTATTTATTTATAATTTATATATATATATATAATTTCTATGCATAAAGTAAATATATTGTATATATAAATATTATATTTATATTATATTTAATAACTATTAATATTAATATATTATAATTTATTAGATATCTAGATATCTTTATGGTCACGATGCCTGCGGCGTTGTATTGCAATCTAGTGTTGATTACAAAAATAATCAGGTAAGGAAGGAAAAAGAAGCCAGCATAGTGAGCGCAGTACATACCTTAAGTGGTGCACTCGTTCCTTCTTTATCTAATCTACACGTGACCTGGTGGGTCACCCAACCAGGGACTAGGTGGGTGTACCGTCATATTTATAATATTAAAATAATTGTGAGATTCTAGAAGTGTCACAAGCCTTAGGGGTGTGAGCGGTCACTGCAAATGTTGTTGTCATTCTCAAGTATGTTTGGCAGGGCTAATCTACAGCTAAATACCATACTGCACCATGCTAGGGTAGATCCACTGGTCCCCTGGCAGCCCCCTAGCGGGTACTGTACCTAAGGGCACAATATCTGGGATCCAATATCTAACAATAATCAAATATAATTATTTAACTTTAGCTTTAAAACGTGTTTTAAATAGAATAAAAAAGTTTTATCATAATATATAATAGTATATAATATACTATATAGTATTAAAATCCTATACGATACGATACGATATGATACGATACGAAATGAAATACGAATACAAATCGTAATTTTAAGACCCTGGCTTCAACCCAAGTTCGTTCATTCAAAGCCTAGCACAGAGACGAACAGTGTTGGATTAAAGGTGAGCCCAGAGGGCACCTTGACAGGTAGACAACGGAACCTAGTTGTTCCGTCCCGATCCAGCCCCCTTTGGCACAAAACTGCCACGGTCGCACGAGGACACTCCAGACAGGGACCCTACACACACACTTCACTCTCACGATTGGCTCAAATCTGACAAACAGCTTGTGACACCTGCACAGGCCAGGCGCAACATGCGCAGTCCGGGCTTGCGCCTCCTTGCCAGCCACGTCAGATGTCGTCAGTGAGTGGCGGTGCATTCCAATTTCTGACACCGAAGAGACAGGATCAGGGCATCTTTATCTCGGTGCTGCGCCGCAGCTGGCAACCAGCTGAACTAGAAGGGTGTAAGTGTTCGCCAAGAAAAGGTAAGGTCGAAACATCAGAGCCCAAAAGAATGACAACGATTTGCATCTAACAGTCTACTTATAACTCCATGTATGGCCAGATTCTCACCACCGCAACATTCAACCAACAGACATCAGTTTCTCCTCTTCTTCTTACAGATAAATCCGCGTTATTCTCACTAACCATCTTCGACGGTAACCTCATTATCTTCGACCATAATATTTTTAAGCTCGTTGATGTGGTGCTTAACAACCTGAACATTGCTAGCGCCAAAGAGGGCCTTCACCTTGTCGAGATATTCGTTGTTCAGCTTACGTTGGTTCTCAATGGCTTTAATAGCTACCTCAACCTTGGCGTGCTCGTGTCCATCGCCCCCGTGACGTACTCGTCGGACACTGCCCAAGTGGCAATTACGACGTTACGGCTCCGTCTCGCGGTTGTTTGTCAACTGATGAGCGGGTAAGTCATATTACAACACCTTTCCGGTAGAATACTCTAACCCCTCGAGAGCCGATCCGTGACCTAGCAAGCGCGGCGTTGGGTATCGCAGCCATGTCTACTCAACCACATCTACAAGTGTGCAACACGGCTGGCTCCAAGTCTGGGATGTTTTCACTATTCCCCCTGTTCCCCAAGGAGATTCGCATCTTGATATGGCAGCATTTAATGCGACGCCGACGCCTTATAAGACTTCAGCTTAGCCCGCGAGCGCGAACGCATGCCGATGGTGAGCCGGACCTCGGCGCCAGAATCGGACCGGCAACCCCAACCAGCGACGGCCGCCACTACGATGTCGTCGCGGAAGGATGTCAGCTACTCAGCAAACTTCTCCGAGTCAACAGCGAAGCCAGGCAGGAGGCCCAGGCGTTCTACAGAGTCCATGTGCCCTGTACATTCAGATGGAAAGGCGTATTATCGGAGCCCGGGTTCTTGTTGCTCAATCCGGAGCTCGATGTACTTCATCTTCACTCAGGGCAGGGAAGGGATAACTTCGCAGACTTCGTCTGTGATCTTTCTGCACTTGACCCTCGGGGGATTGGTCTCCGCAACCTCGCCTTCGGCTCCAATGATGTCCTCTCTCTCCTAAGGACAGACTTGACCGAGTCTGACGCATCTGCGCGGGCTGTATTCTTGGACACCCTTTCGCAATTGCAGGAGGTCTTCCACGTCGGAGAGGTCAGTCAATACCAGATAATTTCAGTGCACATAGCAAAACTGATGTCTTTCGATGCAGGGAGCCGCCGGCCGAATCTACTTCGGGCGCCGCACTGGGATGATCGCGATACGAAGAGTCGAGTTCCATCGCGGCTGCCCGATCATGGCGAAGACGCCCACGTTCGACCTACTACCTCGCGACCCCCGTCCCATCGAGAAAGACCTGCGTCAAGTCTTCATAGGCACGGGCGACCCGCGAAGGTACGTCTTCCTCTGGCGCAAGCTGCTCCAGGGATGGGGCATACACCCGCCACCGTCTATCGAGTATCGGTTCCTCGTTTTCAACACCAAGTCGTACGGTGAGATTGACATCACCGACCGGGAGAGTGCCGAGGAGTGGCTCCGGTTAGAGAACGAATGCTGGATTGAGGGACAACGAACGAATGGCGTCACGGCACCGGTCGAGAGCGCGGAGGATCTGGAGGGTGCTGTCAGACCTGCTGTGGGATTTTGGTTGTTCCCGATCGAATCGCTTGGCCCGTTACCGGGAGATGAGGAGGACTATGACAGGAGGTCCCGGTATTGGAAGTCTCAGATGATGCCCGATATGGCCGAGTATTGGCCTCAACTCGGGCTGGCAAGTTTACCCTAATAAGGGGCAAAGAATCTTCGTAGCCAATCCGAAAGCCGTCGCGTTTGATGAACCCCATCAACCCACGGCGAACACGGTCCAAACAGTATGCCCGACATGCCAGCTCGTTTGATCAAGCTCAACGCTAAACACTGGCCTGGTGCCCCGTGGGGATTGGCGGTTCACACTTGAGGGCTACAGCCTACCACCTAAAGGGGTTACATAGTCCAGCACTGGATGGTACCTACCTTTACATACCTAGGTATGGTCGCTGTAACCTATGGTCGAAGACATATGTGCTCTTATGTGCTCCTAGCTGACAGGCCTGAAGGAGAATCAGATTCCCGGTCGCCGAATATCTGATTGAACGCAATGCGGCAATGTAATACCTGTTAGCGGACGGTTCGTGGGACAACTCAAACGTAAGTATCACAACCTGTCTGTGGTACCGCAGTCAATACCCGCCGGTTCATCCCCATGCGCCGGTTTTCATGCTCATTTTGCTCATCGAGGTGGTTGAATATAGTCCACCGCCGGCTACGAGCACCTGTACGTAATTACATGCACATTACATGCACATGTAGGTATGCACGTCTGCCAGCATTGGAACAGCTGCCCGGTACCTTCCCGTTGGCGACTCAAGACTTAATAAATTAAGCTTCAGCCTGGTCCCGGAACTTGAACTTACCCGAGGACGAGAATGTGGTAGCGGGAGCCTTTCCAAGGTTCCAACCTTCCCCGCATCCGTCATGATTCGGGTGCTTCCATGTTGGTCATCTCATCATTCGACCTGCCCATTCGTTGTCATACCCGACTGTCAGCGGGCAGTCACTGCATCGAAAGATCTGCTGCTCTTTCTTTGTCTGACCAGACGTACCTTGGCAGCAAAACGGGGAGGCTCCAGCTGTGTCGCGGCATCATTTTATCATCGTTGGACTCATTTCGCTCTTACCCCGTACTACCTCACAACGGGTACTAGCGATATTGCAATGCCGCTCTCCTGCAGGGACCTCACCTCCTCCAATTCCCTATGATTGACCGAGATCGAGCTGATTCTCAGGGCCGCTCCGCACTCGAGTCACAGCCATGTGGTTCGCTTGCCGAAATGCCGCATTTGCGGTAGCCTCACTGCTCGTATCTCCGTGTCTGGTCCGCTCATATGATCTGGATGTCACCTCAACTGGCAAGCTATCACTGACTCCACCCTTACACACGAGAGCTGTATCTGACTAACGCTGAATTTCCAGACTCGATCAAGAGCGTCTCCAAGCAGATGGCGCAAGATTTGATGTCATTCTACACCGGCAACCAACCAGGTCAAATACCCGGTCTTCTGCCGAACCCATACTACTGTAAGTCAATGTCTCGGATCTCGAGGTCGGCCCGTCGTTAAACATGTTCGGCAGGGTGGGAAGGAGGTGCTCTTATGGGCGCCTTGGTTGACTACTGGTACTACACGGGGGATACTACCTACAACGACATCACTCAGCAGGGATTACTTCATCAAGTCGGCCCATACAACGACTACATGCCTCCTAACCAGACCTTGACGGAAGGCAATGATGATCAGGGCTTTTGGGGCATGGCCGTCATGTCCGCAGCCGAGTACAAGTTCCAGAACCCGCCGGCTGGGCAGCCACAATGGCTGGCGCTCGCGCAAGCCGTCTTCAACACCCAGGCCGCGAGATGGGATACCGAACACTGCAATGGCGGCTTGCGCTGGCAGATATTCCAGTGGAACAATGGCTACGACTACAAGAACTCCATCTCGCAAGCGTGTTTCTTCAACCTCGCCGCGCGGCTCGCGCTCTATACTGGGAACAGCACCTATGCTGACTGGGCGGTGACCAGCTGGGACTGGATGCGGAGCGTCAAGCTCATTGACGAAAACTACAGAATCCGCGACGGTGTGTCTATCAAGGATAACTGCGCCACTCTCACCCCGTACGAATTCTCCTACAACGTCGGCGCATTTCTCGTTGGCGCCGCTGCTATGGTGGAGTACACGAACAACACCAAGCAGTCGAGTGACGTGGACATGTGGCACGATCGCGTAGATGGACTTCTGAACAACACCGAACTCATATTTTTCTACGGAAACGACACAGCCGATAAAGTCATGATCGAGATCGCCTGTGAGCCGGTCAACCTATGCGACGTGGATCAGATGTCATTCAAGGCGTACCTGAGCAGGTGGATGGCAGCGACGACCAAATGGGCCCCCTGGACTTTCGACCGCATCAAGACTCTTCTCCAGAACTCAGCCACGGCTGCTGCGGATCAATGCACTGGCGGTAGTAATGGCCGTATGTGCGGACTCAAATGGGCCAACAATAGCGGGCAGTGGGATGGCACCATTGGTGTCGGACAGCAGATGGCCGCGATGGAGGTGGTATTAGCCAACATGATCCAACAAGCCCAGGCGCCCGTTACCGACGGCACCGGCGGGACCAGCGTAGGCAATCCCTCAGCGGGAGGATCCGACGAAGGACGATACGACCCGGTGACATGGCGCCACGGCTCAATCAGTAACGGTGACCGCGCGGGCGCCATCATCTGCACGGTTTTCGTCCTCGGCTCGTTCCTCGCCGCACTGGTATTCATGATAGCCGACGAGACCAGGCCCGCCGCGGCAAACTGGGACGACTTTCGAACTTCCATGTCCGTCCTGCCGCGCGGCAGCCGGCGGCCGACGATGGACGAGAAGGGGAAAGGGGTCGGGAGCGATCGGAGTTCGAGCACAGGGACGGACGAAAAGATCCCAGCCGCATGTGGAAACTTCGACCGGCCACCCCCTCCTACGCGACAGCCCGATGGCAGAAGGAAGCGCCTCGAGAGGCCAGCGGTGAAGTTTTCGCCGGCAAGCGACACTACGCTGACGACACCATCGAGAGCCAAGCGCCACTCGACGCGGACACTCGACCCACGCCCATCGATTTTGAAGAAGAAGCCCCGGCCTCTCTCGGTATGAGACTCGGTTGTCCGTTCGGAGGTATGATGGTATTATGATGAATCACGGCTTGGTGCATGGATACGGCGTTCTATACATGGAGTTGGGTGGCTTTGGGTCGGCATTTGGTATCTTATGGACCCGATGACTCAGTTTTGTAGCATACTTACCTATCCCATGTAGCTCTCGAGGCGCCGGCACGCATCGATATCGAGCTGATTGGTTGTATGATGCTGTAGACAGGCTGAGTGAGCTAGTTACAATAGGGGGTTGCGGAATGAAGATGTGTGCGAACGAGAGTAGATGAACAGCGACTGCATGCGCGACTGGGCTTCGTGGATAGGGTTCTCGAATGACTGGATCGATACCGACGGGTCGATATTTTGGAATGTTAGATTCTAGATGTATCTGTTGGGAGATCGAGATGCTGTACGCACCTTGGTCAATACCTTTCATGCGTCCTCCCAGTGTTACGCCCATGGCCCGGCGCGCGGAAGTCCTCGCTACGGGCACTGGAAGATAAGATGATGGGCGGTGACCAGTTCCCAAACCTGCTCTTTCCTCCGTATGGGGTTTATCGAGACGCGAATCTAGGCGGAGCAGTGCGGTGGGGATTAGACGCGGTACCCAGGGGCCGTACTTCAGGACGGTGATGTTCGTTGGTTCGGCGCCGCTTGTTCGGGGTGGCTTCGGTTGAGGTAGATACGCGAGGACGAGTGGTGCGAGGTTGAGATACACTGTTAAGCTGGGGGTCATTTGTCCCGACCTCGGTAACTGAGCCGGAAAAGGAAAAGGGGGAGGCGTGTTGGTGGTGTCGAGTAGTTGGTGATACGTCCCGATGCAAGGAAGTGATGGTCAGTACTGGTACGTCATGGGAGTGTCGTACGAGTACGATGAGTCGATAGGTAACATCTATCCCCCAAGGAGCACCGGAAACGGCGCCTGTTGGCTCCCCTCTGGAGCAAGTTAGGTCTGGTCGGGATATGGTAAGGTAGCTCCACCGGGTCTCAGGGGCTTCCGTCCCCAGCCCCAGTGGTAATGGGCGGACACCACGGTCGTAGAGGTAGCAGTCGGGGATAATTCCGTTCTAGAGGCGCGAGATCTAGCCTTGAAAAAGGCCCAATGCAAGTACACGTCTCGATCAGGCTTGTCCGACATCTCATCAGCTAGCCGCTGCCGACCTCGCACGAGCTGCGGAGCCTTGGACCCAGGACGCGGGGACATGGAGTGAGCTAGGAAGGCCCTGCACGTATCGACACAGGGTTCTCGCTTGACATGAGCTGACATGAGGACTGGTTCATCCGTTCTTCTTTTGCGGATTGGAACTGGGAAAGAGGGTCAATGGGTAGCGCGTGATTGGGTTCTCGGAAGCAACGTGATCTCTGTCCCAACGATTGTATTGTACTGCCTCAAAGTGAGGTAGCTAACGGAAATAACTCGACAGATTTAAAAAGAGAGTTTTGGGTCAAACTAGCCTGGTCAAGGCAAACATGAACCCAGATACGTGTAAACCGAGCTTGAAGGGAATGTGAAGCACCATACCAACGCCAACGCCAACACCAATACCAACATCAACGTCAACACCAACACTAATGAAAATACCCACACCAATGCCAACGCCAGACTCCGATACGAACAAACAGAAGGAAAGAATTTAACCTGCAACAACGACTCCATCCTCCCCTCTCAGATCCAAACCCATCTTCTGCGCCTCGACTCCCGCCGCCTTCTTGCCACTACTTCCCTTCTACTCCTGATCTATGCCGGACATCCCTCACTTCGCCTGACCATCCTTACTGTCGACATGGGCCCGCGCCTGGTCCCCCGCCTTCTGAACTTGATCCCGCAGGGTCTTCATGTCATCGGTGGTGCCCTTGTTTTATTCGTCGCCTTCCTTTGAGCTGAGGTAGCTATCGATCGAGTTCGTGATTTTCGGCGTTTGTTCCTCGAGAGCCTTCATCGCTTTCTCGTAATCATCTCCCGATGAGGCCATCTTGACAAGAAGATGGGTATAACTGTTGTAGTTCGATAGTGTGTATGTTTGATAGGATGGTAGCGTCGAAAGGAAGCTGTCCGTAGTCTGATGAGTGATGAGTCTTCATCATCAGCAAGACGACAAAATGTTGCCCTTATACCCATGGTTCTCCCCCAGCACCTGCTGGTTATCTCGACACCAAAGACCACTGCTTGATGCCACAAGTTGGTGACATCAGGCCCCATGATACTCGCAAACAGTCATCGTATGACCATCACGTCGCCAGATACCCGAACCGCAACATCACAACCCCTCGAGGACAAAGAGGGTGCGAGGCCGCGATTCTTCTCGGTCGCTGTTGGTCCTGCATGACCTCTCCCTCGTGGACAAAGAGGGTGCGAGGCCGCGATTCTTCTCGGTCGCTGTTGGTCCTGCATGACCTCTCCCTCGTGATCCATGTTTGCTCGAGTTGGCCTTGCTGAACAAAGGAACGGAATTTCAGAAGCCTTTTGAAACCTCTCGACCGTGCGACTCGCAACTTGTGGATGTGATAGCGAGGAGAGAAGGCGATGTCGACGTTGGCATTGTTGGAGCGGGCCCCTTTTCCAACCCATGGCGAGCTTGCCATGTCACCCGAACATATGCAGACGGGCCTTTCACATCACGTAACCTTCTTCGGCCTTCTTCGCAGAGAGAGCTCTATCAATAACGTTATCCAAGGCCACGAGAAACTCTCGTTGGCCTCTATGGAAGATTAAAGGTTGCATGACGATCTGCGACGTGATAAATCCGAATGGGCTGACCCCCTCCCAAGCTATGCCTCTTCCATTGCCCATTTCACCCGCGCCGGTGCTGTGGTTTTTGGGGTAGTACGTGTAACGTCGGGCCAAGGTGTTGGATGGCAGGCAAGCCACTGTGGCGTAAGGGAGGTGGCAGTGCACGGATAAGGGGCCATTGGGGCATTTTGGGGCCACGCAGCCACCAATGCCGAGACTTCCCAACACAATCATCATGATCAGCACTGAATACACGAATATCAACCATATGAACCATCAAGGAACTGTCTGACACCTTCCACTATATCTACAGACTCTGGAGCCAGTCTTCTAGGAGAATTGATCGCCGTCATCTTCGCGTTCAAAACCTGCTTGATACCTAGATTGACCTCATCTTCCCTATGAAACCACGCGTCAGGATCTTACAATAGTCTATGCGTCTACGCGATGCTGAGATCGCCGTCGCAGAACGGTCACTCTCGATGTGCACTAGCCAGATCTAGCTTCCAAGGCGCATGTATCACCCGGTAGAATCTCTCGTGCTATGTGACGAGGGCGTCTGGACCAGCCCCCAGGAAGTTGGTGACAGTGCATGACCACGTACGGATCAGTCCCCCAGATGCAAGGGCAGAGAATCATCAATTGAAATATGTGGCATCATGTCTCTTTACGGGATCGTTCCAACTCTTTCGACGCTGTCTCAGCTTCTCGAGCGCTCCTCAATTCCCGAGACACAGACAAACACATGCTGCAGGCATCGTAGCTTTGTTGTCGGGTCTTTTGCCGAGGGAAGCAGAAGATGGGTTGAACGACTTAGCAAGGGGAATAATGGGCGAGATTCGACTGATACACAGAATTCATCGATGGCGACGCCATCCATTTATACCGTGCGCGTGTACGACTACGGAGAGTCGAACCTGGACGAATATGGCCAATATTCCATCTGCCGGATGCCTACCCCATCTCCCATCGGCCTGTCAGATCGCTGGAGTGGCTGAATCGACTGGGACGAGTGTAGTAGCCGTTCCGTGGCACACGGCCAGGCGCATTGCCGCTGCATCGAGCCGGACTCTGTGCATCAGCGAGGAGCATCTTGAGCGAACGATGTGGTCACTGTTCAAGCTGGTGCTACGATCTCGAAAAGAATTGCTGAATTAGGCTGTCTTCTTCGCGTATGGCCAATGAGATGGGAAGAGGTAATCGATGCCCAATGACGCCGACTGGATCTCTGATCTAACACATGGTTCATCTAGATGCGTATGTAAGAGTCACATGGCCGGGCGATGGAGGCGTTCGATGTAGTCTGGCGTGAGACGAGCGAGTATCTGGTATTGGGCAATGTCTCGGGTCGATGTCGGAAGGATGTCAGGAATAGAGAAGCAATTGTGGTAGTGCAGGAGAGGAAGGGGGAGGAGGACTCGAGGAGGAGGAGCTGGTTGAGACAATGTGTACCAAATAGGTGCAGCCAGTGCACAATGCAAACACCAAGGCGGACTCGAAAGCAGATATGTAATGCTTGATCGTCCTTTCCCGAACACAATCACAATACCTACACTCTCTTCCATTTCTCTTTCACCATTGCCAACATCGCCCCGTTCACAGTTCACAATAACAGCAGGAGCGACGGGGGCATTGACGCTGGACCCCCTGCACTTGCCAGAGTGCCTACCTTGCCTACCGCGCCTACCTCCAGCACATACAAAGTGGTTGGTCTATTGGAAACTGCCATCACCCAACAAACACCCACCTGCACCTTGCACCTGCACATCAACTTATCTCACCTCACCTGCTCGTCGCCCCCTTCAGTTTCTGGCCTCTGTCTTTGGCCTTCCCGGCTTCCCTCTCACAACATTTTGTCCTGCGCCAACTTTTCCAAGCAGACCGACCACCCGCCTTGGCCAACCTGGACCACCTGACCACCTGACAGACGAACTGACTCCCATCCCAACTCCAGTAGCACCAACTGAGATCCCTTCCCCTCCTCATCCGCTTCTTGGATCCCGCATTCTGTGCATCTTCATACCAAACCCACCCCAGCAACCGGCCTCCACACAGTCACTGAGGTGGATGTCGGTTCGATTGAGTTGAGTTCTTCGTACCTATTCGATATCAATACTGTACTGTCGCAAACTCCTTGCGACGGCACAATCAAGTCAGTACATGAGCACAACAATCACCAGCGACACCCATAAATACCTTCGCAGACGATCACCATGGCGCCACGTCCGGATCGCCCTCCCTACGAAGCTGGCGTGCCACTTGATGGGGGAGGAAATACTTCCAACCTGGCCGGCAGCCCGTCCTCGTTCTCACCCACCGGCCTGGAGATTGGCCTGATAGTCGGTGTCATAACCGTTGTCATCCTCAGTCTTCTTTGGCTCTTTGTCTGGCGATCGCGCAGGATTCGTGCCGCTAAGAATGCCGAGGCCGCTGCTGCTTCCACCCGTTTTGACAACGATGCGACCGACGCGCAAGACTCGAGCGCTCCAGCACCGCTCCCCAAGGATGATCGCACGAGTACTGTCGACACTGACGAAGTCTCCTCCATTGAGCGACCTCCTCCTAGTCGTCGACGCCCTGTTGTGGACTGGAACCATTGGGTCCACCCGACCCAGCGCAACACTGGTACGTCAAGAAGGCCTCAGACCTCTGTGCATCGCCTGCTTTAAGATTCAATTGACCACTTGCTAACGGCCTACTCACTACGCAGTCGAGGAACACGAGATAGCAAACCGTGTCTGAGCATCATTGCACGGCACCACATTTGACACCACGAACATTACCGACCCAGCAACTTACTTACAACTTTGGACCAGCTCCGTGATCCTCATCTGCACCGCAGAAGACGATGCTGTTATCACCACAGGACAGATCTCAGGAGGCGGTTATTGGAAGGAGAATCTCGAGACCAGCTGGCTTCACTGTCTCTTTCTTGTCACGATGCTTGCTAGTTAGACATGGCGGATGATGCTTACTGCCTCTTCGAGGAAAGTTACGGAAAGGAAGACACAAATTCCAGTTTTGTTCATGGATTCAGAGGGAGTATATCGGCACTCTTGAGTTGGGGCAGCAAATGCTGGTCGGTAGGATCTTTCTTGCCTCTATGTACTATGGGTATACACAGGACATCTCTGTGACTTCTATCTGTCTTCTTTCGCCTCTTGGGTGACCACATTCACACAACACCGAGCGCTCTGTTAGCAGTGTCTTCTCCTCTAGTCACCAACCATCACGCCATTCACCCAAGCAGACTGGTGTAAGTCCGGTGCGAGGACGTACAATGCTGGTGGTAGGCATCCCAATCCCCTGTTCCATGTGTCCCGTTTGCACTCAACCAACATCCTCACCGGCAGCAGTTTCCACCCGTATCCAGGCAAACAAGATGATTCATGCATATAAGACATTCACAACACATACATCATGCCGGGCTTGGGCGCAGTCCTAGCGTCTCCATTCCTTTGCCAACGTGGCAGGAAACCAGGCATTCGATGATGTATCATACATGCTCTGAGAGATTCAGACAAACAAGGTGACTCATGCATGCTCTGATATCCAGTTACGGGCTGCTGCAATAAAGACCAAGTTTCCATCCCTTCATGAAGCAGATTTGGAGTGCAAACGAAGGCAGACTGCAGATGTCTTTCTTTCAGCTTCACCGCAATTGCTTTCACCGCCTGGTGTGTCTCTTACACGTCAACGATATGTCTCTTACACGTCAACGATATGTCTCCTGCACGTCAACGTAAGTGGAAACTTGCTTCTCGCTTAGCGGAGGGCGGGCCAGCTTGGGGCACCACGTCGGGTCACCACGTCCGGCTGGTATGCTGGCAGCAGGCGGTGTCATGCATGGCTGCAGGTGCGTTCAGCCGTCAAAGCCCAACACGGCAATGCATCAAAACCCAACACGGCATTGTGAGGCTCAAGCCCAATGGAGTTGGCGATGGCGCAAACTGAGCAAACTGAGCTGCGTCGACTGTTGGGAAGGCTCACTGAGTCACTGCACTATCTCCAGCACACCGTCAGTTGGTTTCTGGGTCATGTATGCAGTGCGTCAGAGATCCGGCAACTGGCCTCCGTCATCCAGCTGGTGAGCAAACGGCCAGATCCTGTCTTTGACAGTTGAGTAGCTCACAGCGCTATCTCCAGCGGACCGTCAGTTGGTTTCTGGGTCAGTGCCTGCGTGTGTGTCAGACATCCGGCAACTGGCCTGAGTCAACCAGCTGGCAAGCAAACGGCCAGATTCTGTCTTTGACCGTTTGAGGTTTGGAGCGGGCACCAACCAACCAACCAGCCAACCTACGTCAGAGACCTGGCAACTGGCCTCTGTTGCCCGGCTGGTGAGCAAACAGCCAGATGGAGCCTGTCTTTGACCATTGAGGCGTTGGAGCGGGGTGACGGAGAAAGAGACCGCCTGCTGGCCTTGGGCTTCCACTGAGTATATGATCCCAGCCTCGTCGCAACATCTGGTCCTCAATCTCCTCACCTGCATCCATCATTCTCAGTCCAGTCCCATTGCCTGGCGCAACAGGGGAAGAATATGGTTTGGAGTCTTCTATAAATACTGAACCACCATCATCTACACAGCTTTTCTTCATCTAGTTGTCTTCTCCTCTTCAGTTCAGTCATGACATGACTGAAACTTCCGAGGTGGAATCCATCAGCACCCATCATATATCTCCCAATGGGGACTCACCTACCGCAGGTACAATACAGTACCTGAGCTCGGGGAAGTGTCTGTACCGAAGCACTCTCGTGAGTCCCATACCATACCCAGTTCTCGGGCCAATATTCCGTCATCTCCTTACTGACTTTGCTTGGCTTGCTAGCGCCCAGGTCCTTGGCGTACACGCTTGTCGGTCCCTGGACCGTGTGAGACCAGTGTCTTGGTAGGTCATCCACTCTAAGCCGTCTTCGACATCACGTATTGACCTTTTCAGTTACAGGGTTACCATGGCTATCGACATGACAGGCCAGCCAGCTAGGTATGTCTTCAATCCTCCCCTCAGAAGTCCACTCCTCTTTTCCGCTTGCTGACTTTTGCCGCTGATAGGCCGCCTCTGTCGGGTCTGCTGCCCCCGTTCACCCGTTGTGCCGATGCGGCTTGGAACGTGACCAAGCTGGCTACTTTGCTTCGTCGCCAATTGCAACTTCTTGCGTTTCTCCATACTCTCCATGCCGAAGTCATCCAGATGGGGGTCCCCTTGCTACAAGGCAGCCTGGTCTTCCATTGTTTTGGTAAAGACTGGCGTGATCCAGCCAACCAGGCGCTGTTCGAAGTCACTGCTGCGGATTGCGTCCCGAGGAGATTGAAGCGAACGGTTATCAACGCCTTGGGATACACTCACACTGATGGAGAACCGGAATCTGAAAAGGGGCATGTACTTTTTACATGGTACATGGACGTACGTACCATTTCCATTTTTTGATCATCTCATCTGAGCCACGATGGCACGAAATACCTGTTAATGTTTCTTTTTAGACCCATTATCCTCTCGCAGGCCTCGTGGAACGATGCCCATTGCCGGCTCAGCGAGGATGGCGGTGCGTTTTGAGGGACGCAGGGATCTTCACCAACTGGCATCGATGAACGACGCCTACAACTTCGACGCAATCCCGCCTGAGGATGGCTGTGCGATAGTTGGGCATCTAGCTCTGCGTGAGGGGTGCCGAAGTCGGTCGCGCACTTCATGGCCCCTATCTCCGAGGAAGCGAGGCCATCCGACGCGATCAAGCTGAACTTCATGCATACAATCACATACTTGGTCAGTGTGATGCAAGATGTTGACGAGGTATTCTTCATGATCTCCTCCGATCTGGCAGCGACAGCACGGCGACTACCCACACGATAGAAGAGTTGCGCATTGTTCTCAATCAGGACGGCGACCGCGGACGTTAAATTAGAGAAATCTTATATGCGGCTGATCCTGAATATGACAATCAATCCAATTTCCCACATGATCATATTTGTGTCATCTTCCGGACGTGGGCTGAATTAGTTGATTTTGATGCAATACTTGGCATCAACACAGGAGGCGCTGGTCTGAGGTTACACGAGTCCGACACGTCCACGTCACAATCTGCTCACGTTCGGATCCGGCACAATGGCTCAGATGAGGGAAGCGGCGGGGATACTGACCAGGGGGTGACGGATCAACCGCCCCTGATGGTGAGAGTGAGTCTTGCTCGTCTCGCGACTTGCTATTCAGAAGCTAACATCGCCAAAGAATACCGGCTCGGATCGACCGGGTCGCAAGCAACATCGGCTTCATGTAAGAGAACTCTCCAGTCTTCCCCATTCTGTGATTTCCGTCCTTTTTGAAGCATCTTTTCTGACACCACTACCCCAGACACAATGAAGCACGTATACCTTTCGAAATAGAGCGAAGGTCGGGAACTTGTCCGCACACTGCAATTCATATACAGGACCTTCTACATTTTCTGCCTACAGCTCAGGATCCCAGGTGAAGATGGCGGCGAGTTCACTTCGGATTTTACAGCATTGTCCGCCCTCCCTGACCCCTTTTTCACCTCGCGCCCCGGCCCCTTGTCGGCCATACAGTCCCGGGATCCACCCTCCTGGGCTTTTCCCAGCTGAGATGGAAGTTATCTTCCCCTTCAATACCTCTGACACTTTATTGACCAGTTACTAGAGCGTGGCCGTCCACTCGGCTGGTTGCGAAAGACATACGGCCATACAACAAATACCCATGACGCTGGGGAATATTTTTCGACCTGGAAGCCGTCACACGCGTTGGAGCCGCGACCTGGGAGGATATCCTTGTTTTCCGCTTGGCTTTCAGGGTCTACGGCCATCTTGTGGAATCCTTGACGCCGTGCGATCGGTCCGATCCTAATGAATCCATGATCGATGAGTGCGGGTTCAACTGTGGTGTCTTGCTCGAAGGTATGGGAGACCCAGAACGCATCGCCCACCATCAAGACTGTCCCAAGAATACGGACTCGCTACCGCATGACCCAGACTTCAGGTTTATACGAGACCGGTACGGGTGGTACATTTGCGACGAATGTGGCGACGAAGGAATCCCAGCAGACGCCATCACGAGCCACTAACTTATGCCTCTTGCGATCCGAAGGCTATTGACGGGTTGAGAACTTATCCATGCGAAAAATGCAAGATACATTTCAGAAAGAATATGACTTTACGTGCCTACCTTCTACGCCAGCAGAAAGCTGTTTGCCGCTCTCCAGCAGGGGGCGGAAGGGAAATGCACCCATGAAGAAGTCGCCGTCGAAGGGCACTGCGTCCAGCTCAGCTCGATCTCGAGAATTTTGAGTCTTCCGACAGAGCCACTGCTCTAAAGCCCATGAAATATGCTTTGGAAGACTTTTTGGCGACTGGACTCCCAACCTTGCCTGCTGGCACATGGTTCCAGACAGGAAGCCAATGAGATAGGACAAGATCGTCGCCAACTTCCGCATGATCATTGCCCATTACAGGGGGAGTCGGACCACTTGTTGATCTACGAAAGGTAGACAACAAGTGCCACACGGCGAAGACGGGCTCGAACGACACTTCTTCGCGTAGGCATGCTGTGTACACCTTGGCCTTTGCGCGGGGCGCCATGAGCCTGTTCGACCTGGCCGGCCACGAACATCAGGACATGAACCCAACTGATCTATTTGAACACGAGGTCAGACTGAAAGCAGACTCGGTGTGGAGCATATCAGGGACGGCATCGAGTCGGCCAGCCCTGTCCTAAGTACTCTCTTGTACTGGAGCCCCTTTGGAGATTGTCGTAAGGCGAATGTTGCAACGTTCCCGAGCCATAGAAGAACTGGGCGAACAACTGGACGATCTCTCGGACCCTGCTCGATCAAGATGGCTTCGACGATCCTCCCAAAGCCTGCTGTCCAGCAGCTTAAGGAAGACCTGCTGATGTTGAAACCGGCAAGGAGCGCGAGCATCGACACCCATGTGATATGGGGCAACCTGAAACGAAGCCAGTGGAACGCCTGGCAGACAGAAAGACCACCAGAGCATCTCCGCACGTTCGGGATGCCATGTAGGAGAAGTATACCTGATGGGCCCGTTCAAGTATGGGCCGGCAGATCGGCAGACAATGAGGTCGTCGATATCCAAACCAGACCCGACGTGAGGTTTTGTCATGCTCTTTTCCCCTCCCATCGCCATGCTCCTTTTCCCTCGGTCCTGCATAACTAACCAGTCATATATGATAGGGACTGACCGCGGCGTGGAAACCGACGTCTTCGAAGGGGCACAGCAAACGTACTAGGGCGCCTCTGCCTTGCTCGTCCCCTTCTCAAGCACGATGTCTGCACTATCTCACCCAAGCTTATTCGGCCTTCCCACCTAGATCATCCTCAAGATCTATGAACAGTTCAATGTCGACCAGCCCTTTATAATCCACCTCAGACGACCCTCCACCCCTTCTATCCATGCGTTGGAGGCCGTCATTGACCCCATCGAACCCATTTCACCGCGGGGCTTGATGCCCTCGGGACAATGGTCACCGGGATCTATACCAGTATTACGAGAGTTTAACCTGTCATCGCGTGATAGTGAAGATGCAGGACCTGGCCGAGGATTACATTAAAGCGAACTACGATCGACGCGCATTGAGAGAGAAAAAAGGAACCATTCGCCGACGTAGCGATGTGGAACAGGCACGGACGCAGAGCTCAACGAAAGCTCAGCAATGGACCACGACAAAGAACTGGCCTCCTGCCAACACTTGCACTCGAGGACTGGGCGTTCTCCTTCCGTAGTAAGTAACGACCTTCTCTTGTACCACACTGCCATGGCTGACGCCCCGCCCCCCAGACGAAACAGGCGAGCAGCTCCAACAGGGAGTCACCTACAGCATGATCTGGTTGCACGACCAGCAGGCGGGCCTCGGCGTCGACGTCATGCCTTCGATGGCGGTGGTGGAAGGAGGGCTGCGTATCGCCCGCGTCGAGACGCAGTTCCTCCACTGTAATGGACCAGTTCGATGGGCTGCTTATGCGAATTTTGCAAATATATACGGTACTCACCCAGCTTTGCGGAAGACCAAGCCCTCGGTTGACAGCACCGAAAGCGGTGGTCGGGGTGACAGTCACAGGATGGCGATATTGCCCTCTGCGGCACGCCAGTCCTAGTCGATAGCCCGGAGGGACGACGACTCCCAATGGACCGATGCTACTTGGCCGGTACTGTGGCTCCCATATAGAAGCCGACCGAGCATGTTTCGAGACTCTCGAAGGAGTGTATTACGAATGCGACTAGCCGATATTCGACACTCATTTCGACGTTCCAGCTATGGGCCGGCTGGATGCTTACCTGGCCCTCCGGATGACCCAGCATACCGAGAAGAAAGCGCCAATGGAGAGATCGCAACATCAGCAGCACCAGCGTTCGGGTGAAGCTGCTCCTGGGATTCTCATCAACCTGATCCCTCGTCTGTTTCTGGTTGGGCTTCTGGCTGGAAGAGCTGCGTCCTGGCGCGTTGTAGTTGGTATTGGTCAACTACCGTGGAGTGGAGTGGATTCCTAGAGCTCTGGGTCCATCTCGTCTACTGCCTATGAAGCATTCGTGGGCTGACAGCCCGGAGGAACGGAAACCCGCAGTCGATATCTAGCTGGGGCGAACCGACGCATTGCGCGCCAACCCACAGACATCAGTACTGTCTTTGCGGAGGTTGACTCGTTCCTTGGTGCGAAGAATCAACAAAGAGAGTTGGACGACGAGACCCCTTCGCCTTCAGCTGCGATCCTTCGACGAAAAGGATACAAGTGGCAGCTACATGGGAAAGACCTTCTCAGGGGATCAGGCGCCAGCCATGCGCAGGATTGGTCCGCCGGTTGACGAAGTCACGAAGAGGGTTGGACGCGCCAGTGTCGAGGCAGCTTGCCACGCAAGAAGAACACGCGGAGGGGGAGGGAGGAGAGGGCGACACGACGGGTAACGCGCCCGTCAACGCTTTCCAGACCTTCATGTGTCTGTACGGGAGCCATCTCCGGAAAAATATAGAATCGTAGCGTTACTACGTCCACGCCGGTCGGGTGCCATCGCAGCGAACTCGATACTAACGCAAATACCAATATATATACAACTCGAAAAATCACCAACGCTATTCCACCATGTCACTTTTCCTTCTAACGACATCACGACGCGGACTGCAACGCAGTCCAAACCAACTGATGAGTCGCTCATTGCCAGAGACACTGAAGAACATTCTGCGATATGCCCGTGGACGCCGCGCGTGCAGAGGGAGAATCCCATCGTCGACACGGTTTTCAGCTTCCAGGGGTCCACCGTTCCAGCCGGCGGGCAGAGCTGCCTGTCCAGAAGCCGGAGACCCAGAACATAAGATGAAATCACCGAATTGGCAACCCATACTTTGGTTCCTGGATTTCTACATTAGGGCCCAACAGCTGAAATGCGAACAGCGCGAGAGCGAATACGAGCTCGATCGCCTTCGACAGAAGAACCGGAGATTGAAAGACAATCGCGATCCAGCCGGGAGGGATGGAATGCGACGAGTTTGGCATTGGCCAAAGAGGTGGAGCACCTCCAGAGTGACCGAAGAACAGCTTCGAGGCATGCTGGACACACTCATTCTGTCCGCTCCTGAGCCCAACAGCATGACATGCATCGTCGACACGAGCACCCATGAACCCAGTGCACGGCACCTACCAGAGCATGCGTTAAGTATGGAATCCGGTTTCATCGTCGCTTTGGATCGATATGCGGCTACAGTCACAACGCGGGATAGAGGCGAAGCAAAAGACGCAGAAGAAACAATCAGGAATATCCGCCGCACCTTGGACGGCGCTTCCCCGAGCCCTACCCCGAACACACAGATGAAGAGTACCATCAACCCCTATATATACCAGAACATGTCCCCTATTTAGATTTCTGTAGCTTTCCTTCTTCACGTACAACAAAGTCATTTCTAGAATCACCAGCAGTCGAACTGTGACACCCAGAAAGACTGTAGAACCGGACACGGGCCATCAGCGAAGCGCATGGTGCTTTTGAAGAGTACGAAGAAGCCATCAGCGTCGAGCAGGAGTGGGCCGATGCGGCAGCGCAACATTAGTTTTCGATCTCCAGCTCTGAGCCCCATACACCGTCGCGACTGACTAGGCACAAAGAGAATGCCGCGTTGGAGCGCTCAGGTGCATCGGGAAGGTCGCAAAGGCCAGATTGACTGCATCTAGTGCCTGGTGTACGACAAAGCCGATACCATCCTAATTGCTGCCACCAAGTACGGCAAGAGCGTCGTCCTGTACCTCATCGCGGCAATTAATCGCAGAATCACGGTACAGATTGTGCCTCTTACCCAGCTGGGCCAGGCCTAATGCGACGACATCAAGAAGAACGTCCCTGGCTCGACGCCCGTCTTCATCGACGGCGACACGCAGCTACGCGTAACTGTGACCTTCCAGCCTGCCCTGAGCCCCTGAAACTAACCCCTATCTACAGAACCCAAGGATCTGCTGAAGGGCACCACACACGACCTTTCGATACGATACCGACCTCTCAACGAAGGTCACGATCACCGCAAGTACAACGACCTGAGCCTCTTCGGAGCGGTAGATGCCAGCCTTGCCTCTGATCAGGATGACGCAAAATCCATCACCGGATACGTGTTTCGATGGCAGGCGCCCCGATGCTCTGGCACGCCAAACTCCAGTCGATTATCGCCAAAGGGAGCTGCGAACCGAGTTCGTAGGCCCCGAGGAGGCTGCTGGAGATGCGGCCTGGATTAGATCCTCCTTGACAGAGATCGGGCTCATGCTAGAAGGCCCTATCACGAGCTTAGGAGACAATCTCGGCACCATTAGCTGGACGAAGTCATCTGGGATGAGATCCTCGCCGGACGATACATCCATATACACCTTGGCCATGAGCAAGGTCTGAATCCAGAATTCGGAGAAATCATAAGACAGACGCTACTCTGCCACCTGCGCCCCGTCCGTAGCATCGGATCAGCTGCATGCATTTTGTCTTTCTATTGCTGTCACTGTCACCGACAATGGAACCTTCGCAACGAGATCCAGCGCACCTTTTATGGATATTATTACCTTCTGGAAGCCCTCATATATAACTGTAAAAAACCACCTCTTGATAAATAGATTCTGAGTTACAACTCATTATGGGAGCCCGTCCTCGGCAGATCTTCAAGTTCTCAACTGCGCAAAGATTCTTGTCCAACTCGAGATCTATTTTCTAGAGAGTCCCCCGTACAACTAATTCAACAACCTTCCACATGACTTGAGACCAACCCAGCGCTTGAAGAGTTCTACCCTTGGCGAGCAGAATTGCGATTCATCATGTCACCCAAGGCCGAGTCTTATTCTGAAGGAGCAGAGCTCGGAGTGCAGCTGGCTTTTCCCACTGGGTCGCACTATCACCTGCGAGGCCAGGGCCTCCATCACCAGATCCTATCCTGAACTATGAAGGCTTCCGACACGGTCTTGTGATGGCGAACAAGTCTTCAGTCCACAATGCCGAATGTTTTCTTATTTTTTTGGAGCTGTTGCACCGCAGAGCCGAGTAGGAGATAGAGGACCTTGGAAACAGACAGCCACACGGCCATTCCGAGCAGGAACGGGAGCTGCTGTGCGGATGGCGGATCTGCTTCAGGGCAAGGGGAACTTCCATGAGTGTATTCCCAACGATGTCCTTCAATAGCGACGCTGTTGGATCAACCTGAAGGGAAGCTTCGAAACGTCAACCTCTCAAGACGTCTGGTGGAAAGCTTGCTTGGAAAGACGAAGGCCCAAAATATGCGTCATGGGCGTGAGATCGATGGGCGCCCAGAGAGCCAGTCTGAAGTCTCCCTGAATTATCGGTCAGGCTCCGCATTGGGACTTCATCCTACGGCGAGCTGACCTCGAACTGTCCATCAGCGAAGCGCATGGTGCTTTTGAAGAATACATCAGCGACGAGTATCACTCAGCCAGCCCCCGGAGGACGGCAACGTGATGGTTTCGATTCGGTTCCCTCGCGCGAGGTCGGCGAGGAGGGAGGACGTGGCGGCGGATCGTCAGCGCACGGGGATCTGGCCGACATGATGTAGGAGTACGACACGTCGGTAACTACTGCCGGACACCATCATCCCACATGTTGCCAGCAGGTTGTTGACTTGGTGAGGGACGCACGCGGTCACTGGCGTATGAATGTCCCGCCCGCGGTGCGCTCCAACCTTCATCAGCCAGTTCGACCGGTTACAACCGCTTCTATCGATTCGATCGCCTTCCTCGCCCTCTTGCCGCGGTATGAATATCGGAGGGTATGAGGGGGTAGCTCTGGCGGTATTCCAACTCCAGTAGGTATCATGGGACAAAACCTCTTCCCAGCGTACGTACGTGCGAGATGGGTCCTCTGTAGGTACGCCTCATTTGGTACGCAAGACGATGCTCGATGACTAGGGATCGCAAGGAGCCGGAAAGGATGCTCTAAACAGCCAAAAATCACCAAAGTTTTCTCTCCAGTGCGGGTGTGATGTATACTAGAGAGGTGCCCAGGGGACTGATAAGTACCCCATCATAGTATGATACTTAAGATCATGACTTTCGGAATGGGCTTCGACCCTATCACTTCTTTACTCAAACACCTTCAAGAACACAGACCGAATATCAAGCATCCCTAGTGGTTAGTCCATTCTGGAACAGCTGCGACGAAGCATGCATCTGTGTCTGGCATCAGCAGTACCGGTCATCACAGTTGGCCTCGAAGATTGTCTGTCCCTCGAGGGTGGTCGAGTCTCCTCCTAGGTAACACCAGCGAATACACCAGAGGGCAGCTCCAGTAAGTCAAGACACATTGTATACGTCTAAGAAAATACATGAGAACCGAACTGAATAAATTGGTACCCTTCCTAATTCATCTGATAAGCTTCATATGAGCAATGTGAAATCCTAATATACCTGCAACCATATGCAGAATCGTATAACACCAGAACCTATACGCCACATGTAACAGTGTCATGATATCCTACCCTGTTCGTAACTTTGTGGGATAGATAACCCAACGGAAAAATGATTGTTCATCAGACCTTCTGGTCTCAATGGTTGTTGCTTCACTTGGGCTGATATCTGCTTCTGAAGGCGTTGCTGATAGTCCCTCTAAGACTGCCTATCGTGCCACCGTCTTGCATCTTGCTTGCCAGGGCTTCTTCCAGGGCAGATTGGGTCACTGAAGCATCTAGGCGGGGTTAGTACTTAGAAACAGTTGAAGAGCAACAAGGGTCATACCATCAAGATCACTGAAACTGCTCCCCATGCTTGGAGTCCCGTCGCTGTCTCGCGAATAACCCTTCCCCTTTCCGGCTGGACTGCGACCGGCCAACTCCATGGTACGGCGGGGTGACAATGGACCACTAGGCCTGGACTTGTCCGAGGGTCCCTTGGACACAGGAGCAGCCGAGCTCGTAGAAGAGTCCGATGTTTGCGACTGGTGGATTCGCTCCCTACCAGGTACCTTTGGTACTCGTTTTCCAAAACCTCGAGGGTCGCCGCGAAGTGTCGCACTGAGATCGTGTTGCCCACTCGTGGACCCGTCTGCCTGCAGCCTGTATGGGAGAAAAGCAGGATGTGCGTCGTCATCGTCATCATCGGCAAAAGATGAGGTTGCATCGTTGCCCTGGAATCGTGGCGGTCGACGGATGATTCTTGATTGGGCCGGGCTCGACGCTGACGATGAACTGGCAGAGCTCGACTCGGCAGGCTCAGGGGACGGGGGATCTGACTCTTGGTCATCGACAGAGGTAGCGATAGGGAGAGACGACAGCCGCCGTCTCTGGGCATCAGCACTAGTCCTGACTGGAGCTCTACTGCTGCCTCCAAGATTCCTGGCTGTAAAGACTTCAGTATTCGTTGATGACGTCCGTGATGCCCCAGGGCGCGGTGTGTTCCTCAACGGAGTGCCTGGTGTGCTAGCATCGTTCCGAGGCAAAGGGGGGTCCTTGCGGATTGATAAGGAGGAAGGTGCTCTAGCCTGTCCACCGCCGGAACCGGTTCGTCGCATGGGCTCGGCCAAGAAAGGGCCGTCGGGGCGCTCTTGAGGAGAAGGCGCTGAGGAGCCTTTCGCAGCGGCAGCAGCCTTGCGCATCTGGGCTCGCACTTGGGAGGCATGACGCTCGGTAAGCCAGGCGGCCTGTTGTATGAGAAAGTCGATGGTGACTTGGAATTTCGATGCACTAGAAGGAGTATCGGCACGGGATCGGGTTAGGGTATGGTAAAGAGGACCTACATCTCGTTCCCTAGAGCTTTGTCAGTCCTTGTAACCACTGTCGCAAGCGCAAGCTATGATGATGATGATGGTCTTACAGTCTATCTCTGTCTTAGAGAGCCTCGACACAATCCCCCACAAGGCCTCATCTTTGGAGGAGTCCCAGTTCACCTACAACAGTAAGTAAGTGATTCGGTCAGTCTCTGCCTCAACAACGGCCTGGACATCTGAAGAGCACCAGCAGCAGGTGCACTTACAAGAGGAGGGTCCACGAAGTCGCCTCGGGGGAAGGGGAGGCGGACAAAGACGGTATAGGTTGGATCAGGCTGTGATGATGCCATGTCAAGTCATGTTACCCGACGTCTCCTTTCCGAGCGTTGCTGCGAGCTCGAAATGATATACGGCTGTGAAAGGAAGATAGATGCAGCTGGGTGGACTGGAAGCACAGTATCGAGGACCCTGCTGAACCCTATCGGCCATGGCGGCTTATCGGGATGGAGCTCTTATCGATTATGCAAGATGATAAGAGTCCAGGTCCGTGCGTGGTCTCTGCCCCAGCACATATTACATTCCCCAGAGGCGCCCAACAGCTGCTTCTTAAGTTCTTCGGACACACTCCAACCGTCAATTTCACAGGGTTTGATAGATGAAGCTCCCTTGATCCAGCACATCGGAAACGAACCAACAGGCCTTTCTTCATATTGCCTGTGATACCCAGGCAAACCTGGCAGAGTGAGAGCCTTGCCATGTCCAAGGCTCCCTTCCATCAGCAAGGGGGGAAGCTCATCTTCTGCGTAACCCCCCTGATCTGCAGTCATGGTCTCCTATTGGCGGCGTGGATCGCTCACTTTGCATCCTTCCAGCCCTTCGTGAGAAGTTGGTTGCTTCCATATGACAACGCCAAGAGCCTCTCTACTGGTATTCAAGGGAGAGAGGAAAACGAGGGGCAAAGAGAGAATCGGATGGGTAAGCCTTATTATCAGGGTTGGTCCAATTCAGGAGAGCCAACAAGTGTTTCTTTCTCTGTTGACGAGCCGCCAACATCCCTATTCCGGCTCGACTTACGCCCATATTTCTTTTGCCGTATCCAAGAACAGTAGCACCAGCCTTGATTAACTACACACCACTCATCGCAAGCAGCCTAAGCCTTACTGCAATCCCAGCCTCATAAATCAGTAAGAATCGTGCTCCTCCTGCTCAATTCGCAGCATATCACATGGATTTCTGGGGAGGTCAAGTCCCAAAACAACATACTCAAAACAAGTGTCTGCGAACCCCGAAGCATCATCTGGCTACCCTTCCAAACCTCAGCCCAGAAACCCGTCTATCAGGGTAGCCTCCCAGTCTACCTAGACCATGGAGGTAAGTCTACCTAAATCTCATCATGCTCAAAAAGTCATGCATAAGGTATACTCACTCACTCATCCTCACCCCAGGCCCTCCTACCCAAACGCATTACCCCCTCCTTCCCCAACTGGACCCAGACCCCCATCCCCAACCTCCAAGTCTCCTCCGCGGGTCTCCTCGCGCTCGCCGATTTGGGTACCATCGCGCAGCGCACGCGCATCGTCGGCGGCTCCTCCTGGCTCGACGCTCTGTTATTAGCGCCGGGACTGCACTACCAGCAGGCGGCCGACGCGCTGGTCGGGGGCGGCGGCGGTGGTGGTAGTATGAGAGGCGGTGCTGGAGGCGGCGATCCGGTCTCGTCGTACAGCGCCGTCGAGCTTGTCGTCGGCGGCAGCGGCGGGGAGGGAGAAGGGGGCAAAACGACCACGTACAACATCACCAACGCGGCGATGCTGCAGTACCTGCGGCGCGTCAGTCGGGCCGGGGAGCGCGTCGTCGTCGATGTGGGCATGCTTCCAAAGCGCGACGGGTTTTACTCGTGGCGGTCGTGGGGTATGGGCGGACCCGGTTCAATGGGGAGTGGGAGTAGGAGTCGGAGGCGGCGGTCGTCGGGCGGCGGCAGGCAGCGCGCGACGATATGGCAGGACGAGGGCGCAGATCTGGGGTGGTTGTCGCATGTGCTGTATTTGGCCAGTCCTGTACTGACGGTTGCTGCTGTTGTGTTCATGATCTTGCTTCGCGAATGTAGGTCCAGGTCCTTCCCTTACCCGAGACTCTCTTCCCTGCAGCGTCTTCCACGTCCTGGTCTCATCTCATTAGCATTCTGGGGCAGGGAAGACTCCAGAACAGAGCAGAGAAGCTGACCAGCATCACAGGGTGGGGCGTAGGCCTCCTCCTCGCCCTCATGTTCAGCCGCATCCTCAACATCTGGGTAATAAAGCAGCGATGCCAACCGCCGCCTTCTCCCCCTTCCTCTCCTCATGCTCCTTCCCAACACCCCAACCCAAGCCATCCACCCGACCAAACCCTCCCGAACCTCCTCACAGAATACACCATAACCCCCCCCACCCCCCCTTCCCAAAACCAAACCACCCAATCCCAATCCCAAAACCAATCTCAATCCCAAACCATCACCCTCCGCGGCCTCCCAACCGACCTCCAAGCCGTAACCACAGCCCCATGGCTAGCCCACAAGACGCACGTCGACGGCTACCTCGAGGCCATGGCAAAGCTGACCGTGTACCTGGTCGCCGCGCTCAGCGGCAACATGACGCAGGTCGGCTCCGTGATCTTTCTGGCGCTTTTGTTATTAACGGCGGGTTTGCTTGGCTTGAGCAATGCTCATGCAAGGACTTTGAGGATGCATGGGCGGGTGGTGGTGGGGACGGTGGAGGATAAGGGGGGTATGGTGCCGGGGAGGGGTGGTGGAAAACGGGGTGATGGGAGGAAACTTAAAGGTGATGATAGGCAAGGTGCTGGTGCTGGTGCTGGGGCGCGGTATCCGAATGGTGGCGAGGATGGCACCTCCTGGCCGGCGAGCGACGACTTGACGTCGAGTGGGATCTCGGGCATGGACGATTTCGCGGAGAGGGGCCAGGTTGGGCGACCGGTGAGGGATCGGCGTTTGTTCGACGATTCAGTGGAGTACAAGTAACGTTGGAGGAGGGTGGTCGTGGGACGTTGTACGGAACATGGAGGGGTGGGGTGTTGGATATGTATACAACCCATCTATCAGCGGCGTGGCGGATGGGCTTGGGAGTTCAATCCCAAGCAGATTCACAGAGGTGTTTGGGTGCTTTTAGATATAATGGGTAGGTAGGCTAGCCTTGGTGTTTATCGTATGGTCTCTTCATCGGGCTACGAATCGAAGACATAAGTCTTACTCAGGGCGCAGGATTTCAGATACACGAGCATTCCGAAAATTCTCACGTAAACTTAATGATGTCTGGTCGCCAATGTACCTTTCCCGCCACGATTAAGATCCTAGCATGACACTGTCGTACCACATCTATGCCTCGAACGATAGTCATTTGCCACGTTGAAGATACGCTGGATACATGTACAATCACTAAGATTCCAGCCCCTGAACCACACCTTCTGAACCACCCACTAAGTTAGAGCACCTTCTGCACACCATCCATAGCAATAGATTATGATTCCATCCTTTGTTCTTGGGCGTTATTCTGCCCAAACGTGCTCCTGTGTCTTCACAAGCACACTCACTCCGCTAGCCAGCCGAGAAATGCGAGTTATGAGCTTCCATTCCGGATGATATGATAGCCCAAGGTGGTCGTGAAACAGGCGCTCGCTCTCTTCCGCGCAACCACATCCGAGCGCAGCCGAGACAGTCCCGAGGACATTGTCGGGATAGGTAGGCTGATGCAGAGCAGGTGACGTTGAAACCCGAGGTCGTGTGACTTCATACAGCTTGTTGCGTGCCATGAGCTGCAGACGAGGGAGGCGTGGCGGCGGCGTGATATGGCCAGTGACCATGATGAGGATCTACTAGTAACTACCTCGAAGTCTATATAAAACCCCTCGCAGACGCTTCCAAGGGTGGCTATTTTTTCCTTAAAGCAAAAAGCCCAGACAAGACCCCAGTAATACTAGCTTTACAATAACTATCAGGACAACTCTTAATGATGGTAATTACACCGACGATCTAATTCTACACTACCGTTTACACACGGCTTGTTAAAAATCCGCAGCTACCATGCCGGAAGATAAGCAATAAGCGAACGTGAGAAAAGAGAGAGACCCCCGTCCTCTTCCTCCTCTTCCTCCTCTTCCTCCTCTTCCTCCTCTTCCTCCTCTTCCTCCTCTTCCTCCTCTTCCTCCTCTTCCTCCTCTTCCTCGTCTCTCTCAGAGCTCTGGTTCAGGCTCTGGTTCTGGTTCTGGTTCTGGTTCTGGTTCTGGTTCCGGCCAAAAACCCTACCCACGCGTCTCAGTAAGACAGATGGCGGAGATGAAGCAGCGTAATAGGAGATAGGCAGGTGCAGAGCGGCATCTTAATCTGTAGGCGTCGTATATAATTGTAACGGTCTCCGAGGCATCGTCTACTCCGCAACGGGGGACAAAACCAAGCTCTGTAGAGATATTGGTTGACCTGCATCATCAGAAGACCACGTGATGCAGGTCAATATCAATTAGCACGATGCAGCCGTCAGTCGCACAATCAAGCGACTCGTCGGTGAAGTGCGGAAGCTGACACCTGAAAGGACCGATTGCGGACATGATCGCAGCATTGGGTCTGCCTTGGCCATCTGGAGACTCGGGGCTGCGGCCGTACCGCCTCAAGTACCATAGCTCAACACGTCTTCAACGCTCCTGCTTCCTGGTGGCGAACACCACAAGCATCCCAATGTCATACGTCGCCTTCAGGCATCCCGCAGTGAGGAACGCCACCCAGAAGAGCCCATTCCCTGCAAGCACGCCCGTGACATACGGCCCGATGCTCTGACTTGCCGTCTTGACCATGTTAATCGTGCCCATCACCGCCGTTCGCTCGCCCGGCAGAACCACTGCAGACAGGAATGCCGATCGAGGCGCCGCGTCCATGGATTGCGTACAGGCGCGGAGAATGACGAACATCATGGCCAGCGGGAGCGAAGACGGTATGCCGATGAGCGCGAGGCAGATAGCGCTCGGTAGATGAGTGAATACCATAGTCTTGACATTGCCGATCCGCTTTGCGATGGATGCCGCGACGAGGATTGATGCTGCTGACACGATAGAGGAGCTGAAGAAGAGCGTACCAACCCTGCCTTCGCTCATGCCGAACCTCTCGTGGAAGTAGAATGTGACCCAAGATCTGTCAAATAAGTCAGCCTTGCCGAATATCCAGATGAGGTCTTCATGAGCTTTGCGTACAATGGAGCTAGACCGGAGGCGAAGCTGTCAAGAGCAAACAGCAGGCATAGCTGCGCCAGAACGGCTCTGCTTGCCGGGCTGATATTTGCAATCAGCGAAAACCGGCTTGGCTTCTTGGGTTTGCCAGCCTCATCACCATCAGGAGCATAGCCGTTCAGGAGAGGAGCTGTCTCGGTGGCGTCTGCGCGCTCGGGCTGCTTGTCGGCTTCGCATTGAGAGCTCAGGAGCAAAGTGAGCAGGAACTTGATTGCACCAACAATAGCATAGCCGATGTAGACAGCGCGGTATGCTTCGACCGTGCTCCAGTGTTGCTTGTTTATGAGCAGGTCGGTAACCCAACCGCAGGTGATCAGGCCGAGAGCTGTGCCTCCGATTCCAAAGAGCGTGTACCAAGCAAACACGTGGTTACGATGATCAGCGTGCGTGATATGTGCAATCATGGACTCTTCCACAGCACGGAATGGACCAATCTCGTTTCCGCTAAGTAGTGGTTAGCAGCCATCCTACAAGTCGGTGAAGCCAGAGGAGTAAAGACTCACCTTGGTGTGATGACGCCCAGGACGGCAGCAGCAAGCAGAGCGTAGTAATTGCCAGTGAGCGCAAATACAAGGCCGCTTGCCGCCATGAGCAGAGCGCCAGCAGCCAAGACCTTCCTGCGACCCAGATTGTCTGCGACCAAGGTCAAGAAGAAGCTGATGAGGACATCGCCTGCCAAGGTGAGGGTCATGAACAAGCCAATTCGCGCCTTGCTGTGTCCCAGGTCGGCCAGGTATGCTGCCAGGATCAAAGTGGAGGCTCCGTATGCGAATAGTCGCACGAAGCGCTGCAGGCAGAGAATCTTGGTGTCCAGCGTGGAGGCGAACAGTGATGTGAGGCCAAGTTCTTGGAGCACCTTGGCTGCCCATTTCACAGGCGCTGGCCTTTCTTCTGTTGTTGGTGACTCGTCCGCCATGTTGTCTGTTGATGGCGCTGAGCGCTTTGTTGGTGTCAAGCAGCAGAACGGGAAGCAGAAGTTTCACGAGTCTTCTTAAGAAGCCGAAGAAGCCGCAGAAGCCGTTCGCGCCATAATCCGGATTATGATTATGGAGCCGGAGTACGGCATGTGGATACTCGCTTACTGCGCCTACTCCTTCGATTGATATGCGGATGCCACAATCTTGATATTATCACTGCGCTCATCGAGTGTCTGACGGTCGTCCATCTTGAATCTCACGTCTTTGATGATGAAGGTCCAGGCTTCGTCGCAGTAGCAGTAGCAGTACATGTAGGTATCGACGTGTCCCTAATGATAGGTAAGGTAATAAGATACAGGGCCATTCTGCATGATCGTGGGTCAATTGCGGGGTAAACACAGCGTGCATGTCATGGCGGGGTCCTTGTCTGTGTCTGTTCAGTGTTGAAACTCGACAGGCAACGCTAAAAAAGAAGCAATAAGTTGCAGGTGAACTGCATCAAGTCATGTATCATTCAACATTGAACTCATTAGGCGGTGAGAGGCTTGTTGTTTTGCGATACTCGCTGTTATATATCCAACTACTATCAGCCTTAGGTACCTACAGAGCTCTCCACGCCTTGCTGTCAGCTGTGCATTAACTGTCTCCAAAGAACATGCGTGAACGGGCGTGGAAAGTCCATTGTCTTGTCGCACATTGTCTCGGACTTGCTTCGTCCTTGACCGGTTGCACATGCACGGCTCACCGCATGTCCTACGGCAAGCAGCCTGATAGAGCTTGACCTTGTGACCAATGGCTTTTCCCTTCATCGGTACCATGCTACGGCCTGGGACGGCAACGGCTACCTACGTCGCTAAGGTTGTTTCGAAATTTTCCAGTTGATCTAATAAGGCTGCCTGCCACCGGCTCTTCCTGTAGGCTGTTGGGTATAGCTACATATAATAGTTGTCAGTAACCGAGAGTTGCCTTCGATATTTCCGGAGCCGCCGCTTCAAGTTTCTTATAATTGTAGCTTGTAGGTCTCTCCCATGGGCTGAGACCGACATGCTGCAGTAGAATGTTTATGTACTGGCATGGGGAGCACTCTATTCGATACGGTACGCGTTGTACCACATTAAGTCGAACTGAACTCGACGGGGAAACTTGAACGCCAACGTGGTCACCCGTCTGCTGTGTTCCCTTGCAGCCGTGCCTGCGTCTCCAAGACTCAAGTCAGGGACGGGAACTCTCGATCTTGAGGCTGTAGTCCGATGAGGGTCCCCAGAGTTCCGCATGCTAAGTTAATGAGGCGGACAACGCCACACGGCAACTTCCTTTACTTACTAATACAGTACTTTAAGTACATACTATACTAGCCTGTGGGGGAAGACGTTAGTCTTCTGGAGCCTGGGCGCTCGGATGGCTCTTTGGATGTCATGTCTCTCTCCTTGCCAGGCTTCAAACAGTCGCGATATCTGAGCATTGAGATGTGATTAATAAAGACCTTGACGGACAACACTCCAGGCTGCTGACAAAGACTCCCCGACCGAACAAAAATGGTATACCCGAGGGCTGAGAAGTCCTCGGGTGTGGTCACTGGTGTTCCATTGGCCAAGCCTAAAAGTGGACGAAACAATTTCCAGAAGAATGGCAGCGTCGTATCGCAACTTCGCGAGAAAGGTGAGGATACCATGGCTAATACTCATCCTGGGGGCGATCTCTTGGCGAACAGGTGGAACCCAATGTCATTGTCTTTGATGACGGCTTCTACAGTCTCTAGACTCATGGCCATGTGGCAGAAGCAAGGGCTGGGCCTGGAGCTGGAGCTGGAGAGCATCCTGTTCTTCTAAGTTCTGCCTGTATGCAGCAACACATGCAGCACTATCGCCACAATGCTGTCTCAGCCCGACGGCTGTCATCCGTGTCTCGCGTATCTTCAGGTCCACCATGGAAATGTCGTCGTTGATCAGAATAGGTTCCACAATGACCCGACCGACCCCTGAATCCCTGGGTCCACGAGCGACTCGGAGTGAGGCGTTGAATTACCGTACCATCCACCTTCTGCCATTTGGGCCCTCATCTGCCATCGGGATCCCTGCTCCCTGCTCTCTGCTGGACTTTCCCTTCAGCTCTCCTTCGAATCGCAAGCTGACGTCTATTGGGCCACGACCTTGGATGGGAATCCCAACCTTGTCTTCCCCAATCTTTAAGGGTTCGTCCTCGAGATCTGCAAATCTGCAAAACCTGCAGACGTTTTTGGCGTCTACATCCGCTGTGTGTTCGTGTTCGTTCCTTCTCTTCAGCTTGTCTGCTTGTTTCATACCTGTGGGTATAGGTAGTGTGTCGTTGTTTCCTCATCTGACCCTCTCAACCCAACTTGTCTTTCTTTTGACAGCTTCGAGAGCGGACTGGAAAGCCGATCCTACGAGAGACGACAACAACAACAACCTTGGCTGAGGTGGTAGACGACTCGACGCGTCAAACGACTTTATATATATGTGTGTGTGTATAGGACGACTGACCGGCGACTTGAGCAACAATCATCGGCAGCATGGACAGTGCAGAACCGCTCATGGACTGCAACTTTCCGGAACTATTGGCAGTGGATTTGGACAATTCGAGGGAGGTATTCGAGTCACGACAATTGACTGCTGGCGCTCCGGCACCGCAATTGGCTGACGATGGGAGCAAGAGGCGGTATTCAATGCAAGGTAGCACAATGGCCACGGCCACGGCCTTTTCGTCCCAACATGACGACGTCTTATCGAGCCTGAGGTCACTGCGAGCCATTGACCCTATGTACGCACAGCTATTCAAATTGGGCGGTGAATGGCAGAACAGAGACAGTGACGCGATCAGTGTCAGTACCGGTGTCAGTGTAGCGAGCAGTGAATGCTCTGGCGGGATGGACATGCCCTCGATTGGCACCAGAGACGAATCAGTTTCTACCGGCACATCCAACTCTTCACTCGACCCGGAAAGACAACAACCATCTCCCACCTCCTGCACCATTCCCTCGCCAATGAACAAAAGCGCTGGGGCCAGCTGGGTGGACCTCGAGGTTGACGACACGATGCCCTCTTTCGAGCGGAGACACAACAGCATGGTCGACACGGCCTCCCCATCACACCTGTTGGTCAGGCGCGAAGACGTTAACGATCTGAGGAGCCTGTCGCTCAACTCGAAGACGGGCCGCCCAAACCTGCCAGACCCGTTCACCGCATTCTGCAGCACACCACCCGAGTTCTTCAACGGCATCACGGTCCCAACACCACCCACCTACGAGAAGCGCCTTGCCGGCCCTCCTGACTTTCCCAAACGGCGCTCGTCCCTGAGACACACATATTATCCCGTACCTCCCCAATTGAACATCTCTCCCCAGCGTCCATACTCACCAGTAGCGACCCGGCCTTCAATTGAAGCTGCATCCCCAGACTCCACGCCATCCCAGCTCCCGCCCCGACGGAAGGAGCATGCGGCGACCCCAGAGGACGAAGACGAAGACAAGATGAGTGCACTCTCATCAGAGGTTGTCGTGGGTGTGGGCGCGAATGCAGGCAGACGACGGAACTCTTACCTTGCAGATATCATGAACCCGGAGATAGCCTCGCCCCATATCAACCCCGGCATAGAGAGTTGGTTGGAGTCGAGTCTTGTCACCTTCACCCATGGTGTCCAATCTGGAAGGGACGGCCTGGTATCACCGCCGCTGCCGCTGCCGTCCCACGTCCTCGACACGCTCCAAGTAATGGTGTCGTGCTTTCCCGAAACCATGCTTCTGTGCTCCAGCCTCTCCATCGAGACCATCCGCAACCGCTCCAAGCGCCTCGGCCACCGAGCAGAGAACCTACGACCCAACTCCCGCGGGCTCTCTGCGCTCGAGCCAGACCAACCCAAGCAGTCAAAGTGGAACATGAAGTGGATGACCTCCAAGCAGCATTGTCCTCCTTCGCCCTACCCAGCCAGACCCGGTTCCAAGTCGAGCAACGACTACTACCACCAAGAGCCACTCTCCGCGGGTGCGACTCCCTTCTGGCTCAACAGACCCGACTGGGTCGCCATCAAGAACATCTTCCCCTCGGGCACCGACTATCTGTGCGACGCGCTGTACGCCCACCTGCTGGCCTACAACTACATCACGCAGCTCTGCCCGCGCTCGGCCCTGATCAACCCGATGCTCTCAGCACCATCAACCCCAGGCGGCGGCCGTCGCCCAGTATCGCACTGCTCCACCGAGCCGAACATGTACGGCCTCGCAACAACACCGCGTTCGTCCGAGTCTGACGGCACCAAGATCCCGCGCAAGGCCGCGAGCCTGCTGGGCCTGCAGAACAACCCCGGCGACCCTATGCCGGAACCTCCCTCTTCCGCTGGCAACCGAATGAGCACCCTGCGTGGCAAGCGGTCCATTCTCGCTATGGGCGGGCTCTGGCGCACTGACAGCCGCAGCAGCGGTGGGTTTGGCAACGGTGGAGGAGGAAGACCCATGACCTCGGCGGGACCACAGCGACCGGGCACGACGGATCATGGCGAGCACACCCTCAAGGAGATACGGCTCGGCCTGGCGAAGTGCATTGCAAGACTCGTCTCTACGCTGCGGCAGGCTGGCACGGATGGAGGCGGTGAGATGGCAGACAAGGGCGGGGTGAAGCCGGAGGAAGACCCTCTGTTCATGCGGTCGCTGTGCGAGATCGTGCGGTGCTGTGAGGAGCGGTAGATGAGGTCCTGGACTGCCCAGAACTGCGGTGCTCTGTCTGCAGATTTGACTCTGGGATTTATATATGTCTCTACCCATTCACACCGAGCTTCACAGAAGAGATCGACTTCAGCGGCGACTATACCCCTTTCCTCAGCGACCGAACCGACAAGTCCTTATATCTGAATCCGGCATCGATTTCGACTCGCACCTCGTCCACGGACTCGGTACATTCTGGATGTCTGATCCAGATTCCGACATCTAGTCTGGTTCACCGACACATATGACCATACGTTGTGTTCATCTTCTCTCCCGCCATCAAGCAAGCAGTCTTTCGGTCTTTGATTTGTTTCTACGACACTTCTCGGTTCCACTTGTACACTATATAACACGCATTAACGCACTGATTTTGCTTTCTTTGTCACGCTGGCTGAAAAAAGGAGTTCCATCTCTCTACTCCACACTCACCCCCACAACCTGACAGAAGGGATACAGAGGGAGGGAGGGTATCTCACACATAGACATGGAGGGAAGGAAGGAATGGCAAGGAAGGAAAGGAAAGGAAGACCCATAATACCCATTTCTCTTTCTCTCTGGCGTTCTGTCTGGCGTTGACACAAGGAAAGGGAAGGAAAGGGAAGGGGAGAAAAGACAACGAGCTGAAGATGAAGCAGTTGAGGCAGTTTGTGTGTGGAAGTAGTTGCTTGTTTGCTCATCTGAGCAACAAATGGAGGGAAGAATGCTCTGAAAGGGAGGCAGAGAGGACTTGGTCACTGGCTTCTGTAGTGTTGCTGGCAAAATATTATTATTTGTTTTCTTCGTTCGATACACTACCTGCATGTGTTGAGTGCCGCCTCGGTCAACGTGCGAGCGAAAGTTTCCGGGTGCATTGTACGAAAGTAGGTGACATTTGATGCCCTTGATCTTCCTCTCACAGGCTTGTGCAGGTCAGTCAGTTGTATTGACCTAGGTCAGTCCGTGAAATCATGAATGTTCGCTCTTCCTTCGCTTCCGGTACACGTTTCACATTAGCATCTTGTGCCTTGACAGGGCTGTCCGCTGTATTGAGTAAGTCCTCCTTTAAGTGCTCAGTCTTCTCGCTCTTCAGGGCGCGCTCGACTACTTGCTGTCTGGGAGCTGGTTGGTCTTTATCAGCACCTGCGTTGTCGTCTGCGCCTGGGGTAGGTAGGGTAGTACAAAGTACCGCAAGTGGTTGACGTTGATGTCGTCCTTGGTTTTGGATCGCTTTGCGCGCACGCTTGCGATTTCCTGGCGCTGGCGTAGATGGTGGGGGTGAGGGTGGGGGTTGGATGCCTACAGTAGCGCCTAGACAAGGCCTCTGAAAGAGTGCTACAGCCTGGCACTGCCGGAACTAGTACAGCGACTCTGTTGTGGGGTGCAACCGAGTTATTGTGGATCGGCTACCCAGTGTTCGTTACTGGTAACATCCGATCCTCCGATAATGGCGGACAAGGAAAGAAAAAATCCCACCTCAAGACACACAGCTACAGCTGCGATTGCCCTACCATCGCCTCTTCAATAAAACCCGAGACATCTACGCCTCTCCGAGTCATTAAATCGATTGATCGAGCTTCAACTCGAGCTTTGGATTCGAGCAGTCGTGTCATGTTGATCGAAAGCTACTTTGTGTCGGTCTCGGGGCCTCCCCTGGCAAACAACACTGCCATCTCAAAGGACGCCGGAATATACGAACACACCCTTCACCCGAGCCACTCAACGTCGAACACCCTCAAGAAGAGCTCCGTTCCGCGCAACTGCCTGGCCGTCAGTGATACCCACGTATTCGCTGCCCAGGACGACAAATCAACTATCTACGTCTACTCCAGAGCAAAGGGCAACCAAGAAGCATTGGTGACCCTGCCGGAACGTATCAGAAGCGTTGCTCTGCTTGATGATGTGCTCATCCTAGGAACACAGGAAGGGAGACTGATCATCTGGGAGGTATGAACTCTCAATCTAAAGTAGTCAGGAGAATCGAGTACTGACAGAGGTCGACAGGTATGCACTGGCCGGCAAGTGACCACGCCAGCATCACACGTGCAGGCTGTGAGCTGCATTGCTGCCACGCCTTTCCACCTGATCACAGGTTCTGATGATTCCAACATCCATGTTTGGTCTCTCCCTCGCCTGCTGGAGCTGGATTCTACCATTGAACATGAGCCTCAAGACACTCTGTCAAATCATCGAGCTGCCATCACCTCCCTCGCTGTAGGTCAGAGTGTGAATCCTGACACCAACATCTGCATCTCAGCGAGCAGAGACAAGTCATGCATCATCTGGAATTACCAGCTCGGGGTAGCTCTGCGGACCCTGCTGTTCCCTAGCGCGCCTCTCTGCCTGTCTCTCGATCCGTGTGCACGTGCCTTCTACGTATCTTCCGAGGACGGTTCGCTGTATGCCGTCGAGCTATTCGCGGAAAAGGCTTTACTTGGCCCTCAGAGTGGCGAGGAAAGCTCTACTGCTGTACAGGTATCGTCTGCATTCGGCGCCGCTCCCCAGGAAGCTGGCCCTGCCTCCTGCCTCGGGGTGAACTATGACGGTACTATCTTGATATCAGGCCATCCCCGTGGCCATGTTCTCCGATGGGATCTCAGCAGCCGAGCAGACTCTACGGAGCTGGCGAACCTCAATGCCTCGGTCACGAACGTCGAGTTCGTTCCGCTGCTCACTCCGGCACGGTCTACAAAGTCTGCCATGGTAGTCAAGCCATTTTTGGGCAGTAGGAGCTACGACTTCACCTCGCAGCTGGGCTCTGATCTGGTGAGCGACACAAGATTCGGCAAAATGCTCAACTCGAATGGGATCCCAAAAGATGTCCTGGAGCAGGCGATACTCGCCTTCCAAGAGCCCGCCGGCGATAACATTGGCGACCAAGAAGTACGGAAAGAGAACGAGGAACTCTGGGAGATTATCAACCAGCAGCGTGCTCTACAGAAGAAGACTCTCGACCGCTACGTTGAAGCCAAGTCAGCCAATGCCTGACACCCAAGTCATGGATTTCCTGGAGTCAGGCACCCCGTAATACGCAGTGAGTGTCTTGAACTGAGTACCTAGGCCGGCCAATCTCAACGCTCATTCCAGTTGTGCTGGCTGATACGAGACACCGTCATCAATAATGCCGATACATGAATGGTCTAAGGGGAGTAGGTGGGGAGGGGAGGGTAATGCGGCTTCGAGGATTCATCCAGTGTTGCAACCCGTTGCTGGTGAGGCTGGCTCAGCTCACCATGACAGACAAATATTCATGGCATACAGATCTCCTGCATCCGAGGCCGCGCGTGTGTGTTGTCGAAAACTTCCGTGGTGGTCTTGGTGTTATGACGTTATGACGTGCTTGGGTGCGTTCAGCGCAGGCTTTGAAGTATCGCGGGGGCTTCTGGATGAAATCCTTCACCTACCTAACCCGGACATGTTCACGGACTGATGCCGTCCGGTATGGGGCTGCCGCCCTTATAAGTATGTACTGTCCCCTCTACTTCCCGGAGAGGAGACAGGAGTAGGCGAAGCGACGGTCCCCTGGGGGTGGTGGTCGTATCGTTACGTGGACACCGCCATAACCTCCTCGTTCAGGGGCTCCTCCTTCTTGTCTCCATCATCATCTCCATCAACACAGTCTTGACTTATCTCCCGGAACGTTCCCTCTTCTCGGTGCGGGAGTTCCTGCTGCCCTGCTAGTCAGTCCCGTCTGATGTTCTCGATATGCTTGAACCGGGTAGGTTGCCAGATGTTCGCTCCCTTACTCTCCTCCTTTGCCGGTGGGTTCGAACACTTGAAGTCTCTTGGACTCATTGCTAGGTACACCTCGTCTCGTCGGCTAGATTCCCTGCTAGGTACTTCCTGCGCGGACTTCGCAATTTGTTTGAGTTTCGAAGGTGTTGGATGGTTTGGCTGCATGAACCTCGGCCTCGCCCTCGCCCGTATGTATGCCTTCAGGAGGCGGATATATACGATATATGCCCGACCTCCTCATGAGCTGTTCGGCGGGCCCTCGATATGGTGTTTATGCGTGGCCGGCCTCCTTAAGTTCAATATGCCAGAGCGAGCACCGAAGGACATGCATGGATCACCGGACCTCTCCGACACCACCGAACCGGATCGGATCGATCTCGTATAGGTATCGGACTGGAGTGTGTTGACACGACAGACAGCATCCAGGAATATACAACATTCGACATGCGAGAAGTGTTTCCTTCCGCGGCGGTGTCCCTGTCTCGATCGGTCCCGCCCTCGGAGGTAATAAGGAATGACCTGCTCACCACTAGAATAAGAACGATTACCTGCGATGTCTGACTGACTCTGCCCGAGAGCCCCAATGTTTCCATGCCAACATCTGCAGATGTCTCCCGGAAGAAGCGAGCGATTCCAGGCCTCCTCGTCCCGGTCGTGTTCGCCACCCCGTAAATCCATCCATCCATCCATCCATCCTCCATCCATCCATCCGTCAGGCATGGTGCTACGACGACGGATGGGCTCAGAAGCCCCTCAGCGCCGGAGCGGATATATATATATTACCACGCGGGCAGCGATCGTCGATAGCAGTGTCTCCCGTACCAGTCGGATAACCCTATAACCTCATACCAACGAGAACACTCGAAGATTCGCAGCGCTCTTGAAGTCACAGGGGGAATGGCGCCCCTTTCGGTAGGTAGAGTACCAACACCTCGACACTGGAGACCCCGTGTTCGTCACTACCTAAATCGCTAGGTCTTCCTTCCCAGCTTGTTGTGTTGTGTGTGTCTAGTGGAGAGCGAGTAAGTACAATTTGGTGGCCTCGGACGCCGACAGGGGCTGTTGGTTGCCTGGTACTCCGCAGCAGTCCTTCAGTAATGGTGTTCGATTATCAGCTCAAGTAGTACGCCTCGGTGTTTAGAGCGCTCTTTGGTAGGTAGGTAGGTAGGTAGGTAAATCCCGCCCTCGGTAGGTAGACTTGGTACAGTCACTCACCCTCCATCGGTTTTGTCCGCTCGTCTTCAATTCTATCCAGGGTTTTTTTCCCCTGCATAGCAGAACAAGCGTCATTCATTCTAGAGCGTTTACTCCATTGAGACTGAATGAATACCTGGCAAGTATCAGAGAACCCCATTCAATCGGTATACACCTACGGAGAACTCCGCCGTCGCTGTATCAAGAGATAGAGAGCATTTGCTCGATCGAGACAGAAGGATCGAGATTGGTAATGAGAAAAACCCTGCGATTTCATCCACAGCCGCGGATATACTTGACGCGAGGGACTCGGATCTTCCCATCCCCGCTGTGAGTTAACCACGAGAGTCAGTAATGTTTTCCGGCGGAAAGCAGCTGCTCCAGCTGGTCTGGTCTATGCTCGTAAGTCTTGATAACTAACACCCGATGAGAACGGATCAGATTCGAATTCGTAGGGGTATTATATATTCATTTTCCAATACCAAATGCCTGAATATTTTGAATAAGTAACGTGAGGGGGTAATAACGGGTGGGTTGCCTGCGCAGCATGGTCATGGAACAGCAGTTCGACATCTAATAACTCCCTCCTGCCCGAAAAACATGGCCGAATGGCCGAATGGCCCAGCCTCTCTTTTCGTTTTTTTCTTAACGTATAGCACCATCCTGTGCCATGCAATGCCATGCACCGGGAGCCCTTCCTATGAGATTGCCCAGCGGGGGAATGTCGACTGCTATAGAGCTCGACCATGGCAGAAACATTGTGAATGAATGTCCAGTGTCTTCTCCGACTCAATGATTAGGACTCAAGGATGGTAAAGTGCTTCCGGCAACCTGGGTTGCGTCGGGACTCGTGGTGGTCGTCGAATGAATGGATACCCGCGACATGAAGTCAATGTTCTGCCTTCTTCGGGGTTGACCGGAGCGGAATGGTGGTCACCGAGCAATCATAAGATGACGCATCTGGGTCGATTGGGATCTCGGCCCCCCCTCTCTTTCTCCTTCCGCCGTCTACGTTTCTTGTAGTAAGATATCGAGTACGGGTCGAACCTGTCATCATCATCTACATTGGGATCATCCGAATCCTCCTTTCGCAGCATCTGCCGGCACAGATCGATAAACACCTCGTCCACATTAGCTTTGCGCTATGTCAGTTCTGGTGTGTATGGTTTCAAGAGAGGCCCGAGGGCGTAGAGGCGCTTACTGCGTGTCCGTGCACTAGATTCGTAATAGGGCGCACCCCATCGCTGTGAGATGGCAAAGCCCTTGGTCCGTGATACAGAGCGGTGCTCCTCCAGATCGGCCTTGTTTCCGCAGATGACTATGGGCACGTTCTCGTCGTCCTTGATGCGGATGATCTCATCGCGAAGGCCAGCTATCTCGTTCAATGACGAGGCGGACGTGATGCTGAACACGAGCAGAAAGCCCTGGCCCGCTTTCATGTACAGATCTCGCATATTAACTGGAACCGAGGGTCAGGAGTCAGCGGCGCTCTGCACGTGGACAGGTGGAAGGTGGAAGGTGGAAGGGCTGGACCAACCAAACTGCTCGGTCCCTGCGGTGTCCAGGCTGTGTCTCAGGTCAGCGTGGCGGCGGCGGTGTCAAGTTGCGGTGGGCGAATATCTTACATTTCCAGAACCACCTGGCGTTCCTGTTCCGAACGGTCAGCTTTGGACGTCGAGCCAATCGGATTGTGGCGCGGGGCACTCACATCGACGGCTCTCTGGGTCCGATACGAATCTTCGATGGTCGGATCATAGCTCTCAATCCATTCGTTGTGCACAAACTGAGCTGTCACACCGATCGTAGTCAGTATAAGAAGACCGCTCGTTGCTTTTTGAGACATAGACCCGAATTGTGGCTGACTATTGGGATGAGATGAGATGAGATGAGATAAAGCGCGCACCTGTGAGGCAACTCTTGCCAACTCCACCTAAGATCGATCACAGCGTCAGCAGCGGTCGCGCATGGACAGATCTAGATCTCTCGGGAGCCGTGCACGAGAACACAGCACCCGGGCCGGCAGAAGCTCACCTGCACCTAGTACCACAACGTGGAATTCCCGGCTGCTCGCATGAAATCGGGAGGTCAGCTCAGCTCAGCTCAGCCGCTGGGTAACGCCAGAACTGGCAGCTTGGAGATGGCCAGAAGAACGGGAGACAAACGTGGGTTGGTGGTGGTAACGCCCGTGCCTGGGAGGCATGGCGGCGGTTGGTGTTTAAGTCGAAGTCGAGGATCGAAGTCGACTTGGACTTCAAAGTCGACTTCCAATGTTGTGGCTTCGGCTTCGGGTGAGAGCTTTGGAGCTCAAGTTCTCATGGGCCCCCGGGGGTGCATGAGTCGCTCAGGACGGAACTGATCAGCAGCGGTAGTCCGGGACCCGACGCCTCGCACCTCGCACCCGTGTCTATCTGCCACACAAACTCGACAAACGACAGATAGGCGGATGCGTTAGTGACTGATCCGTGGAGTAAATAGACGTCTTTCTCATATAGATTCCACGGACTCGAGTCGGCGGGTTGCGCAAGCAATGTAACCTGAACCTGAACCTGTGCCGTCCGAACGGGTCTGAGGGTCCCAGAATAGCTCTTCGTCCCAAGCAAAGATCAGACGAGGACAGCCCTAGCCGTGCCGTGGAAGGTGGAAGCGGGGGATCGCAGACCGAGGCGTATGTCCCTTTTCGTCCGGCAGCAGGCAGGCAAGCAGGGCTCGGTGGCCTGAAAAGGAACGTGGAAAGGGCTGCGCTTTTGGGGGTTCCAGATGGTTGTTTGAGTGGTTGTTTGCTTTGGACCTTTGGCGTGTCGGCGAGGGATTGGAGAAAAACGAGATGGGACTAGGGACTAGGGACGGAATGAGGATAGGGGTCCGAAAAGAGGGGTATAATAGGTGCAAATGGTTTATAAACCATAAACCGGGCTCGGAATCGGAACGCTTGTCGCAATTGATGATAATGGGATGTAAATGCACCGGTACTGGTACTGTACATACACAGGGCTGACAACTCGACACACAACCTTAACAAATATGAGAGGTGGTAGATGGCAAGTGGCAAGTGGCAAGTGGCAAGTGGCAAGTGGCAAGTGGCAAGTGAATGGATACTTAGGAGGAGGTAGTTATGTCATCGAGTTGTTGGGTCTCAAGAGTCAAGGATGGATGGGTGCATGTCGGGAGGCCATCGACAAGTGACTGAAAGTAAGGACCCCGAGTTTCGACGGGGGGACCGGGGAATTATATCAATTGTTGTGGCCCGGAGGATTCTCATGTGTGCTGGTGTGCAGGTGTGTTCCTCAATGCCCCCTGGGAATGGAACAAAAGTCTGGAGCAACGTTGAGAACGGGCACGTCAAGCAAGGCAAGAAGACTAATAAGAGGGCTGCAAGGCAAGGCAAGGCAGGGCACGGTCGTCTTGAGACTGGAGGCAGGTACTTCCATCCTACATGTCAACCCTGAAAGCACAGCTAAGGTACCTTATGGAGAACGGGATGCATATATGGAGATGTAGATATGTGCGTCGACTGCCTTAAGTAGGTACCTTGCCTCGTACATGACGGGACGCATCGATGGATATCCTGATGAGTGATGATGTTTCTAGATTGGCTGTGGTTTCGTCAAGCGCCCAGGGCTGGCAGTCATTTGTAGTAAGAGGTAGGGGCTTGCGGGACTCCCCGTCGGCTGCGGCCAGGCCACCAACACGCTGACACGGCGCATGTACAGGGCCAAGTACAGGGCCATGTACAGCGTTGTAGACTTGTAGCGATGGGGGAGCACCCCCATGTGCCCAAACGGGGCGTGCTGGGTTGCACTGTAGGGACCTGCCAGCCAGTAGCGGGAGAGCCTGGCCGCCGAGGTGTCTAATGTGTCGCGCGGGCGTCCAATGGAAACTGCCATCGAGGCCCTTCCCGCTTTTTGCTTCTCGCCCTCCTCCATTCCTTACCTGACGTGAGCTACCTTCTTTCTACCTTGCACGTGCAGATACTCGACGCAGTTATCATCCTTCAATCTTTCATGTTCCGGGCTCCTGACCGACATCTTATGAGTTTTGTTTTCTTCTTTCTCCTTTCTTCTCCGACTTGTCCGACTTCTACCCTGTCCGGCCAGCTGGCAGCCAAAAGGTCTGGTCAAGACTCAATAGGACGACCAAGGAAGCTGAACATGAACCTGATGCAATGGTACGATACGTACGTGTGCGGACCTCCACTGACCTAACAACACCATTCGGGTGTACTTCTCAATGCAAACGAATCGCCTTGCATGCAGGAGGCAGGAAGCAGGCAGGGTCGGCATGTGCGTGGTGGATTCTGTTGAATTGACCCTCGTCGCCCTCGTGTCCATCCTGCCATCCTATCCGTGTTGTTGCAGCTCTGCCCACCTGTCTGTCAGTGGACATGGCGAGGCGGGCCATCACCACTGGCTACGCTGGCTGGCAGCGGTGGAGAACCCTAACCTAGTTCAACAGTCGGGAGGCAAGAGAGGCTCAAGCCCAATGATCAACAAGAGTCCGTTGGTTCTGGGCCACAGGGAGAACCGCAAGTGCGGTATCCATTCAGTTATCACTATCGCCGTCGACCGTCCCTTTCTGAAGTCCGGTGTACGAACCTCCAATCACCAATGGTCGGTGAAGCAGTCTGCAAGTCCAACGCCTCTGGTCCCGGACCATTCCGGTCGCTCCCCCGTCTGGCTGCATGCCCCGGCATCCTCCATCGAGCCTCCAGCCTCCTTGTCAAGCTGGCGAGGCCATCCTACGCTATCTCGTTCTCCAAGCAGGACCATGATAGTCAGTTGCCTCAACAACAGATATAAAAGTCGGTCAACCTCTACCTAACAACCCCAGGCTATAATCCAAATCCTTTTATAGTACTATACAGACCCCAGCCATCACCTGACATGACCCAGCTGCGCGATTTGCAGGCTTGCCGTCTCGATTCATCTATCCCCTGCGTGGGGGTGCTCCACGCAAGGGAAGTTGATGACATCTTCACATATGCCAACCAGATGCTCGGGATAGCGAGGTAGAGCAAGCACCAATGCCATTCCCACCACCACCACATCATCAGCGCAGGGGCATCCCGGCGACCCAGCTCTCCGGTAGTCAACCCAACAGTGCTCCGGAGTGGAGATGGATTCATAGCAAACTCCACCTTCGACTCTTCTTCCCGACCAAGAGGACCGGCGCCACGAACTTGCATGAACTGCTATGACTACCAATACCCCGCCGGTTCATGCCCGTCTCGTCTTTCCCCGTACGACGTCAGATTCCTCAGCTGGAGGCGCAAGTCCGATTCCACTATTGCGTCTAGCGGATGCTTTAGCCGCCAGATAGAGGATCCTTCCGAAGCGGGAGACGAAGTCGACATGGACTATAGAAGAAAGGAACATGCGCCCCATATCAAGGCGATAGCATATGAGCCGGCTTGCAACATTCTATCTTGGAAATCTGGCAGCTAAACCCAGCTCGATGCAGAGGGTCAGCATCCGATTCGTCGTCAAGTCAAGCACTAGACGTCCAACGCCCCGGATTCGCTTTCTTCCGTCTGACATACATACATCAGCTCGGTGCCGAGTGTGCTTGCGGCTGGGCCTACCTCTATCGCTTTGAATGTCGGATCGCGAAGGCCAGATATCGCGACCTCCACTGGCAACCACTGCTGGTTTTTTATATCTACAGCACTGATATTCCGTTACGAATCATTGCAGTCTGGGAAGAACCGGTTCTATCTGGCCTCCGACTGCCAACGTGTGACTGCCTGTGTTATTCAAGAGGTATATCGAGCAAGGGCTAGAAAGCTAACCAAGTCTATCCGCTGTCGTCTCTACAAGCCTTGCGCTCATGAACAGGTTTCGACTTCAATCAAAGTCAATTAGTGCGTTTCGGCTTGAGTTCCTAATAAACGGGCCATCTTGAAGATCTAAACACCACTGGTGATCTCGTCTTCATCTACGGACTGGCTGTGCGGCCAACTTCTGAATGTCCAACTCCCCAGGCAAAGGAGCCAAAAGATGAAAATATGCCTTATACGCATGGAAGCTGGTTCTCGGTCCCGAATGCTCAAGGTTGCGGCAGAGCCTGAATTAATTCGAAGATCGATACCATCTCTCAGTCTGCTGGGTTGGGAACATGAAGTCTCGATCCCGAACGCCTTCTAACGCTAGGATAGAAGTTGGGGAGTCTGCGAGGCCAGTTTCATTTTCTCTTGCCAGCGCCTGCTCCCTTTTAATTGACCTCAACAAGTCACACCATGGATCTTGGTGCCCGTTCACTCCGTCACTCGGCCCAACAGAATACTGTCATGACTGTTCTCCGCGTGAGATATAGTGGAGAGATCCCCAATGCTGACAGATAACCAAGTGACACGACTAACGATGGTGTCCGTCATCGCCGGCGCGCTGCTGTTTTAGCCCAGCCGCATCTTAAGATTCCATCAAGTTCTGCCTATATGTTACACTCCCCGACCAGAAGTCTCCGAGCCCACTTTTCGAGCAGCCCTACACGCCTACACCCTCCAACTTTCAGCATTCACCACGCACCCATCTCTCACTGTAATAATATGAAAAAAACTGTATTGTATAAGCCATTCAACAGTGTGTGTACCAACCACCTGCCCTTTTCACTGCGGCGATTCAGTTGCCGAGAGATTCGACGAGAACGCGTACATCCTCAGGATCGATCTCTGACCACGCCCTTTCGATTAACTGTCTGGCATATGCCTTGTGGGCAATATTAGCCTTTAAATCAGCGAAACCAGGCTCGATTCTCTGTATCTGCTTCTTTAGAAATGCCCAAACGTGCTCGATCGGTTTCAAATCAGGGCTGTGAGCAGGCCAGTCGATCGTCCAGATGCCGTGCTTCTCTAGCCACTCTGGAGTGCCTCCAAATCGATAGATGCGAGCGTTATCTTGCATAAAAGGATCCCCAGCCTCGTAGAACGGAAGGAGCCCTTCCTCAAGGACGTCTTGATATAAAGCTGAAGATACTCCTCCGCGAGGAGCATCCTCATCGGGCTTGCAAAAGATGGATTTGCCTAGGCTACCTTCTCCGCCGCGTAACCAGATCAAAGCCCAATACATAATGGAGATACGGGGTCTCTCATGACTCCGAGGGTTCACGAGATCCTGCCTGTAACGTTCAGAAGAGAGGCGGATGACCCAATCGCCCGGATTATCGGGTGAATTCTGGACCGTGACTTTGTCTGAGAAGAGCGTTTGCATCAGCTCCTCCAGAGCCTCCGAGGAGTCGTATTTATTACAAAAAGCAAGCCTCTCTCATGCGTCATCTTCTATAAACTCGATCTGTTTCGCCACCTTCTATTTATGAAGCCCATAAGCGCAAAGAACGCGCTTAATAGTGGTATAAGAGCTGAGGACCCTGTTCTCCTTTGTGAGCTTTTTATAGGTGGCTCTGGGGTACTTTTATGCCATTTTAACTAGCTGAGTTTCTTCGCGCTTGTTTAGAGTCCTTGTGGCTCCCTCTCGAGGTTGAGAGACCGTGGTGTTATGCTCTCTAACAGTGTTGATAATGTTGGTCACGGTTTGAGGCCGATCCAGATGGAACACGCTCGTGACATCGTCGCGCCTTGCGCCTGCCGCCCTGGCAGCCACAATAGCTGCACGAGCTTTGGAAGTAAATTCCTGGTTTGGCCCGCGATTTGCGGTCAGAATTATACCAACCTTTTGTAAATCTATCGTTTTGGTATTGAGTAAATAAAAGGTGAAGAAGGAAGGGGGTCGCGAGCGCGTAGACGCGTTTTGAAACTAGCGTGGTGGATGCTCGGAGACTTTTGGAGGGTCAGTGTAACCAGCTTCGGTTCGTCTGACGCCATGAAGTAGCGAGCCTCTTTTCTCTCTCTCCAGAAGAACTCGAACTGACCGGCTGACAGCCAGGGGACAGCTCGAGACTTCGGTATTTGTTAAAGCTCCCGAGACGTATTGTTCAGTCGTTTGGTAGCTTTCGAGTTCCTGTGCGCTGTCGCAGGACCATGGCCCGAAATCAGTTCATGTTGAACAAGTGTCGATGCAACAGCTAGCGTCAAGCTTGTTGTGATCCTCGTTTTAGCTTCACCATCCACGGCCGATTCCGTACCCAATCTTGGCGAGTACGCCTGCCCTCGTCTTGATTTGATTTGCAAATACTGCTGCCCGTGGCTCCGGAAAAGTTTGATTCTCACAAATCCCTCGCGAGATCGGGTAAGAGTAGCGTGGCGTACCTTTGTCCATTACAGTGCTGCAACTACATCTCCCAACGTTGCTTCATCAACGTTGAAGTATCATCTGTCCCGGACGGCAGCACCAAACGTATCATTCCACTTGACGATTCTGGCAGTTTTGGCTTTGGCCATCCCATCAGATTTGATGCCCAACTGGAATCGTACATCATTTTACCGACGCCAGCGGTTGCAAAAGCACTCCTGGACATCTTCTGGGATCGCGGCTTCTGAAACGTAACAGAACTTTTCGATGTCCAAGGGTATCTAATATGAACACCTTCCCATCCAGCGACCTCAAACCAACCACTGGTCTAAGGTAAACGCTTACAAATCCCAGAACTCCTCGCCGAATCAGTTTCGGGATACAGTAGCAGGAGGTAAAAACGCAACTCTTGTCCACGTGGAATTATCACCAAGCTCAGAAGCACCCACGATACGGGCCTGCGCTTTCACAGTGGAAGCAGATCTGACCCTCGATCCCCACTTCCGGCTCTCCACGAAGGGGAACGGCTCACCGAGTTCGGCATATTCGTCCCAGAGCTCGTCGAACGTGATCCCTAGCGTCTTGGCCAGCGAGCTGACCTTCCGCGTCCGCAGCTTCCAGATTAGATGCGAGATCAGGAATCCGATCTCTAGGACGAGCCTGTGGAAGGGCAAAAAGGGTCAGCTTAATGCGTGCTGCAGAAGGTGATGTAGAAGCGGTGCTACATTTCGTCGATAGGGAATCGAAAGGGACACGAGTGCGAAAAGCAATGTCGACGGAATAGGTGGACCTACGATATGGCATAGACGGCGGTCCCTAGTATGCGGGCCTCTCTGTGGACAACGGCGCCTGAACTGGTTCAGTACGGTATCGAACTCGACAAGATTACCTCCTCATCGACTAGCAGCCGATCGAAGGGGTATAGAAGAAGGGATGTCTACTCACGTGTAGAGGCGAGAGAGCAGAAAGATGCCAGCACACCCCACGTCAACGCCATCTTTCATCGAAGGAGATACAGTCAGCAATAACTCGTCTCAGTTATGGGCAAGGTTCCGGATCAAACTCACCCCATCTACCGAAACTGCCCTTCCCTGATGGCGCAAGACTTCGACGGATAGGGGCCAGTAGCCCAACACCATGCACAGCACGACCACGGTTATCGCGGCGGGTATCTGACGATCGCTGATGATGGTGTCGACGCCGTGCCTGAGCGTATTGATGCACATCACCTCGAGCGCTGTCAGCCCGATGGCGACGGTGGTTGCACCGACGAAGGCGGTATTGCGTTGCACTCCTCTGTGCTTATGGGATGCGCATGTCAGAGTTGGAGAGTTCTGATACAACAAGTCAAAGCAAAGAGATGGAACTCACATCTCATAGCGCGAGATCTGCCACACTTCTACGAGGAATGCGAACATGCTGATGTGCGGCAGCACGTATGTCGGTATCCTGGCTTCGTTGCCGTCGGCGAGGGCCAGGGCTACTGAGGTGCCGGCTAGGGGAAGGTATGCTGGCGAGTCCGTGTTAGTCAACGTGTCTCCTTCATTGGGGCTATACAGCCATCCATCGACCAGACTTCTCGAAGTACAGGGCTTTTCTTCGAAATGCACTTCAGCCGTGCTATGCGCTCCTCCCATGGGCAAAGATTTCTCGGGCCTCACGCATCGTGAAGAAGGCGGACACGGGGGCAGCAACGTCATCAGAGTAGCTCGCCTTGAGAAAAAAACTACGAGGAGCGTGCTCGAGATCGGGTCAAGGAAACACAGCAGGATGACGAAAGAAATAAGAGGGGAGGACGAGGGAAACGGACGGAGAAGACGTACCGCATATCACCCAGCTGAACCAAGAGCAGAAACATACGAGCGCCAGAAACCAGCGACTGTACGGGGTGCTGAGCTCGAGCACCTTCTGTCGCCGCCAGGCGTGGAACAGCTGCCGGCCCAGCCTTGCGGCCCATAAGACAGCGCCGAAGGCCTGTTTGCGGGCGGAGGTCTTGGTTAGTGATACTTGGTATACGATGCGTGCGTGCGTGTTGGGTTGTGTGTTTGCTTGGGGTTTGGGTGGGCGAAGGGGGTGGGTTAATGGGTGGGCATCAGGCATCGTCACTTACGCCGCTGAGGATCGCGGCTATCTCTGCTGGTTCCATGATCTTCGTTTCTTTGGGTTGGTATAGGGCAAGGGTTGATGGATGGATCTGCAGTGGCGACGGTGAGGCCTCTCGCGAGGAACAGATCCCCTTGAAGAATGACTGTTGAACTGTTTGTATCAACAGACACACACACACAAACGAGCGTGAACGCAAGACCAGACGATCAACGAGCCTTCTACCGACGACGAAGAGCTGGAAACGATATGAAGCCCGATACACCATGGACAACCGACCACCAGTGTCACATTTTCTTCGCTGTTGGAGTGGCAAGAGCCTTTGAAGGTGCCTTCGGTAAATCACCACCTGTACCGAGTCCGGCGGTGGCTGGACGGAGTTCCCCCTCGTCTGAGAGCGCCGTCGACTGATCCCGGACACGATGACGCCAAAGCACTGAGCGGAGAACGATTTGACTAACTAACTAACTAACTGACTGACTACCTAGGTAAGTAAGTGAGGACTGGCCCAGATCAGGTCGAAGAGGAAATACTCGGACAGGTAGCTTCATCGGAACATCTGGCTCTCATCAGTCTCGCCAGCTCGGGAGCTCGGAGCCACACAACACAAGATCCGGCAACCAACCTCTTCCGCGCATCCCCTATACCCCGGGAAGAACCAATTTGGCAACCCGTGATGCCCAGGGCGTCGTGATATCCTTGGGTCGTCTCCACGCCCGCCCGTGTCTAGACCTGGTCTATTCCCTTCCATCTCCTCTCCTCCTTTCTTGCCGTCTCGTATTCCCAACAACCTTTTGACTAGTGCTCTTAGCCGGCAGCTTGGTTTGAGAGCGTTGCTAAGTCCAATAAACAGTCGAATAGTCTTGGTCTCCCCTCGACGTGGCGCTCGCTCGCTCGTGCTGGCTTGGTATGACATATTAGGTCATCTTCATCCAGCCTCCCCAAGCCTCCCCAAGCCTCCCCAAGCCATTCAGTGCCTGGCGGAAGCTTAAATCGACCGACGCGGATGGGTATACGTACATGTGTTTTTCATTGCATGTGTTCAGGTACTCTCATCTATACCACACTGGTCTGGTCGCATGCACTCTAACCGCCAGGCAGGCAGCTAGATACCTAGGTATACATGCACATGTACAGCCTACGTGGGTCGGTCGCCGACTGAGTCCACCTTCCTGCCCGTGTTCATCAATGTCTAGCCGGGCGCTGGGCTGGTACCTACTCTCACACTCTAGACAACCTGCTAGCTCCGTTGCTGCAATAACAATGGCGCGGTGAAGAGCGTGAACATGTTATGTTTCGTATCGGTTTAGCTAGCAGTCAGTCGGTCAGTGGCTGCGTTGCCGCTGCGACGGACGTGGCGTGCTTGTCGTGGTCTCCGGGCAGGCAGATGATTGCCGCGGCTACTTCGTCTGCCAGGCCGGGCCAGGCCAGCCATCGCGCTCTAGGCTAGGCAGCCGGGTCTGAGAGTAAGGAGAGGATTGTTTGCATCTCTGTCTGTCTGTCCCTGTGGTGATGCGTTAAGGTGTTGTCGGGTGTGTGTTGGCGTTCCCGATAGATGCTTACTATCCATACATGTACTTACGCATACGAGTCTGAAAGCGTGAATGAATGGCCCGGTTCAAGTAAGTGTATTGCCGTCACATTGGTGGTAGTCTGTCTGTGTGGCTGGAGCTCAATGCCAGATGGTATGGTAGTATCTTCATCATCAAAATCCCATGCATGCATGCAATGTGCCCGAACAGCGAACAGTGAACAGTGAACAGCGAACAGCGAACAGTCAGTCGTGGCCGTAGGCCTCTGAGCTCTCAGGACAGGTTTCCTGTCTATATTCCCAATACTGTACGGCAAACATCTGCAGGAGAGATGCATGAAGATGTATGAAAGATGGAGAAGATTGATGAGTCTACATAGAAGGTTATCCAGCACATTCAATTCATATGAGCCTATATAGATGTGCCTGCTCGGTCTCGAGACTTGGACGCCTGTCTGCTTGTGTAGTTAGTTGATACACCCCACTCGTCTCGATACTCACCGTTGACTATGTGGATGAGTTACACCAAGTATACTCAAGACAAGGAAACGCACCTTTGCGTGTCAGAAAGCCCCTTGGTACTTTTCTAGAGTTTCCTGTAAGGTCTGATCTTCCCTCGCGGGGATACATAGTCCTTTCCAGCATCGCATCTCGCCCCTCGATTGTAGCCGTCTTTAAACCAACATGCAAACCAACAGTGAATCTCACAGTGCTGGTCCTTTCAGTCAGTCCCCCTTACTTAGGACCGTGCAGGAGGACAACAGTCGCGCTATAACCCCTCGGCTTTCGTGTTCGCGGCATCTTAAGGCTTCTGCGCATAGACATGAACCCTATCATCCCGTCAGCGTCAGCATATGAGAACCTTGCCCCCGCCCCCCCAAATGACCTGCCGTCCTCAGCGGCAAAAAAAAAACAAAAAAAACCTCACCCTTCCGAGTACGCATGGATCTTGGTATTATGCACATCCCTCCTAACGCGCTCCAGCACGTTCTGGACGCGCTCGTGGTCTATGGGCCCTATACAGAGCTTGCCGTTGGTGACCTGAGTGTACAGTCGGTGTTTGTAGTCTGAGGCCATGATCAGCTCCTGACAACCCTTACTAACTCATTAGGTCCACGGGATACCTACCCAGTCTATCTTGCTCTTTCTGTGGACTAGTCAGCGCATGAATCTCTGATAGGCTAGAGACTCAGTTGTACCTCGTCGTTCGGCAACATGTACTTCCCCTCCTTGAACCGGTGGTACGTCCGGCCGTTCTCCTCGACGTGGTCGTAGATACTGCTGGTGACACTCATGGTTGACGAGCTACCATCCCCATCCCCGTCGGTCAGCGGCCCGGAGTCGGACTGTTGGAGAGCGATGATTTGTTAACAAATGCTGTTATCTCTTACGGAACACTCATTCCGTCGAGCGCAGAGTCGCGATCCCACTCGTTCTAGAGAACAGGTCGAGCCCGGGTCAGTCCATGGTCACTCGTCCGCCCCCCTGGCCACAGTTCCATTCCCACCCGGAAATCACGGCGTGGTATGAACAAGGAAGCTTCCAAGTCAGGAGGATGGAATCCAACAGAGTGGGCTCAGCTTTGTATGTATGTTGAGACGTGTAACACAAGCATAGTTGACCGTGGAGACCTGTCGGTATGTCACTTACATCAATTTCCAGCTGGTCATGTTGATCGTCAGCCGAGCCGGCGTTGCCATGGTCCATATCGGAGGGATCCAGTTCTTCCCTAGTATACTCGGCGGCCGACATCACATACAATAATTTTCAGTATGACAAAAACAGTACGATGCAAGAGCTGCGGTGAGCGGTGAGCGGTGAGCGGATCTATATAGTATCGGAGAAATGACTTCTAGATTTTGCGCGGTGTGATGGTAGGCCCCGGCCTCCCGAGTCCCCACCCATGCTGATAACTATCGTGGTCCGCGGGATCGGCGGACAACTTACAAGGGCGACACGTGCAGAATCCGCAGATGGATCAGGTCATCAGCCCAAAATTACTGGAACTCCAGGTTGTTGTGTCGCCAATGACTGGTGGGCCGCGTGGCTGGTAGCGGGGGTGGGAAAGCTCGGAAACTTGAAAGCCAAGGGTGGGTTTCTTGAAGGATCCGTATCCATCACGTCGTTGGATCGGGAATGCCAAGTTCTGATGCAAGAATTGTCGACGAGATTCAATCCACTCCCAAACGGGCGAGACCATGGTACAACGTACCTCAAGAGCGATACTCGCTCAGCCCGTCCACAACCACCTGGATCGTCTCTGAGAACAACCTTAGTAGAGACACTCACCGGGTCGTTCTTGTCGTCCGTCACCCCTTACAGCCGTCAGGGAAGCACCCAGGCGGCACGGTACAGTACTCCAGCTCTGCGGCATTACAAAAAAGCTTGTACGCCCGTCTCGCGCAACCCGTAACGCCCTCCTCCTAGCCAAGTTCCTCCCAAATCAGGCTGAGACGTCTACCGACCAACGTTAGTTAACAAGCCTCAACCGTGAAAACTCCCACGAGGAGAACCTGGGAGAATCAGCCGAGGATCTCTCACACACCTACATCTTCGACGATGGGAACCATGGCACGACCCAATTGCGCGGCCAGCCAGCCAGCCACCCGTCCATCGACCTGCTTTCGGAGTTCGAGAACAGGCACATGGTGGGACTTCTACTTCGGCGACCGGAACCGCTTCTATTGAAGCATGTACTATGCGTTGCGTCTGGTAGGCGATAGACAGCGGATCTGTGACGACTCTCACGAATGTCACGTACGTACGGCCGGCTTGCTGGGGACTGGGTGAACGACGAGGTACGCTGTATGCCGAAATGTGAAAGTTGATCGCTGATCGCTGACCCGAGCAGATTTATCCAGAGCGGCTAGAGTGGTCCTGAGTCTCGCCAATGAGTCGTAGTGAGGATTTTGATGCTTACTTAGGTAGGCATCCATGACTACTAGGGCGCTATCTGGGAAGCCTGTCGTTAAGCACGAGTCTGTGAGCAGGAACTACCCGCCCCCCCAGAAGACCACACGAGGCAGCCTTGAGTATTCGCCAAGGGTCTTCTCGACCTAGGCATTGCAATACTGGCCCAGCCAGGACAAATATGGCATCAAGGCTCAGTCCAATTGCGAGTTTTCCGCAAGCTTAGCTGGAATGGGATTGTGTTTTTCGTTTCATGGCTCAGCTATACGGATATCTATCTTTCCACTCAACCTGTGATTAATGCCGGTATGGCACTCTTCCCTGCTCGAGCAAAGTTTCGCCGCTGACACCTGTGCCCATTGAGTCACGAAGCCATACATGAGTGCAGATCCTCGCACAGGAAACTACATTAGAAGCATCAGATGAGTTGGCTAGTATGATTGAATAGGCACAAACCTTCCATCCCCTCAGAAGCACACGCGCTTCAACGGCATAAGGTTGGGCAACGCCTCCAGATCGCAAGGTTCACCCCATTATTTGGCACGGACGTTCGCAACTGCTCGGGGCCAGCCAACCAGACGCGTCGTTCGAGAACAGAGGCATAAGCAACGGGCAGACGATTCCCGTTGGATACCACAGAAGCAGAAGGAGAAGCGAAGGGTCGTTGCGTTGGGACGCGCGTTTAGACCTCATTACCAAGTAAGGAGGCACGGCTTGGGGTCTCGAGACATATAAACATGCCAGATTCGAATCGTCTTGCCCCCTGTCATGCGTCCAAGCGCAGTCCCAACCAGTCGGTACGGCAAGGGAGTTGTCAATATCGCCGTTCAGGGCTCCATCGGAGTCAACCCCGAAGATAGCGATTGGGCGTGGATTGTAATCAGACGTGGTCAAACTTGTACGACTACAATCCAACGGCCCACGGTGATAATGCTGAAATGTGATCATGGATTCCATTCTTCAAAGCAGGGCCCGAGAGACATCTGTGAGCCGGTGGCGTCGACGCCTGCTTTAAGCCTCACCGTCAATGCTTGATTGGATCGGTGCTTGGGTCGCTGTCGATCTGGAAATATTCTAGACACCTGTGGTCTCAGAAAGCGCTTGCACCAGGCTTCGTGGGGGGCAAGGAATGAGCGGTGACAATCATTCGTTTCAAGCCCTGAGAAGCTACGCCTTGGTAGTGGGTTTTGCTCAAAAAAGCAGAGGGACAGAGGGGCCAACAGAGAATCATATTGATCTCATCATCTCCTAAGATGCCTCTTGGGACTCAAGGTGTGGTCCGAATGGGGATTCATTTGATTGCCCATCTCAGTGCTTGAACGTGAGCCGTGTGGCTGGGTCACAATCCTTGAGCCAACTGGCTGGTTTGGAAGGTTGATTGATGACAGTCAGAGCACAAACGTTGATAAGGCTTTCGGTTTGGGCTTCCCTGCATCGCACGGAGGACCTCATCACTTGACAGCTGCGGTCGGACTTTGGCGTGAATGTGCCGTTATCGCTTCAAACCAGAGCCGCGGATAAGTCCCGTATGCACTAGCAATGCGGTCTGCCTCTCGCTAGGGGCTCAACGTCAGAGTGATATTCGTCCAAACCTCTAAGAATCTGCAAGGATCCTGATTGAGATAAAGAAAGAAGGCTTGATTCAACGCATGAAGCCGAACTGGGAGCGCCTCCTTGCCTGGATTTTGGCTTCGGCCCATCCTGAGGAGAGGTGTGCGAGACTCGAGAGGAAATCGACATCGGGTACCCCTGTCGGTTCCAAAGCCCACCATGTGTGCTTCCGAGGCAGCGAGGCAGAGGCGGGCAGGGATTGGACCACCAATGCTGCAATGGCCCCATGGCGCCATGCGTCTTGTTGGAACCCGTGGGCCAATTGCCGTGGGAGCGAATGATATAATCCCGCAGCACGTCGCATCCATGTGGTCCTGAGCTCTGACGACGGCAGCTCCAGGAGGCTAGCAGGCGGCAGGCAGGAGCTCGAAAGATTGGTGGATCGGTCTCATAAGGGACTAAACTACCCGCAGTAGATTACTCGCTCGAGCTGCACCTGCGCTGACATTGCTGATGCATGTCTCCTTGCAGGGCCGCCTCCCAGCAGGCTTCGGACGATGAGAAGGTCGCGTGCGAAGCCGTACACAGGATGGGGACATGTGGTATCACAGAGCAGATGAAAACGAGCATATGATGGGCCCGAGCTAGTTCTGAACTTCTGAGGGTGCGCATGCTGGTGCTGTGTGTGATGATGCCAGAGGGATCCTTGTTGACCCAGAGCTGACGGCGGAGGGTTTGCGAGCTAGGATTCGGCCGGGTACGATAGCGCTTACAAGAGGCGCGAATCGGGTTCGTTTCCATTTCATGTCTCATCGCTCATCACAGCCAAGCTATCGCCCGACTATCAGTACTTGTTAGTAAGTACACAGTAACTTTGCTCTCGAGCTCTGGCAAGGCTAGCAGGCTAGCATAGAGCGATGCCGTTGTCTCGATCACAAGAGGACAGCATATGCCGTGTCACCCCGTACTGCAGCAGACGATAAAGCTGTCTCAAACAGATGTAGGCGAGCGCCGATGACTGCTGTCAGGAGCAGGCCGGCGGTGCGGGACCCTGATCTGGGCGTTTGTGAGGCTGATTCTCTCTGGCCGTGCAAACCCACCGCAGTGGTTTGCGGGGTTGGTTCTGACTTCTGAGATCTTCACCGACCCCAGGCAAGTGGTCGAGGGAATGGCGAGATCATCACATGACTACCGCATACTTTTGGGAAAGTGAGGACACCCGTTGATAAAGTCAGGTGAGCGAATCTGAAATGAACCAGATTCATAAGAGACATCCATGGTACCATGTGATTTCCGACGCCCGGCCACCAGGTGAAATAGGACTAAAGTTGAAAGTTATAGACATAATAGTGGTGGTGAAGGTGAGGTCCCCAGCACGGGCCCAGTTGGGAAATACGTGCCTACGTAGTGGGGTCTTTGGGTGGGGTCTCCAGATGTCCCGCGGGCGGATCTAAATCCAAAAGCAGCCAAGGCCGAAAAGGGTATAGACCAGTTCTGAGTCCTGACCACCTTGCACTGACCAGCCCTGAGCCCTGCATTCGGCTCCGGATGGAAAAGTGGAGAGCGAACCTCGATGAATGCTGAGACAGGAACAAGCAGCGATGATCACCACCGAATCGTCATCTTGTCTGCTTGTCCGGCTTGATTGACTCCATGAAACGCAATGGAAGACGCAGCAGAAAGGTCACGGTCCCGTCAATGATATCCATCGCATTTGTTACTCGCATTATACACCCCACCCCCATGGGGAAGCTGTATTAATCTTGGGAAACCAACACATCTCACCGGTATTCCATCTCATCCGGGGATGTCATGACCGCGGGTTTCTGATATGGCAGACCGGTAGGACGTTCAATGTTGCATCTCCCCTGATGGATGTAGTAGCAGCATCCCGGCCCCTCCCCTTTGGACAGAAACTACGATGGAGGGTGCCAAATGAGGGCAGAATGCTCAAAGGTGGGTGGTTGCCATTGACACCCTCACAACCTCCCACACACACACCTCATCCTTGTCGCTCAATCTTCACCGGTCGACCTGCATGTCGCTACACGTTGACAGCACTTTTCTCGACTTCATTCTGCCACGGAGCCTGGTCAAGGGTCAAGACTTCTCCTCTTCGGTGCGAGACTCGCTCATGGCAATGCCTTGTCTACCCGCGCCAGCTACCTTTGTATGAAGTGTCCTGCCCTACTCTTCAATGATTCCCGTTTGGAGCTTGCCTCGCCTCGAACATTGTGTCTAGGAGCATGGCTCTCGCATTTCTTCAATGTGTCACCGACTCAGGAAGAAGCAGAATGTAGTATTGCGGTATGCTACCCCACACCACACCACACCACAGCAGCACCCAAAACCCAACCGGGCTGTCGTCACTTTTTCCGTCTATGACTTACAACTGTGATGTGTTACTATTAGCAAATCGAGATTCCGCTGAGACCAATGTAAGGACAATACTAAACAATACGCAGGGTAATCATTTCATCTGTTTCGAATATTTTATCATTCTATGAACGAAGTGTCAGCCGTGGTCATCTACGCACCTTTTCACTCAAAGCTACCTGATCCCACCCCTTCACCAACTGTGGCAAGAAATCGACCTGTACGTAGCTACCAAGCTACCAAGCCGGACTGAACTAGAAGACGAGACACAACAGAAATATCTACACCGATTGCTCGAGGATGTGGTTGATACTGGTGCAGATAAGGCCCGGCATCGAAGGGCTCTCCACCACACCGCTCACATTCACGTTACGCAGTCGTACCCCGACAGCCCTGATTGGCACGACAGGCCCCCGTCCTATGCGCGTCAAGAAATAGGAAGAGAGTGGTGAGTAAATAGGGTGTGTGGGCCTTGGAACAGAACCAGAACCAGAACAGCACATCACCATCCTCCCACCAGACCCCACCAGGTATAATTAGTAAGACATCGCGACGGACACACACTCACACAACCGCATACGGGCACCCATAGACATCGACCAGCAGCCCTTTGGGTAGCCTTCCTACAGTAGCTCCAGGTACGTCTACCACCATAGCGCAGCATCCACCCCCAGCCGGCTTGTTGCAGTAGATCGTCTGATCTCCTCTCGATTTGACAACAGCGAGCTAACTGTCGGTTCAATCTACAATCTACCTGACGCGCCTTCCCCAAATCTGCCGTCATTCCACGATGAGCAGCGTGCCAATACGAGCAGGAAATGGCGCCTCATTGTATCACGGAGCCTAACTTTTATAACTTCTACCCCAGCCTTCTATCCCAGTGCCCTCAAGCTACGGCACGGGTAGGTAGGTTCTCTCTTGCATACACTCACCCAAAAGTCTATCTGAATAGTCCTAGCGGGGCACTCATCTGGAACACCCATGATTGAGGTAAGTGACAGATAAGGTTGCCTTTTTAAGTATACGAAAGCGGCTCGCAAGTTGAGGCTAGGGATGATGATTGATACACCATACGACCATTTTCAAAACAACTTGGCTGTACATGATGTCCCTCGGCTATGTCCAATATATGCACATGCGGCATCGCCATGCATACCTTACCTACTGTAAACATCAAACAGCAGCTCCCGAGGTCGTCAATCGCTGCATCTCATCACCTACATATCTGCCTCGTTCACATGCACGGAGAGTTGCGTGATCTTGACGTCATGCACCTTCTACTGTATTTAAGAGGGCGTTCTTTAGCAACGGCGCCAACATTCACAAGGGCATTGAACAATAACAGATAATAGCAGCTAGCGATCATATCACAGATATAGGCACTGCTACTTCTGGCTAGGTAAGCTGGAATTTGATATGTTTCATTCCCTTTCTGCAACAGTCTTTAACCGGGTTTGGAAAGACGTTTCCCCCTCCCACATACCCATCCACCCCCAGCCATCTGCCTCTACATGGTGCACGTCAGAGCCGATGCCTTTTGGACGAATAGGGACGGATGTCAACCCGCGAGGTCGATGTTCTAGTTCAAGGGAACGGTTCCTATCATCAATCCTCACCACGCTGCAGGGATACACTGCCACACCTCCTCCTCGGAACCATGGCAGCGTGGGTGGGAGAGGGAGAGGAACAGACCCCGGCACTTCTCTATGCCCAATCTGCACGTATGTTGCACACCTCACACCTCACCTCTCACCTGCAACGCACTTGCAGGCGTTTCTTATTAGCAGCGCGCCTGCTTCTCGATCACGACCACCTGCAGTCAGTCCAGTGGACACTGGACAGTACCTACTGCCGACCTGGTAGTGCTGGCGCTGGTGCTTGGGATTAGCACTAGCATTAGCGCGTACCTGTCCCGGATCTCATCAGTGGAGGCGTGGGCAGGCTCGGGAGGAGGGGAGCTCGAGTGAGCAATTGCCAATTAGGAGCTTGAAGTGGGCCCGGTCCAGGCAGAGCAGCACGCCCCTACCAAACCTTGAAGGTACCTAGGTCCCTTAGCGGCACCTGGAGGGCAGAGGGCAGAGAGCACTCCAGGGCTGTCACCTTTGACCGGGTCGACCCTCAACTCCAGTCTCTGCCGCGTGCTGTTATTACCTACCTTACCTCACGATCATGTGTAGAGCTTCAACACCGCGAGCACATTTACATATGTAATCACCAGCCCCAAACGATGCAAACCTACAAGTCGTAGTAGGGACTTGGAAATGCAGCTAATCAACGTACTACACATACAACTTCCTCTCATCCCAAAAAATCAAAACAGACTCCTCATTTCCAGCCATCCCGTTGACAGTTGATAGCGCAGCGGCGTTGACGGCGTTGACAGTTGACAGACGCCCATCCAACACCACCATAATAAAACGAGCACCACCCACCACCATCACCACCACCACCATCTCGACCCGATGTCCACCCACCACCCACCATCAACTCCATCCTCCATCCATATTGTTATAATTATCATCTGTACCTGGGTCTCATCGCAAATAGCTACAGGCGAGAGGTACTCAATCCCTTTCGGTCTATCATTATCACCATTGTCACCATTGTCATCCAGCATTCTTTCTCCTCCCCGTCTCCCGTCTCACCGTGCGGCAGAGGTAGGAAGTGCATGGGTTGCTTGTTGGCACAAGTGACAAAGGCAGACTAGAATAGCCAGCCGGCCAGCGGGAACGAAGAGCCACCCTCCACCCTCCACACCACCACAACCTAGCGACCAGACCACCGGTCCAGGTCCAGGTCCAGGTCCAGTCTCTTTCTCCCGTGTATCGACTCTCTTTCCCCAAGTCCCAAGAGACGGTAGGCCCCCAACTTGTCTTGTTTGAGAGCCCACGGTTCATGTTATACCTCCGATCATTTACATACCTTGACCTCACACACACACCTACCACCCACCACCTACCACCTACCTCCATACCTCCATACCGACCCGACAGCCTGACCGGCCTTCTTCTCGAAGCGAACCTGCATTCTGCACTCCTCCGCCCTGCGTGTCTTATCGCGCCCCCAATCTCTCCCGTCCCAAACCAACCCGTCAAGACTCAAGCCATCCGTCACTACCTACTATTTCCCCATTTTTCCAAAGTCGCGTCGTCTCCTTGCCCAGAGATCGACTGTCCGGACTGCTCTAATATATCACGCTATCGGCATTCGAGGCGCACCCACATTTGTTCTGTCAATCATCGCTCAATCGATAGTCCATCCATCCGCGACACCGCATTCACGTCGCTGCCCAGGCCAGCGCGTCGCATCCCATCGCATCGCATCTCGCCTCGTCGCATCTCGTCGCACCTCGTCGCATCGCAACAGACGTGGTCGCGCCCACGATTCAACTGCAGCACTTTGCGACACCTCGCAAGACACCAACCCACCAACCCACCACTTGTCCCTCTGACCAGCGCGATCGTCCCTCTCTCGTCCTCGACCGCGACCCTCATAGGCCCCTCGTCTCCAAGTGCCTCTCGTAGGGCCGTCAGACTGCAAGCACAGAAGCACCACCCGGCATGAGTGTGGCATTCAACTTACACGTCAATCCTGTATTCGCTCCTTTGTCCTCAAATCGCGCCAGTCTCGATCCTTCCATCAATTTTCCTCCTTGGCGCAAGAGAGCCATGGCGAGTTCAGGCTTTCTGCCACAATCGCACTCCTTCAGGACCGCCGCCTCATCGTCCTCGTATCCATTGTCCAACAACACCGCAGTACACCAGTTCGACCGCGACGCGACCACGATGCCCGTCGGCACTCCATTCGCGCGAGCCCCGTCCCCAGTCTCGCGACTTCTGATCCGTCGCATGCCGCTTGAGATGACCGAGCAGAGTCTACGCATGATGCTCCTGTTCTGCCAGGAGGAATTGGTTGATGTCGAGATGCTGGCTGCTGAGCAGTCTCGGGATCCACACTTCCAGTCGGCCATTGTGAAGTTCAAGACTTCTGCTGGAGCACAAAAGGCCAAGGATGCGCTGCACGGCCGACCTGTGAACGGCAATGGTATCAACATGGACGTGGGCTTCCTGCCCGGAAGTGGAAGTCCCACCACGTCGAGAAGACATCCGATCGACACTCCAGTCTCGGCCGCGTCTAGTCAATCCTCTTCGAACACCTCGCCAGGGCCTACCTCGCGTCAACCGCCTCGGTTCAACGGTACATTCCAGTCAATGCAGAGAATATCGCCGCCCATGAATCACATCTATGCAAGCAACGAGCTCCCGAATCCCGAGTCGAGCGCTCACTACCAGAGCCTCTTCTCGCCGCAGTCGCCAATTGGCAACCACCTTCCGGAGCGCACGCGCATGTCGGGCAAGACCCTGATCAACCATGACACGGCCGAGGACGACGAGACGAGCGAGCTTCTGATGAATCCCGTCGCTTATGCCGAGAACGGAGCTACCGCGCAGCGAAGAGCTACTGCGCCTCAGTTACATATCTCACGCATGGCCGCTCTGTCACTTGACACGGCAGCCAATGGATCGATATCGCAACCGCAGTACGGACATGCAAACATGACTCCTTTGTCCGCGCATAACAACGCGATGTCGCCGACGGTCATGAACAACTCGAACCACTCGATGAACTACCAGGCGGTCAGCCAGATGGGCGGCCAGCAGTTTCAGCGGTCCCACTTCCCACCTGTGAATCCTGCCGACCAGAACCCTCCGTGCAACACGCTCTATGTCGGCAACCTACCGATTGATACTATCGAGGAGGAGCTCAAGGCCTTGTTTTCCAAGCAACGCGGCTACAAGCGTCTCTGTTTCCGCACCAAGAACAATGGCCCTATGTGTTTCGTCGAGTTCGAGGATGTCTCCTTCGCGACCAAGGCCCTGAACGAACTGTACGGTCAACCTCTCCATAACAGTGTGAAGGGCGGTATTCGCCTCAGCTTTTCCAAGAACCCATTGGGCGTTCGTTCCGGCCAAATTCCGGGTCCAAGTGGCTCCAGCTCTATGGTCAGCACGAACGGAATGATGTCCGGACAAACGAACAGCTTCTCAACTGCGAACGGCCCGCCCCCTGGCCTTTCTGCGCCCCCTGGCTTGAACCGTGGTGGCTATGGCAGCGGCAGCGGCGCGAACACCCCCTATTCGGCGGGCTACCAAGGCGGCAACAGCCATGTCTGGAATAGCCCAGTCTACAATGGCGGACCCATCTCAGCCGGCGGTTCATCGAATGGTTTCACCTCTGGGTACCCGGCCCATATGATGGGCAGATAGATCACGGTCGAATTGATGGTATAGAGAGAGCCATGCATTATGTGTTTCTAGGTTTGGCTACTGGCGTTTCGGAAGACACTCGGACGACGTTGGTGGAGCATTTGACGTCCAGCCCTTCTCTTCGACCATATGCGACCGGCTGGCCGTAGCCGACGAACCTTCAACGACTCGTGGATTTCGAAAGAGCGATGTACTTGGCGGGGTGCCACACTTGTATTGGGTTTTGCAAATGATCGTCGTGGTTGTGCATGGTTTATAGCGTCGGCGTCGAATTTTCGTTGTGGTATCCCCCCTGGCGGACCCTCGCGCGTTTGCAGGCCTCGGGAGTTTAGAGAGTCATCACGGTGTTTACTTCAAGAAATGGTCACATGGGCATTCTTCGGTCTTCATTTGGTCTTCTTTTTTCTTTTTCTCTTCTTTCCCAGCGGTATTAGCGTCACGTTTGTTCCTTTTTGCACCACCACAGCCTGGCGCCGGATATCTGAAAGGTGCTGGTTCCTTGAATCTGGATATTCTCATGGGAAGCAGGGAGCGGCTGGTGCAATGCGCAGATTCCAACAATCTCGCCTGGGACTACTCTCCGCGCCACATCTATTCGCATGGAAGGCATCAACGAGTCGGCCATTGTGTAATGGAGTGGTCCCCATCATATCTGCAGCCTTGGTCGGAAAGACGTAACCCGGTACCGCACACTTATCAAAAGGAACGAAGAGAACGCGATACCTTTACCTTGCACGGAGCATTTTCAAAATACGGCGAAAAGGAATTGGGACGGGTCCGGTGTCTGGCGGAGGGCATTATATACACCGCATTCGATTCCTTCGTTTCGCCCCGGGACCCTACAGCCGGCTGGCTATTACATCTGCGGGATACCATGGGAAGTCTGGCGTCAGCATCTCGTATTGGGCGGGGAGGAACTGTACATCTGGTCCTGAAGATTCTCCAGCCGCTTGGCCGTTGGAGACACGGCATCATTGCTTCCTCGTCACCAGATTGGGATAATCTCGGGCTTGATCTTGACCTCTGTTCCGGAGACAACATGAGGTACGAATCAGCGGAGGACAACAGGGGAATGGGCATTGATGGTTCTCTTGGTTTTCATCTTTTCACATTGCGCAGGAAAGGGGGCATCTGCTTGGAGACATGAACACCGAGAAGCAATTCCAGGAAAGAAACGGGATAGACGGATGCGGGAGTCTGGGAGGCGATCTGACGAGCGAAAACACGCTTGCTTCTTTTTCTCGCATTTCATTCCTCCCTCCTATCTTGGGGTTCGTCTCTCTGTTTCTGCCTCCATTTCCCTTGCGGCGGGCTTGACGATATCACATCACATTACATCACACTATCATATCCAACATCTGGTGGGCATTTGTCTGGAGGTTTTCGCGATGGGTCCTGTCTTTCCTAGTTATCTGTTCGTCCCCCTCTCATAATATAGTCACGCGAGCTCGCGAAACTCTTTAGACGGTCACCTCGATTCACATCCAGGAAATGCAACGAATTGTATCCCCGCTACCTGCGCGATCTGCTCCACATATGTACGTGAATACTTCGAGTGCTCATGATGGTGGTTGGTGGTGGCGGTAGAGACATGGACGGACGGAGGAATGATATGACTTGACCGATAGACCTCGTGACTATCCCAGATGACTTAGGGGGTATAAGTGAGTAAGCATGGTATGTAGGTATGTAAGTGTCTACAGGCCTCGGTGAAATTGCGCAATGCGAACTGTCATTCATTGACTGCCAATATAATCTAATGGCACACCTCCTTTTCTACCTATTCATGTAGCCCGTCCACACATCCATCCAACGGTGAGTGACGAGACGAGTGAATGAGTATCAATCAACTGCACCAGCCGGCGTATAGTCTAAGTCTCGAGACCGAGCAGGCTAGGCAGGCGCGCGTAGGCTCGTATGAAACTCCTCAAATTCGTGCTGGACTGGCTATCAACTATCATGTGTGAGTGAGTGCCGAGTGGTAGGTATACCGTAGAGCTAGCTGTTCATACAGTATCCACCCTCCCTCCCGCCCATCCATCACAGACCCCCAAAGTCAGGATACTCCACGTCGTCCCTTTCAGCCGTCCAGTCGACGTCCCCCATGTCCATGCCCGCAGCAGGCCAGCCCGTCGTCATAGTATCCCACAGGTCACGAAAAACCACCGGCGGCTTGCCTCCTCCTCCTCCTCCTCCTCCCTGGTGGTCTCCCAGCTGGCCCATTGCAACCAGATCCAGATCCAGATTATCCACCGATGAGAACGAGAACGGATCTGTCAGCACCCCCGTGCTCCCGCTCCTGCTCCCGCTCTGCGGCGTGTAGAAGCCGGAAAACCCGGGCAGAGCAGCCCCCTGCTGCCCTGCCCACAGCGGCAGGTGCTCCTCCAGACTGCCGTTGAGCATGGGACAGGCGGAGGGATCCCGTCTGCTACTACTACTACTGCTACTACCGCCACTGCTGCTGTTACTGTTACTACTGCTGCCCATTTCCGTAGCTGTAGTAGCAGCGGCAGTAGCCGAGTCGAGCGCGGCGCTTTTCTTCTCAAAGCTCTCCCTCACGGCCGCAAGCACGACGCGCAAGGCCGCGACATGATCCGTTTTCTTCTTGCTGCGCCCTTCCCCCCAACCCCCCTCTCTCTCCCCTGCCCCTTTTCCTCTACCTCCTTTCCCACTTCCACCGTCTCCATCTTCATCCCCATCCCCATTTCCCGATCCAGATCCAGCAGCCATCGTCCGCAAAACGCCACCAAAATCCAGCACGCGCCTCCCACCAACAAAGTCGTAGCCCGGACACGACGCAACCGGGAACGAGAGCCGGTAGGCCAGGATGACGGCCACGACGAAGTGCGTGTAGTCAGCCCCAGAAAACCAGGCCATCTGCTCCGGCGGGAGCGCTGCAACGTAATCGAGGAAGGCACGGGCGGTGTGCGCCGCGGCGAGGAAGATTTCGGGGTCGAGGGGTTCCTCCTCGGTGCGTTGGACCTGCGCGGCGCGCGTTGAAAGTAGGGGCGCGGCTAGGAGGTACATGTCTGCGCTCAGGGAGGTCATGACGATGCTTGCTACACATGTGAACCACAGTGATAAGTCAGCTTTTTGCGACTTGAGAAACACAACACAACATATCAATCAGGCGAACGATAGAAGAAGAAGAAGGTAGAGTGGAACGATGAAGGCGGAGAGAGTTGTGCAATGCGACTCACGCGCAGTGGATATCCCGTCCGGCATCCGACTCTGGAAGTCCCGCAGCTGCGGCTCGAGACCCATGCGGATGAGGCCGCGGTAGTGTTCGCTCTGGGGATCGCGAAACGCCCGGGCGTTGATCTGCACCTCGTGCAGCTCGGCCAGGATGTACTGCAGCCGCACGAGCCAAACCAATACGTGGTCCTGCTCGAGGGCGCTGGCCTGTTCCAGGGCGTCGCTGCACCGGGTGATCCAGGATGAGTACCGCAGGGTCGTCGGCTTGGACCAGGCCCAGCTGTAGCTGTTGGGTTGGGGAGGGTTAGTATCGCGTGAGGAGGTTGGGATTGGGGATGGGGAAGGGTGGTAGGTAGGGGATGATAGGGGATGTAGGACGACTGACGTTGAGCTCGCGTAGAAGCAGGCCAGGAATGCCCGGATGTTCTGGATCTTGCTGTCGCGCTCCACGGGACGCTGCCACGAGAGGTTCAGATCGGATTCCTGGTCTAGCTCCAGATCGTGCACCATGTCGACGGCCATGCGCAGGTACTGGAATAGCTGTCTGTTCTTTGGTCGCAGATGAAAGGGGTACCTAGGATGATCGTAAGCTTCAACTTGCACAGACTCGTACCTCTCCGATACAGAGACATAACTATTGCTCGGTGAATCCCATAGTCCTAGAGCCATATATGCATGCATCTTGAGAGCTGTAAAACCAATGAGAGAAACAAGACGAACAATGTCTTGATGAAACTTAGCTTACCAGGAACAATACACCAACAAGCCCTGCAGCAGCTCAAGCGACCTATCCCCGCCCGCAACGAACTTGAGTCCCAACACCTTACGGAACTCCTCGTCGTAGAGGCTGTGACCCTGCAGGCTGGTCGAGCAGCTCGTCACAGCCAGGATAGCCAGCAGGACGAAAGGCGAGTCCCGCGCCAAGGACCGCACGTCGGCGTCGTCGGGCAGCACGACGCACGGGAAGTGCGGCAGCATGGCGCGGAACGAGGCGAGCAGCTTGGCCGCCGAGTCGAGGTTGAACTGCGGCTTGATGCCCAGCTCGGCTATGGGCCGCCGCCGGTGCGAGGAGTCCGTATTCGCCGCGTTCGCATTCGTACTCCCAGAAGCCGTGGTTGTCGATGACGATGAGGGAGTGGCGCCGGACGAGAGGTCGTTGAAGCTGAAGGCCTTCCCCGGATCTGGGTCAGACGATAGCATGGCACAGTTGTCAGAGCCGGGGTCGGAGCCAGATACGAGGTCGGCAATAAAGCTCTCGTGCCTCTGCCGCAGATTATCAAAATCGGCGTTGGGCTCCTCGGCTGCCGCCATGTTGAAGTCGATGCTGAAGGTCTTGCCGGGGCCCGGGGGTGGTGGCGGTAGCTCCGCTTCGCTGGTTCTCGGTCTTCAGCCGGATGCTTGCCACAAGTAACAGACCAGAAGTTCCAGGGTATCTATCCCATACAACCTAGATCCGAGGTGGAAGATCACGGGGAAGACTCGAGAGAAGATGTACTCACGGCCGAGATGAGTTCTTGGGGCGCCTGGTTCGCGGACCGGTTCGGAAGACGCACTCCCTCTTGTGCCCCGAACACCTGCGTGTGGCCTGTTCAGCTTATATACCCTGACGAGGTAGGCGGTGGACTATACCGTTTACATATGTCGGGATGAGTGCCCGGCTGGCATCTCACCTTTGCCGCACGACATGCCTCGCAGGCGTATGCTCCTGGACGGCTACTGTCGTTAGCCTTGGGTCTGGATTTGGGCCGCGCTTGCGGTCCGATTGGCTGCTCCATGACGGTGCTGTCGCTAAAGGGTCTCTTGATCCTTTCCCATGTTCTTGGGTTGTGTGGTGCAGGCTCGCAATCCTCAGTACAGGTAGCGACGTTAAGCGGAACCAGACGGAACAGCGTATGAACGTAAGATAACGGATGGTGTCTCTGTTGTCTCTGGGATTTCTTAGATGAATCTCCCACCCCAGTTGTTCGGCGGTGATCCTAGGTGAGGTGAAGCTCCGGTCCATGTCGGCGATATAAACTTGGCAGCCCCACCCGCGGGCGTCCCTCATCTCATCTCATCTTCTCAAATCTCCAGATCCGAGCACCACCGGAGGGAACCCCACGCCGGCCCCTCGCGGCTGACAATTATGGTCATAAAATGCCAGAGTCATCATGATCGTCATCTTTGGTGGTTCACTGCGGTTTATTCCACTCGGTGTCTCATCTCCATGTATCAGCACAGGTTCTCACACTTAGCACACTCATCACACTCATCACACCCAAAGTCAACGACCAGCTGTCGTTACACTGAACGCATCAAAAGTATGTTATACCATAATTCGTAGTCCCATTCATAAAATTCTAATCATATCATAATCTTCATTACATGTAGCGTTCCCTCATCCCCCCATCCCCTCATTCGTTCATCTCTCTTGCCTCATGTCAGCCCAACCACAACACCCACCACCACCAACGTGCCCACCACTATTGAAGCGCCCCAAATAATCTTCAACCTCCTATTGCGCCGCCGTTGCCGCCATTTCTCCGCCACAAAACCGGCAGGAGAAAAGCCAGCAACATCACTCCCGAACCCCAGACCACCCAACCGCTGCTCATCTGCATCCTTATCTTCCACGCGTGACCTCCCCAACTCTTCTCCGTCAGCAGGACCCCACAGATCCCGACTCGCCGGCCGCGGCATGATCGGCGTCGTCGAATCAGCAAAGCTGACCGCCCGCGACGGCGGGCTCGGCTCCGGCGACATCGGCGGCGTCGTGATGCGCAGAAGGCCCGCGAGGGACGGATAGGAGGGCAGCGGCGGCAAATACGGCAGGCCGTCTAGCGACTCGGCAGTACTCCTGCTGCGTCGGTTCTTCCTTCCCTCGACCGGGCCATTGAGGCTGGGCGTTCTGGGTCTTGTGGCTGGTATTGCACGAAGCGGCCACGCGTCGTCCGCGTTTCCATCTTCATCTTCGACTTCATCCGCACCGCCCCGCAAACTCTTACTGACCCTCCGACCCCTGTTGCGCCCATAAGCCCGCGCCGGGATCTGCGGCGGGGACAGCGCTGAAGTCAGGGGTTGTTCCACGGGCGTCGTGGGGGAATAGAACGTGGTCGGGGACGGCGCTCTGTTTACACGCGGCGACGATGCTGGGAATGGGGATAGTCGCGTCACTGTCGTCTGTGGCGGTGTTGGTGGTGGTGTCGTCGTCTGCGCTGGAGTAGGGGTGGCTGATTGTAGTGGCAGATGGACGCAGCTCGTGCTCGGCGGCACGGGGAACAGCGAGGGCGAGATGGGGGTTTGTGTTTGTGTTGTGCACGGCGAGACGGGCGAAGCCGGTGGTGAAGTGCCGTCTATGCTTATGCTCAGTCTTGTGATGACGGGGGATGATACGGCGGTGTCTTTGCCGCTGCCGCTGCCGCTACCGCCGAGATTGCGCGTGCGCAGCGCAATGTCGAAATAGCTGTCGGGCTTCGTCGAACAGGCTGTTGTTGTCTTGGAACGCGACTTGGACTTGGATTTGGGCTTGGGCTTTGGTGCTGCTGCTGTGGAGGAGCGGAATAGCAGCTCGGGGAGGATGGGCGACTCGGCCAGCTCGCGTGTCTCCTGTTCGATGACGAGGTGAGTGGCGAGTCTCAGGGCTGGGCCTGGAGTTTCGGGGGAGGAGGGCTTCATCGAAGCCATGGTGGCGGGCGGCTCAATCCACTGTCTGTTCGTCTCTTCCTATCCCGGTATACGTGGATAGCACGTCGTATATCCCCACGTTGTGACGTCGCATAGACCAAGCGCCCTTCCGGTCTCTACCTATTCGTGAATATCAGAGGAAGACATTGCAAAAGAACGAGACGACGGTACAATAAGCCACAGATATAAAGCGTATCAAGAGGAACCTCGAACCCACAAGCATCCATGTAAAGTAGACACGGACCAGCCAAGAAAACACGACAACAGCGGTGACGCCAATAATATACCACGATAACGCAAGCAAAGGAATCCCTCCTGCAGCACACCACGAGGTTGACCTCCACACATCTACCCTGTAGAGTACCATCGCGCCACCCTCGAGCCCGGTCGAAGGAAGGAAGGCAAATGCCAACAAGCTTATATCTGCATCCATTATCAACCGTTGGCTGCCTCCACAAGAAGGCAGACCGCTACCAGCCCAGCGGCGCGGTGCATACCTACATACCACGCGATACCACGCGCCCCTCCTCCTCCTCCCCTGGAGCGTGCATGCATGGTTGAGTTCTGCATGGTTTTTTGCCAACGACGATCGGCCATACATCCATACATCCATTCCTTCATCCCATCCCACGCCCATCTTTCGTCCCGCTAGCGTCTAGGCTGCCAGTGATCACTGATACGTGACTGGCAGCAGTGCAATCGACCAATCCCGCCTTTGCAGCATGCACATGTTGGTGGTTCATCGGTACTCACTCCAAATAGTAAATACCTGCGGAGACAAGGGTGGCAATGCAGGGGTATCTACAGACTGCAGGGGAACTTCAGACGACAGCGATCCTTTTGCATTCTTTTAGTTCTTAAATCTTTTAGCCGAGAAATCCCTCAGCTCCTGCCCTGCGACGTCGCAAGTCGGTGTGCAAGTCAACCGTGAGCCGGCGGCCCCCATACTATACCAGCCCCAATCACCATACCTTACCTACCTACCTGGAGACAGACAGGCAGACAGACACGAACGCTGATATAGCCCCCAAAGGTGGCCCCCAAAAAACGCCCACTCACGTATTAACTACGTGGACCGATATCTGCAATTTGCATTCCTCAGCAGGAATGAAGAGGATTTCCCGCTTATCTCTGTTCACCACCACTCACGAGGGGCTTGAAATGTTTGAATCGATAGAGATCACCGCCGGCACGTGGCCGTTCGTTCGCATGGGAAGAAAGATACTGAAAATGGAGAAAAAAGTACCTAACCTAGCAGGAGCCGCGCTACTGCCGACTGATGGGCCGGCCCCGCGTCCTCGTGGTATACTATCTATATCCGGGTGCAGCTGCATTGCATGCCTTATCTTACGTAGGTATGGAGATATTACGAGGTAGGTAAACATAGCAGAGACAAACAAACAGAGGCGGTCAAAGACGACGACGACGAACCCGACCCGCCCGTCGGCAAAGCTACCGGTGAACAGTGAACTGCACGTGGTAGGAGTTGGAAGAACCGTTAGGAATTCACCGCAGCCCACGTAATACATTGTTGGTGCGGACTGGACTGGACTCCAACAACTCCAGCTCCAACACGGTGGAGCTCGCCATCTAGGCCCGCCCGGCCATGGAAAGAATACCAACCACGCCTCGACGCCGCTGATACAAGGTAGGTAGGTAGGTATTAATAACACAAGTCCACCAACCAACAGTCAGTCTACATACCACAAGTCCGCCAGTAAAACGTGCCGCGCCGTGCCGTATTTTGGATGGAATGCAAGCAAGCAAGCAAGCGGCACGGAGACCGAGGCCGGCCCGATCCTACCGGTAGCTCTGAGCTGACCTGACCTGACCCAAGCTGACCCTGAGCACAAGCTGAGGTCAGCACAACAAGCTGAGGTAAGCACAACAAGCTGAGATCGAGATCGCAGATGACAGATAAGAGATGACAGTTGACAGATTGGCATTTTATAGATGAAAGATGACAGATCAACAGATTGGCCTAAAACTGTTGACATATTCACTGACCTCTCTGAAAATAATAGGTACCTGTGGGAAGTGAGATAGATAGATGCTCGGTACATACAGAAGGAGATGCTTCGTTCAAGGTACCTACCACGGAACGAGGCACGGTGATGCAATAGAAGAAAAAAGAAACCAATGCACAGTAAAGGGGAGGGAGGGCGCCTTCGACGTCACCGCACATGTCAACCGTCAACCGTCGTCCGTCGTATTGATGGCTGGGTGGCTGGAGGGCTGATATTCGCGAACAGAACACACACACAATGCAACCCACACATAAACACGCGCTCTCATTTCTTCCCCTATTAATCAGTAAGTGTCCGGCTGACTGCTGGGATGCACCAAGCCTGCTTGCTTGCTTGCTTGCTTGCTTGCTTACTGTACCTCCCGTCCATCTCGTGCGTTCTGCTCTCGGGGATTTGTGCCCGTCTGAAAGACTAGGAACTCCAGTAGGTCCTCCGTATAAGAACCTAATGCTATCAGTGCAACCCATTCTGCTGACATCAGAAACCAGCGGTCCAGTAGGTGCATCACAATCAGTCACTCTGTCATCAGGAGCACAGTAGGGTTGAGACCATCGTAAAAGTCTATTAAACATTGCCTCGAAGATGGCCAGGCTATCTACGAGTTTCTGGTTTTTCTACGCACCCTTCAGTCTGGCTGGACCTCGACGTCGTTTCAATCACGGGTAAAGGGTCGATGCCTCGTCGTCGCGGTATGTTGGGTTCGTAGTAAGAGTTTCTTGTAGTACAGGGGAGACCTCCCGAATCAAGGGGGTCTCCGCTTTGAAAATGCCCAAAAAATAGCCCGTCCTTTTCGTTTAGAAAAGTCGTGAACTCCATATGCACATGGGTATGTCAAATGCAGGCTTGGACGCCGGGAGTGACGTCGCGTCTGGAAGGAGATTCGGAACCATAAAAGGGGTCGTGTCAGTATGTTCGCTGTTGCTTACTCAACTACCCGTGCCACCGACTACTTTCCCATCGCCAATGTCGATGAAGAAGTTCACCACGTCGACAGTGCGGCTCCCGCCAATGGTGACATTCATTGCCTGTTTCATCGTCACGGAAGACGAAGAGTCTGCACTAGTGAAGAACTCCTGCAGCGCAGTCTGCGCCGTCGTGGCATCCTCCAAGCTCTCTTTTTGGAAGACGTACAGGACCGCAACACGAGCGAAATCGACCGCGTCCTCGCTGACAGTGAAGGTTCCCGTTGGTTCGACCATGGCCGACGTGCTGCCCGAGGTTATGCTCGCAGCGGGAGATTGTGTCGTCGTGGCCTTGGTGGTACTTGCAGTCTCTACAGGCATGCTGAGAGTCAGCGTCGTCGCGAAGATGGTCGAGACACCCGACAGCGTAGTAGGAGCGGTAAGCGTGGTGATCATGACGCCATTGGTGCCAGTTGGTTCACTGATGATGATGGTGGCATCAATACCCGGAACAACAGTAAGTGTGATTGCGGCATCGGTCGTGGCGTCAGCTTCCCCAGCGCGAACCAGGGCAGCATCTGCCCTGATGCTTGTCACATCACTTTGAGAATCGTCGGTTCGCGAGGATTCGCCGTCAAATGTCACCAACGCGTTCTCAGAGTTGCAGGACAGATTTCCAGAGTTGAACCTGGACTGGATCGCTGTGGCAGACAGTGGTATGGAGAAATTCGCCTGCGCGTTTTCGATCAGGCGCGGTATCGCCTGCCCAATGGTGACATTGTTAATGCTCGTGCCCCCCGTACTTATCGTCGTCGTCGTGCACCCTTGTGATGTGGCGATCGTGCAATCGGTACCCGTGAATCCGTTGGAACATATGCAGGAGCAGACATCTTGGCTGATAACCTTAGTGCCCCCGTTTTGACACGTCAATTGTGCCGGGCATCCAGAATCGGCTTCAGCTGGTGCGGTGTTGTTGTTGGGCTTCCTGATCACAAAAATCTCCAGAGGAACCACGATAGCGGCGGCAATGATGCAGAGAATGACCAGGAGTAAGAAGAGAAATGCCCAAAGCGGTAGACCGCAGCAACGCCGACTCTTTTTACGTTGCTCTACCGGCTGTTGGGTTTCCATCGGCTCCCCACGAAAGGACTGTCGACTAAGGGGCAGCGGCCAGGTTCCACTCGGTCGCATGCTTCGCCGACTCGCTGGCGGGGGAAATGCAGCCAGCATATCCGAAAGACCTGACTGGTGCTTCTCCGTGTCATCTGTGAGGTCTGTCAGCTCATCTTCCTTGTGCAAAGGAATATTATGGTACGAACAAGAACCGCCTTTCTCAAAGTCCCTGCCGTAAAACTCTTCTGGGAAATCGAGCTCATCGAAACGGCTGGCTGGTCTCCGGCCCCTATCCATCAAAGATGCTAAACGCGTGGCTCGTCGGATAAGATCTGGGAGACTTGTAAGACTTCCTCTTGCTTCAGCTGTTCTTACAGCATCGATATCAAGGCGTGGCGGTCGTCGAAGACCAGACATCCTAAACGGTACAGGTGAAGGAGTTGCTTTTTGTATTGACGACGGATCCGTCGCACTCGCTCCCTCAAATGCATTCAGCATGTTGTCTGCCGTCAAGGCAGAACCTACTGTTGCTCCCCTCGCGACAGAAGGACCTGAAGAGCTCGATGAGTTGTCAAGATATCCAGTGCCGTCCAGGAATGAATCATCTTGTACAGGCCTTGGCGCCGGTCGCGGCATCGAATCCGTCTTTTCGGAACTTTTCGTGGTAACCAGGGAAGGCTTCCCTCTCTTCCCTATGCTTGCACTCCTGACCAAACGACTTTCGTCCGCATCATCACTGATAATGGATTCTTCCGCTATCGCATCGTCGAAAAAGATGTCGTTTGGACTATAGCCCGGCGACGCGCTCCCAAAGCTCTCTGGTATCGCAGCGCTCGACGCATAGGAAGCATAGGATCTGGTACGCGGACTTTCTTCTGGAATTGGCGAAACAAACGAGGCGGTGGAGTAGAAAGAAGAGGCTCCTCGCCTTGAAGACGGTGGCGGTCCCAGAGTGACACTTCTTCGAGGTGGAGGTAGGGGGGCCGCCACAGGTAACGGGAAATCTGGGATCGACCCGACTGACGAAAGCGTTGATGGCCTTGAAGACGAAGTTACGGTCGTGTCCGGGACCGAAAGCTCTGATATTCTTGAATCCTGCGGTGTGTACTGAAAAACAGGCGTATGATCCTGTATGCGGGATCCATCCAGAATTGAAGGTACTCGGCTAGGTCGTGGGGGACGTTGCGGTGCTTGAGACCTGCCAGGCGGTGGTCTGTATGGCTCGGAGTCGATAGAAGTTGGCGAGAGTATTGGTCCAGCAAGGGGCCATTGAGCCACTGGTGTAGGTCTTGAAATAGTCACGCCGGGCTGCCCTTGAACTCGTCGCGTTACCGGTGATGATCCTGGAACGTTTGGCGGTGATCCCCTGATACCTGCTTCTGCCTGTTCCCTTGCCCTTCTGACGGATCCCGATCGCCCCAGCCCTGATGAATCGTCCATACCTCTCGCATTTTTAGGTTGACTCATTTATACCGCACTGAAGGATGCCTAGTTCGGTCAAATCACTCGACTTCCACGTGCCGACGCCGCTGCTATCCCGATGTCCTGGCGGCCTTGTGTGATATATGAACGGCATACACGAATCCCAGCTCGGAAACACAAAGCTTGCGTCTTTCGCGCTGTGGGCACCCGATAGCCTGCCGGTGACTGGGTGAGGTACTCCAACGAAAACAGTCTCGGGAAGTGGCTGGTGCTGCGTTGTCGTCGGTGGTACGTGAATCGCCTCGGTATAAATGAAAGACGGGTATCGTGAACAGAGAAAAGCTCAGCTTCGTCGCAGGTTGTGGAACCACTTCGTATTGAGTATATCCAGAATGAAAGGAACGAGCAACCAATGAAGTCAAGTCTATTGACGCAGACAGGCGAGGAAGGAACGGACAATAACGACAAGTCGCTTGAATGCTAGTGGCAATGTACAGGTGAGTATTTGGATTAAAGCGACAACGCTGAGGTCGGCTAAGTTAGTAGGCATTCACAGTATAACAACAAGAACAGTAACGATAGAGAAGAATGGTAGGTATGTATGCGCATGCGGGGGAGTCAGGCCGATGAGGGTTGGGGAATAGTGAGGGCACGGAGAGTTGCAGAGGCGACAGCAGAGTCCGACGACGAAGAGACAGAGACAATTGGTCAATTCGGGCAGGAGACTGCGCCTGGACCCTCGGGCCTCGCGCCATTTGATTCCACCAGCAGCAATGACTGGGGTTATGGGGGACGGGAGGGTAGACCTAAACAGGTAGGTCACAGGTAGGGTACGAAAAGGGGATCACGTACGTTGGACGTTTCGAGAGATGCCGACCCTTTCTCTCACAGTGACTGGTCCAATTGCGCAACTATGCTGGCGACAGTCGAGACAAGGATGAGCGGGTTAATGTAAGTATGTATATACTGGCTTGCACAGCAGCGAATAGGAGCTGCGTAAGTTGAACAGGCTGAATGAGTAGATTCCCGCTACTCTTCTGGCAGCTGCTCAGGAGAGCCTAGTAGAAGACACCCGGAATTCAAGAAGGCGTTTGGCACGTAGGCAAGATGCTGTTCGTCGTAGTCGCACAGCTCACCCATCCAGTGGAGGGCAGGAGAAGGTGGGTGGTGGTGCTACTTGGATACTGTCCCTGTTTCAGATGTGCGGACGTAACAGCGCAGACGACGACGGTTGGCTGACGGGCGGAGATGCTTCCAGGCTCCGAGAAATCGACGTGTCTGAAGATGGGCGATCAAGAGACAATCAGGAAGAAGGCTGCAGGCGTTCGCAGAAAGTCCCGGTCCAGACGACTGTGCGTCAAGCGATAGCGGGTGATTGCAGTTCGGTTGGGTTGACGATGGCTTCGCTTCGGGAAACGAATGTGGCTGCCGCTGCAATCGAGGGACAGACGGACAAGGCAGACGGCAATGAAAAGTCACTGTCTTCAAGACAACTCAAATGTGGCAAGAATAAGAATATCACAAAACGAAAGTCAAGAAGAAGAATGTAACGAATGACAGTTGCAACTGCAGTTGTTGTGTCTGAGTGCGCGAACAGACAGAAAGACCGGGTCTGATGGCGAAGGCGAAGAGGGGAAGAAGTCAAGTCCACAACTTCAAGTCGGGGAACGTCAGGTCAACCAGACGGAGGATCGAGTGGAGGTGAAGGGGTTGTCGGAGGAGACGGGACTCTCAAAGAGTCAGAGGTGTCGCAATGACATTGATAGTGAACGGGGGAAGACAGAGACAGAGAGGCAAGCCCAAAGGGCAAAAGGCAAAAAGCAACAGACACGGCGGAATCATCAGATGCACCGGCCGATGGGACTGGGCTAATGCAGCACAAAGGCTGTCCGAGTCGTGAAGTGCAGGGTGGATAAGGGGATACGGGGATGGGATGCTGCTCGGGCAGGGCCTTGAAGTTGGATCCGATGCCACCTGGATTGATTGCTGCTGACTGGACGCGGGGATAAACACCCGTCAGTGGCCTCGCGTTCGTCAGGCCATATCCAAGAAAGAAGCCATCGTCAATCTCTGTTTGATTGCCAAGTATGTTGAGCAGGGACCGCCAGTGGTCCCCTGATATGACTGATACCCCGAGTGCCCGAGAAGTTAGAATCCTGGCGAGCCGAGCGGGGCCGGGGCCCCAGCACTTGTTATGCATCCACTTGGTATTCGCAACCGTTGGGATATTTTTATACCTTTAGGCTCCCTCATTACCGCGAAGGAGCTGCGAACTTCCTGAATTTCTAGCAATAGCAATTAATATCCCGTCTCGAAATAGTTGACAGTTAAGGTACATCCTACGTCCCTCCGAGGAGGTATCAACGTTGATACGACCTCTTGCTTACAGTGCTCTCTCATAGGTAAGGTACCTACACAGGCAGACCTTGTCCCCTTCTGTTCTAGCCTCTCTGACGCTATCACGGTTTGCAGATGGTTTCCAGATGGAAGTCTGGCCACCACAGACTACAGTCCCCAGGCTCGCATCCTCATACATGTACTTCGGTCGAAATGTCGATTGTTCCTGCACCATTGCGAATCTGATCTGATCCGGGCCAGGATGAGCAGCATGGCATGTCGGCGCTAGTGTTTCCAATTGGCAAGCCCGTTCAGGCACACGGCCGTGATTCGCTGCAGATGATGTCGGCGGCAGGGGGGTCCTGAATAGTGGATCTTGGTTCTTTTGATCCTTCGCCGGCCTTCATCAAATAGACGGCGTTCAGCTGGCCAGCCCACCGACGCCTCGTCCCAAAGGTTGCGTTCCATGCATCATCCACGCCTGCAGAAGGGCCCGGTGGCTCGATCTGTGCGAGGCCACGCCATCAATGTCAACCGGTGGCGCAACAAGAAAACTGGGAAAGTCAGAATCATGTTGATTAAAATAAAAGGGACGAATCACATTGTGCCCTTGCTTGCTTACTGCACAGCAAGAAGAAAACAGACGGTGTCTTCGCGCACAAGGCGAATAGCGACATTGACCGCCTCTCCATTAACATGTCTGGCTAATGCTGCTGTACGGCACCGTGGCGGCAACTGTTCCGACGATGAATCATCATAGGGTCCGAGGAGCACAACAATATACGGTGATAGGGTGAGCATTGCCACAAGAGGGAAACCCTAATCTGCCGGTTTGCAACATCATGACACGAACGGTTCGGTCGGTACCTCTTTTAGAGTCCGTTCTGTTTGACAACAAACACAACATGCTTATCTATCATCTGTCTGTTGTCTGTCCCACCATGCTAATCAGTCAATACTCCCAAGTGGTAGATGCGTTTGGTGTTGATGGAAATCCCCATCCCATCAATCATCATGCAATACGAACCTTCTCGATCCCGTCCCGACTCCCGGAGCCAGCCACCGCACGCGTCTGGTGCAGCCTGCAGCACGCCACGCCGCACGCACAGCAGCGGGCGTTGAACGCATGGCACTGGCGCACGCGAGGGCAAGGCGACGAGACGAGTCGAATGCAAGCCACAGAGAACGCCAGGAGGTGGTCAGCACCAAAACCCTGTGAACATGATTTTGAGGCTTGACCGGCTTCATTGCGTATCCGTTCCACTCGCTCGGGCTCTGGTGCGTGGCACGGGTAGCTGTCTGGCTCGCGGGGATTTCTGCTCAGGGGCAAGTGCCCGAGATCTGGTTCGAGGTGGAATACGGGAGCTTGTGCTGAACCAGACTGCACGAAATATGAGACACTACATGAACTGATCTCTTCACTGCAAAGCGGAAGGATCCCCGCGTACCTGATTTTATGGTAGGGCGTGCGTGACTGTAGGTACCTAATAATAAAAAATAAAGCGTGCAATCTGCAATCTGTACGACATGACGGAGGGTGCGGGAACGCTGGGGATCACCACAGCCCCTTCCATCCATCCTCGCCATCTATGATTTGCCCGTCCGCTCGCCAGTCCATCCCATCCCATCCATTCCCTCCCCTCAGCTGGGTGATTTGCTACCCAGTAGACTGACGGGCAATCAGCTCTTCAATTAACCGGATCAAATCATCTCAGTCAGTTTTACAAAAGGGCCCATGTTGATGATCCGGTCCAGTTAATCGCCGATCGCGCGCACCCCAGTTCCCGACGCAATGGTTCTCAAACGGCTGGCCCGTTTCAGAGCGCACTTGTGCTGCGTGGGTATCCCGACATACGGGCCTGCCCGGACCTTAACTGGCTCCGCTTTGCCGGGTGCCGGTGCGCCACCTGCCACTGGGCCCGGGAGGTGACTGGAATGTAGGAAGATACCGAAATCTATGATCTGCCATTTGAAACGGGATCATCGATACTCGCTATTCGTTAACGGTAAAACGGATTGCCGCATGGATTCATTAGGGCGTGGCGGATTGCAGCATCTGTCACGGTCGTTGTACCAGTAGTCCCCCACCAGCAGCAATTACGAACCCTCGGCAAATCCTCTACCTGGTAAGGACACAGTATCTGGTGAGGACATTGCCGACTTCAACTACGTCTCAGTCATATGTAGGCGCTCTTTCGTGGAGCCAGCATGGAATGGAAGCTGCTTCCGCCCATGGTGCGTCAGGGTTGAGTTCATCGGGGTACCAGTCTGAAAGACAAAGGTGCCCAGCCCATCCACACGAGGTGCATATCAACGAACATGACGAGCAAGGTCCTTGGAATTGCGGTGGTGCAGCTTACTACTGGCAGTAAGCGTAAGTACCCGCATGGAAGCTTCGGTTACCACAGACCCAGCGCATGCAGTGTCCCTCTCGCGAGCGCCAGGCAGACCGACAGGCTTCGTTATAGGCGGCATTCTTATAGGTAGCAGCCAAGTATAATACAGTGGCCCTTCCACGACACCGGACTGCGCCTCAACTTGGGAACTCATGTGCTCTGGCCAGACGTAGCGGAAGTGTAGCGGGGGTTGTGGCCGTTCAAAGGCCAAGGAACAGACTTAGGAGGATGGAGGATTGATCGGTTCTGGCAGAGTATTAAGACGAAAACTCAAGCCAACTTTGTGGGGAGATGACGAGGTACCAGCCACAGTGGCAGGCAATGAATCGAGATTGAGCTTCTGTAAGACGAGTAATTGATTTCCATTTTGCCCCTATTGGTGAGTGCATGGTGGTATAGGCCCTAGTGCTGTTCACATCCAGAATATCCCATCATCCCGTCAGATTACACTGTCTTGCATGTATCACTGATGGATCAATCTATTGAAACCCATGAGGAATATAAGTCAATGAATGAGCCGTCTGTCATAGTTCAATTTCTCGATCAATCAAGTATGTAATAAGAGCCTACTGACAAGAAGGCAAGTAAAAAAGGGGCTGGTGGTAATTCCGCTCCCAAGATGTATACGGCCTACTAAGAGATGTCAGTGAGTATCTGTAGCGTGAGTTGCTCTCTTCTATGATATATTAGAGTCAAGGCCCAGCTCATCCACGTACATCGTTTGGATGGATGGAAAGTTACATTCAGGGTCACCCAATTGATACGGTTGTGTGTGGTTCGCGGCGCGGTTAGCCGAGCCCACATTGAGGCTATTGCTCGTCCAAAAGCAATCGGAAGGGGATTAAGCAGACTTGCGCAGTATAGTGCTGACCGTCTTTAGATTATCTTCCTACACCACAGGCTCAGCATACTTTGTATCACTATTCAGTGTATTGGACGTCATCAGTTGAAGCGCAGCCCGAGACTGGTGTTTGGATTAGAGTATGCATGTTATGTTTCCGGCCATACGGACAGCCACGATGAGTGCATGGGTCTTTTTACGTCTCATATGGCTCGCTCACCTCGTGCTTATTCGGGTGATAACTACCAGTAGAGCGCATTAAAGCGGAACAAGAGCACAGCGGAAACGGGCTTCTGGAGTGTTACTTGCGGTGTGGCAGAGTCCGACTGGTGTAAGGACTGGAGGTCGCGGTCTCGTGAGTCCTATAGTTCAGTGAAGTAAATCTATATATCAATTGACTTCCCAGCAATGGCACTACGAGTAGTCACCAGCTTGATGGCTTCACATTCCAAACGTACCGATTGCCCCTGAACCTCTGTGAGCCGGCGATACACCTTATCGATAAGGTAAGAGAATCCACCTGCAACGTCACTGATGAATCTTAGCTCGCCTTTCAAGGACGAAGACGATGAACCCTGACATGCACCTCATATAATTAACTTGACCTATACATCGCCTCTCATGTCTTTCCTCAACAAGCTGAAGAACAAGGCGGAGGAACTGAACAGGAAACACAATATCGGACTCCCGCTAGGCCAAGGGTCCCAGCAACAGACCCATCCCTCCTCACAGCAATACTATCCGGGTCAACAGCCACCGCAAGGCCAATGGCAACAACCCCCTCAGGGACAGTGGCAGCAGCCTTCTCAGGGGCAATGGCAACAGCCTCAGCAGGGACAGTGGCACCAGCCGACACAGCCAAATACCTACAACAGACCAGCTGTACCACCGCCCATCCCCTCGCACTCACGGCCCCCTCCCTCAGATGCGGCATCCCACACACAGCAGTCCGGGGCCCCGCCAGCCCAGCCGCAGGCCTCACAAGTCTACTGGCGCGCCAACTTCCACCCCGACATCCCAGTGGGACAAGAATTCGAGCAGAAGCAAGGCCACGGCGACCCCTACGGCTGGGGCAACAACGAGCTGGAGAACTACACGTCGCACGCGAGCAACAGTCTCTTCACGCCCGACCACAAACTCATCGTGCGCGCCGTCTCGCAGCCGCAGCACCCGGACCCGGAGGCGCGCTACACGTCGGCGCGGCTCGTGACGCGGCGGACGCTGGGGCGCGCCCGGGGGTGCCTGACCGCCTGGCTGACGCTGCCGTGCGCCGAGGGCGTCTGGCCCGCCTTCTGGATGCTGCCGCGCGAGCCGTTCGAGTGGCCCCACGAGGGCGAGGTCGACATTGCCGAGGCCTGGAACGCCGAGTTTCAGAACCACTCGTGTCTGCACTGGGGCGCCTACAACTCGCCCGAGGACATGCAGAAGCACCTCGTGCGCCAGACGCACATCCCGGACATGGGCCATCGGGCGGTGCGGTTCGACTTTGTGTGGGATTGCGGGACCTCGGGCGTCCGCGCGGATGGCAAGTCGAACGGGGGAGGGAGGCTCATGTGGATTATTGATGGGCGCCCTGTGATGAAGAACCTCATGCCGCCAGGCACGCGCCCGATCGAGGACTGGTGTGTGCTGCTTAATGTGGCCATGGGAGGGACTGTGTGCCAGGGCAAGGCACCGCGGGACGGGATCTATGACATGGTTGTACATGCTTTGCAGATGAGCGAAGAGCCGGAGGGAGGATGGTGGAAGTTTGAAAATGATTGGCATGGGTGCCCTCATGGCGCGGTTATGTGAGCTGTCTACAGGTACCGAGGCTTACACTGCTCATGGGTATCGATAGCCTATGGATGAGGAAACGCCACGGTTCCCTGTTGGTGGATAGGACGTTATTTACTGAGGCCGATATCGATACTCGGACATGTATCGTTATGCCTACATGTCTAATACAAGTGATGCGGCGTATTAGACTCCAGAGCTACCCTCCGTGTGTCTCAAGTCCTCTCTCATGGACGCTGGAGATACTTCGTCATCTAACTCTACTAGAGAGACGTGGTCTCTTAAAGAGGCACAAACTTCTATACCTTGTCATATATTGTCATCTGGGGCGGAGCAGCTAAGTGGTGCTTCAAGTACCGTTGCTGCGATGGAAAGGACTACCTACATGTAGCCAACATGCAGGTAGGTACGTACCTTACGCACCCAAGTTGCCGGCAGGGGCCATCTTCGGCAGATCCCGGGGTCTCAATCGGACTCTTCAGCTTCCAGGCCGCCAGCCTTGCTTACTCCTTCTGTACGAACTGTTTCTAGCTTCTTTCGACGTCCGGCCGGCACCATCCCAACCTCCCGTTTGCACCTACTTGGCAATCCTATTCGCGAAGTGTCGCCACGCTACGATGGGTTACCAATACAAGAAGCTGGACCGCAATCACGCAGAGATCCGACTTCCCACGCTGTTTCCCGGGTCGGGCAGCGACGAGTTGCAGTGTTCGACCTCTGTCGTGTCACTGGACGACAACCCCGCATTCAAAGCGCTCTCATACGTATGGGGCGACGTCTCCATCACAAGACCCATCATCGCAGATGGGAATACCCTCGAAGTCACCGTCAGCCTCGAGGCTGACCTATACAAACTCTGACGAGAAGAAGAAGGCCGCGTACTGTGCATTGATGCAGTATGCATCAACCAGAAAGATTCACTGGAGAAGAACCACCAAGTTGCGCATATGGGCAGGATCTACCGCGAAGCCAGAGGGGTGGTATGCTGGCTTGGCGACAGCGGCCCCAACACCAAAGCTGCAAGCTTGTGGGTGAGAGAGGCGGAGACCTGGTGTTCCCCCTTTCGTCATGAGAGCTGCTTCCCGAAGCCCACGCTGGACGACAACCTGGGCAAGGAAGACACGCTTCATAATCCCGAACGCCTGCTTCGTGCTTATGACGGGCTTCTCGACATCATGTGTCGCGACTATTGGGGCCGCATGTGGACGTATCAGGAGTACCTTCTGGCTGCCGAAGACCCTGTTTGTTTATGTGGTGATATCAAGCTTGACGCTAACTTCATCGTTCCCTGTGGTGGCTGCGTGATGAGTTGAACTGGACTTTGCGTTTGATCTCTGACTGGTAAAACCGACTTCCCACCCTATACGTTAAGCGTTTCGTCGGCGAAAAGCAGGATGAGCTCTACGGATTCCTCCGAAATCTTCAGGTGACTGTAAAATGCCGCATTCGGTTGTACCCTGGTATGAGGACAAATCTCATGGAAGAATTACTGGCGACACGGACACGGGAGTGCCTCGACCCAAGAGACAAGGTCTTCGCTCTCTACGAGCTTGTGGGCAACGCAAGACAGGCCTATCCAGCGGACTACACGAAGCCTGTGGAGCAGGTGATGGCAGAGACTGCGGCTTACATAATCAACCACGAGAACCCGGCGCACATTTATGTACGCTTCAATCTTCGTGAGTCTCGCCTCTCTGACCGATCTCACCCGTCCTGGGCCCCTGACTTTACGGATTACTTCACAAGTTTTCTTTTTCCGAAATACCACGCGGACACGTCAGGGTTAGCAGCACAATTTGGTGGTTTACGTCAACCTTGGCCACGATTCAAAGTGACTAGCGACTACGTGCTTCGAATGTCAGCCTTCAACCTTGGTGAGTGTAATGTGGCCTTGAGGTTTACGACGGATGTGTCGGATATGTTGAAGCGGCTGGCCGACATCAATGTTGCTCAGCGGCTGGACGAAGAGCCTGCTTCCCGAAACAGTCTGCAGAGCAAGTTGCGCCCTGACTTAGATCCAGTCAGCAGGCTCGCACGAGCCTGTATTGCCCACCGCTGGCGGGATGAGGGCTATGTCCACGAACTACGCAATGAATTTGTCAACGTCTGTCAGGCTGCTGCGCAAGGAACGGTCAGTCCTGATTCTTTTCCGGCGCTGTCGGTCGAGAAATTCATCATTGAGAGTATTGGGGCTCTCTCCGGTAAAGCTCTTTTCACCACGGCCTGCGGTTGCCCTGGCATAGGTGATGGTGAGGACGGCGATCCTGTATTACTCACTCCGCTTTTTCCTTACCCCGTGGTATTGAGACAAGAGTTTAGCGTCGAGCCAGGTGGAGGCGAAACGTACTACAGGATAGTTGGGATGCCTTACGTTGATGGAGTTTGGGAAGGGGATGGTCCACATCCCACACTTGCCGATGAGATCCGCAAACAGGGTCTGCAAGAGTTCCTCATCCGCTGACAGCGTGTGATGCACCTCTCTATGCCACATGGGACTTTGATCAGAGGACAAGCCATGAAGTAAATGCCACTGTACAGGGATTGCTCATAGCCCCTTGCCTCTACGATAATTGCGGTCAAACGACGTCGCCGTCGCGCCGGCTCTTGACCTGCGGAGAAAGAGTCGTTGCCGCTCGTCGTCGCAGGACCTGACGACGAGGATCACGACGCGCGTCGTTTTCTAAACGACGAGTCGCTTTCGAGCGACGACCCGACGTTGGGACGGCCCCGAACCACGATACGAGAGAGCCCCGACGCCGTACGCGGCTGGAAGCTTCTTATCAGTTCTCCGGAGCCCCGAAACACCAGGCACGACGTTCTAAAAGGGAGTGAACGCGTTGCCACGATATTGCACGCCCTGAAATTAAGGAGGCATGAATTGGCTTCAGAAGCCACGTGTATGTATGTACGGGTGGGTGGGTGGACTGCTTGCCACGTCCCATCGCCCGAGTGGCCAACTTCAAACGTTAAAGACTACAATCAATCAGTCAATCAGTCAATCAATCAATCAATCAATCAGTCAACCAATCAACCGGCATGTTATGATTGAAGGAATGATGGCAGCGAGACTTCATTCAGCGTCCGTGGAAACCGAACAAAGGCTCAAAGGCGTTCGAGTCTGCACGGTAGACTTCCAGCCAGCCACCGGCTTGCTAGAACGCACAATTGATCTCCATGCTTGAGCATTATCGGGACGGTTCGCCCCGGACGTGGGAATATAGAAGAGTTGACATGAATTGTATGACTATAGATATGATTTCAAAGAGTTAAGTAAAGAATCGAAATTGGTTGTGTCTGGATGCCTCTCCGTCCCTTCCCTCTCTGCTCAACACCAGATCTTCCAATAGACTCCGGACCGACCAGCCAGAGCGGAAATGGTATATGCCCGCCCAAATATTCCTTAAAAAGGACCTCCCCAAAGAACTAGAAGACCATGAAGCCGGTAGACCGATTGCTTGCCCCTCCCTAGCCACGAACATAGCCGTGACAACGTAATATCCCGAACGCCATTCCTTCCTAGCTGAGCGGCGAGCCCACCCACTCTGTTCTCTCGAAGGCAAGACGAGGGTCTCAAAAGCCGAATCGGACGGCGTATTCGACCAAGGCGGCATCATCTTCGGCCCGCCGACGAATGGGGTTCTGCCATATGTGTAAGCCGCTGTGTATCCAAGCGTGTAGGTGGACAGCAGTCCTCCCCGAACTCTGAGCGGCTCCGAAGTGGACGAATGACAAGTGACAAGTAGGTAGGTAATAAGCGACCAGTAGAAACTTACCAACTTCCCCAGCAAGTTGTTCCGCTTGAGGTTGTTTGTGTTTTTACACCATTTGTAGCAACTACTCCACTTGTTGTATTCCCCGCAGTTCGACTCGGTACACGACGCCATCGCGCTCACTGTGCTGGACAGCAAGGTCGCGGCGATGAATGTGAGGATGGCGAACTTCATGTTGATGTTGGTCGGAACCATAGATGGAGGCGTAAGGCTCGAGTAGATGTGCGTGATCGGATGCTTGGAGCCTTGGAGATGGCCTGGTAGCTTGGAGATGGAGGGGGACACCGGACGATGAGGAGGTAGGTCTAAGTTCTAACGGAGGACTTATATAGAAGGACCTGTCTAGAGTCTTGCAGTCTACATATCTACCGGTATCAAGGGTGACGGCGCTTCATGCCTACTGACCAGCCTCGGAATCCCTCAGTGGAAATAGGGATGCACCAGCATAGAGGGCGTGTGGCACTGTAGGCTTACGCATGACTCGGAGGATAGGGACGGCTGACGAAGGCTAGCTTTCTTCCACCCACAACTCCCTCAACACGAAGCGCTTCCTTCCAGCAGTTCCGGCCCAAATCCTTCAAGCGCTTCCTTCCAGCCAAAGTTCCAATAAAAGCGAGACGACTTGAGTCTATGAACGTCGAATGAGGAGCAGTAAGGTTGTGACTAGAGAGCGTACGGGATCCTAGCCTTGTGGGTCGAAGAGTCAATCTAAGTTGATAACCCTTGTAGTTGTGGGTTGTATACTGTACTGTATATAGCCACTAGTATGGATCCTCCTGCCCTCTCATTGGCAATTGCAAACCCCCGGCATGCTGGACCTAACTAATAATAGACGTCGGTTCCTTCGCGGCGGGTCACCCGGAACTTACCAGACTATCCCCTTGAGTGGCAGTGCCGCTCCCCACTGAGGTGAATCAAGTACTGCCATCATCCATCGCGGGAGCAGTGGTCTCCTTTTGCATTGGAATGGGAAGGATCAAACTCGCGGGACTCGTGATCCTCATTCCTATAGAAAACATAGCTTTTCGAGGTCTGTCAGTCGCTGAGCCAAGATCAGATGATGAAAACACCATATCTCGAAAGGGAGGGCAGGTTCAAAAGAGAAGGTCAATCGACAGGGCGATGCCGAAATACCCGAACTTCCTTTCCATCCCCAGCGTCCTGCCAACATCGCATCATTATCCATTGAGGGTGCCCGTGAAGGCATCGCAGAGCCCTAGCTCACCATGTCGACAATGTTATACACGCGCAACCGCGACTTCCTCGCCGTCACCCTGTACGCGCACCTGGGCTTGCTCCTAGCCTTCACGCCACCAAACCCATCAACCCGACTCCTGGCCACTATCGCCCTCGTCGCGCATGGAATCTGCGCCTACGTGCACGCAGCACCACCAGACGAGGTGACGTACGTGTCCAACGCGCTCATGATCGGTATCAACGTGGTCATATACGGCAGCCACTTCCTGTACCTGACGCTGCGAAGCCCGCCGCCGTCGGCCGTGACGCTGCGCCAGAAGGCGAATTGGTGCGTAAAGCTGCTCTCGAGCCCGCGCGACCCCCGCCACCAGCCGCCTTTTTCGCGGCGCGACCCGGCGTACGTGCCGTCCCGTGGGCGGTTTGTCGTTTCGCAACTGCTCAAGATCTTGTTCTGCGCTGTGCTGGAGGAGCTGTTCGACTCGCTGAACGAGCGCTTCGATGCAAGCTTGCTCCCCGGCGACTACAGTCCGGCGAAAACCGTATTCGTCCGCCGCGTGCTGCTCGGCGCGCCGTGGCAGTGGCGCGAGGTCTGGATACGCGCTTGGTTCCCGCTCGTGTTCGTCATTCCTCAATACGCGTTCAAGACCACGGAATACTGCTACTTTTCGCTGATCGCCATCTTCGTGTTTGGGGACGATCACAGGGACTGGCGGCCGCTGTTCGGGGATCTGCGGGATACTTATACGCTGCGCCGTTTCTGGGGGTTCGTCGAGTCCACTGGGATAGCCGGGCAGATTTGGGTGGCTGACTGACACGTATGCAGGAACTTCGAGCCCCAGTATATCCGTCAGGCATATGTCTCCCATGCGAAAGCATTCACGAACTTGGTGCTCGGCATCCGCAGTGCGCGGCTGAAACGGATGACTATCACCGCTCTAGTATTCAGTATGACGACTGCGGTGTACGCGCTGATCAGCTTCAAGGAGGGGGGCTCGGTGACCTCGATGGTGCGGCAGTGGGCCCGGATAGTAGCTGGGATCGTTTTCGAAGACACGGTTCAGATGTGCTTCAGATGGGCTATGCCAACTTCAGCGCGAGGAGCGACTCCATGGTGGGCTCGCCTCGTTGGGTACGTCTGGGTCTATTTCTTCTTTTCGTGGTCGTTGGCAAAGGTCTGGTTCCCGGTAGACGAACGGCTACATTGAGATTCAGTTGAAAGGAACACATTCCCTTTCAAGCGTAGTGTGGTCAATATACCATCTCCAGAGGTTGTGGCGAGCCTCGCAGCATACCAAGCACAACTTGATCAAAATAGAGGATGGGTAATCCGTGGGATTGATCCATCTATGGAGTCCATGACAACATCGGTGGCGCTTGCTCACCGAAGTTCGCTGGGAATCGCAACCAGCAGGATGGCGGGACAGTGCCAACGTATGAATATAATAGGCAGCACAATCTGGCAAGATTGAGTACTCAGTTTTCAATGACTTATGTCTCCTGACCGAAGCTCTAACCAGGGTTAGCTGAACATGACTCAGGGGCCACGGCTCTTGCCTATGACTCTCTATCTCTGCTGCGATGGCCGCGTCGACTATAATAGTGACTTGAGCATATACCAAAAAATCCAGAGCAGTATTTTTAGTTGTGAGCGAAACTTTTGTTGGGTAGGGTTGGTCTTCCTTGGAGCTACCGCACACAGTTCTGATATTCGGTGTCACCGGGCTTTGCCGCTTCAGAGACATGCCAGCTGGATCCTACCAAATTTGTCACCAAAAAGCTGGATCTGGTCCATCCTCTTGTGTCTTTCACTCGCTCGAGGGAGCAGCACAAAGAGGCACAGATTTGACAATTCCGGTGGATGAGCGATTGATGCCTTGACGAACTCCTGCCCGGGAATGTTGTGTATTCAACCACAGTGTGCGGGTGAGTAATCCTTTCGCATCTAGACCTCGCTGGCTGTCGCTATGTTCGAAAGTGTAAAATAGGTGTCTGTGAATAGATACCTTCAGCCTCCAGCCCAGTGGAGTGAATGGGGAATGGGAATGGGGGGACATGACGTCGCCAGTCAGCCCATGGGCAGTGAAACAATTGAGCCTTGACCACCCTTGCCACTTGGCTACAGCTGGGGCTTCCCCTGAAAAGCCGCGTTGTCAACTTCAATGTTCAGGGGCACGTGCAGCGTGACACTGGCAGCCCTGCAGGTGGCGGGACGGGGAGTGGCGGGGTACCTAGGTACCTACTACGTATCCGTGACCGATAAGGGATGCGGCATGCGGCACGCCCGGACTCGTCATCTTCCATTAATAACATCGAACCTCTTAACGGCTGACCACCTCCATCGTCCTCCAACCATTCTCTCCATTTCTCTCCTTTCCATCAACCTGAAAGCCGACCACAACACCACTTACCTTCTCTTTTCCCTGAACCCACGAGCGCACCAACTACATCATCTACTGCGGAACCGAACTACGAAAATGCAGTTGTCCCTCCTCGCCGCAGCTGGTCTGGCGGCTTCCACCACCAATGCATTCCTATTGCCGCCTGACATTTCCGCATCCGACGACGACCTCGTTAAGGCTCTCCCTGTCCCTGTCGAGGTTGACCTCGAAATCATCAAGTTCAACGACGTCCAGAGCCTGGAGCTCACCTGCCCCGGTTGCCCCGTTCGCCTCGGCAAGGACGGACCTGACGACGTCAAGTTCAGCACCGATGTCCCGAGTCACTTGGAGCTGGACTTCATGATCGACGCCGAGCATGGCACCGATCGCCTGATGTTGAACGGCTTCGAGCTGTACCCGAACTCCGACCCCTTCACGAACTCTCTCTTCGCTCACGTCCAACCCGAGGTCTCCGAGCGACGACCATCGCACTTCAAGGGTGCCCGACCGGTAAACGCCCAGGCGCTTGGCTTCGGACTGCAAACACAGCCCGTCACCACAAGCGATGATGAGGACGGCCTCGAGCTCGTCATGGTCGAGCTGCAGATCATCGAAGTGGGTGACGTTTTCGTCGGCGGAATCCCCAAGGTTCAGGTCAAGCTTGTCAAGACACCGTCGGACAAGCTTATGATTGGTGCCATCGAGACCACCGAGCCTGATACTCCCCAGAACAACCAGGAGTGCACCAGCTTCCTCTGCAAGTGGAAGGCCATGCTGGCGGCTAAGCTTCGCAAGCCCCACGGCTGCGGCCGTCGTCCTGGTTCTGTCAAGGGCTCCCCTCCCAAGGAATCCTCCAAGGACGCCTCCCCCGAGGAATCCGCCCCCCAGGAATCCGCTCCCCAGGACGCCTCCCCCGATGAGGCTGGCGTTCCCATGGATGGATCTTACGACCAGACCAAGCACGGTATGGCCCGAATCTTCAGGGGCATCGTCACCCACGTCCTCCTTCCTGTCATCATTGGTGTCATGGCCGGCGTCAGTATCAGCATGTAAGTTTCTCAGTCAAACAAGCCACTTTACTGGATCGTATACTGATTTGTCATAGCATTGGTATGATGGTTGGTACCTTGATCGTCTTCGTATGGCGCACCTTTTTCCGCTCAGCTGATACTCGATCTTACCACGGAATTCGATACTGCAACAAGGCAGCCCACAACGAAGTCGCGCTTGGTGACGAGAAGTCTGGTCTGATGGTGCACCAGGAGGAAGTCGAGGCTCCCCCGGCCTACCTGGACTCAGTTGTCACCTCTGTTGACGACAAGAACGCCGAGAACCAGGTTTAAGGGAATACGCCACGCATCGGACACAGCAAGCCGAGCTAGGGCCGATCAGGATCAGTCAACGAAGATGGACAGTTGACACCCATGTAACTTGTATCAGAAAAGACTTGAAAGGGGGTTGCGAGGCGTTTCTTTTTACGGGACAGGAAACACGATCTTTGGAAAGGCCATGCTTGTGCCATGGCCCCGCGGCGGAGAGAACACTCTTTCGGTTTCATTGTAGTCGCTGGCTAGTAGCAAGGCAATACCTAGGCCGAAAAACCCACGCTTCTTGATATGGATCATCATTGTATTTTTTTTTAGCTCACGCAATATGTTTTGCGTGTCTTTTGACTTGTGTGTCTTGCAAATCAATCGCCCAACCTGTTACTATGAGCAACAGTCCAGGGAGAATTTGCTGTATTAAGTCGCTAGCATCCGGCTTTATAAGTCACTCCACCAAGAACACTGAACGATGACCGTAGACCGTTCAGATTTGTATATGTCGTCACGTCGTATGGATATAGATTAACTTGTGGTCTTCTCATGACCATACAAAACATACAGGTAGGTCACCAGCACGGTAAGTAGTTTGTAGCTCGGCGCCATGAAGAGGTAGGTAGGTATACCTCTCTCTGCCATATTTCTATGTCTGAAGTTACAGTTGATCATTAATCATTAACCTAACTAATAAGTTAGTAGGCCATGCACATAAGAGGTAGGTATCTTCCCAATGCCCATATGAAAGAAGAATAAGGAGTACATGTATACACCTCTAGAGCCCCTGCGTGTAGTCTAGCCTTCGCGCTACTATTTGGGTAGGTACTATGCTGGTGACTTGTAGGTAGCTTGCCACCTCACTGCCGGCCTTGATCATGAGTCAGTAGTCAGTACTGGCATACCTCCTAAAGCATGGTGCTCGCGGTTCGTGCCTGCAAGGTACACTTGGCATGAGGTCGGTAGTGTAGTGGCGCGAGCCATGCTCTCTCTTATCGAAGGTGTCGTTGTTCAGGGGTCGATGATGGGGTTTTCACAGGCCATCAGCGGTTGCGAGGAGATGGAGATGGGTCCGTCCGTATGCTGAAAGGGACAGGTGCGATGTTTCCCTCACGTGGAGGATTACACAGCTATGAAATACGAGGCAGAATGTGCATTCCACGCAGGTTACGACCCTAGAAGTATCTCTCGTTGTCTGCGTGGTTAGGTAGGTTAGGTGTTCATTACATTACATTTCATTACATTTCATTACATTTCATTACATTTCATTACATTTCATTACATTTCATTACATTACAATTGATGAGTGGTGGTGGCGTGAGCAGCACTCAGTAGGTAGTTTATAATACAGATTATACTAATATTTATCTCGGGCACGTATACCGCCGCCCCCTGATCGGTGGGTGAGTTGAGTAGGTAGGTAGGTAGTAGGTATATGCATCGCGAAGGAAACCTGCCTGCGTACAGTAAAATCGGTTAACTCCTAGTCTGCACAATCGACTGCTTGACCATAATATTCCACCTTGACCCCCCAGCGGCCCCCGAGGCCGACCCTGGAGCCCCTGATGGAGACCCAACCGCGTCCCTGGCGAGCTCCGACTGGCTGTTGTTCCAGTCCTCCCGCGACTCGGCCGTGGAGCTCGAGCCCAGGGATTTGGTGTCGTCGCCGCGGTGGCGGTTGCGCCGACCCCTCTGCGCCTCGGCGTCGACGTCGTTGCCGTTGTCGATGATGGTCGTGGTGCCCATGTTCCCGTTAGTGCGATCGTGCAGGTCGAACGCCTCGATACGGGTACCGCCCTTGCTGTGGTTGCCGCTGCCGGTGCGGTACCATGGCCGCGCGGCCGTGGTGGTGTCGCCGCCACTTTTGCCGCGCCCGCCGGACGACCCGCCGCCAAAGATCGGCCTTAGGAGAGGCCTGAGAGTGGCTACGTTGGCGGCCGTGATGGCGATGCCGATCTCGACCGTGGTCCAGATGGCTACGTCGGATACCGAGTAGAGGAAGTCGTCTGTGTCGGTTAGGGAGTAGAGGTACGGGAAGCGGACTATGGTCGCTGTCGAGGCGCTGGTTTGGGTGGTCAGTTGTTTGTTATTTCGGGTTTGTTTGTAGTAGGGATAGTGGGTAGGTGAAGGGAAATAGGGGGTGTGGATAGAGGGAGTGATGGAAACGACGTACATTGCGCCAGAAGCGAGAATAAGCGCCACAGACACCTTCAGCCGAGTGCTCATCTGCAGCTTGACGACGATGAAGATGGGCAGGATGCTGTACGTCCAGTCGGTGAGGCAGCTGATGGCCGAGTAGCCGTAGAAGACATCGGAGATGATCCGGGCGTCGTTGCAGTGGCCGGCGGGGGGGTCCGCGCCGAACCGCTGCCAGAACAGCGACACGGGCTGGCACTGCACTATGAACAGTATGAAAAATATAGCGCTGTATACCTCGGTGATCGCTGTGACGGCCAAGATGATGATCTTGTGCGAGCGCTCGACGCAAATACGCAGCAGGAAGATGGCGATGCTGGCTTTGATGGCCATGCCTGTGAGCGCGTACAGGGGCTCACATGTCCACCACATCTGCGTGCGGGCACAAGGTTAGAACGGAATAGCCTTTTCTGATGGATTTCTAAGGGCCTTGTGGATGACTTACGCGCATTGCCTCGGGGCGTATTTCTGCCGAGATCATCATGACGTGCTGTCCCGCCCCATACTGAACGCCCTTGACCTCGTAGGCGCAGAATACGACGAACAACACCTGTCACAAGTCAGAAACAGAGCACAACCTGGTTACGGAATGCGGACTCTTACCTGGGCGGCGACTGCGAGCCAGTCATCTAAGGCGAAGGCCTTGATCACCCAGCCGCGACAGTATATCCGCAGCACAGTTGCGATGGAGGAGATGACGAGGAAGGCCAGAGTGACCGCCTCGATGACTGGCCCGCGGCTCCCCGACGTCATGGCGGATATCGTGCTGTGAAGATAAGTGAACGAGAGAGTGCTAAGCCGGGTTATAACGAATGAATGAATGCTGTACCAGTCGCGAATGAATGATTCGGCAATCAAGACCTGAGGCGTGTTCGAGTAGACGGCATGAGAGAAGACAAGGTGAGATGCCTGTCAACCACCGATGGCGGCCAGCTGCCTCCCTGTATATAGGAGGGACGGCCAAACCCCCTTGGCCATGCCATGCGTTCCCTACAGCGCGGACTAGTCGACTAACGAAAAACGACATTTCCAACTCAGGCTAGGGAGAAGATAGACGACCGGTCACGAACCGAGGGCGCGGCTAGGCGGCGCTGATGCAGGTGCTCGGAGTCGGTAGTTGGCTGGACCGTTTCGCGGCATTAACCACTCGGGGAGCGTCCGCCGTCGTGGACATCAATCGCCGATAGTGGTATGCGTAGCGCACATCATTGGGACGAACGTCTGCGGTCTGACCAAACTCTCGTTTAACGACGCCTGTTCTGGGGTCTAGCCACCTGAGCTAAGGCCATCGACCTCGGCATTAATTATTTTAGTAGGAGAGACTTGAGCGTAGCGGCTCCGGAACTTGCGCCAAGAGTGTCGAGGAATGTGCCAATGACGACTAGACGGTTGGGGTTTTCAGCACGGCTTGAGTATCGTCGTCCGTCTGGAGATAATTTGTTCCCGGACGAGCGGCATGGTTCATGTTCGGACGTGTCAACCCCTCAGAGCCGTGAGGGGTCTCAACAGGGGGCAACGTCCACTCCAGTCCTCATTGCTCGAGAAATGTAGTTAGGTAGCTTCCCAGACAGGGAGTGTCCAATAGCAGCTTGCCATACAATTCGATGCGAAGGACCTGCTGCATCTCCGCCTCAGGTTTGTATGCGTTGAAGGGGCTAGTTAGAATAGCATCGTAGCGACCTAAAGGAACCACGCAGTGTGGAGGTGGGGGACAGGATCTATCGAGCTCAAAAAGTTGGATAACGGAGTAATGGGGATGACTACCTTATTAAGTTAATAGCTTAAGCGGCTTTCAGTACCAGGAGAAAGATCATCTCGTGCTTTGACGCCTGTCAATGACACACAGCTGCACATGCGGCACAACAGTCCGTATAGTCGCACAGGAGGACGACATGGCCGCTTAAATTGCGATTGGGTGTTCACTTCGGGCACAAGGAAGCTACCCAGCCAGTAGGTCATCTGAATGCCGATGGCCCTGTGAACTAGTAACCTAGTGGGAAGGGAAACAGCCAGGACTCAGGAGTGAGGTCGAGTGCAAAATAGAACGCTCTGGGCGAGGCCTGGTAGCGAAGGGCGAGAAGGTGCGTTGCCCATTGGTGTCAACTGTGTTTCCATGCGAACCGAGCACAGTGACCGCTCGGCTCTCTTCTACTCCAGGGATTGCGATCGTGTATGAACTGCGTGCTGTCATAATGAAGAACTTGGTTATAGGCTTGTTGGTGCTTGTACCCAGCTTCCCTCATGGTTCTACAACGGTGTAGGTAGATGTCTATCAAGAGCGGTGCTAAAGCCTGACCCCAGATCAGGAACTAGGATCCTCCTACATGTCCTCATCACTGCTAGGTCCGTCTGGCTCCATCAGGACTTGTAAGTGGTTGACATCGTTTATCCCCAACAGGTATTTCTCGATCGGGGTACCCCTATCAGGCGGCGGTGGGGCTTCGAAGAGGTCTGCGTACTGTGCAAGCCCCAGGAATTCGAGCAGGCCTGCCCTAGGATTTATTAGTCTTGACGCAGATGGGTTGCTAAGTTCGGAGAATTTCCGCCGCAACAACGACAGTGCCTTCACCCAGGTGCCGTTCCGAAGCCATATATTGGACAGGACGATGGACTCTCGCGGCAGTTTAAGTTGTCGTAGTTCTGCGAGGGAGAGAAAAACATGGTTGAGGCGGAGGTGTCGCAGCTTTTGGGTCGCCATTTCATTCAAAAGGTACCAGTACTGTATTCCGGCTCGTCGTCCCCAAGCTCCGGATTGTAAAAACAGTCGAGGTCGAGATGAACAGTCTGAAGGGTGTCGGCGCTGAGGATAGCCTTTGTGAAGCGAGCTAGCTGTCCGGCTCCCTCACGGCTATGACTAAACTCGCTGATGCCACTGCGGAAGCTGCAGTGTTGCAGATTCCCAGTTGCTGCGCTCAGCCGGCGACAATCATCGTCGATTGCGGGCAGCGCCATCCAGTCCAGAGGAGAGTCACATTCATGTTCATCCTGGTGAGCAGGATGCCCGGCCTCGAAAGGGATCCGATAATGTTGACCATGGCGTCCAATGGTGGCGAACCAACTCCATATGTAGTAGCCTCCCACCACTCCAGCGGTTCTAGGAATTCTGGCCAAGACCCTCGGTCGATAATCGGCGCCGGAGGCCAATCCAAAGCCAAAGCCTTCTGCCTACAGTCGGTGATCTCAAGTGCTCGAACCATGGGCATGGATGCCATCGCATGTGCGACCGACTCAGCAAAGCCTCCGCCGTATCGCAATATATCCTGTTCCGCCATACGCTTTTGATACCCATCAAGGGCTAGAATAATTGGCCCTAAATGTTGCAACACCACGGGTTCGGCGGCAGGGAGCGTTCCATCCTCATACGCATCTAGACCCATATCCAGAGCCTCAAAGATCGACGTGGTCATGTCGATCAAGAGTTTACCCCGATTGGCGACTTCCTGGTTCTCAGGTTCCTCGTTTGTCAAATGACTTTCAACCAACGTAATAAAGGTCTCGATCCCCGCCTTGCAATAGTGGAAGAAGCGCCGGAAGTCGCCGGCCAGCTGGGAGTGGTAGTAGTGTAACAGCACCTTGATGCGTCGTACGCCCTTGCTGATAGAGGGGTGAGCAGCTATCAAACCCAGGCGAGAAACCGACTGTGGTTCCATGGCAACACAGACGGTATGGATTAGAAGGTGAGAGCTGGCCTCGCAAAAGCGGCGGCAGGTCAGGCGCAGGTTTTGCACATCGCGGACGCCGATCGTGGGGTCGAAATCGTCTTCGCTAATGCACCTGCCTCTCAAGTTCTCGAAGATGAGCACGAGGACCTCGTCGGGCACGTCCGAGATGTGCAGCGACTGACGCGCGCCAGCCGGCGCGTCGGCCATTTCGGTTTCAACTGATGCCATGTTGTTCGGTGACTGCGGGGACCCGGATGGGCTCGCGTACAGCTGATCGGAGGACAGAAGGAAGTGTTATTCTTCTAGGATCTATGGAAAGGAGCTGGGGAGAGCTCTCCTTATATGTGGAGCTGTACAGGGATGAAACCCCTGTGCCAATGGAATGGAAGCCCTGGAAGCCCTGTGCCTAGTCACGTGGGTACCACCTTGCGACAATAACGGAATGTTGGAATGTTGCAAGATGCCACAAAGCCTTTCCGTGTTGGCGGTGTAAACTTGACTCCGCTCAGCTTGAAAGCTAATGTGCGTGCGCTGTCCAGGCCAAGGTTGCCCCGATCATTCATCCCTGGCAGCCTGATTGCCTACTTGCACCGATGATAAATTGATGGTCACAAAGACGCCAGCATCATATCTGTAGGACATTTGCAAGGACTTTGCTGCCCGAAACTTCGATGTGGGACTGAAAAGATGAAGTAGCTAACCTTGCCGTGAAGCTCACCCTTGAGCTGGATAAACGAGTACAGAAAGCTAAGTCGAATAGTAACAAGCTTGCTTCAAGTGTCGAATATACAGATGAATATCTTCAGGCATCACTTGTAGGTAATATCTAACATCGAGACTACGAAGTTGAATTAGCAGGCTGCCCTGCCGCAACTGGAACCTCATGGACTAGCACCACACACGTACTTCCCGAGGTATGCTCATGATCATTGAACCTCCGGCAGTGAGTATTGAGCAGACCCTCAAGAATGCTCATAGAATATGCCTCAAGAACCACAGCTTTAGTCTGGTAGACCCCTTGAGACGTCCTGGCCTATTTCATCTGGATCCATGCCAACAGGTGCAGTGTTCAACCGTGAAATGGTATGCACCGTACATAGCCTCAAACAGAGTTGCGACTGCGACGATCCAACCCGCTGCTGTGAAACCGTCACCCATTTGGTCTTTCGCTATCGAGTAGTACAAATTCAGAGTCCCGCTTCCTATCACGACGAGGACATAAGCTTGATCAGCACATAGCGGGGCTTCGACAGCGGATACCTCCCAGGAGTTGGGTTTTTATTGGCCTGGAATGCTTCATCAAGTGTTCGCGTAGACGCTCGGGCAGGTGGTTGAGAGAGCAGTTGGTCGAAAGTGCTCTTGAGCACGCGGTGGACGAAGCCGGAGTCCGCTAGTCCCCTCACCTGCCTCTGTGCCGTTCTTAATATAATTAATCGTAGGGATCGTGATCGGAGGCCTTGCTGAGTGCCAGCCTGCATGTTGGGGATTCGTAGTACTGTTTCGGTCAAGTCTGGCCTTTTGCATCTTGTACCACAGTTTGTCCTACCACACTATCCGGACAGTGTCCTCTCACCCAGCGGTCAGCATCTAGCGGCCTGCGACACTGACCATTCACTGACAGGGGAAAAGTTCTCTTCCCTCATACGAAGTGGTATTGAGAAGTCCTTCGCCGAACATCATTCAACATGACGAGAAATCGACATGTCGCTCTGCCATGGAGCTGCTGGAACAGGCAACAGCAGATGACAGCACGCAAGGCGGCCAACCATAGTATGCTCCAGCGACATCAACACAGAGCCAGTATTCTGTGGGCTGGGAACGGAGATGCATGCGGTACCAGACTCCCCAGCGCACACAATACTTATGATGTGTGTTCACAAGACCAAAACTTTGTGTTGTGCCAGACAGACAGTTGGCGTTACGTCGAGTATAGTGAGGGCGGACATGGACAAGAGCATAGAGTTGGAATGCATACTGTAGCATTGCCAATGGTTGTGGCCTTGCGCAGGGGCTTCAGGCCAGTATAAGGACTCATCAAGCTGAGTATGGTGGACATGAGGTTGCGGTCAAGTATTCGTCCTCTTGAATAGCTCTTGTAGTTGAAGTGGTGATGGAGGTGGCAGGCCCGGGGGGCCGGTGGGCGTGGAGTTGAATCGAGTGTACCTAGCCAATCAGGAGATGCCTATATGGGAATTATGGAGCGTGCATGGACCACGTCCATCAAGCAAGTCCGGCCTGGCGCTAACGAAGTGAAGCTCCCGAGTCCCCACGACGATCGACGTTCGCAATCCCTCGACGAAGCTCTGACCATCCTGCCGAATATCAACTGGGGTGTAACATTTGATGATGTGTGCCTGTGAGTAATTGTTGCTATGCATTCTGGCGAAACAAGGCGAGTATATCTCCTAACGCCTGTCCAGCAGCCGTAGACCAGGACTGAGCACTCCAAGAAATTGGGGACCAACCAACAGCTCGGACTCAAGATGCAGTCGCGCACCTTGCTTCGACGGCTGCTCATCCTCCGCCCCTCGAAGCCCTCGAATCCTGCTATCTCATCCCGTCCGTTCACAAGGCACACCAATCTTGCCTCCCACACTCGACCGCAGCTACCCTTCCTCTCCGTCCCCTTGACCAGGAACCACCAGTTCCGCTACCTCACAACCGAGCGCAAACGATGGCTGGCATACGAGGTATTCCTGGGAGCCAAATACACAGTCTACATCTGGGCCATTGTGGGCTTCTCCGTCGTCGGGTACTGGTGCATACAGCAGGAATGGCTCGAGAGGAAGTACCCCACGCCAGACGAATGGACATTCCTCACGAGGTTACGCTTCAGACTGGCCAAGTGGGCGCCTGACCGGACCGACTTGATCCAGACAAACTGGGTCCAGATTGGAGGTTACGCCAAGAACGTTCTCGAGAGGCTGGAAGACAGGAGTATCGATGGCGCGGGTATCCAAGATCTGACCGAGGGCGGAGTCTGGATCGATGGGATTGGCGAATCCGGCTACGATGTCACAGCAAAGAGCGAGCCCTGGAGGAGAGGATATTACGAGGCGTTGATGCTCTGTGCAAAGTCTGCAGAGCATCTTGACAACCACTTGGTGGACACGACACGGCACGTTGTATTCCCGGCCGACCAGGTGTTAGGCCCGTCGAACCCCAACCCGAAGCCAATCCCGCATGGCTCACCAAGCGCTCCCCATGAGAAAGACTGCGAACCTGCCTATGAAGCCCCCGAGATCTTCTACATGAGAATCTTGACAACAAGAGGCTTTACTCCAAAGCAGAAAATGGACGCTGCATTGGATTACGCCTCATGGCTTGACTTCAAGGGCATACCGGACGCATCCGAAAGGATGTACGAGTGGGCACTGTCGCTTGCACACGATAGCGCACTTCCCACACCCTTGCCATACGATCCCCAATCATATGTCCTCCGAGACGATGTGGGCCGGCCGTCTGCAAATCTGCTCACTACCCTGACCGCATTGGCTGCGCACAAGGCACGCAACGAGGACCTGTCCACTGCTCTCCCCATCCTGATCTCCATCCTCAGGGCTTGTCGTGCTCTACCACGTCCACAAGCAACAACAGAATCATACGAACCCGAACTGACAGAAGAGGTCCATGCGTCTCCCTGGACCATGGCGAATATCGTTGGAGTCGGTAAACGCCTGATGGTCCCGCCATCATATCCACCACCTCCTGATGACGGCGAATCACCACCAGTCAGAGATGCCAAAGAGCTCTGCGAAGAAGCGGGACTCAACCTGTATATCGGTGAAATCATATACGCCGGCGCCAGCAAGGGCACCTCGTCTAGTCGGGAGGATGGCCTTGCCTGGACACGCGAGGCAGTCGACCTAGCAGAAGAGCAGCTGTCCAAGCTCAGCCCTGACAGCTCGGATGCCGAGGCCACCAAGACGTGCAAAGAGTGTCTGGGCAGTGGCCTCGAGAACTGGGCCAAGATGGTGGGCCGACTAGCGCGAGAAGAGAGGGAGAGGGAAGCAGCCGGTCCAGACAAGGCCAGCGGTTGTAGCTGGCTGGGCTTATGGGGCGAGGGTAAGGCCGAGACGACCGGGCGGTGGGCCGCGGAGGAACATGTTGTCAAGGAGAGGATGAGGAGGGCCGAGGAGATACTGGATGAACTCGAGGCTCCCAAGACTGGACTTGGTGCTATATTCTGGGCGTGAGCCAGGGCACAAATACGGTCACGTGATGGAAGCTTGCTTGTCGGGCTATATGTTCATGGGCATATTGCTTGGATATGTCGGCTCTCGAGCAGCTGAGAACCCTAGCATAGTCAGTCCACCCTCGCTGATGTGTATATGTAAAACCAGTACTTGGGATGCCAATACTGTTCACGAAGCTGAGCAGTACAAAATGGAATACCCCGTGTCATTTATCATCGTTCATTTCATTCACTATCTATCTGTGAATCATGTGGGATGATCCAGCAACCGTAATTGGATTGACACCTTCCCAATCAACGAGGTGGACGAGCTTCCCTGCCACGCGCGCCTCCGAAACTATCTCTCTGACTTGATACCAGCCCTTGCGCAGCGCCGGGACGTCGTTGGAGTGATCACCCGTCGAGCTCGAGGTCGAAGGTGTGGTTGATTGACCTCATTTAGCAAACCAAGCGATGATGATGACACGCAGAAGATTGTGTGCCAAGGGGAGAGAGAGATGGGCGGAAGATCGAAGTGGAAGATCGAGTGGAAGATTCCCTCCCACCTTAATCCTCATCCTCGCTGCTCTCCAGCGTGTCGACTCGGACGGTAAAGCCATCGTCTTTCGCCTTGCCCTTGCCCTTATCCTTCTTACTACCCTCGCCCTTCTTCACACCCTCACCCTCACCATCCTTCACACCACCACCACCCTCACCCTCATCATCAGAAGAGCTCGCCGCAGCCGCCGCCTCCGCCTCCATCTTCGCCACATGCTTCACATACTCCTCCTGCGCCTCAGTCCAGTCCGGCTCCGCGCCCAGTTCAGGGTCCTTGTACGCCACCTCCATAACCGGATTCTTGTAGTGGGTCGGTGAGGGGGAGAAGAGAGCGACTTCCTGCAGCCAGGCGCAGACGACGCGTTTGGCGGCCACGAGCACGAGCTCGATGTGCGTGGATTCGCCACTGCTGAAGAGCGGGCAGCCGTGCGATGTGAAGGCTGTCGTGGCCGCGTTGCTATCGGGGCCCGACAGGGGGGTGTTGGCGGGCTCTAGGGAGATGGCGTAGGCGCGGGCGCGCTGGTGGGGGGTTTGGTTAGCTTGGGGTTGTGGGTGTTGGTTGAGGTTTGTGGGCGTGGGAGGGCAGGGCAGGGCAGGAGAGGAGAGGAGAGGAGAGGGGACGGATAATGTGAGTTGGGATGAGATGAGAACAGGACGGCATGGAAAGAGGGAAAACACATACCTCTCGCAAAAACGCCTTGAACCCCTCACACTTAATCTCCCAAACCGGATGCAGACCGCCTACAAGCGCCAGACAGTTCATCCGGCCCTGAAGTCGCTTCCACACCGGCGCCCAGTCCAGATACTGCTCGACGATATCCGCGCCATCGCCAACACCCACGACATCCAGGCGCGCCTCCTTCCCAACCAAGTGCCGCACGACATGCTCGAAGACATAGTTGACATGTTCCCGCGGGCTCTCGTTGCCAGGAACGTGGTTAAGACGCGGAATAATCACGTTCCCCGCATTCGCTGCGCTGGTCATGGGCGCCGCGTCGAACGCCGTTCGGCTGAGCGTGCGTTGGCCTGCAGGCCACCAGAGTAGTTCGCCCATATTGGCGAGGATGATGCCGGGCGGAGAGCTGTCGGAGGCGGAGCTGCGCTGCTGCAGGAGGGAGCGAACGACTGAGACGAGCGAGCCGCGCGTGATGCCGCCTGGGCCGCCACAGATGCGGTGCGCGAGGATGCCGAGGTCTTGGGTCGTCTCGCCGAAGATGAGGACGACGCGCGTCGCGGTGGCGATGTTGGCGCTGGCGAAGATGGGGACTCGCGGGCTGGCAGGGTCGGTGGTGCCGAGGGGGAGGGCCGTCTTGGTCAGGCCGAGGTTGGTGAGGCGGGTGTGGATTTCCTCCTGGATAGCCTCTGTGGAAGTGGGTTAATTAGACATTTCGGAATGAAACGAGAAGTGAATGGGATAGGATGTATGGGGGCTGGGGCTTTGGTGAGGGTGAGGATGAGAGAGACTTACGGTTGAAGTGGAAGCGCTGGCGGTCGTTCCATCGCGGGTTGCGGCTCAGGAAGAAATTGAAGTAGTACTGCTCATCTTTGAGCGAGCGCACCTCGTCGTCCTTGTTGATGAAGTAGCTACGTATGAGACATAACGCAGTTAGCTTGGGAGGCGGACAAGCGATGTGAATGTGGGAGAGGACAATCGGCACGTACCCAAGGCCCTTCATGTCGCTGGCGAACTTGGGGTCCTCCGGCAGACCAGTCCATTTGCGCAGAAACATCTTGGCGATGTCAGGTGAGGTGGACTTGGTTGTTGGTTGGTTGGACTGTTGGTTGTGAAGAAGTTGTGCTTCCAGATGGAAAAAGTTGAAAGATGAGATGGGGTGGAAGGAACAGAAGGTGCTCCTTTCTAGTTGGAGTGAAGTAGGTGGGATACCAAGGCAACCAAATCTTGCAAGGGAATCTTGCACGGGACACCCAGAAAGATGCCTGAAATGCCCAAGCGTGATTGGCAGTTTGAGCAATTCCAGAATGTGTTTGAATAAGGGCCCTAGGTGCTTTCGTGTCTAGGCAATGCAGGGCGGGAGTGAATTCTCGTTCAGAGGTGAGATCTGCCAAAGACCACCACCACCACCACTAGAATTAACGTGGTGATAAAGGCTAGGATGGTCTTGTAGGCCTCGTAAGCCGATGTGATGAAAAGCATTTAGCAGAATTCGATAGCCAGAGTCCGAGGAAAGCAATGTTGCAAAATAACAAACAATGCCGTTTGCACCTAGGGTAGAGGGAAAGACGCAGCTGCAGTCCAAGAATTGCTGCAGATTTACCATCAGCTTCGAGGATAATCGCGTGATAAGAGAAGCTGCTGTGATGTATGGGTGAAGTCGTGGTGCATTCGAGTGAAAAGGTGAGGTGAAGAGGTGTACAACACCGTCGCAGGGGCAAGATGAACAGGCAGGGGAACTGCATTCATGTGCTCACAATTCCCACCCTAACCCTTTGCAAATAGCACACAGATAGTTTCCATCCAGTGTCATATTGATATGGTACAGTAGCTTCGCCTCAGGCAAGCATATATCCTACAACAAACAGCATCCGCCCCGGTCTCCCTCCTCCTACCAGCTGGCCTTCTGCACGCCAGGAATGTTGCCCTCTAAAGCTTGCATTCTGAAATTATACTGCACGTGGATCGTTAGCGATTGTCACCCATCTGTTATGGTGGGGGCATTGGCTCTAAGAAACTCACTCTTGACATCTTGAAGTCGCGCAGAATACCTCGTCCCTTGCCACCCAGCAGACATCGTCCTCGGATCTGTGTCGGTCGCGTATAGCAGTGCATCCGTGTCAACTGCAGCTGGGCCTCGGCCCGGGTTCGCGCGGGCAGAGTGGTGTTGCGGATGATGTACCGGAGGGCTTGTCTATTGCACAGGTGACACGGTTAGCCATGTGACTGCTATTCATTGCTGGCTATCTGAGTGATAGGGGTGACTGCGACGGATGATGGGATGGGCAGGGCACGGCTGTCTGTAGATTGCGCACCTTTCGGGCTCGTGCTGGGCAAATGCCTTCCTCTTAGAGTGGTCGCGGATGGTCTTGATGTTGATGAAGCAGCCCAGATCGAGCTTCTTGGCCCGGAACATCGACATCTTGGGCGGTGGTTGAGGTATTTCGTCGCGGTGTCGCTAGGGATGCTTAATCGTGACTTTGAAGTTTTTGGATGTCGTTCCCAGGCCCAAAGTAGCGACCGTGACTCCAGCTGTTGAAGCTCCATCTGCAAGAGCTGCCAGCTGCCCGCTAGCTTCCACTCTGTGCCCCGCCGATCCATTTATTCAGGGGCTTCCGGCTGGGACTTGCAGCCACACCCGCAGACACGCCCGCCCCTTTGGAGTGGGATCATCTATGACGTCGGTCTCCCGTCTCACTGCAAACACCACAATTTCAATGGAGACAGATCGCGTGCCGCCTGGAAAGCTTTTCATCACAGCCTGGAATTGGAGGGGTAGGATATCGATAAGGCAACTTTGGTACCTGATGACGTAGTAGGATGGTGGGTGGGAGGGCACACAGGCGCGCGCGGTTGGGCACCATAGACAGCTCTCTCATAATAAAACCGCAAAGCCGAGCTTATTACTGGTCTCTCCTCTCTTGCATTCTTCCTCCATACAATCAACCATCCACCACGAAACAAACTGCAACTACGTGCAACCAACTCTTCCACACTCAACACCACAAACCACACATACACACAATCAACATGTCGGGCAACTCCAGTGTCGGTACCAGCGGCGTCTACGAGGCAGGCGACCAGCGCAACGTCAAGGCCTCAGAGCTGAACAAGGCGACACCCTACGAGGAGGGCAAGGAGCACTCCCACAAGCCCAACGACTCCAAGGACGAGCGGTCGATTGCCAACCGTCTGGCCAACGAAGAGGTAAGATTCTCCATTGTCACTGTACTCCTCAATTGCATATGTGGTCTCAAGTAGGAACCTGGAACACTGACAGTTCCCCAGCGCAAGGAGAAGGAGGGCGACCACGACGACCCGATGACCGCCGCCCAGAAGAAGGACCCTACCCTTCCCGTAAGTTACTTCCACCACCTACCTGCCTTGCCTCGTCCAGTAGAATTGGAACAGCAAGCTGACACCAGACACAGGCCCAGCTACACGGCAACGAGCCGTCCAAGGGCGCCAAGATCGATGCCGAGCTCCAGGCCGAGGACGAGGCGGCTCTGAAGAAGAAGAGTGGTAAATAGATGGGACGCCCCTGATGGAGTGAAAAGCAAGAGGATATTTCATCGTCATGGCGCTTGAGGGTTCATTGGCGTATGCGGCTTCCTTCCATATGCAGGACATGAATAAATGATGCATCAAGACCAATTGTTTGGCAGTCCTACATTATCCCATCGTGAAACTCAATCCCGTTAATGGGACCCCTGAGTGACATCCCTTGGCCACCATGTGGTGCTTTTAAGGAGCTATTTTCAAGGGACATGAAATAGTATATACCACTCGAGTTGGAAGTACAAATGATACACAACTCGCTAAATCGACACATCAACACATCCCATCTACAACTTGGCCCCCTTGGCCCTCCTCGCCTCCATCTCCTTATCCTTCAACAGCCGCCTGAGGATCTTGCCGCTAGGACTCTTGGGTATGACATCGATAAACTCTACGCCGCCCTTCAACCACTTGTACCGCGCCTTATGGTCCTCGACGTGCTTGCATATCTCCCTGGCCACCTCGTCGTCGGACTTCGAAGCGGCCATGGACGCCGACTTGACGACGTAGGCCTTCGGCACCTCGCCCGCGGCTTCGTCCGGCACGGGGATCACTGTGCAGTCGTTGACCGCTGGATGGGTCAGGAGGTGCGCTTCGAGCTCGGCGGGGGCGACTTGGTGGCCCTGTTTGCTGGCTGTCAGCTGTCTGTCGTACTCTCTCTATACCTACCTATCCTCGACCCCTTTTACCCCTATAATGACATGGGGGATGACATGGGAGAGATTAGGCAGGCAGTACGCAACAAAAACCCACCTTCGTCTTAATCAACTCCTTCAACCGATCCACAACAGCAAAATGCTCCCATCCCTTCGGGCTCCGACTCACGACCGCCACATCCCCCGTGCGCATCCACCGGCCCCCATCCGCATCAAAAACAAACGCCTCGGCCGTCGCCCTCTCGTTATTCAAATACCCCAGCGTGACGGACGGCGACTTGATTAGCAGCTCGCCGCGTTTCCCGAGCTCGGTGATCTCGGTGCCGTCCTCGGCGAGGACCTTGGCGCGGCTGCCGGGGACTAGCGAGCCGGATGTCCCGACTACGACGTCGTTCTCACCGCTGCTGGTTACGACTGTGCTTGTTTCGGTCATGCCGTAGCCTTGCCCGATTTTCCAGTTGGGGAAGGCACGCTCGATGGCGGTGTGGGTTTCGGCGCCTAGGGGGGCGGCGCCGGTGTAGATGAAGCGGACGCTGGTGAGATCGTAGGTGGCGCAGGTTTGGTGATTGCGGAGGAGTTGGATTATTATGGGGGGCACCTGGTGCTTGATGTAAGTAAAAGCAAGGGGTAGATAGGTAGGTAGGTTGGGCACGCGGGCTGGAAAGGTTGGGTTGCCGACTTACGAGGTGCATGAAATTAACCCTGAACCGCTGGATGCTCTCCAGCAGCGTCCGCAGCTCGAACCGCGGCAGCACGACGACGCCGTCGCCGCGGTACGGACCCGCGGCCGCGATCACGACGAGGCCGTAGATGTGGCTCAGCGGCAGCAACCCCATACAGATTTGGGTGGAGATGTTCTGGGCTTTCCGGCCGACTGAGTCGTGCCAGCGGATCTGCATCATGTTGGCGATGACGTTGCGGTGGGCGATCATTACGCCTTTCTGGAAGTATACTGTTTTTAGCACGGGCTTGCTTCATCTGGGAGGATGGGATGGCGCGACTTACGGGTAGGCCGGACGTCCCGCTCGAGTAGCAGAGGTAGGCTACCTGGCGCGCCCCTTGCCCCTTTGACCAGATCAGGGGCTCGAGCTCGGGAAGGGACTTGGCCTCTTTGATGAGGTCGTTGACTGTCTTGAAGGGGACGTCTTTGGTTGGCCCCGGCATCTCCAGCAGAAAGACCTTGTCGTCGGGGATGTTGCACGCTCTTGAGGCCTTCAGGGCCGTTTCCAGTAGCGGCAGACACGTGATCAGGGCCTTTGCGCCGGAGGACTTGAGTTGGTGCTCCAGCTCGGCCGCGGAGTACATGGCGTTGGCCGGGGTCGCTATGCCGGAGAGACGGTGCACGGCAAAGGTCGACATCAGGAAGTCGATCTTGTAGTTACTTGTCAGCAGATCTGTTGTCTGATTGTAGAGAGTAGGTAGGTAGGTAGATAGATAGGAACTTACCGTGTTGAAAGAGTAAACCCCAACGACCTTATCCCAAGGCGTGTCCTCGTTGGTCCGCCATCCCAGACGCTTCGCCAGCGACCTCGCCAGCAGCTCCATGCGCTCCAGCATCTCGGCCGTGGTGTACGTCTTCCCCGTGAGGCCGCACGTGAACGGGTTGTGCGACTTGTCCCACGGGACGCGGCCATACTTCTCGTTGCCCCAGAACTCGTGCAGTGGGATTGAGTCTGGGGGGTCTGTGGAAGGTCTGGTTAGAGATGTTTTGTTGCTGGGCTGACGCTGACGACGAGGAGACCGTCCGGCTGCCGGGGACTTGCTTACCGAAGGGGAGCTGGGGGACCCAGGCCGGCGGGGTAAACACCATCTTCAACGGCGGGATGGGGATAGGTTGAGGTCACGACACGGAGTATGGGTCGGATTCACAGTGAAGGTATAATACTATGCAATGACAGGAGCGAGTCTACCTCGCAATGGTGGTTTGTATGAAGATGAGAAAGCTGTGAAGTCAGATGGAGAGTCGGATCTCGTCGGCGTCCATGAGTCGGAAGCATATCCTAGTCACGACTGCAGTGTTGCAGTGCGCCCCGAACCCCGAAGCCTCCTGTCCGCGATACATACTGCTCACTGGTCACGTGGTGGTCACTGGTCTGCAGACCACCTGAGCTGCTTGATACTGTAACACCTCCGCACCCCGCAATGTCGATCAAACTCTTAGTGCGGGATCGTATTGGGGTAGGGTCGTCGACTTGTCATTGGATGATTGGACGTTAGTATATTCCCCACAGCAGATGCCGGATGAAGCGACGGGAGTGCGGAGAGCGCGGAGAACCCGGACTCGACATAGTTTGACCGAGGTCACCAGCTTTGGTTGTGATCAAAAGAGTTGGTGGCGTTTAGGTGAATATTCACTCTTGTACTCTTGTAAGCGACAACCACGCCCCAGTACATGAAAATTCCAGTGCCCTCTGAGAATCTATCTTGTTGGCATCACAAGATGGAAGATACGGACACAAAGTGGCACTAACTTGGCGCCTCCTGAGTCCTGGATCAAGTAGCACAAGACTAACCGCTTGCGGCTGGTTTGAACCGTAGAGAATGACATACCTAGCAAGTAGGTACTTTTTTCTACTAAAGGTACCTTCACCTACCCCTTTCGGCAAGCAGCTTGAGTGAACCGCGTAGGACAGTGCGTAACATTGAACGAGAGAAATGAATCAGAGAAAAACAGCAGAAACCCCCTAACACCGAAGCTCCGTGTAACCAGCTTCCACCCAGTGACCAACAATGGAACCAAAACGAAACATACCACCAACGAAACAAACCACCCACGAGATGACCGAACCCAGTCCTTCAGGCTCCAGCCTTCTCACATCATCCCAGCAGAACTGTCTCCTCGCACCAACGTCCAGTTATCGAACCTGTCCCAACCGCTATTGCGCCTGTTGCTCCTGTTCTGGGACATCGTACCATTCCCAGGGCAGCGTCGAGTTTTCGAGTCTCTCTTGCATCTCAGCTTGCGCCTGTTCCCATGCTCCTCGCCGTCCCTGGGCTACGAGGTCGGCCTGGATAAACTCGTTGACCTTGTTCCGGATCATTTTGCAAAGAACGGGTCTGCCCTCACCCAGCAGCTTCTTGAACTCCTCCATGCCCTTGTCCAAGTCCCGCTTTCGCAAAGCCTTGCCGACGCCGGCGTCCAGGGAGCTCTTGATAAGGTCGTCCTTCATCTCGCGGTAATGTTCCCGCCAGCCGTCCCCCAGGAACGGCTTGTTGAGGTAGAGGTCGATGAACTGGGCTTCGTGGAAGATCACGGCCTGGATATCCTGTCCCTTCTCCTCGCAGAAACCGCATGGGCGCGTAAGACGTCCTGGTCCGTGGGGCACCTTGGTCGGATCGATCTTTAGCGGCTTGTTGTTCCGCTGGCAGTGTCCGTTGCGTCGTTCCTCTTCGCACCATTCCATGGGGAAGAAGGCTGGCAGGAGACCCCGGATGTATTCGTCGCCGTAGCCGGGCTGGCGCTTGTGCCCGCACCCCATGATGCACTCGGCTACCCAGCACATGATGGCGGGATTCGAAATCGGAAGGGATATATTTGAGTAACGTAATGTGCATAAGTGTCAAGAAATTACCGCTAAGCTTCGTGCAGTGATTTGGAGCATCAAAATGTACAGCGCAGGCTCCCCATTTATGTCCACCTGAGGCTGTACGAGGCCCACGACGTTGGTTGTCACGTTAACACTACTCTGGTCACGAGTCTTCAGGCAAACAAAGAACGAAGGAGCTCGAGTATCATGTTGGTCCGACACTCGACACGCTCATGACAATGTCAGCCCGGTGGACGAACAATGTGATCAGTCGAGCACACTGTTGGGCGCAACACTCGACCCTCGCCTCGCTACAGTGGTCCCGTGGATGGCCGAACAAATAGGAGGTTGCCCGACCATGCCGTTGGCTGGGCACAGCTGAAGCTGCTTGTCATATCGTTGGTCCTACCTATACCTCGTGGTGAGTGGCCGCCAACCTGAACGACGAAGCACGGGTGGCACAGTGTGGTCAGGTCAGGTGAGCTGGACCACCGTCTATTCTTAGGATCAAGGGTCGGAAGTACCCTTCCATTATTCATGAAGGCCATGCGCAGCATGATGTGTCGGTCTCGAAATGTCCTCTTCCGCCAAGTACTTTACACACCAATGTCATAATCATCCGACTTGAGCGGTCGATTCAGGGGCAGCCGATCAGAACAACCGCCACGTCTCTGCTCATTCAAGGGCAACCCATTCTGTCCTTCAGTAACTTAGTCTACTCCTCTTACTAACGAATGTCAGAAAATGTCTTCGTCCGCATTAGCCAAACCAGCTCTCCTTCACAACCGTCCGAGCGCATCATGACATCTACGGCCATAGGCCTCTCCTTCAAAAGAGCGAGTGGGATTCCGGCGGACGGCCCAGCACCATCATCGTCGAGAGAGACCCGGCAGTATACGCGTACGTCCAGAATATGTCGAGTCCCGCGGGTGCTACGGGAAGAGGCGGAGGAGCTCTTAAAAGAGCTGACGAGAACCGTTCCGTGTCTGGCCTCCAAGCTCGCGACTGATGATACGACAGCGGTCAATGTGGCGCAGCTGTCACCATGATCAGCTTCGACGCCGCCGGTAAGGCTTCTGTTCTCCATCTACCTACCTCAGGACTTCTCGGACGAACAGCAACTAATGTCATCTATCCAGGCACCCTCACTCTTGGCAGGCCCTTAGACTGCATCGCCACCAACACACTCCACACCCTCGCGTCCATAATGCAAAGCAGCGCCTACGCCACGTCACTCGTTCCCATCCGCCAGCACCTCTGGTTCTTCGACTCCTAGCTGCGCTGTTCTGGCCCACGACCCGGCCGGCGGCTGCCCTCTGAGCACAGCACTTCGCGCTTCTCAAACCCATGATGTAGCAGCGCAGATGGGCGGTATGTACCCGCTGCCACGACGGTGTCGGCGGACGTGTGGGGTGTCTGCATCATTCTGAGCGCTACTGGAAGCCCTGCCGTTCAGACCGGAGAGGTGGCTTAGGGGCAAGAAGCCAGCCGGCGAACGGGCGGACGAATGAGGAGGAGAGACTGGATGACAAGGAGGCGTCTCGGCCGTTCTCGGAGGGCCCCGGTAGGTGTCCTGGTACTGGACACGCGGATCTCGAGATGGGTGTCGTGCTGTCCAATATGGTGGGGTTGTATGACTGGGAGCTGGCGGGCGAAAGTATGGGCTGGCTGGACGGCTTGAGGATAGAATTCGTGTGGAGGAAGCCTGAGGTTTTGGTGCGGTTGCGTCGGCGGGACTCCGGTCGTGGTGCTTCGATGTAGGTACGGGAACAGGAGGGCCGTGGTGTTTGGGTACTGCTACTATGGCCTACTAGTTCTGTGAGCAATCTGTACGAGAGGAGCAGGGGCATCAGGAAGTTGACTCTTGGTAGATAGCCCATACCGGAAAATCAGGAGGCGGACTCATCAGCCTGGATGGTTAGGTTTCGACCGCTCTCATTGTTTCAGGGGAAATTTTCCCAGGACAGCCAACGAGGAAACTGCTGAAGCTACTGCGAATAGTCTTGGTTATCGCCTCTTCTGTCTTGTCTGCGATGATCGATGTCAGACATAGGGGGACCTGCTCCTGACTAGCAATACAAATTACCTGGGTATATTGGACCTCAGGCCAGCAGCTCCTGGACTCTGAACTTAGGCGCGCATGTTTTCGCGGAACCGGGATTGTCTTCTATACCTGTATCAATGTTGCAATATTCATGTCCTGCTTGACAATCGTTTCGGGGGTATAAGGACGATGTGGAGGTATTCTCGAGGATATCCCTAGTTCATACCTCCCGGTCAGTATATGCACGTTTCCTTCTCAGAACATGGAACAACTCGATCTTGGCTCTCTTACAGCTCGACATGTCGATTCTACGGCACAACTTGATAGGATAAGATGCTTAGAGCAGGAGAGATCGGTGTATTCGCTCCTACTTTGCTTAGAGGGGTATTGGTCTGTTGAGGGGAGCTGTACATGGTCCTCTTCGATTACCTCGAGTATAGGCGATTGTCTGTGCACGGGACAATCTACAGCCAGGCGAATGAGCTTTTTAGATACATCGTTTTGCGCAGATAAATACATACATTGTGGTATCGTGCCATACCTCGAGTAGCATGCTCTTCATCTTCGTCCGGCCTCTGCCCGTCGCCTGTCCTTTCATGTGTGCGAGTAAGACGGAAACAGAATACTGCGGACAGGTAGCAAGAAGTTGGACGCACTGTAGCTACGAGCACCCTCCAGATAGTAATGATGGCTGGAACGTTGACGTATATATCGAATCGCTGCTGAGCAGTATTGTCGAATCGTTCCCCCCTCGTAGTTCGGAATCAAATCTCGTCCACTGCGGTTTCGGTAGTGTTGATCATCGTGACCCCGTTCCTGAGTGTCACTGCACATTGACTCGGTCCGCCTCTTGCACATAGAACACACATGCTGGACTGGTGTCGTCTGGAAACCCGAAGGGGCATCAATTTGGCCCATTCGTCGCAGATTTGGCAGGATTATCAGACGGTCATGTAGTGAGAAGCGAGCCTTGGGTTTCCGCTGACCACCACCCGCTGTAGTGATTGCCTCTCTATGATGAGAATGCACTTGTCGTTGTTATCAATCATGTAGTAGGGCGCATAAGTACTGAGTTCGAATCTCAACTCGTAGACTGGGCGGTTCCCGGCCAATATGTCTTTTCTTCCGCCATCGAGGCCGCGTAGCTTCTGGCTCGGTCTTGATCCCGGTAAGGGGTAAGGGGTAAGGGGCAAGGTGCAGCGTGCAAGACGTATATTCGGACAGAGAAGAGGGCGTCTACGACTAGGCTTCGGACTCGGCGTGTAGTGACGTTTCTGGAAGTAAGAGGAGTGTTAGCTAGTTTGCTCGCAAGGTAGTACTCGACTCACCGTTCGCCGTGGTGTGCTCTGCCTTTCGAGCTGCTCTTCCTCGGGTCTCCAGGAGTGCCTTCGAGAGTAGAACGATCTGATGATGGATATGGAAGCTTGCCTTCCGATCTTTCTTGACTTCATCCGTGTCTTCTTCTCTGTGTCAGCCGGGCTATGTCTTCAAATCCGCCGACTGCTTGAGGGTACTGGAGGGAGAGGTCGGAAAGGGATGGTGCTGTGTCTTATTAACTGAATCGTTTGCACGAAACTGTTCCATACGAATATACGTCTGCGTCAGTGTGTTGGTTCGACCATGGGGGTGAGGCTCGCTGTGTATCGATGTGGGAGTGCGTACGAGGGCTTGTAAATGTTGATCATGGCTACGGGGGGCTTGTTGCGCATTTCCCTCCAGCCAGAGGCCACAGGCACCCGCATCCCCAGAGTTGCCTGTCTGCCAATGTTGAGGGTATGTCATGCCCGCCTGGCTGCTCGGTGTACATACGATACCAGTTTGCGAAAGTCGAAGCCATCCTAATATTGTAGACCTCAGACGAAGCCTGTCAAGCAGCGAAGGGCTATTCTACATGATGGCCACGGAAGCATAGGTCTGTCCAGCTTGAGTCAGCAATCATTTCCACACACGTCGACGCATGTTACGTACTTCGACTTCAGCACTTGGGTTCGCTTCATTTGGCAAGCCAGGTCTATTCCGGAGGCTAGGTTATGAGGCTTGGGTCGAAAGTGAGGCATGCGATCTGCCATCGTTCAGTATCTGTAGAGGACGTAGGTGCTGCCGTAGGGGAGGAGAATAGGGAACAGAAATGATTCGCAGCTGTCCAACTTCCTGCGAACTTCCCGAGAGCATTGACCCCGATTCGAACCCGTTTTTGAAGGTCTCCTGGTCAGTAGAGTCTTATTTATCAAGCCCCGACCCCATGCTGCGGTCCAACTTCTATTGCTACTCGTGGCAGCTTTCCCTGCTGATGCCCAGCATACCCCTTGCGACGAGTGAATCTTGCGCCTGTACCCGCTGTCGCATCACCCCTTTCAGCGCCATACTACAAAATAGCACTGTAAGACACCCCTGCCATAAGAATGAGGCTGTAATCGGGGGAAACTGACGTTGCCTCATTCTATACTGGCTCAGACTGATGCGACCGACATATACAAAGGGGTACTCGCCAGTTGCCCTGCGAACGGTTGAACCAAATGCCTAGTAAGATGGTAATCAAGCCCAATTCGGTTGCATTGTTGCAGGAACGAGTTCGATACGTTGGTGAGCCAATGTTGCTCCAGATACCACGTGAAGCATGGTGCAGATCAGGTACCCGAGGTCAGTGATACTGGAATGCCTACCCCACGAGAATAAAGGGGGATCCTCCGCACCGACGACTGAAGGCGGTGATTGCAGCGCACAAAGCTGTCACAATTCCAGAGGCGCCCGCATGGTCTGTTGTCACTTAGAGAAGCCTGGCTGTGCATACCACTCTGCGGCCATGACCACTCCTTGGTCATCTGTGCTCTCTTAGCGGCCCCAGCCATCCATGGAACCAACACAGACATACATCCGCGCCAGGCACGTACCCAATGCCACCAGGCGGCTATAAAAGTTTTCATCCGCACGAGTACATGGAACTGAGTGATTATCCCGATCGAAATTAAGCGAACAGAAGCCCTATTGCCAATTGATTCTTCGTAGATCACCCCCTCAATGGCCTACCAGTTGCGTTCACATGTATGAACTGGACAACTCTCCCACAACCAAGTTTTGTGTCTAGAAACCTCAAATAAGCCGACAGTAGACGCCATGTATTGAACTCGACTCGTGCACGTTATCGCAGAGCCCAGATGCCTCCCCGGCCGGTGCCGGGGGGGCGAGGCTCCAGATTGTCTGTGCTGGCAGGCTCTTCAGGGAGGCACGGTGTTTTTCCTCCTTCAAGTCAGGTAGCCCTCCACAACATAGCAGTAGGATATACAGATGATGCATTCCCACCTCACACCACTCTGTCAATTCTTCCTCCTCGACAATTAGGGTCTCTGCCCTCCCTCTGCCATCCCCAACCTCAGCAGCCAACTTCTTCCGTCTATAAATCCCTTGCAACCAACATCTGCCCTCCATTACTTCTGCAACCAACTTCCACCCTCCATCCACCACTTGGAAGGTAGCTTTCATCTGCAGCCAACTTCTGCAGCCAACTTCATACCACCTCACCTGCATCTATCTTGTTGGTGGACCTACCTTCGCACCTTCCAATCTACCTTCCACTTTCTATCTACCATCGTACCTTCCATCTACCTTCCAGTCTTGCAGACGACAGGGAAGGTACGTATCACAGTCCGCACAACAGGACAGCCTTCTTCCTCCATAAATCATTCTCGCCTCAGGAGGCAGGAACGCCAGACCGCCCGAGCCCATCGTTCTTGCCATCTATTCTGCAGCAGACAGTTCCTTGGCTAATAAGGTAAGTAACCACCTGCACCCACCCTCCCCCTCCCACAAAATCCCATTTCGTTTTACAACTCCATTTCCATTTTCATCCCACCTCCATCTGTCCCCCCAACTCCAACTCTTTCACTCACTCCATCTTTATCCCCATTCATCACCTACCTGCTCGACACTTCCGGGCACCCACCAACTTGCACATACAAACTTTACCATCCTTACGATACTTGGGACATCAGCATCTGGGCAGACTGGGCTTCACAAGTCATGACCTCCCAGATATCCTACCGTCACTCCCTCTTGGTTCTGACCATATCTTTCTCCCTTATTCACGATACCTCCTTTGAGGATCCAATCAAGCCTGACAAGTTGCGCACAGTTGAGTCAACGGTGGCCCGTTCGTATCGTGAAATTCCCCACGGTAAGTAATCCCTCCCCACTCCCTCCCCAAGTTCAGCCGCCTCAGGCCGCCGTGCTTCGGTCGGTGCTGATACGCCTCTCTGTTTTTTTTATACTCTCTTCCCCACCCAACATACATTTCCTCTTGCACAACCCTCTTTTACTGCACAACCCAATGCGGTGCACCTCTCTCACCACACCTTTATGAGAGACATATTCGCACACACTGCGTTCCTCAGCTATCGTGCACACTCTCGACCTTCATCTACCGACTGATGTATGCCAGACAACCTTTCCCTGCCTCTAGCTAATCCGACAGTCCAGTTTCACCTTCACCATGGACAGACTTCAGCATGGTCCGACCACTTTGGTTGAGAAGAGACCTACCGGTCTCACTCAAACCTCACTCTACGATTACATGACGACGTCTTCACCTCTGACTTCACCCATCATGTCTCCCCAATCATCAGCTCCAGTGTCGCCCGGCACCCAGATGGCCGACGATAGCTTGACTGATGATGACTTCAACATGAGTGATGACCATTCCGATGATGAGTCTGATGATGAGTCCGTCGATGTCCCTGACGACATGGACCTTGATGATGTCATCCCTGCCCTCACCACCAAGAAGCAGCTGCCTCTGTCCAACGAAGTTGTCTTCAACTCTGGCCTTATGACTCGATCGCGAGCGGCTAAACTAGCTGCTTCAGCTGACGGTACACCTCCCGCACTGCAGCAATTCTATCATCTTCAATCACCAGCCCACTCCCAAGATCCTTCTCCCCCCTTTCCACCCCCCTCTGGCCCTGACGATCCGATCAACCGATCCAAGCCTGAGGCCCACGGCAACCCTCCGGTCACTGCGAACTTGCGCGCGGCTCTCAACAACGCTGTCCCGTACCACCAATCGCATCAGGGCAGCATCTACTCAAGCAACCTAATGGCTCAAGGTGTGCTACTGGATGCCTTTACCGGCACGCGCGACTACTTGGGCAACCAAGTTATCATTACCTCAGTGTAAGTTTATTCTTCATTGTCTGCTTATCAATGAGTGCTAACGATGAAACTAGTGCCGGCGGTCGTGTACGAGATGAAGCGACCGGAAACATGATCAGAGTTGCCAGTCAGGGAACCAACAATCAAGGCTACAAAGCCCTCAGTAACGCTTTCCACGCCCGACGCCCAGTAGTGCTCATTGTTGGTATGTATAATCTCCTGCGTTCTACTGCATGATGTGCTCTTAACTAATATCGCAAAGGAGCCGGAAACCCCCTGCTGCAAGTCAGAGTCGAGCACTATTACAACGTGCTCGACTACTTCCACATTACCAACATTTGGTCTGAAGGATCCATCAACGCAGCGGGTGAGCTCATCCAACATTACATGGTGCGATTCGAGCGAGTCGATTTAGCGACACGCTCGTGGTGGGAAACCGCAGGCGCAGACTTGAACCCAAGACACCAGCCAGGCGAATACCACTGCCGCGTACAGCGATGCGACAATTGCCACTTCGACAATGACGAGATATACGACCAGGGTTGGACTTGCCTAGAACCAGATTGCGAGCGCTTCTTCCAGTTCCCGTTCGAAGTCGATCTTGATGCACTGCAGTACAGCCAGGCATTCCTGCGTCGCAGGTTTAGATTCACCAACTTCCCGCTTCCCCAACCCCTGGTGCCGGAGCTACCTTCAGCCCTGTCTGTACGACCAGGCGGCATGTTCGGAACGGAGAAGCACTTCAAGCGGGGCATTGTTTGCCCTCTTTGTTTCTACTGCAGCCGCCGGGTTCTGTGGCATGAATGGCGGTGTGAGAACCCTTCAGGGTGCGAGTACGTACTCCATATCCCTATCCGCGAGGTTCCAATGAACCACATCATGGCGGAAACAGCCGCTTCTATTCTTAGAAGGAGACAAAAGTTCATCCACACGGACAACGATGTCTTGGCATTCACCACTTTTGGTCAAGGTTACGATATGGCGACCTTCTACCTGCCAGGGGAGACCGATGCGAGAGGTGAGCACGATTATGTCGGCTCAATCACGATCTTCCGACCTACCAAGACTACGCTCGAAAGACCTGGAGGACTCAATGACCTCTTTATGTCCATGCAAGACGCGGTACGAGAGCGCAAAATCAATCTCCGAAGAAACCCCGCTCGCAACAAAGGTACGTGGATCTCCCACATGCAGAAGATAGATGTTGACTGCTGTAGGCCACCGCATCGAGGAGTTGACTTCACACTTCACAAGCAATATCGTAAGTCGCAAGCCAAAAGACACAGCTATCAGTATCTAATCAGATGGCAGGGAGCGGACTATAAGTTTGGCGTTGTTGTTGCCACGTCAAGCGGTTTTGATGAGGCTCCCGTTCCCGTCATGCAGGCCCTGAACCGTTTGACTTGGGCCGGAGAAACTGCAACGAAGATGACCACTAGAGACGTCTCTCGGCACGGAATCAACGCGGACAAGGCCTCCATGCCGGACGAGTTTCGCGAGTTTAACGAGCAGCTCATCCTTGGCTACTTTGAGGAATCGAAGATTAGCGTAAGTCCCCATACTCCTTTCACACTCCACGCTCCTGATTTCACTCGTTTGCTTGTCTTCCAAACATCGTTCAGGCTGGAATAATCACACATGTGTTAGTATCACGACGATGGCGAGAAAGAACTAGGCCCCACCGTTGCCACCCTGTCTCTGGGTTCGCCTTCCGTCATGTGCTTTCGGCCCAAGAAAAACAAACGGATTGGACCCCAGTCCACAATGCACAAGAAGAACCGACCCCCGATGGTCTCGTTTGTGCTAGAGCATGGGGACATGGTGGCCATGCATGGGACTGACATCCACAAGCACTACGAGGTAAGTGAAGATTGAATCCGGCAAAGTCAATGATGGAGCTAATGATGTGTACAGCACAAGGTTGACCCCGAGGGAATCATGCGATATGCCTTGACATGCCGCTACATTCGCCCAGAGATGATGGCAGATGAGACCAGACGTCAGCTTGCTCTCACCAAGGGAGCGGTTCCGGAATTCTGGAAGAACCGACCTTACTTGGGAGAGGACAACCTCGATCTCTTAGCTTCTCCAGCGGCATCGGGCCATGCAGATGGTGACCTCGTCATGGAAGGCGCTGCAAACAACATCATGGTTGCCCCGGCCGCTAATGGACTTGCCGCTGATGCTGTCGCCAACGATGCTGTTATAGAGGATGCTATCGCTGCTGGTGCTACTGCCGACAATGCAGTCGTTGCTGATATAATCACTACTGCTCAAGACAACGAAATGACCAACGAAGTCAGTATTCCCATGTCCGTTGAAGACAGATTCCTTGGAGGAATCACGGAGCTGAACGACATCTGGCGTTCAAACCCTGGTCTCGTTTCTCAACTGTCTCAACAAGACAGAGAGACTGTCCTGGCCCTGGCTGCTACGCTGTCCTCCACTGCCGGCGAGGGTACCAACTCGACATAAAACCCCTTCAATGGACCAAAAAAAACCATTCACCCATAACGACAAACTCATGATATTTGCTATACTTATCGACGCTCCCAACCATACTTGCATACCTCATAAGAATTCGACCATATGACCCGACATCTCTGCCGAATCCACAATGGGCATCTGAATGATCTCTCAGAGCTTCTCAGTCCAGATTGCTTAGATCTTGTGGTGGGAACTGCTCAGATCTTATGGTGGGAACTCCTCAGGTCTTGGAGGACCTAGGTCTCTCATGGCAACCCAGGCTATCTCCTTGATTTGGGAAAGCTGGGTAGGATTCAGTTCTGGCTCTACAGTGGTATACCCACAGGATTGGGACAATCAGTCTCTTTGTAGCTTTTAGACAAGACAAATACATTTTAAGTGGAGTATAGGCTTGCATGGTCCTTTGGCATCGGCACATCTTCTACGGGCCATTCAGTGAAATAACCAACTGGGCACGGTGTTGCTGCTTATCCACAGCAGTACCCACCGCCAATGGCCTAATCATCAAAGCTCGTGTCTGTCTTGGTCAAGCAGCTGAAATAAGACTACCTGGCCAAAGTGACACCTAGTCTGGAGTAAGCCGAAGGATGTCACTCATTGACTGCGCTGCATGCTTTCCCATTGGAGCTTGGACAGTGTCTTAATCTACGTTTTTCTGTGCCTCGTTGTCAATGAGAGACGTCTGCGCTTTCCAACTTATGCAACAACTCAGAGTCAGAGAGTCCGAACCCTGAGTCAGACGACGGGCCTTCTGATCCGATTGACAGCTCAGGTCGAGCCGGTCCCGCAGACCTTGCAGAGGTCTTGGATTTGGGATGAATTTTTGACATTGGAGACGTGTTCACTGTTCCGCCTCAACGGGGGGTCCTTTGTCTGGGACAATGGTGTGGTATGCTTTGTTACACGGATGGTTTTTGTAGAGAAAGCTTGGAGTCTGAAATTGTTGCTGTGCATGTGTGAATTACCGGATATCTAGAGAAGATGGCAATGGTCCAGGTGGCCAGTCGCGACTTTGAGAGGGCGACAGGCGAGACATGGGTCTATGAGTATGCCGCGATAAATTACTCGGTGGGATGCAGACTTCCAAGTTGATCCTGGCTAGGTCGCTGCTTGTCGCACTGCACATTTTCCCACCTCCTACCTACATAACGTCTAAATACTGGGTGAGAGCTCGTGTCGAGGGTTAGCAGTATGCTGCTCTTGGGGCGACGAGAGTGGGAGCAGAGGGGAAGCAGGGGTATAATCTAGGATATTGACATAAGGTAGAGGGAGATTTTCATGGTTCCCAAACCTGGCAGATTGAGAGATGGGTAACTCAGCGCGTAGAATGGAGGTTACTGATATTGGAAGCAAGAGACGGATGGCCTCAGGTGAATGGATTACTTCTGAACTGCGGCTGGACGAAGATGCTGCGGTGGTACAGTTGCATTCTCCACTGTCACGTCGATTCAGTGACTTCGGTGGGCATCTAGGACATCGGCAGCTATTGGATGGATGTGTTCGTCCATTATCTTTGATGGCTAGCTAACCCCTGAACTATCTACCGCCTTGATGGGTGCCTATGGAATGGGAATGGTACGTATGGTAGAGGCCGCAGCAGGACGGGCCGGAAGATACATGCATGAGAAGACTGTGAGGATACAATGTCAAAAGCGCCATCCACTATCTGAAGAACCTCGGCTTGTACTGTTGTTGAGCTCTCAAGACAGCACTGGTACGACGCTCGGCATGAGAAGGCAGTGGAGACTTCGATGTGATCACGGATGAAACGAAAACCAGGGAAGCGTCAAGTCCTAGGTTCTGGCCATGCTGAGAGGAGGATGAGGCTGCTGCAAGCGCTGCTCATGCACGACGCTTCAGAACACGGTAATACCGTCCGGTCTGGTGGTGCTGTTGTCGCTGTATGAAGAGCCAAGTGCCCAGACTTTACCTGGTAAGCATGGCAAGCATTTCATGCCTGTAGGAGGTAGCACCCATTAAACATCGGCCTCGCACGCGATTGTGGTTTACACTTGCGCTCTCCGCCTCAATGCGGATGGTCACAGGATGCGGAGCTGTCAGCTTCAAGTTACGCAGCGCTTGGGCTAAACAGCAAAGAGATGTTGGTAGGCACGCAAGCCACAGTGGCGTTCAGGGAGGTGGCAGTGCACCCACAGGGCGATTCGGTGTGTTGTGGCACACTTCAGAAGATTCTTCCAGATACATACACGCCCGTACCAAAAATCATCAGAATACACGTTATCAGCCACAACAAGCATCTATCACGCTGTTTGACAAGAGACGCTGCCGGTTCCCTTCGCCACAATGACCTCCAGGATTGCAGGCATGGTGTTGCGGCTGAGCAAAAGGATTGTCGTATCCAGGACCTGCCCTCATATGCATGCACTGCGCCACCGGTGCACAGCCGTACGTGCAGGGTACAAGTAGGTTGGCAAAGGCTGCTCTGCCGCTGCGCGTCAGCATTACAGTGTCATGAGGCTCTGTCATCGAAATTGAAATGCAAGACGGCTCCGACTGGACTTGCTCTGGCTCTGAATCTCCGCGAGGTCATCGACAATGCGAGCGACATCTATGGCGGCACAAAAGCATCGAGAAGAACGAGGTCCGTACCAGCACCTGGATACGGACAGAAGGGAGATTCGTGTTCTTGACCTCCTTCCTTCATCAAAGCCAGACGCTCCCTTGAAGGGCAATTTGCGTACCGTCTCATTGGATGATGAACTAGAATACGAAGCCTTGTCCTACACGTGGGGCTCTGCATCCGAGGAGCAGGCTACCATCATCGATGGTGACCATAGTGTCCCAGTCACCAACAACCTATCTCGCGCATTGCGGCGATTTCGCAGGCGTCTAGTCAAGCGCACCATCTGGATCGGCGCGATATGCATCAACCAGTCCGATATTCCGGAACGGGGCAAGCAAGTTGCTATCATGGGCGATATTTACGTTTCGGCAACATGCGTGGAAGTCTGGCTGGGCGATGCGCCCGATGTACCATCAACGCGCATTGGCACGGCACTCATGCACCTTGGCGAATTTGGGCTTCCACATAGGGGCGCTCTGCTTAGATGGCTTGAGACCATGGAAACGGCGATTCGTGACACCTCCCCAAGATGGATGGACCGCGCTTGGGTTATTCAGGAGTTCATGCTGAATCCTGAAGTCTACCTGTGTTTCGAGTCCCAGCGTTTCAGATACAGTGGCCCCAGGATGGCGCACATGAAACGGCTGATCGAGCCAAAGCTAAAAGGGGTGGGCGCAGTGAGGAGGTCGTCATTGCCTCTATTTGATGAACTCTCAACCCGTTTATCCGAGTTAAATCTGCTTAAGCGATATTCTGGCTTGATCCTGGCCGATATCTTCCTCTATCTTCCTGTATCTTCCTCACGCAGAAGCGCACGACCCTAGAGATATGGTCTACAGCCTTCGTGCCCTTCTTCCCCCTGAACAGGCCGATATGATTAACTCAGACTATACGAAGTCTTGTGCAGAGGTGTACGCAAACGCCACGTTCGCCTTCCTCCGTACCTACAACAGCATGGCCTTCTGGTACGGCGACATGCCCATGCTAAATTCTAGAAACTTTCGACACAAGGATGTTCCTTTCTTACCATCATGGGCATACAACTTTCGACACCGTTGTCACCAGATGCGTGATTTCCTATCCCCCAGAGTGAAGTGGCCGGTGGATGTGCTCGGTAACCCAGCGCCTGCCCTAAGTGCTGACTCGAAGAGGCTGACCATCTCTGGCATCCGGCTCGATATAGTGAGATCTGTTGTACAAGGAATCGACATATCCGAAGACAACAAACGCAGATCGAATCCTCAAAAGGTTAAGGAGCTACACGATTGCTTTATTGAAAACACCATGAGGGTTGCGCGCAACGGGGGTTGTCATATACACCCTTGGTTGTCTTCGCTCAGTCTTCACCAGTCACGAGGCGTTGCAGGTCGAATATGGTTGCAAGTATTGGAGTATCCACTTGATAACACATCCGATGAGATTGATCGAATCTTCCATGCTTGGGATGAGACGTCGAATTGCAGAGAGCGTGATGAGTTTTGCTGGGACGTATCTTACCCTTTGCGATACTTTGAAGCCGCTGCCGGACCACTGAAGCCGGGTTTTGTGGCCTTGCTCCCGATGCACTTAGTCCCACAGACCAGTTGGTGCTGGTGCCACACCAGGTGCTTATACTGAGACCAACGAGCAACAAGCAGTGGACGCTACGCGGCGTAGCACACGTTCACCGCATCACCGATAAATACACTCGTTATATCGGTCCAAATCGATGATGACCAAGGACGTATGGAAAGGCGCCAGTGCGTATCTGGAAGAGTTCGTTATCATCTAATCCAGACAACGACGCGCACACTTTCCGGCAGCAATAGCCACTGCCATAGCGGATGCAGGCCGGCAAGATAGCTTACAAGTCGGGCAGACAAAGAAGTTCTAAAATGCGTTTCAAATTTCTTGTGCAAGTACGTCGTCTTTGACCGCGAGACCTTCTTTCAAGAGTTCAATGCCTCCATGGAAGACACACTCGACCCTTCTCCAGCTGCTTAAGCTTCACAGCCACCTCTTCAACACTCGCTTCGATCTTTCCCTTCTCCTTGGGCGGATCGGTATGGGCATTGCAGATGTGTTCGGCCGGTAGGGATGTTTGGGCAGCAGAGATCGCGGTGGCGGATGTCGACAAGACGACGCTCGAGTTCTTCAAGATCGACGAGATTGGTCTGGTTGATGATACGAGTGTGCCAGGTACCATGGGCCTCGGATCAGCTCATCGCCAACGACAGCTGGACTGTCCGTCACAGTTCGACTGCTGGTGACGCCAGAAATAACTTTGTTGATGTACGTGAGGAAGGAAAGAAACTAATTATGAAGCTAGCTAGGGAACATGATGTGGTATATATAGGGGTTGACCCCTGGAGCTGTGGGGCTGGCTGTCTTCTAGTGCCGTGACACTGTCACGATCCCGAAGTCCATTGCCTCTGGCAACTATGTCCTCCGTCATGAGATGATTGCTCTCTACTCCGCTGGACAAGCGGACGGTGCGCCGAATTACCTACCCTCAGTGCATCAACCTCGAGGTTACTGGCACTGGGAGTGACACACCAACCGGTACACATGGTGAGAAGCTTTACACCAACACAGCTGCTCCGGAACTCTTGATCAATATAGATGAGTCCCTTTCGACCTATGCTATCCCGTGCCCGACTCTCTACAGCGGTAGTTACCTGCCTACATGTATTGTCCAACCGTCAGTTCATGGGCCCCGGAGCGCGAATTCCGCTACCCGTTCGTAAGTCCGAGCTAGATACCACAATTAGATTTTACGTGTATTTTATCTGCCTTTTTCATACGCGAGGTTGTTCCAAAGAAGTGCCTTGGCTGGTAGTACCGCATGTTTTTGAGAAAGTGAGTAAATGGCAGAACTGGAGATGTGCCGATGCTTAACACGTGGTTGGTCTCTCCGCAGTGATCTCAGACGATCAATCTGGTGGCAGCTTGCCGCCGGCAAGTAACCAAATGACCTGAGTGGATTTACTCCTTGGTGTTTCGAAAGGGGTGGGTTTGTAAGAGATCGTGAAATGAACTCTAAATCTCGAGGTGACATGAACACTGGCACGGGGTTCCAAGGATATGTACGGAACACAATGCCAAGGTCAGGCGGTCTAAACAAGCTGACACCCTTCCCATTCTCACCTCACGCGAGCATCCACCAGTAACTCGCAGCCCTGTTTGGTCATGGAAACGATGACAATCTATTCACGTATACCCCATAGTCCTATCTCATCTACCCAAGAAGCTCACTCACTCAGTCAACCCTCTCCACCTACACTACACGCCCTCGCCATACGGACCCGGCGATGCAGCATCCACGCCCTGGGCCTTAGTAAGGGCATCACTCACGGATCCCAAGTCCGCGATCTCGACCTCACGCACCGACGGCGTCCAGCCCTCAGCGGCGGGGAACCTCTCGTCGCGCAGCCAGACCCGGACCCTGTCCTTCGGCGCCTGTAGGGTGGAGTAATCATAGCCAGCGGCGGCAGCGGGGATAGCGGTATCCATCATGAGCAGAAGCAGAAGGCCAGCCTCGCCCAGCCCGGCCGCCGCGTCCGCGTCCGACAGAGTTGGTGACAGCGCCTCGACGCGGTTGCGGCTGTGGGCCATCGAGGCCAGCGTGATGTAGTTGGACTTGCTGTCGGCGAGGAAGGCGTTGAGGCGCGCGGGGTTGACGTCATTGCTGTCGGCGGGCATGTCGAGCCGCGTCAGCGAGGCCGGGTGCTCGGTGCCTGTCACGGTGTCGAGCTCTATTAGGTCAATCGTGGTCTTGCCCAGCCGCCCGAAGGCGTTGTTGCCCGCCAGCGTGCCGAAGTCCTGGTTCCAGTTGGTCGCGGCGAAGATGGCGTCGGCGATGTTCTGGATGGTGATGTTCTTGCCGCTGTGTGGCCTGAAAGGGCGTTGGGTCAGCATCTGTGGACTACTATAGTCAAGCAGAGCGGAATAAGCAGGGCAAGTCTCTTACAAGTAACCGTGGTTGGCGAGCGTGTTCAGCATAGGGCACGGACTGCGTGAGTCCGAGGGGCCAGCTTTGGTGTATGCGTTGATGGCTCTCTTGCCAGGCAGAGCCAGAGAGGCTGTTGCCAGGGTGAGGAGTACAAGGAGCTTCATGTTTGAGTGTTCGGGACTTTAGATGCAGGGAGAACTGATCGCCACCGAATAACCAAAGGAGAGGTGATATTCAACGAAGCACTGAGTGACCAGCGCCAATATCGGTGGGAGGGCAAGTAGCCCTAGATATATGATGCTGATCTTCCATCTGAGACATATGCAGGCTTGGAGCCGGAGGACATTCCCGTCGAACCAGAAAATAAATCATAAGACTCCACGGGCCCAACCTCTCAAAGCAATTTGTAATCATCATGATGCATTGGCGCGCGCACCTGCATCACCCACTTCAGGGGTTGGAGGGTTTCGATCGCGAAAGCGAGAGTCAAGGCTGAAAAGACGCGAAGTCGAGATTGGTAGAATGCTTGCTGTATAGAAGTGACATGGCTACCTAGATAGACAGTAGTCCTGGCCAGAATGGTATAGACTTTAGCCTAATGGGGTCGTGCATAGAGCTATACCTGTCGATTTGGTGACAGATTCGTAGGTACAATCCCGCTATCAAACCCCTCATTCTTACCCGGGTGCCAACCGCTGTGTGACTTTAGCCAAGTCGGGGAGATCTGCTACGGGTTCCCGGGTTGGGTAATACGGTCGAGACGGCAGCGCGCGGCTCAACTGACATGAAGACGGCGAGGAGGTTTCTATAGATAGAGCCATAATTAGTACCTACTGGAACAGCGGTTTTCGATATGACCTGAGGTGAGAAGCACCCCAATATTATATTTCCCCAACAAGACAAGCGAAGCGACTCACATGCGGCTCCTGGCACTCAGACCGTATAAGGTCGGCCCGTTGCATCCGGTATATGCGGTGACATGTCGGCGACCGCCCAATGGAACGAAGGGCCGAAATTGATCCTCGCGCTATCTCCAGGATTATAGGATTTGCTCCAACTGCGGCGGGGCGCCGGGACAGTGCAGAAGGGTCCCGTGGATTTCGTGTTGGTGTTGTCGTCCACCAAATAGAGTGGGGTATTATCGACGAATTCCCAGTAGCAGCGTGGGGGGGCCGCGGACAACGCGACTCCAACTCAACTCATCTCCTTGACCAGCTTTCGTACCAACTTTTTCTGCTGCTCGGCATCAAGATTCTTCTCGTCTGTCTCCTGAACAGCTCTACCGACTAACAGCACAGTCTTGGTGCTCTCGCTGTTGACCCACATCTTGCCGTTTCTACCCACCGCTGTCTCGAACGCAAGACCGGCTGATCCTAATTCCTCGAGGACAACAACCTTGCCCTCCTCGACTGATTTTCTCATCAAGAGCCGTCGTGCCATTCCCAGGGAGATGTCGTAGAGCATGCCACCGTTCAGTGGTCCAAGGCCTTCCGCTTTGCCGCTCGTTGCAGAGACACATTCTAGTTCGGGGTCCATGTGACGGTTCGCAAGAGTCACCCGAGCATATACCAGGGCTCCGGGGTTCAGCTGAGGTCTCGTCTTCTTGGTGGCCATCTCGAAGGCCAGCTGCGGAAGAGCGGCGTTGGAGGTGTAGTCGGACAGCGTGACATAATAGTAGTCAACTACTGACCGCGCGACAGTCCCGATCACCAGGTCACCAACTGCTGGTATATACTGCGTACCGAGTTAGTCTACACCAATGGCTGATAGTTCTGATAGGGAGCTAGCTTACTCGCCCGCCGTTGTATTCCACCCATATCGAATTCTTCTTGTAGTCCGTAACGAGTTGACCAGCGACTGTTGGCAAGAGCTCACTGGGTGGGATATGCCGTAGCCCAGGCCCAAGCTTCAAGGGGCGCTTGGGATGCGATGGTATGACGGAGGGGTTAATTTGATCGCCTGGGAGGACGAATATTCGTTCGGTCTGTTGGGCCATCTTGGTCGTCTCGATGTGTGTGATGTTTGGTGCAATGGACTGGATGTCTTGACGGAAAGCTGCCTTTTCGGTGCTCTTGACAAAATTTGGTGGAGCTCGGGCTTGTGATCATTTGGAATCGATGATTGTGGCTTGAGCTTGCCTGATGTGTGGCACAGTGGCAGAGTGGAGGGGCATCTGTGGCTCGGGAGTTTTAGCACCTGCAATAAGGCATCCTATCAATTGGCACCTGCATCTTGGTAACTTTTTTTTCTCGAGGTCAAGTTCGGTGATCCAAAAGCAACTACGCCCCCACCAGCATTCCAAGCCTCAACCAAGCAACAACACGACCGTCTACGATCGATTTTAGGCTTGTATACTGTTACCCTTTGGAATCATCTACCATGGCTGAGAAAGGGGGTAACAAGCTTGGCGTCTCGCCGGACGAGCGTTGCGCCATCGGTATCTCATTTGGCAACTCCTACAGCTCCATCGCTTCCACAATCGATGACAGCCCTGTCGTGATCGCCAACGAAGACGGAGGTGAGATTTTACATGATGGCCATATGAGATAGCCCCAAGGTGACTGACGAGTAGCGCAACAGACCGCCAGATTCCCACCATCCTCTCGTACATCGATGGGGAGGAGTACACTGGCAACCAGGCCAAGGCTATGCTGATCCGGAACCCGAGCAACACCGTTGTCTCGTTCAAAGACTTCCTTGGGCAGGAGTATGTGGGCTTTCCCAATCTAACCTACACCATTTGCTAATATTCGGTACAGCTTCAAGTCGATTGACCCTACCCACTGCCACGCCGCTGCCCACCCCGAAGATGTTAGCGGAACAGTCTCTTTCAAGATTCAAGACAAGGGAGAGAAGGAAGCATCCACACTATCGGTCTCCGAAGTCTCTACCAGATACATACGCCGTCTCGTACAATCCGCCACAGATTACCTGGGAAAGAAGGTCACGTCAGCTGTCATAGCGGTACCAACGAACTTCTCCAAGAAGCAAAGGGAGGCCCTGGTCAAGGCGGCAAATGATGCCGACTTGGAAGTCCTCCAGCTGATCAACGAGCCCATTGCATCTGTCCTTGCCTACGATGCGCGACCCGAGGCCAAACTGGAAGACAAGATCATCGTAGTGGCTGAGCTTGGTGGTACCCGGTCAGATGTTGCCGTAGTGGCTTCAAGAGGTGGACTGTACACCATACTGGCGACCGCCCACGACTACGAATTTGCCGGCGTTCACCTAGACAAAGTACTCATGGACCACTTTGCCCAGGAATTCATGAAGAAGAACCCCAACGTTGATCCCCGAGAGAACGCCAGAAGCTTAGCGAAGCTCAAGGCCGAATCCGAGGCTGCGAAGAAGTCTCTCAGTATCGGCACCAACGCGAATTTCAGCGTCGAGAGCTTGGCGGAGGGCATTGACTTCCAGATGACAATCAACAGACTGCGGTACGAAACCATTGCTCGTAAGGTTTTCGACGGTTTTAACCGACTGGTGGAGGGCGTCATCAAGAAGGCCGGGCTGGATGTTCTGGACATTGACGAGGTCATACTCTCCGGTGGCACTTCCCACACCCCTAGAATTGCGTCCAACTTCCGATCATTATTCCCCGACACAACTACCATCCAGGCGCCGTCAACGAACCCTAACGCTATCAACCCCTCAGAACTGCAACCTCGTGGCGCTGCTCTGCAAGCGTCACTGATACAAGAGTACGAGACCGAAGACATTGAACAATCGACGCACGCTGCTCTTACGACAGTCAAGCATATCACCAATGCTATTGGTGTCATCTGTGTCTCCGACGATGGCACCGAAACATTTACACGAATCATCGCTCCCGAGACTGCCGTCCCTGCTCGACGGACCGTACACGTCGCTGCTCCCAAAGACGGCGGTGACGTGCTAGTCAAGATTGTCGAGGGTGGCACTCACATCAAGGTCACCAAGCCGGAACCCAAGGCAAAGGACAACAGCGCTAAGGACGAAGACGACAGCGACTTCGACGACTCGGAGGAGGAAGAAGAGGAGCACCGCGAGAAGGTGTGGAAGATTGGCACTACCCTGGCCGAGGCGGCCGTGAAGGGTGTGAAGGAGGGCGGCAAGGTCGAGGTCACAATCAACGTCGCCAACGATCTCAGCGCCACCATCACGACGCGAGAAGTCGGCGGCAAGGGCGGTGTGAGAGGGAACCTGAAGCCTGCTTAGGTCGCGCAGCTGGGATTCAATCTCGAGATGGCAGCTCACAAAGACCCGGGGGTCTTTGTCTTTCGCGGGGATGAGAAGACTGGGTAGTCTCACCGTTCCAGAAAGACCGCCGCGTATTGTTGATTGATACATTAGATAGAGGTATAGTTGTGGGATAGGCATGGCAATAGAGCAGCAAAAAGCACTGGATTCAGACCGAAACCGAAGGTCTATTATTATTCATCAATTAGAGTGGTCTCGATGCGATTTGTATGTGATGAGTGCACCGAATTATAGGCATCATATACCCCGAACGCTACCGCACTATCTCCGGCAGCTTCCACGCAACCAAGTCATCGCGCAACTCATACTCGTCGACCTCTTTCGGCCGCCTGAACCCTTCCCGGCCCCTCTCACGCTCGCTGCTGGTAGAACTGCCGATCGTCGGGGCCAGGCTGCCCAGACTCTCGCTCCGAATGCGCATGCCGAACTCATCTGAGAGCTCTTCGCTGGGGGCGTGCCTGTCACCATCCTCTCCTCTACCGTTGATGTTAGGAACGTTGAGGTGGCTGGAGTATCCGCTTTTTCCACTACGCGCGCTGCGCCCACTGAGCTGTCTTCGATGGCCGCTTTGGTTGGGGTGCGCGTTATTGCCGTTTCCGTTGTCGCCAGTGCCATCGTATGAGGAGTAGTTATTGTTGCTGGTGGTGTGGGTGACATTGTATGAGTTATTGCGGGCGCCGCCACCGCCGGTTGTAGTCAGCGTGCTCGTGCTCTTATCGCTGGCAGTGCTGCGCGAGCGCAGGTGCGTCCGCATGCGCCGCATATCGCTGGGTCGAAGCGTCCCACCCGCGGCCTCGTCGCCGCTGGCGCTGTTGCTGGTGATATTGCTATCGGGAGATTCCGTGTCGGATCTCCGTGACTGGGAGGACTTCTTCCTCGACATGTTATTATTGGTGGCGCCCCGGTGTTTGTCACGCCAGCCGCTGCCGCCCGAGAAGATGTCCTCGATGCACTCGTCGGCGGGCAGCTCGCCGGGCTGGCAGGCCCAGCTGGCGGCTAGGGACCGGCGGTACATGTCCTGCAGCTCGGAGGCGTCGCGCGACTTGTTGAGCGAGGGCAGGGCGCTGCCAGCCATGCCGCTGTTGCTTCCGTCGTCCTGGTCGCCCAGCGGGTCGCTCGTCATGATTCCCGCGATGCCGCCGAATATGGGCGCCGTCTTCAGCGGCGGCGCAACGTAGTTGCGCTCCCCATCTACCTGCACCATCAAGATCCCGATCTTCAGCGTGCTGTTGATCTTGCTCTCCTGCATCAGGTACCGCCGCACGATGCCCTCCTCCGCCTCCTCGTCTACCACGTCGTTCTCCTCTAGCTGCGGTGCTGCTGCCGTCGTGTTCGTGGGGCTGATCGGGGTCTCTGCCACGGCGGAGCGGCTGTCCAGTCTTCCGTGTGACTGTGACGAGTTATGTCCCATGACCTTGTCGCGCGCATGTTCAAGGCTGCCGCGACCCCGCGTGCTCGTGGTGCTCCGTCGTGGGAAGTTCTCGCTCTCTTCGACGTACTCGCTGAGGTTCAGCTTCACGGTGCCGAGGGAGATCTTCTCGTCCCGGCCCGAGGGCACCATGGGGAACTCCTGCAGCACCTCGAACTCGATGGGGCACTCGGTCAGGTTGTTGGCGCGGTCGATGGAGATGCGCAGCGGGATGATCTTGGAGTAGTTGTAGGAGACGCGGTGGTTGATCTTATCGATGGAGCACTTGCCCGTCCGGCCGCGGTGCTCGCCGTGGATCGAGGCCGGGAGGTGCCATTTCACTATCGATGTGCCGGCGACCAGCGGCACGTTGTTCAGGTCGTAGATCGAGAGGTGAAGTTCGAATTTAGGCTACGGCGGCCTTTGGTCAGCATCGCGCGGCATGAACGGTTTAGGATGGAGGCAGGCATACCTTCCGGGCCTTGTTGACTATTGGAAAGACACGCATGTCAGCTCAGGGTGTGGGTTTGGCGCATGGCGAGTAGCAAGCAATGGGTTGTGCAGCTGCCAGGAACATGGTGGTCTCTCCGTTCCATCCCACTTCGCATGACAATGGGTGAACGACAGGCAGGATGACAAAGGATTCAACAACGGCACGGGGCGTATAGCCCGATAAGGATCTGACAACGTCCAAGTCGCAATGGATATAGTCTGTTGTGTCCGAGCGAGGCTCGTCTGACTGTTGGAATGCGGCTCTGAGGAAGATGGTAACGGCTGCGCGCGGATACGAAGTCTAAGAGGGGAGGGACAAGGCAGGGTTTACATACTCAGGGACGCCATATTCTAGTTATTATAGCCGCGTTCACCCCGGCGGCTGAAGACAAGCACATGCCTAGTCAGCGACTGCAGACGGCGGTAGTGGTGCACAGATATGCAGTCATGTTTTGGGGCGGATTCGACGGCAACGACAACCTGGAAAGGCTCTCTGCTCGAGCAATCGCGATTGGAGCGGAACACGCGGGAGAGGATTTGCGCGGAGTGACGGAGTAAACTCGAGCAAGGCAGACCTTGGATTGAACGTGATACGGGAGAGGCGGGAAACTGATAAGAGATTGGTCACAAATTCCCGCGTCGCACAGGTGAGGGAGTGGGAGGGAGATGTGGTGGTGTATCTGGGGGGGCAGGTGCATTTGGAATCGTGATTCGTGATTCGTGATTCGTGATTCGTGATGCTTCAAGCTTTATCGCAATCAGGCCTGGCAGCCCTGCCAAGCACGGGGGTCCAGGCCGCCAGACGTCATTGAGGGCTCTTACAGGGCATCTACAGGGCACTCCAAGGGCATTTCTACAGCGGAGTCCACTGCCGAACTCATGCAGGTCCACAACCCAGTCGCGCTACACTTTTCAACACCATCGAGTCGCAATCATATACCAAACTGAGAACGCCTACTTCGTATTCATAGGACAGCTGCGAGCGGCGATGATGGTTGGCTGACTAAGAATCAACTTTAAAGAAACCGACTTCTGGATTGCCCTGGCTTTGCAAAGCCATTCTTCCAATCTAATCGATCATCCAAGCGGCCAAGCCTCCTTTTGAAAATCAGGCATGAGGATTAGTCACTGGAGAAAGACCTTCATCGCGAGCCTGTGCTTCCACCACTGCCAATCGCATGGACCAGGTCCCTGACGCCGCACCTTTGTCTGACAAGTGTTTCTCACTGAGTGCTTTCTGCTCGTGCCGGACAAGATGCCTCCCAGGAAGGATTCGCTGGTTAACCCTGCTGGGAAGTCTGCTGAGAAGCCCAAGTCGACCGCATTTCCCAATGCTCCTCCCAAACCTGCGTCATGGGGTAAGGATGGACGGCCTGGAGGGAGTAAAGATGGACGGCCTGTAAAGAGGAAGAATCCGCCGCAGACAGGTAAGAACGTCCAAGGCCAGGTGAACGACTCGCAACCCAGCGGCAGGTCTTTCAAGCGGGCGAAACTCAATAACGCTCGGAGTATCGCATCCCTAGCATCACACGCCGCCTTGAAAGATGGCGAACTCAACGTACAGTCGTTTGTTGCTTCTATGGCTTTCGAAATGAACACGCTGGACGAGAGCATGCGACGCACCAAGGCCATGAACAACAGGCGCGTCTTCCAACGCCTACCCTACACAATGCGACGCAGAGCTGCGGCCCACAACTACAAGAGGGTTCCAAAGCGCCTGCACAAGCGGGCGAGGAAGGAAGCCGAGGAAGACAACTCCCCCACTGTCAATTCTAAGACGAGAAAGCCCAAGACCACCAGATCCAGGTTACGAGCTGAGACAGCGCGAAGACTGGAGATCCTGGCCAAACGGAAAAGGCTGCTGAAGCTGAAGAAGGGCCTGGGAGCCGACAAGGTAACCATTACCACGAGAGCAGCGCGGCCCAAGATTCGAAGAAACGAGCTGAGCGAGCCGCATGTCACGAAATCAAGGTATAGAAAACGGCAACTAAAGAAGATTTGGCTACCAACCCATCTATGGCATGCGAAGCGAGCAAAGATGACTCCCCCTTCGCAGCCGCTGTGGGGATTCTCCATCCCTCTCAGTCCCACACAGAAAGTCTACCGACCTACTCATCGAATTCAATGGGAAAAGGGTGCCATGGCGTGGGACATGAGTTACATGAGCACCATAGGCTTGTTCGGCACTGAAAGCAGCATCCGAACTGCTCTGAGGGGCCTGGGCCTTACTCAAGAAGCTTTATGGAACGACAAGGCCAAGCGCTGGAGAGCAGGTGCTGTCTATTGGTCTGGACACTTGAGCAGGAAAAGCCAGGACGTCGTACGCGTTATTGGTCCAGCCTGCATTATCTGGAACGCGCAAGAGCAGCTCGAAGGCCAGGATGCTACTAAGCTCCCCAGACAACTCTTCATCAACGTGCACCCATCTGCTTTCTTGGAGACCTTCAATGAGCTGCTCCGACTCGTCAAGATGCAACATCCTCGACCATTCTTGCAAGACCTACGATATGAGATTGGGAGCATTGATATAACTGGGCCAGATGCTACAGAAGCATTGCTCGGCGTATTGAAGCCGTATCCCTCAACAGCGGCGTCGAAAGATACCCACGCTTCAAAGTTTGAGTCACTAGCTGGCTTGACCGACCCAGCGGCTCTGCCTCATGGGTCTTTGCTAGCTTTCTCTATCATGGACCCCCGCCTCCACCATCCTCCGCGTCGATCAAGTGTACCTCGAGCGGGAGATCAGGATGTTCAACTAGCACTTCTAGAGGCAATATCAGCATTTCGGAAAAATGAGGAGCCCATGCCCAGTCTGCTGTTTGATCGTGGCGCACGGTTCAAAGCCTCTACACTTCCATCGCAGCAATCGCTCAATCGCCGGCGAGGGAAGAATGCGCCCGGCGCTGTCCTCGAGCCTACCAAGGTTGATCCTCCTATCCCTATTATGCTGCTAGCCTCTCGAAAATCACCTGAAACGAAAACACCTGGGACCTGGACCGTCATGCTACCTTGGAAATGTGTTCTTCCGCTGTGGTACAGCTTGATGCACTGTCCATTGTCAACCGGTGGTAATCCTGCCTTTGGGGGTCTGCAGGAGATCAGACAGCTGAGCTTTGAACGGGCCGAGCCTTGGTTCCCGGGTGACGTGTCAGGGACGGACGCTGGCAACGCATGGGAGTTGAGAGACCGCATAGCGAGACAGGCGGCTTGGGATCGTATGCCGAAAGGCAAGCGAGTCAACTGGGACACACTTGATCTTGGAGCGAGTCGCAAGGGCGAACTTGGCATCGGTTGGAATTGCGACTATGACATACTGTTTGGTCTCCGAGCCCCGGAGTCTAACCAACAGCCAACAGAGGCAGAAGAATGTGAGAACGGAGCAGAAGCGCCCGAATCTGAAAAGGGGAAGACAGTCAGCCCCGTCGATACGATGTCGAGCACTACGTATCTCCCGAAGCTGGCTTTCAATGCCTATCTCGCACCGAAGTTCGTCCCCCTTCCTGCAGCCTCCCTCGTCACGGTCAATCTCAGAATGGCGGCTCGAGGCGTACCGACAACATGCGCGAGGATATATCGCCTTCCCGACGCAAAGGCGGTTGTCATCTCAACCCAAGCAGAAGTCCCAGCCACCGAGCCTCCTCACCAGAAGGCAGAAGGCAAGGTGCCGGCAAACCTGCGGGAGCAATGGCTAGCCCAAAGACCAGCAAAGGGGAAGAAGGGCAGCAGTGCACCGCCGAACATGAGCCCAGAGGCTCGAAAGCAATCCCTCGCCCAACAGCTCATCGGGTCAGCGATGCCGTATCCCCCCGCGTCTCCCACCTCTGAGAATATCAACGGTCATCCCCTATGCCCCAATGAAGAGGACTTGATCGGGTTCGTGACTACGGGGAGCTACAATCTCAGGAAAGGCAGAGGAGATGGCATTGGGAGCTTGTCCGCGCAAAGGGCGATGGAGGAGCTGAGACGGTATAAGAATACGAATGACCCGGCGGCGAGGCTGTGTGTTGTCAGGAGTGCTGGGGAGAATGTTGGATGGCTTGCTAGGTGGGAGTTGGTCTGAATGGACCAAGGGGCTGCCGGGATAGCCAAGTTGATACACCCGAAGTCGAGTGGTGCAATTCTGTACATTAGTGACCTCCTAAATGGACTCCCATCCACTGCAATGAGACACCAAGCAACTCCCAGAATACAGAGCAATCACAACCCGACATTGTGACAAGTCACCCTTCTAGAAGCGTTACCAACAGGCAGGTTCACCACCATTCGGTAGCACTCCTGGGAAAAGCACTCCAAACCATGACCAAACGCCGACAAGATGCCTCCAACACCTGAAGAAGCTCGCCAATGACGTGAGGAGATCAAAGCGATCAGTAAAGGAAGCTGTCAACGCAGCCTTTGGTCGTATTGACGCTCGTTTTGAAGCTCAAGAGCCTCGTTCGGGGCCTCGTCCGGAGCCTCGTTCAGAGCTTCATCCAGAGCTTCGTCCAGAGCCTCGTTAGTAGACCCGTCTCTTTGGTCACGAAGAAATTCCGATACTCCACGAGACGTCAAGCGAGCACGAGAAATCAAACAGTCACGAGCATAAAGGTCCCTAATACAATTAGTAATTTTAAACAAATAAGGGCCCTAACCTTATTAAGTGTAAGGTTGCGCAGCTTTCCGCTATTAAATCTCTTATTAATAAGGGCCTTGCTACTTTACGCTTAGTAAAAGGGGTTAAACTTAGTAAAAGTAACATCCGCTATTAATATTTCGTTGTTAATCGCGCATTTATTTAATGTTAATACTTTAAAAGTTATATATTTATTAATTAAGTAATAAATATTATTAGTAAGAGTTATAAAGTTATAATAAATTATATGCTTTAACTTTTGTGTTATCACGTATTAAATTTTTTAAGCCCGTTATAACCATGTCTTTATAAGGCTTATAACTATTATAAATTACACAGTACAAGGCTCATAGCTAAATAAAACTTTTACTTTTTATAACGCTTTGTTTTCAAAAGTTCCGACGGGTTAAAAATTTGAAACAAATTCTAGTAATAAAGTTTTATCTTTTAAGCGTTTAAAAAAACAGTAGCTAGCTTTATATAATATTGTTTATTAATAAATATTAAAACAAAGTAATAGCGTAACTCAGATTTAAACCTAGGTCTTAATTTCTTTTTTAAGTTAAGCGTTTAGCTTTCATTTAAATTTAAACCAAACGCTTAATATTAAAAAATTGACTTTGAAACTATTAAACGACCTTGGCGTTAATACCAAATTTGTTTTTTAATCGTATATATAATTTTAAAAGTCGGTACTTAGCTATAAATAAGTTAAAAAAGCCTAAAGTTAATAAAGAGACATGCGTTATACGCGGTAAGTACAAAAAAATGATGTTAAAAATTGAATTTAGTATTTTAATTTCTTTTTAAGTTTTTATGTTACGCATTGAACTTTAATTCGAATAAAAGAATGATTATATTTAAACTATTAAATAACTTTATTATTAATATAAGATTTGGTTTTTAATTATATAACTATAAGTTAGTAAAAAAACACGTAATTAATAAAAAGACATATTATATATATATTGTTGGAACAGGCTTGAACGATCAATCATAATACTCGAGTATGGGGTCAAGGTCATGATGTTGCTGATGGTTGGATTGAGAGGAATCTAGCTGGACTCGAAGGTCTGGCCAAGTGCCCTCTCAATCCACTATATTATCTTATCTAATCATACATGTGGGTCCTGGTATAGATGGTTTGCAGTCTGGAATCGCATGGATCCAACATATATTATATCTAAAAGGTGGTAAAGTAATATCATTAATATGTTTATTTCATTTTTAAGCTTATTAACAAAAATAGTTCATTTTTAAAATGTATTAACGTAGCTGACAAGCGAGTTGACATTACAAGCGAGTTGGCACTCGTCATGAACTCTCCAACTGCCATGTCAAATAACTTCACCACAACGCATTCAGTTCAATTCAATCAATCGGATTCCTCTTCCTCAGAGGTTTCTATCTCTATTGTACAAGTTCGCGCATTATGGCCAGTATTGCCGCAAACGCCATACCGTCGCCCACGCGCTGCCGCCCGCCTCGGACGACGACTACCTTTACCCATTTCCTGTTTTGCCAGCTTAGCACCATCCTTTACAGCCTGAAGATCTACTGCATTTTTAACAGAAAGTACTCCTCCTTTCATTAGATGTTTGTTTTTTGTTCTCCGACGTTTACTTAGTAGGTGATTGGCCTCTTTTAGTTCGCGGACCCAGGAATCAACCAAAGCGACCTTATGCATAAGACCGTATGTAGCCTTCGAAAACGAGCTCAACGCATCAACTATTGATGTAGGTGAGCTTCCCTGGTGGTTTCTGACTCGGTTTTGGATATAAACCAATTGGTTTACCGCTTCGTTAATGGTGGTAGGCGTCTTCGAAGTCCAAGTAGTGGGTGGCAGATTGGGGTCTGGCGACGGTGTTCGTACGACAGCGACAGCATCCAGCTTCGAAATGACACTTTCTGGGTCAAAAGGAACAAGCCCAGTGGCACTGAAACCTGCTCGAATGTTTCCTGGCGTCATAGCAGCGTTGTGTGCTTCACAAAACGCTGCAAGGAAGTCCTCCTTTGAAATGTGGGTTATATGACGCCGGATGAGATCCTCAATCATGCGACCGTAAGCTCGTTTGAGCGGGCTAAAACAGCCGACATCTAGAGGCTGGAGCCTGTGTGACGAGTGGGCAGGTATACAAAGGGTGATAATGCCGTTGTTCTGACAATAATCCTCAAAGACCTGGGAATGGTGGCTTTTGTGACCATCTAGGATGAGGAGGCGTTTACCGGCAGTCATACGCGGTCTGGTATACTTGTCAAAATGCTGAATCCATTCCAAACCAATCTCATTCGTGGTCCACCCGTTGTCAGACACGGCCACCTTCTAATCGCGTGGTAATATTGTGTCGCGATACCATGACGCGAGGTGGGTTTTGCCCTGTAGAATGATGAACGGCGGGACCACCCAACCATCAGCATTAACAGCAGAGATTGCTGTAGACCATTCCCTGTTGCCTTGCTGAGCTTGTCTAGGCCTGTCACGTCTTTCGGCACTTGTAACAATCATGCCGGACCCAATAATGCCCATCATAAACCCAGTCTCGTCGAAGTTGTAAATATCCGCGTCTTGGATACCATGTTTCGCGACTGCTGCTGCAACTTGGCAAAATCACGCGCGATACGCGTCTGGATCCTCGTTCAAGACCCTCTGGTAGTCTATCTTCCGATGAAAACGCGTCCGGAGGCCTGGTGTACGTTTAATGAAGTTCCGCGTCCAGTTCTTTCTAATGCGTCCAGCCCCACGCGCCGCCAACATTGATTCGCCATATCTTCAACATAACTGTACCGGGGCGGAAATGCTCGCGCATCCAGGTCGAGAATGAAGGAACAAATGGCATTCTCTTCGGAAACCATAAGTTTCAAAGTATTGGGCATGCTGTCGCGTCGTGATGGCATTCCTTTGACTCTATTGCTCAAAGTGGAACGAAGGACGTTGAAGAGTTTCGCAAGCTGAAATATAGGAATATGAGGGTCACGTCGTTTAGCTTGAACAGCTAGCTGCAAGTCTGATTCGTTATAACGCGGTGCCATTGTTATTGGTGGAGATATGATGGTTTGAATCGTATTGGTTGGAAAGTTCATGACGAGTGCCAACTCGCTTGTAATGTCAACTCGCTTGTCAGCTACGTTATAAGCAATAAATACCTTCATAAATATGTTAAAAAATTAACGTTTACCGTTTAATGCGAGCGTTTAAAAAGTCGTTTATTCTAATTAATTATAAAAGGTCGAAATAATGTGATTTCTTATAAATATAAAAAATACATAAATAGCCTTTAAAACCCCTCTTTTGCGTTAAACTTGTATAAATACAGGTAAAAGTGAATGGTAAGGAATAAAAATGCTTAGATTTTAATACAAGTAACTAGAAATTCTTTCGTTATAAATTTGATTGAAAAAAATTAATAATCTTTCTATATAAAAATACCTTTTTTAATCTTGAATTAGCTAAAACGTTATAAATACGATATAAAGGCACGCTTTATATTTACATAGCGGTAATATCGCTTAATAATAAAAAGCAGTTATCAAAAAAATACTATTGTTATTAACTTTCGATTTTTACTATAAATTTAAACGAATCAGCTTTTTTAAGCTTGATGATACTATTTATAAATACAGGTAATATATATTTATTATTATATATAATAACATAAAATTACTTGATCAAAACAGCGGTTATCGGGAAAAAAATGCTATTCTTATTCAAAATCGATTTGAATTATAAACTCAAGCATTTTAAAGCTTAACAAACTTATTTAACTTTACTATAACTTATTACTGTATATTTAAAAGTTTAACCCCTTTTATTATTATTATTATTATTATTATTATTAGTATTATTATTATTATTATTAGTATTAGTATTATTATTATTATTATTATTAGTATTATTATTATTATTATTATTAGTATTATTATTATTATTATTATTATTATTATTATTATTATTATTATTATTATTATTATTATTATTATTATTATTATTAGTATTATTATTATTATTAGTAGTATTATTATTATTATTATTATTATTATTATTATTATTATTATTATTATTTCTATGTGATTCCACAGTCAAACCATCCATCCAGAACCCATATGTATGATTAGATAAGAGATTAGATACCAGATTGTGAGGTCACTTAGCCAGACCTTCAGGTCCAGCTAGACTTCCCAATCCAACTACCAGCAACATCATGACCTTGACCTAATACTCGAGTATTATGATTGATCGTTCAAGCCTGTTCCAACAACTATTAGTATTACTAAAAATAAAAAATAAAAAAATAAAAAAGATTAAAGCTCGTTAATTAACTCCTAGTTTCTTAATATCATATTTACCGTAAAGAAACTAAATATTAAAAAAGAAATAAGCTAGTACAGCAATATTATACATAGTAAGTACGACTGCAACATATCAAAAAGAAATTAACCTGAATAATATTACTTTTACTATAAAAAGTAACCGTGGTTTTAATGAAGTTATTAACTTTATATTATTACTTTCTATAGCTTTTAAAATAAACGCATTTCTAAAAAGTATATTATAAGAAACTATTTAATTATTATCTTAATTTTATTACCACAGAAGTCAACTAAAAAAATCGAGGTGTTATTAATACGTAATTAAATATTAAAATTTTATAATCTATTAGTTATTTTTACGGAAAATATTATATAAAATACTATTTAAAAACACTTAATAGCCCTAATAATTAAAAATGACGTTTAAATTTAATATTCTAAGCTTATAAGCTTTTTTATTAATAAATTAATAACTTCATGAAGCGTGTGGCTATAAGGGGGTCTACTGTGTGTGGTGAGAGGGTTGGGAAACCTAAGCTAGAAGGGCGAGAGCTGCACATATTTATGGTGCAGCCTTCCCTTATCTAATCCATCTGCTAGCGTACAGTGGGTCTCCAATCCGCCACCCCCAGTCACACGTATCACTTTATTAAAATATAAGTACTATCACTTTTTTTTCACGTTTATATATGTAACGACGCGATTTTGTTTGAATCGGCTTTAAAAAGCTTAATAAAATCGTACTTATAAAGCAAGTTTTATTATGATTTAAATCGACTTATATACGTCGAATAAAAGTGTTTTTATTAATTTTTTACTTTTTATATTTTGTGAGATTCTAGAAGGGTCACAAGCCTTGGGGGTGTGAGCGGTCGCTGCAAACGTTGTTGTCATTCTCAAGTATGCTCGTCAGGGCTAATCTACAGCTAAATACCATACTGCACCATGCCAGGGTGGATCCACTGGTTCCCTGGCAGCCCCCTAGCGGGTACTGCACCTAAGGGCACCATATCTGGGATCCAACATCTGACGGTGCATGTAGGTGTGAGCAGAGAATATGGTCGTGTTGGCGGTAGTTTCTCTTGGAAGCTCGCGTCAAGTGCTCAGATCATTCCGTATGACTGCGGAATTAGGTCAATGACTTGCTACCAGGTCGGGAATTTCGATGTGTGTATGCTTCGGGTACTGGTGCAGCAGCTACTTTAGATGCGCCTGCACCTCCTTCGGCTCCAGACTCTTGTTGTTAAGCTCGTAGATGAGGTCTTGGAACATGGCTTGCCTTTCTTGTCTGTCCATCGGGGGGCTGGAGGTCGCGGGTCCGCTCGTGAGGTATAGGGGTCGCGGGTGTCTCGAGTCGGAATGTCGAGTTAGCACACGGGATAGCAAAGATTGGGTTTGCTCTCGAAGTGGGTGTTGCGGTTATAGTATCTATGTGGTTGTTATTGTTGAATAGTAGGAAGGCTACTAGAACCGTGATAGATGAACAGAGAATGGCCAGCAGCCGGGTGTGCACTGGATGGTCTAGCGATTGCTTGCCATGATGATTACGGACGTCTCGAGACACGACGTAGGCGCTTATCTGGCCTTGCGGCAGTTCCTTGTCGGGACTTTACAACCTTATCATTCTTCTAAGGTTTTCATGTAACTTGGTAGCTTCACGACTGACTCTGAGCGGCCCATTCAATAACCTTGCCCATTACCACCCGACGGCTACCAGAACACAGTGAACTTGTTGCTTGTGGTATCATTTCAGTTGTTCATGTTGGCTCTTTTTCGCCAATCGGAATAATAATGAGAGATCCCAATGTAACATCATTAATAAGTTCTAATGGCGCCGAAGATCCGCTGGATGAGGCCTGATAGCGACTCATGTTGCTTGTCTGCCGATACGTAATATGCCGAACTGGATCTGGGCGTCTTCCGAGCTGACGGGGGAGTCTGCTAGCTGCGAGATACCTAATGGGGGTTGCAATAGAGCCCGGCACGGTAATGGGATGGCCCTGAGGCGATATTTAACGCGACAGGGTCGATAACTATGTACGGGATAGAGAGTATGAAAGCAATGTTAATAAGCGAGAAAGCATATGGGATAGACCGGCCTCGAAACACGACCTTATCCTTAAAGAGCCAATCGTGGGACTTTGGCTGTTATAGGGGGAAGCGGTCCTGGTAGCCTAGCACGCTCTTGTGATGAGTCACTCCTGTCGGCGCTGCGTTTCAGAGGCGAGCAAACCAGAGGTGTCGGTTGGTTTGCAAGAACTGAGGTTTGGGCGTGTAGAAACGAGAGTGGTGGTGTAACTATTCGTGATTCTCTCGTAGGTGAAGAGACGACGCCATGGTGCCACCCAGCCTAGATTCATTGAAGGGGATTGTCGTCAGCTGGTCGATTCGGATCTCCCGAGGGTCGTCTTCGTCATCTTCATTGGTTTCGAAGTCGGGGTCGTTGCTGCCGGTGTACCTTCGGCGCTTTCAGCAAGGAACGCGACAGCAACATGGACTGGGACCTGTCCAAAGAAAGCGGCTAGGACGCGGGCTCAATGCCTTTTTCTTGTTTGGTGTACATCATTATCGGGCTAAGATCATAGGTACCAAATTAAGACCTGTTAGAGATGTTTCAATATGCGAGCCTTTGTGCTTATATAGTCGGTTCTTCTTGTGGATTGCTATCGATTTTGCCAAAGTTCTTCCGGACTGGGATCAAGTCTCTCCAAGACAGGCTCGGGTCGTTGCGAGGCACTCCAGCTGAAGGAGGGAGGCTCGCGGGCGGGTCGTTGCGAGGCATCACTGTTCATACAGCTGGGAATGAGAACATAAGCCGCCATACTTGCTCCTAAGACGGTCAACACTGCTCATATGTCTACCGTACTAAACTTAATAAAACCCTTTAGGTTGAGCTCGATTAGAGTATCGGCTTGTCGCGGTTCGGCAGCTAGACTTTGCCTTGTGCTTTTGGTCCGTCAGGCGTGAGTAGGTGCCAGTGTACCCGTATTGGGCTGCTGGTTGGCGATGGACATAGCAGGCTGAGGGAAAGTAGCCTTGCAACTTAGCTGGGGATATGGAGATACAGTAATGGGGGACGAAGAGGCGCTGTCGGGTGAGGCAGAAGGCCGACGAGACTGCAGAATGTTGTCGCCCTCCACCCGAGTCACCCTCCCCAGCACCTTTCGGATTTCTTGACCCCTATGGTGACTTCGCGACTCCACGTCGCCAGATCGGCCCCCCGGGATGACCGGTCAGAGTCATGATAGCAGGGGGATGTTGGCGTGGATCGCCTGCTAGCAACAATGGACGACCACTGAGCCATGGCATGCAAGCTTATGCTTTGCCCATCGAACCGGCCTCATCTAGGACGGTAACCTTCGCCACTTTCTTGCTGAAGTCGATGGTGGGATGGTCACCACTCCCGGGTCTGCCGATAGTTGAGGCGTCCATCCGACGTCACAGAGGCCAATACAGCCACCCGGCTGTCTCTCGCCCCCGTGTTGTTTTCCCTGAGGCGTCCTCGGTTGTGGAGGTCCAACAGTTGGGGCCAGTAAGTTACCACTTTACAAACCTGGATCGGCCGGTCTTGAAGCTGCCTTCTGGTAGGCGCCACGGCTTGGCAGGGGCGCGCTGAGCGTGGTATCGAGCTCGGGTAGAGGAATACCCGCTTGAGCCAGACGCAGTCGACCATTTATGAGTGGTCGATATTACGACATTTGCTGCGATAGCAAATGGCGCCGATCTCGATGTATTCGCGACTTCTGACGAGGAGTTTGAGCTTTGCATAGCGAGGGTAGATTGCTCGAACGAGCCCAGACGGTAATTTGGGCGGTTTTATGTATTCTTCCCCTGGGCTTCGTAACCATACGGTCTGGTGGAGAGTTGGTTCGAACTGGGATACTGGTGATAATAAGGCTGGTGGGAGGGATAGCAGGTTTGCGGAGCTTCTTGGCCATAGCTACCGCGTTGAGCTGGCTGGGCTGTTGCAGGTAGCCTCGGGCTTGCCCTTCTCCAGAGTTGCCAAGTTAATGTGGATGGTAACTTATCGAGCCGGGGCAAAGCCAACCCCTAATTGAGTGGTTGAGTTGATTCTATCTGAACATTGGCATTTGGTTGTTCGGCATACCAACCGTGAGTAACAAATCGTATAATGGTAAAAGAGATTGAAACTCGATTATCTTTGAGGACGAACGACATGGACGAGAACCTCCGTGCGATCATCCTGTGTAGACGCCACAAATACGGAATGAAAGTGACGCAAATGGTTTTCATAGGCCTTCCTGCTTTGGAAGGGTTGAGTCCCCTCTTCACATCCATATGGGCAGAATCGACTCTTAGGATCGTCGTGGTCGACGACACCATGTTCAAACAGAGACCCCGTGGGTCGGTAGTGAATACCACAAATATCGCATTTAGTTCGTTCTGCGATGGATTTCGCATCAGAGTTTTCGTCGGCCTTTTTGCAGCGAGCCTCGTGCACACTGCAATTGCGACATAGTCGTGCGTGCGAACGTGGTTCTTGACCCAGTTCATCCCGTATGGGCCGGGTGGCGTTCCCGCATCGACGACGTCACGGAGGTCGAGATATGACAAGCCGACTGAGGTCGGCCAGCTTCATCTGGTGACATCCTGCACGACGGTTTGTCCCGCCTCGTTCTTGAAGGGCACGGGGAAGGTGCTGGGGAAGGGATGACCTTCATGCCAGTAAAGGCAGCAGGATACACTCCCGTCTTGGCTGCTTGCCCGGCTATAGCTACACCCGCCTCCAACGTCCGCAGAATGGAACTGTACACCCCGGCATGATTGGTAGACCATGTGGAATTTGAGACTGCCAATTGTTCGTAGAAGCTTGCCGCAAGTCTCACGCCGGTATTCCCAAGGAGACACGTAAATTACAGAGGCCAACCCAGGATCTTTACCTTGTCTTGCTAAGTCATTTGTGCGCCATCTTCTTGGTACGGAGGATGCTCGAGGGCGCAGGATCGAAGGGTGCTGGCCTGGACTTTCCCCCGCACCCATGGACGAGGGCGAGCCGCCCTTTTCCGAGTTACATTATTGCCGCGCTATCTGGAAGAAGCTATAGAAGTTGAATCGAAGCGACGAGAGCGAGATACGTGACGAGTGACTAATGTCCTGGTGAAGCTGTCGTTCAGGTGATGTATACACGACATGTACAATTATGAGATAATTGCCAGGTCGGTGCGTACAGCTGTTAGACTCTTGGGGCCCAAAACAGGATCGCTTCACCAAACCTACAACGAACGGGGGCAGCCGGACGAGGATACCAGATAATACTTGCATAATAGTCGCTTTTACAGCCGGCGCAAAACGAACAATAGCTTCCAAACAAGGTGGCCCAAATGAAGCCCGTCGAAACTGACGCAGCAGCACTCACAAGACGTTGCAGTGCCGTCGTAACGTCTTTCGCAACACCAGAGAAATTCATAATGGCGGCTGTGGTTTCTCGTGGTCGTTGGTTGTGTCGGTCGTTGGTATTCCTGCTGCTCTTACGAGAACGACCGGTTTATGCGTTTCGAGTTTTTCTTCCCTCCTTGTTGCGTTCTGTAACTTCGGACCCTGATTGTTTACTTAAACAACATGGTCTTTCGCTTTTTGTTATCGTTGTGCATACAGCACGGAGAGGGGATTGAACCCGATGGCATTAAACGGGTTAAACGAGTAGTACCAGATGGTAAGTTCGAAAGGCTCACCGGGGTAGGGAGGGGTTTCAATGATCTTCCTATCTGCTATCTCGATGTTGGGTTGGTGGCAGCAGACGGGTGCAGTAGCTGGTTGGTGGCGAGTGGCTAGGCCTGTGAGACGGATACCTGTTGGCACTCTGGTTTCTGGGGCGAGCGCAAAACGCTATGGAACCCGGTGAACCCTTCGTCCAGGGTTGAAAGGCATAAGGGAAGGGATATTCCAGGTGACTTAACACTACGCCACTGCAAGATTAGGGACTGATAAATGCGGCGCGCTGCTCGCATATATGATAGTGATGGTGTGCGGGAGGGACGAGGAGTGGTAGATTTGTTGGTGTGTACCGTATGACGTTGCCTGTCGAGATTATACTTACATATGTCTCTTAAGCTCGTTTTTGAATGTTATAGCAAGTTAGCTGGTACCATGGCAAGCATTGTGGGTAGTGTGATTAGCATCGGATGTAGGTGATAATGGGTTGGCAGAAACAGAATTCGAGAATTGCAGTGAAGAACTGAAGTTGGTGCGTTGCGTGTTTACGACACTTGCATCCAAGGGCTTCCATTGACAAGACGCGATGAGAGTTGTTGATGGCCAGGAGTACTCTCGTTGACAAGCCCAGTGTCCAGCCCTACATCAACTTTCTATACACACACACACACAAAGTTAAGCTAGTATGCGACAACGACAAAAGTACGTTTTTCGACAATAACGCTTCCGGGCCAACGTCGCATATACCATAACGTGTATGTACTATAGCTACAATCTAGGGCTAATAGTACATACGCGTTATGATATATGCGACATTAGCTTGGAAGCGTAATGGTACTTTTGTCGTCGCTACCGTCAAGTTGACCATATGAAGGGTAAATGAACCTCGGCATCTTTCGGCAACTACGACAAAAGTACGCTTCCAAATCAACGTCGCAAATACTGATCTAACCATGTATTGATAGGTACGGCTTAAGGCTATTAATACTTATACATATCGATATATGCAACGTCCTGGCGGTAATGATAACTTCGAATGCCGTACTTCTATCGCCGCATCAAGTCGGCGTCAACCACGCAACGATACGGCAGCGCTCCCAGACTACCGTCGCATGTATCATTCCGTATGTTCCTAGATGTTGGGGAGCGTTGTCGTCAAAAAACGTACTTTCTGGTTGTCTGGCACCAGCTCAGAATTGTGTGTGTGTGTGTGTGTAAAAGTGATGTGGGGCTGGACACTGGGTTTGTCAACGAGAGTACCGCGCCGTTGTGGAAAAGATAAGAATAAGGGTCGTTAACCGTGTCGGCTATCGAGCCAAGAGGTTTCCCGCCGTCCGCCACGAGGAGGGGGTGTCGGGGGTGTTAGGGTTTGAGATTACATTAACGCGAGGGTTAAGGCCTTTAGTGTGTCGATTCGCACTTTAGTTTCGACTATGTTGCTATCGCGACTGTTGTTGCACTGCAGTAGCTTTTGTCGACGTTTTACAATGTCATTTTCCAATTCGATTAGCTGATTTTTATTCGCGGCTATCTTAGTGAGGGTTTTCTTGGGTTCCTTGGGTTCAGGTGAATCGACAACATTCGCTAGGTGGAACTCTAGTTTGTTTGGTCCCTTTAACGAAGGCTAGGCATATGCGTCGTATGGAATCGATGAGTGGCCGCGTAGAAGGCTGAAGAATGCGTAGGCGTCAGCCTAGGTATTGTCTAACGGGGTTCTTGTTATTGTGACATATACATTGAAGTTGGGTCGTATGTCTTCCATGGCGGCGTATGTTCTACTTTTGGGATTATTGATTGCATGGATATTGGTAAACTCGTCCAACTTCAAGTTTCTTTCTAGGTCGGGGGGATATGACGCTCTCGCGCGGCCCTTATTAAACTCGTCCATGCGCCGCGGACGAGTTTTGAAGTTGAATCTGGGAAGCGAGATTGTGTACCGATGCCAAGGCCAAGTCCTTTGTGAAATCAAGTTGGTAGTGTGCGGTGCGAAGGGGCACGTATAGATGAGACCGAGGTATGACCAGAAGCTGCAAACTGCGCTGTTTCAAAACACACACGACTCGTATTTAGCCGGCCACCCAGGATGAGAAGGCACTATCGCGATACTGTCTAGGCAGTTTTTCTGGCCTAGGGTGGCAGGGTTCGTGGGCAGATTCTCAAGGATTCTTCGGCTGACCGTGTCGAGTGCAGTCTTCTAGGCTGAAACCGACGCTTGGGTTCCAGCATCTTGGATATCTAGATTGGGTTCTGCAACCGTGGACAAGCCTTCAGGCTTTGCATTCCTATGCAAGGGTTTGACTTGTCAAAAGTAAGCCCGAAGTGACGTTTACTGGTTTGGAAGGTTGGGTAATGCCAGATAGCCGTAAGGATAGCGTCTAGTGGACCGGAAGGCTTGTTGAGCAGACTTATGTCATAGTCTGGTCCAAGCAACTCCTGGAGCTTGGAGAGTGAGAGTGAGAGTGTGGTGTTTTGTGTTTGATATTGTTTCTGGATCGTCCCGGCTTCTCTACATGACAGCCAACATCGAGTCAGCACCATATAAAAACACAATGACTGGAAAGGTTTGGGAAGGGAAGGCTTACTCGTGCAGCTGGCGCCTCCGTCTTCCTAACTTGGTGAAACTGCCTCAGTCTGGTAGTCGTCACCTTTGAAGTATCTACTCGAGCACGTTTCCTGGTTTTCGTGAGTCTCGGAAACTTATGCACGTAGTTGGCACCTGAGTGTCCAGTACGACTGGATAGGCATTCCGTAACGCAAGGTTCTGAAGACGAAGTTGATAGTAGGCGAAAGGGGAGAGGGTGCTCATGTGCAAGGTTGAGGGCAGTAGAGGATGGTGTTGGGGGTAAGTGTCAATACGTAATGTTTCTTTCCATATCTGAGTGTCGCACACGCTTTGGTTGTACGAGGAAGAAACCCGGATGGTTGTAGGGGCGCTCTGGTCGTCGAGCTGAATTGAGCATAGCTGGTGTTGAGTAGGTATGATGTATGCAATTTGGAAGACAGTGGTGTTCAGTCCTGATCAATCATGAGATCAAGTTACCTTCTGGTATTCGGATGAAGAAGAAGAGTAATCTCGTTGGAGGCTGAGGCCAAAAGACAGTAAGGCGATACTGGCCTGTCACAGTTGAGGTTCGTGTTGAGCAGTTGATATTGAGTGTGGAGAGAAGTCGCTTGTATGGTATAATGTATCGGAGGAGGAGACGAAGCACCAGTAGTTTTGCATGTCTTGCGGTACGTAGTGTAGCCTAAGATGGTCTTCGAGTTGGTGGATGGTATGTAATCCCTGACTCGTGTCTTTGGCTGAAAGCTGATGTCGCATGAAGAGTAACCAGTGTTGGTGGTGGATTTGAATCTCCCTCGAAAGAGGTGCCTATAGTCCTCGTCCTACGAACATGTGAGAAAATAATGAAAGTGGCAACACCGGTTTCTGAGCCCAGCTGTCCATACCATGTGGCGTGCAGCTGGTTCAAGCATGTTGATGTTTGCCCACAAAGTCGAGGGAGATGGCTGGGTTGATGAACTCAACAACGGGGGGAGAAAGTAAGTCGCCTGCAGAGCGAACTTTCGGGCCTAACCAGACCTATGTATCTAGTTAGTTGAGTATGCTGTAGTAGAATTCCTGGCAAGAATGTGAAGAGAGTGATGTATGTTACTTGAGCAATGCTTAAGTTCGGCGGTGAGGCCGAAAGTATGCAGCTCTTCAGTTTGGTTGCATCGAGAAAGGTGCAAGTTGCTTGGGTTGTCAAGGGTCGGCGCAAGTTGAAGGTCGAGGCTCAAGGTAAGTAGTAGTTGTAATGGCCCAAGAGCGTGACGCTGTCCCTCGACGTGGTGAGTCTGACGGACCGTATGTAAACGCAGGAGTATGAGTATGTCGTTGTGCAGCCAAGCTAAAATACGGGGTGCTTGTTTAAGTGTACACCAATGAACGGCTTATATACATGCTCCGACACTCAGAATGGAATAGTCAATCGATGTGGTTTTCGGCAGGGAGACATGCACCAGCTTGCGCCCCCACGGATAGGTTGGAGGTGTCGTGTTCCGAGTAAGGCCTCAACGAAACTTGAGATGGCATTCAGGTGGGATGAAGTCGTACATGGTTACATTGCTGGGGCTGAGAGCCTGGCTATACTCTTGTTTGTTTGTTTGTTTTGTATTTAACGTGGGGGGTAGCTCCTCAGTAGTGCAAACCACGCCTCCCAGAGCCATTGCATCGCAAGGTTGTAGAGGTGTCAAATTAGATACATTCAGATCCGCGCACGAGCCTATCCTCGCTGTAGCGGTACCAATCTGGAGTGTTCAGATGGTTTTAGTCAATATCCAAGCACGATTCCGTCAGAAAAACCTCCTGCCTAGTGACAAAGCGACCCAGTGAACCTCAGTTCTCTGGTGTACATATCGTTCCAGTAGCCGTTCGATATATGTCGCATTGGTGGGTGGAGGAGTAGGTGTTTGTTATCTGCTGGCGAGGGAAACCACAAGGGGGAAAACCTCGCAGGAGTGGGTATTATGGAGACAAGCTGCTTGGCTATCAGGCTCTGCGATAATGGGGCCTCTCCACTGTCATGTGCTGGTTGTCGACTCGCACAAGCCGGGTCAGAAAGGGGGCCATAGCAGGATTCGAACCCACTTGTTCTCGTCGCCCACCGCACAAACGAGAACACAACCAGGCGCATTTGACCATTGCGCCATACGGCCCTGGCTATACTCGTTCCTTTGAGTTCGCTGCCATACTCGAGGCTTGATTGGAGTGAGGCTGTCTTTCTGCACACAAAAGGGGGTGTGCAGCCCATATGTGGGTGGCTGCAAATGCGTTGCTGATACTCGGTAACAATCAGCACCGCATGTACCCAAGTACCGTCCTTTGCTTCGTGCGCTGAAGATAAAGGTCCTAATTGGCGCCACCCACGCGGCTGTCGTTGCCTCTCAGCTCAGGGTGATGGGTGCACCACCTATGTATGTAGTTGCTCGAGCCCCGCTGGGTAAGGTCTACAAATGTTGTGAAACAGGCCACATACATTTCAGGCAGTGGTATGAACTCCCCCCAAGCTTGGAGTACAGGTGGAGTCTCATAGGACAAGTGAAGTGCTGGATCTAGTGATTTAGTCTCCAACGCACAAGCTTCTGCCAGGTTGCCGCTTTCGACCTTGGCAACATCTGCTGGAAGTATGTATATACTTGAGAGTTCGTCGCGGAGGTCGAAATTGGTATCGTGAATGCATTCGTCTCGGGAGATAGGTGCAGCTGCAGCAAGAACGTGATGTGCAAGCTGAAATGAGCTGAATGAAATGCTGTGTCACTATCCCCTGGATCCACGAGCCCGTAGCACAATGAGAGATACACGGTATGTCGAGGGAATGCCTGTTGTGATGATATGGGTCGCAATACAAGTGCGCAGAGGAGTCTTGGTATCGTTCGGTTCAATTCGAGATTAGACTCGGAGTGATGTGAAGGCCTTATGTTGCGCCTTGTAACACTGAATCCCTCATTGCAGGGTCATATTCGTGGCACCAGGGGCGATCCTTGAAGAGGTTATGACCCCAACTCTTCCGAAAGCAGAACAAACATTCTTGTTTTCCCCAAGGCTCGCTGACAGAGGCTTTAGCATGACCGATCGGACGCCTCGATGTACATCATTCGAAGTTCAGAGATGTTATTGACACTCTACCTACTTCAACCCTCAACCTGCCACGAATATACCCCCAGTGCTCAAACTTGATGTTCGCGTCAATACCCTAGCCACAAGGGTATCAATAGTCTACCGATATTCGACGGGACAGTCCGAGGCGAATGCGACATATGGAAGCGTTTCACTTTGCGAACTAGATCCTCCTTTTTCGTCATCTACTTTGTGAGGGACCAACCACACATCAACGACGAACGATAGCAAGATGGAACCAATACTTGCCACCGCCCATACCAGGACATCGTTGTCCTCAATCGGCAACGATACAGCGTCGCCTAGCTTCGTGACGAGTATAGTTGCGACATGGGGACATACCGAAACAACTGAAATGGCGAAACCAGGGACGAGCACTACGACACCGAGCCAAATCCCACAAGCGCAGCCCACGACGATGACCATGACAGCGCCGATGAGGCCGACCTGACGACCACCAAAGCAAACACTACCCCGAGCATCGCGCACGACCAGGGCGATCACGTGGGGACACATATCGGCATCGGCATCTCAGCAGGAGTCGTGTTCTCAGCGCTGTGCCTCCTAGTCGGGGTTTACTGGCGCAGGAGGATATCACCAGTGGGACGCATCGCCGAGCTCGACGGCGGGTGTGTTCCTGCAATCGAGCCTGCCACCCGACCTTCTCATCGCGAGTCTAAGATCATTGGAGATATCCCTTGGGCCACCGCGAAGCCGGTGATGCGGCATTCGAGTTCGAAGGTCCGGATTCTTGGCCCGGATGTGTCGTTCCTCGACTTGACGCCGTCGGAACCAGATGTGGACACCACTGCGTGAGGATGTCAGATTGTTCGTTTGGTGGTGCGCGTGTTTGCCATCAGGGATACATCACTCAACTTGTAACCCCCCACCAGTGTCCAACTTCCGACTCAGCCTGTCCAAGAGGAGGACAACCGAGCTTCAACTTCATCGGGTTGAGGTGGGCAGTTGTTGAAGATGTAACTTACAGTACGAATCATGGCGTAGAAGACGCGAGGAATGCTGTCAAGTTTGGGGGGTACCAAGGATATTATTAATGAGACTTGCCCACATTCCATCCCCGCGTCGCACTATCCCCCGCAACGAAGTGAGGGCGTGTCTTATCTCCGATATCGCCGAGCAATCTGCAGCCCGGGGCGCCACCACTTGAATGCGGTTTATCTCGAAAGCACGTCTCGTCATTCCTCACTCGACCTGCCAACACCCGTGACAAAGGCGAGGGGTGCAGACCCGTAACACAATAAGATGACCCGCACATTAACAAACAAGATGCCTGCGAAGCGGAGACGTGCCGACGCCGACGAGGCCTCCCGTTCGACGACATTAAAGCGCGCCCGCCACACCGCTTCACCAGACCTCTTATCGCCTCTATCCGACGAGCTGCTCGTGCGCATCTTGTCGCTACTCCCGCTGCCCGACCTCCTTAACGTCTCGCCGCTATCAGATCGCTTCTACCACCTGTCCGGCGACTCGCAGATATGGAAGCGCTTATACTACTCCCGATTTGTCCTGCCCCGCGCCCTCCGAATACCCGGCTTTCGCGACGGCTCTGCCAGGGAGGGAAAGCTACACTACTCAGCGCGCAAGGCGATATGGGCGGATGGCCGGAGAGGTGGGTGGGTGGACATGCGCAATCGCGAAGACAAGAACTCGCGCGACTGGAAGAGGCAGTACAAGCTCCGACATAACTGGTCGAGAGGGAAGTGCGCCGTCGAGGAGCTGCATGTTGGGCAAGACACGGCGCTCTCGGACATGGAGAGCTCGCAGAAGATGTTGGTCAAGGTCTCGGAAGGTCTGGCTGTCACCGCAGACGCCGCGACTGGCCTGCGGGCTTGGGATCTGAAGACGAAACAACTACAGGCGCAAATCGGCCTGGATGAGCTCGATTCATCCGCCATACCGAGCTGCATCGCAATAGACGATCACGATGTCCAAGAGAAGACACTGAATATTGCTATAGGCTTTACAGATGGCAGTTTTGGCATATGGAGGTTGGATACCAAAGAACGGAGAATAATGCGGCGGTATCGCCACGAAAAGTCCAGCAATGGTAAACTGGCGGGGATTGCTTTCTCGTACCCTTATTTGCTCACCGCTACGAAATCTGTTCTTATATCCGTATATACCTTTGAAGGATCTCCGAGCGAGGCCGAGAGCGAAACCGCGCGGGAATCCGAAAGTGAAATTGCACAGGAACTCGAAGGCCAGACTGAGGACGAAAGGAGATATGGTCATTCAAGGCCCAGGATACGCGCGGAGAAGTCAAAACCAGGCACAACACTCCAGGTTCCCTACCTCTTGACATCGCTGAAGTCACATACTTCAAGAGCCCCACTAGCATTATCGCTGAGGAAGACGTCCGGAAGTACGGTTGCGTCGATCGCATACACATTCTCCACGCTTCAAGGCTGGTCTCTGGGGATCCAAGACCTACACCTACGGGCTCCTGCGTCCAGAGTTGGGAAATCGACCCCGGAAATCACGACCACCCGCCTTGCGTACACCCTGCCAGTCAAAACAGCATCAACACATATACCCTCGCCGCCGACCTCACCCGCTCGATACATGGGCTCGTCAACAACCTCGACGACTTCCCGTGACGACGTAGTTGACGGCCCGATCAGCTTATGCTACACCCATCCCTACCTACTCGCAACGTTGCCCGACAACACGCTGATTCTACACCTCTGCACGTCCAACGCGTCGTCACTGTCGATATCACCGGGCATCCGACTCTGGGGTCATACCTCGGGCATCAGCGACGCGGAGATAACAGCGCGCGGGAAGGCCGTCAGTGTCAGCTGCCGCGGGGAAGAAATTAGAGTATGGGAGTTGGAGGGCAGGGCGAATGGAAGCAGTATAGAAGTCAGGCCGACTGTCAAGCCCGTAGAAGATGAAGGCGATGAAGAAGAGGCAGCGGTTCGCGATGGTCCGGCTGCAATGAGGTGGAATGAACGCCGGAACTGGGTCGGTTTTGATGACGAGATGGTTATTGTGCTCAAGGAGTCTCGGGAAGGCAAGGAGAGCCTGATGGTCTACGATTTTACTTGAGATACCTACCACGTTGTATGAACGAAGAGAATTGCAACACAAGATACCTATTGGATGGGATAGTTCTATGGCTTCGCGATTCACGAAGGCCACCCTGATGGAGTGATGCCCGACAGGTCCTCTTCCAACAACCCCATCATGTAATTATTACCCGAGAACCAGTCGCCCAGCTGATTCGTCTGCGCTATCGACCGCATCGTCTGGTCGTCGACGCCCATACTACTATCCATACCATCCGACGGCGCCATGCCCCCACCACTCCTAACACCGCCACCACTACTGGGAAGCTGCTGCGAGTAGTCCACCACGGGCGGCATGAACCCCAGCTGGCTGAGGTACAGGTCGAACTCGGTGCTCACGCCGGGCATCATGTCGTGGTCGGCCGTGTTGGGCTCCCGCAGAGCCTGGGCCTTCTTGGCCTCGACGTACAGCGTCGCGATGTTGTGCAGCACCAGGCACAGCTGGTACAGCTTGTGCACCGACGGCGAGACGTCGACAGCGGGCTCGAGCGACTGCACGAAGTCGGCCAGGCGCTGCAGGTCGTCGTCGGCGCCGTCGCCGCCCGCCGTCTCGATCACGAGGCAGAAGATCACGATGAAGGGGATGAAGGGTGCGTAGAGGATCGTCCTGTTTTCGGGTGGTTTGTTTTAGTCAGTGGTGTTGGCTCGCAGAAGAGTTGCGCCTCTCACGGATCCTTGGGGGGTGGGGGCCCGGGGGGATTGGATGGGTGTGAGTGTGAGTCGGACTGTAAAAGTGGGATACGTACCAGTGGATATACACAATCTTCAACGACTGATCATCCATCATCTCCATGGCCTCTTGGTGGCAGCGCATGCTCCTGCGCGCCATATCCACACACTCATCACAGAAAGTCATCGACCGGCCCCCCGGCGCCGGCGGCAGCGCCCGATACGTCAGCGTCAGGTTCGACATGTACGAGACCTCGTCGCTCTTCAGCGTCAGCGCAAACATGCGGCCTTCGGCATCGGTCCTGAGTTCGAACTCGCGCAGCAGCCTGTCGCTCTCGGTCATCAGCCGGTGCTGCTCGGCGGCCAGCACGGCGGCCTGCTCGCGGCGCGCCGCGTCGGGCGCCCGCAGCGCGCCCGGGCTGTACAGGCGCTCGTAGATGCGGCCGAGGGCCTGCGCGTGCTGGATCCACAGCGCCATGACCTCCTTGCCCGGGTACGCGGCCTTGGCGTCGGGCACGACGTGCGGCAGCGAGATGTCGTAGTCCTGCATGACGGAGGCGCGGCCCAGCCGCAGCGACAGTGCCTTGTCCAGCATGTAGACGCACCAGAAGAGCAGCGACTTGTCGGCCTTGGTCTGCGCGTCGTCGTCGCGCATCGTGTGCGCCTGGTGGTAGCCGAGCGTGCGGCACATGTGCGTCGCGCGCGAGACGAGCAGCCAGGCCAGGGAGGCTCGGGATACATCGATGCAGAAGCTGGCCTGGGGCGCGTGCGCGTCAGTCAGTCTATAGGGGTCGTGATCTTTGGTGCGAAGCGAAAGAAGCGATGGCTGAACTCACCCCCATGAGTAGCGCCTCAATGTGCTCGGCTGTGGCCGGCATCATGAGGTTCATCTGCGCAAGAGCTACTTCCAAATTGCGCTGGCACATGTCGCGGCAGGCATCATACTGGGCCTTCTCCTGCGGGTTGCGATCCGCGGCCGCCAGTGCAGCCTCGAAGAATACGTACGTGAGGCCCGCGTTGACCAGGATGAAGGTCGACTCCGGCGGATCGTCCGTGCTGAAGTACAGCCGCCGGCACCGATCGATGAAGTTGTCGATGTCCGTGAAGGAGTACATTCTATTAGAAGTCTAGAGTCAGTGACTTCTCCTTTTAGATATTTTGACGAGCAATAAGGAATCGTAATGCGTGTTTCGGGAGCAAGGCTCTTGTCACAGTCCAGGAGAGGAAATTCGCCCCCAAGACATGTCCATAAGGGGCAATAGGAGACTCTAAAAGATACATACACAGCTAGCATGACAGGCACAGGGCCGTCTGTATATCGGGGGTGAGGTGTCAGCTGCACGTTACTAATGTTCACTAGAGTCGCGTCGAGACCGACGGTGTAGACGAGAAGACGGAGCGGCGTGACGTACGTTTCATCTCCCTCAACTTATCCACAACCATGGCCATGGGCGGCAGTGGGAGATCCCGAAGGTTCGTGTGGGCAAAGTGTTTCTGGCTAGGCCAGCGGCTCTCCCAGAGGAACGAGACATCCGTATCGGAACGTGGGCGGTTCTGGTTCTTCTGCATGTCGACGAGCTGGCGTAGCGACTGTTTTATATGTCAGTGATGAGAGATGTTACCATCGCGAGCAGATCTTTTTTTTTTTTCTTCAATAAGAACTTGATGAGTTGGAAGCACAAATGCATAGATGCAGAGATGCACACAGAAAGCGACCGTTCACGAGGGGCCCGTGAAGATGACGGCACGAGTGTCACCGCTCCCACGTATCAACGAAAAGGGGCAGAAAGCAGCATGAGGAAGTAGGAAGCCACCTACATCAAGCGCAGCATCAATCTTTGGATTCAGCGGTCCCCCATTCCTCAACGAAGTCCTCTGCACAGCATCGGCCAGGAACTCGGACGCGAACGCCGTATGCGCAGCCAGGGACGAGTTTCCCTCAAAGCTGTCCGCGTCCTCGGGGTCGAAGATGGTGGTGCTCTTGGTCGAACTAGCCGCTTCCGTGCCGCCGTCGCCACCTCCACCGCTGGCGGCGCCACGGCCCCCGGAGGACGTTGCCGGCGTGAGCTTGTCGAAGGTGGGGCCGGAGCTCCGTGAGAAAGTGGACGTCTCGGAGGACTGGCGTGGAGCTGTGGACGGGACGGTTGGTGGTTGTGTTTGTCGGCCTCCTCCTGCTGCTGCGGCTGTCGCAGCCGAGTTCAAGCCCAATGGCGTGGATTGGGCGGCTAGGTTCCGTAGGAGGGCCTCGATGGAACTGAGGCGGACTTCGATCTGGTCTATCTTCCGCTCACTTCATGAAAAGGGGGTATGTCTGTTAGTCACTACTACCCCATCACCACGTATGTACGGGCCTAGCAAAGGGGTAGCCCTCCAGGGAGATGAGCAGAAGGGCCAAGGCGACGCAAGAGACAGTAGGGGATAGACAAATATAAGGAGAGACGTGAGCCCTGATACAGAGACTACATGCATACGTACTACTGGCTGGAAATCAGAACCCGCTGCCGTGGCTCCTTGGGCCTCTGGCCAGCGCCTGTGGAACAACATGAGCGCTTGGCGCTGCGGCAGTTGGAGCAGGGCGACTCTTTGTCACAGCGGATCTGTGTTCGCATGCGTCAACAAGTGTGTGTACATGAAGGGCACCCGGGAGCAGTAGGTACAGAGCCCAGAATGGTACCTAGGCGGCGGTTGGAAGTTGAAACTGAAACTTACCTTCCTCAGCCTGCATTGGTCGCACTGTTCCGAAAGCTGTCAGCAAGCCACATACATACATGAGGCATCGCACAGCGTAGGCGAGGGAGATCCGGCCGTTACATGCAGGTGAGCACTCCCACGGGGCCGCGGACGCCGGGCTAAGACTTACAGCGCGTCGGCTCGAGGTCGAGGGAGGCGACCCGCCGGTCGACTCGGCCGCATTGGCGTCCATTGCGCAGTCGTCGGTTCGTCGGAGCCAATCGCGCAATCGCAATCGCAAGTGTATGGGCTGCAAGACAAGAAAGAGAACTCAAACGACAAACAACAACCAACAGATAATACTGCGCATTCTCGTCAATATCCGATTAATTCAATGGTATTGCGCGTTGCGTAAAAGTGCTTACCAACATGAAGTCCCGTCTGGAAGGTAGACGTTACAGGACGGTGCTGCTGGGCCGCTCGGGGGCCGCAGAGTCCGGGTGCGCCGAGTGTGCCGAGTGCGATACGCAGCCCCTATCCAAGTTCAGGCACTCTGTCCATTCTAGACATACGAACATTCGAATCTGTTTTTGAGTGTAATGAGATGTTACTTGCCTATATGAGTACAAATCAAAAAACTATTCATATCCATTATAATCGCACTTGCGGGTTGGAAAGACGTGCTCTGCTCGGTTGGGTCTGGCGTACTGTGTAATAAACAAATTTGTTGCCATGAGCTGGCAATGTCGTAGAAACAGGAAACAAGGGCCATATGCAGCAGAACATACCGAAATCGTGAGTTTCGTTGGCTGTGCTATTAAAGTATAGCTCGCAACAAACAATAGAGGCCTGTTGTGAGCCATGTGTGCATAGTGAGTAAAGGAGGTAGCTACCAAGAGGTTGCATCCCCCCACTTCTAGGTGTTTTTACTTCTCTTGTCGAAGGTGTCCATTCCTTGCTCCCTACCGTTCTTCTATTTATATACACAGCATCGTTGCCCGCCGGACGGGCCTACCCCGAAAACACCCAGCAATCTAGTGTTGGGCGAACTACGCGGTGCCCCGTCTCTCGACCTCCAACTCTTGCTCCGCCCGTCTGTAGTATTTGGCGGTGTCGACACCGTGCTGGTTGTGGTTGACGAAGTTGAACCACGGTAGGACGGCCGTGAACAGAGCCGAGTATCGCGACTGCCGCGCGGCGACACCCTGCATGTGCGGCGTCAACTTGCTCTCTCCGTACAGCGGCTCGCCGGCCTTGACCTTGGTCACCATCTCCTGCATGTCCATCTCGACCTCGCGGGCGTTCTCGCGCATGCCGTAGAATCTTACTGTTAAGCGGGTTTGAATAAGCGTTCGCTTCCTCTTCTGGGGATCATGATCGAGGGCAGAGGTGCCAGATGGACGCGTATAAGAGATGACACGTACAGGCTGAGCGCTCGTAGAAGTATAGGAAGCCACCAATGGCCCCGATGACACCGGTGAGTCGCATGGCCTGTGCAAAGCCTCCCCGACCGGCGTGTGAGGGCGCGAGCCTCTCCATCAAGAAGAGCAATGTTGGTCCTCCAGCGGCAGCCGCCACACCATGCGCGTAGTCTGATGGTCGGGCATATCGCATCACCCTCTTGAAGTGTCTATATCCGGTACACGGTTAGGAGAAGGGGGCGCGCGAGCAGCGAGCTGCGGACTCTGGGAACGAGACGTACGGGTCATTGTCGATGAGCTGTCGGGCAGTTGAAGTTAGCATAGGGCCCCGAGAGTAACGCGGGGATCATTTGGGCTGGAACGTACAGGAAAGTCGCTTCTGGCGACCTTACTGGTGACGTAGGTCGGGTTGGTGGTGGTGGTGTTGGTCGCCATGGTGTGCCGTGTCAATTGGGCTGCCCAACAGCTTCGATATGTAGCTCAATCATTCAAATGAGGTCGATGTTGAAGCTTCGAGATCGCGAAGTCCAATAAGGCCGTTAGGTAAGCGGCTTTTCTTCGGGCTGAACTCGAACCGGGTAGCAGAGCTATGACCACGTCTGCACCACTTACGTAGACAGGGACAATGATGAACCCACCAACACGGCCGGGGGCAGACGCGTCTCCAGCTTCGCGGCGCGTCTTTCATTGCATCCATCAACAGCTTCCATCTACGGCACACTCGTCAACCCCGACTTTACTTGTTCATACCACACACACCTCTGTCTAACACAATGGCACCAAGTACGGCGGCTAAAAAGACGTCTTTGCCGAGTAGAGCATTGAGTAATGCTATTGACGAGTACGACGTCGACGATGATCCGTTCGCCTCTGAGAACGATGAAGCCCCGAACAACGGCAAGGCTAATGCCAATTCTAACGCACAATCCAAGAAGAGGAAAGATGACTCTGGTCTCGGAATCGACGAGGAAGTAGCTGTAGCCAAGAAACCGAGAGTACCCAACGTCAAACTCGACGAATCCCGGTTACTCTCGGAAAAGGGCATACCAAGACTGCGAAGAAAGGCGCGCGACCTCAAGTTCAAGGGCAAGGGACACGAGGCAAGCCCCTGACTCTAGGCGCCACCATGGTAGACTCTAACTACTATGCCTAGTTCTCCGACACTGCCAGGCTCCTCTCCTTCTACCAACTCTGGCTCGACGACCTGTTCCCCAAAGCCAAGTTCCTCGACGCAGTGGCTATGGCGGAGAAGATGGGCCACAAGAAGTACATGCGGATCAAGAGACTCGAATGGATCGACGAAGGCAAGCCCAAACCAGCAGTACATGCCGATCAAGACGACCTCTTTGGCGAGGCGAACCAGACGGAAGAACGAGAGCTGGCCAGGTTTCCTGCGCGCGTTGCGCCATTGTTCGCAGCTAGGGCAAGTCAACGACCCATGACACCGGCTGGAGACGATCCATTCGCCGATGAGGACATATATGATGCTACGCCGAGACGACCGACGACCACCAGACCTGCTACGAACTCGATGTTTGGCAATGGAGGGAGCGCAGAGCATGGTGGAGAGCCTGATGAGGACGACTTGGACGCATTAATGGCGGAGGAGGAGGCACAGCGAACAGCGCCAAAACCGTTTTTGGGAAATGGCACGACAAGTCGATTACGAGATGAACCAGACGAGGACGACTTGGATGCGTTGATGGCCGAGGCCGAGGCCGAAAGACAACAACCACAGCTGCCAAAGCAGACCTCCAAGCCAAATGCTTCGAAACAGGCACAACCTACACACGAAGATTACGATGACGACCTGGACGCGCTGATGGCCGAGGAGGAGGCACAGCGTACAGCGCCGGCGGGCCAGCTCTCCGGGGGCGGCGAGAGGAGTCAGCAACCGCGGGATGAGCCAGATGAAGACGATTTAGACGCATTGATGGCCAAGGCTGAGGCCGACGTGCAACCGAAGCAGGTTACCAAGAAGGCTCCAGAGCCCGCACGGCCGGCAGTGGAGGATTACGACGATGACTTGGATGCACTGATGGCAGAGGAAGAAGCGCAGCGAACAGGACAGAATTAGGAATAGGAGGACGGATGATAATAGAAATGAGCGAAATATAGTTCAGGTATATACTAGGCTCTACCTACTGAGACTCCGTAGTATGCTACATATGCAGCAGAATCACCCACTCAGGAGGTTAGCCTCTTAAGGGGAAGCTATAGAGAGGCGACGGAACATATCCATAGTCTGTGCCATTATAGCTTCATAACAACGATAATGGGGCAAACAAGATGCCTATGTAATATGACGCATCCGTTCCCTTTGCTTGGAGGTACCTGCCATGCTCGATACCGTAGCTACGAGCATACCCATATGCATTCCCTCACATTCTTTTCCGTGATCTGTCACGATTTATATAAGCAGTCCTATGAAACGCACCTACATGTGTGTGCAAAGTTGCAAGCTGGCTTCCCTGTGAGCTTCTTACATACATAGCTGTCAAGGGGTGGGGTCTAAGTATGGTATATTAATTGCGTTCTTCGTGTAGCCAAACGAAAGACCGCCAAGCATCTCCGCATTCATGTAATCTTATAAAGAGAGACTGCTAATACCTATATGCGAGGCACTCCTGATGCCATGAACCTCCAAGTAGATGTTGTTGAAGATTGGGAAGCGGTGACGTTTTTGGCGGGGTGCCCCCTCCAGCACCTGCATCCACTGACGGCGCTAAGATCTGCCGCCGTTGCACTGCCTGTACTCCATCCTTAGCAGGGTCTTAAAAAATACGATTGGTATTCGTACTTAAGTATCGTATCGTATCATATCGTATCGTATCATATCGTATCGTATCGTATGGGATTTCAATACTATGTAGTATACTATATAGTATTATATATTTTAATAAAATTTACTTGTTTTACTTGGAACACCTTTTAATGCTAGTTTCATATATTTATATTTAATTATTTTAAGTTTATAGAGATACTTAAATATCTTGATAAATTCAAATATAATATAACTATTGGTTATTCAATATTACATAAATATAATATATATACCTGGTATATAAACTTTATACGAAAGAATTATACATTTTATAAATAAATATTACGATGTTTAAAGCTTAATAGTTATTAAAATAATAATGATATCAAAAAACGCTTAAATACGTCTTTAATTATTATTTTTTCTCCTTTTAAAAACATATAAGTTATATTAAAAGTCCCTCTTTTACCCCCCTGTTTAGAACTATCGTATACGATAATATGGCTTCGTATCGTATCGTATGACCTAGATACGATACTAAGTATCGTATTTTAAGACCCTGATCCTTAGATTCGTTGATTCATTGACTTCTACATCTTCACTTCTGTATAACGCATGACAACGTGCTGAAGTGCCTCCCACAGCTCTCCTCTCTTGCCCGCTCGCATTCGAGCAGCTCAGGTCAACATGGCTTCTCCGGACCTGGTAGAAGCTATGCGCAAGCTCCACTTGAGCAGTCAACAGAGCGACGCTATTATCGACGACATCCTCTTCCAACAGGGACCTCGAAAGCGACAGAAGCAAGACCCCGCCGACCTGAAGGCAGATCTCGAACGCAAATTCCTCGAGCCCTCCAACAAGTTCTCTACCGAATGGCTCAACCGCCTGCAGCAGCGATGGGACTGCACCACTGACCTCGCCGAGCTCTTCCACATCGCGCCCACCCAGACCCGCACCGTGACGCGCTTTCAGAGACAGGCCCTGGAGGGCAGGGTCACCGGCTACAAGAATATCACCATCCCGGCGAACAGCGCTACCGCCAAGAACTCGACCTCGTTGATGCGCAAACCGGGAAATAGGACCGACTTCGTGCGCGGTGCTGCCGGCTTCTTCCCCTTCGCGCCCGGCGGTTTGGCAGGTGTCGAAGCTACTGCTGCCATGGAAGACAAGATGATGAGATCAACTGGTGTCGGGAACGAGGGATCACAGAACAAACTCGAGCGTGTCATCAAACTGGGTGGTGAAGGTGGATTTCTCGAGGTCGCCCCCGGTCTCACGCGGGGCATTGACTTCACCAGGAAAAAGTCGAAGGTCAACGAGAAAGAAGCCAAGGCGATCGAAGCAGAGCTTGACCAAGAACCCGAGCAAAGCCCAGAGAAGGAAGATGTCAACGGCAACGCGGATGCGGACGATGTAGAGGAGGAGGCAGATGAAGAAGATGAGGATATTGACGCTTTGTTGCCCATTGAGTTCCCAGCTTTGGAACCACATGCCAATCTCGCAGTATCGAGCGCTAGAAAGGCAGGTCGCGAATGGGCACACATGGTTGACATTAACAGGGGCATCAGCAATTTCCGCGAGCTTGTGCCAGATATGGCCAGGGAATGGCCCTTCGAGCTCGATACCTTCCAGAAAGAGGCCATATACCATCTAGAGAGCGGCGACTCCGTCTTCGTTGCTGCTCACACGTCCGCTGGAAAGACAGTTGTCGCAGAGTATGCTATTGCCCTGGCGGCGAGACATATGACGAAAGCTATCTACACCTCTCCCATCAAAGCTCTGAGCAATCAAAAGTTCCGCGATTTCCGGGAGACATTCGACGAGGTGGGCATTTTGACCGGCGACGTTCAAATCAACCCCGAAGCAAGCTGTCTGATTATGACCACCGAGATTCTGCGAAGTATGCTGTATAGAGGCGCTGATTTGATTCGGGACGTCGAGTTCGTCATCTTCGACGAAGTTCACTACGTCAACGACTTCGAGCGTGGTGTCGTTTGGGAGGAAGTCATCATCATGCTCCCGGAGCACATAACCTTGATTCTGCTTTCCGCGACCGTGCCCAACACATACGAATTCGCCTCTTGGGTTGGTAGAACCAAGCAAAAGGATGTATATGTCATCTCAACCCCTAAGCGCCCTGTGCCTCTCGAGCATTACCTGTGGGCCGGCAAGGATATCTACAAGATTGTTGATCCCCAGAAGAAGTTTCTCGAGAAGGGGTGGAAAGAGGCCGACCAAGCCATGCGGGGCAAAGAGAAGGTATTGCCGCCTCCAGCCGCTCGTGGAGGCGGCAATCAGCGGGGAAACCAGAGAGGAGGTAATCAGCGTGGTGGAGGTCAACAGCGTGGTGGACAACGAGGTGGTGGCCAGCAGCGCGTTCGGGGTGGTCCTCCGAGGGCTAGCCATGCCCCCGGACATATGGGCCGTGCTGGCCGTCCAGGCGGGTTCACGTCAGCTTCACAAGACAAGAATCTCTGGGTTCACTTGGTGCAATATCTCAAGAAGTCAACCCTATTACCTGCCTGTATCTTCGTCTTCTCGAAGAAACGGTGCGAGGAAAATGCGGATGCGCTTAGCAACCAAGAATTCTGCACTGCTCAGGAAAAGAGCCACATCCATATGATCATCCAGAAGTCCATTGCCCGACTGCGACCTGAGGACCGAGTGTTGCCGCAGATTATTCGTCTGCGGGAGCTTCTGAGTCGAGGCATAGCAGTACACCATGGAGGACTGCTGCCAATCGTCAAGGAAATTGTCGAGATCCTCTTTGCGCAAACCCTGGTAAAGGTCCTGTTCGCGACCGAGACGTTCGCAATGGGTCTAAATCTGCCGACTAGGACAGTGGTCTTTTCGGGCTACCGAAAGCATGACGGACACTCTTTCAGAAACCTACTAGCCGGCGAATACACCCAAATGGCTGGCAGAGCTGGTCGACGTGGGCTGGACACTGTTGGATCAGTCATCATTGTCCCTCCTGGTGGTGGCGATCAGGCGCCGCCAGTGGTTGATCTTCAGAAGATGATCCTCGACCCGCCTAGTAAGCTGCGGTCTCAATTCAGATTGACCTACAACATGATTTTGAACTTGTTACGGGTGGAAGCTCTGAAGATCGAGGAGATGATTAAGCGCAGCTTCTCTGAGCATGCCACTCAGCAGCTGCTTCCGGAGCACGAAAAGGCTGTCAAATTGTCAGAAGCCGATCTTGCCAAAGTCAAACGGGAACCCTGCAGCATTTGCGACGGAACTCTGGAGCAATGCCACCAGGCCTCTATGAATTACAAGCAACTGACTGAAGAGCTGTATAAGGGTCTTCTGAGCATAACCTTCGGCAAGAAGATGTTCTCTACGACTCGTCTCATAGTATTCAACAAAGACGGCGTCCGGACTACGGGCATTCTCTTGTCTGAAGGGGTTAGCACGAAGACTCTGGGTGGACAGCCGACGGTGCATGTATTTGAGATCAAATCTGGACGCGAAACTCGCGACTCGAGCGACCTCTTGCCGTTCATTCCTGCTTTCAGACCGCTACTGAAGCCCATCTCTCAACAGAAGAGATCCATCATCGGCAAGCCACTTCATGTACCGCTCAGCGACGTTGAGTGTCTTACCGGGAAGCTTGCACCTGGCATTGTGCCTGAATACTTCCAAATGCAGGAACTGAAGCAGAAAGCTAAAGAGCGAATGCTCAAGATTTGCCACACCTGGGAGTCGGAGATGTGGGACGAGATTAGTTTCTCCAAGATCAAGAGCTTGAGTCTACAGGATATCATCCAGAAGCGTCAGCAAGAGCTAGCAACCATAGAGGCAACGGCTACGACCAGTTGCCCGAAGTTTCTAAAACACGTAAGTCTATTCTTCACATTTCTGGGATGGAAGCTAACCCAAAACCAGTTCGCCATGTGTCATGACCAGTGGCTCATCAAGGAGCACATCTCCTCGCTTCGTCAAGCGCTCTCTGACCAGAATCTCCAGCTCCTCCCTGACTATGAGCAGCGCATACAGGTTCTCAAGGATCTGTCATTCATCGATACCGACGCTCGTATCCAGCTTAAAGGCAAAGTGGCCTGTGAGATACATTCGGCAGACGAGCTTGTCCTCACTGAGCTCATTCTCGACAACGTCCTTGCCGAGTACGAACCCGCGGAGATTGCCGCCCTACTATCAGCTTTCGTTTTCCAAGAGAAGACCGACTCTGTGCCAAACCTGACCGGTAATCTTGAACGCGGCATGAAGACCATCATCGAGATCGCCGAGAAAGTCAACGCGGTGCAGACGGAGCACCAGGTCATTCAGAGCGCGGAAGATAGCAACGACTTCGTCTCGAGACCCCGCTTCGGCCTGATGGAGGTCGTGTACGAGTGGGCGCGCGGCATGAGCTTCAAGAACATCACCGACCTGACGGACGTGCTGGAGGGTACCATCGTCCGCACCATCACGCGGCTGGACGAGACGTGCCGCGAGGTCAAGAACGCGGCGCGACTCATTGGCGATCCCGAGCTGTACCAGAAGATGCAGACGGCGCAGGAAATGATCAAGCGGGACATCACTGCGGTGGCTTCGTTGTATATGTGAACTTCACACTCAACGACGGGCTTGGTCCATTTGGCGATCCTTTGGAGTTCGGAGCTGCGCCTCATGGGGCACTTTGGCATATGGTGGGTTCGTATGAAGAATCAGAAAATTAGACCGGTGAGATGGTATGAGGAGATGGGAAAAGAGCTGGGAAGCGAAAAGGAGTTGGTTGTACGAGACATGAATCATGAAGATCACTTGACAGCATATGTCAAGACAATGTTAGGGGTTCTTACGGTAGTCAGACTGTAGTCGCAGTGGATCTCCCAATGGACATGACAATGTCAAAATGAATTGCTTTGATACAAAACGCTCAAAGCACATCACGAGCCAGTCCCCTATCCCGGCCGCACCCAGCGCCCGGGAATGCCAAAACAGAACTTGTCAAAAAGGAGAAAGCGGATAATCAATAGGTAGTGCCCCTGGCTATGCATTCCGTCTTCGTGGACTTTCGCGATGCCTGTCAGCATTTTTTCCGGGTTTTCTACTTCTGGTCACCAGCATCATGTCTTGTTGGGACACTGAGCATTGGCGGTACGTCAGGTACAATCACCCTCAAAAGTCTCCGCGGGTACCGTATCTCAAGATATCAAGACATGAACAACGTACCCCGTACCCGGAGCAAAGAATAAGCAACTTGGAATAAGCAGGTTTGAAGAAGAGTTCTGATATTTGCACCTTACCCAAGTCCCTTATTGGCACCTCAGTGGGGCCGCCCACCTGCCAGTCAGCTGCGACCCCTGTCTCACATGCAGCACGCCAACAACCTCTGCTAGGCTAGATGGCTACCACGACCGGGATATATATGTAGATGCCATACAATTTCAGATCATCATGTCCGTCACACCTGGATCACGGTAGCTGAACTGGATGGCCATCACGATCGGGGTTTGTATGTAGAGTCTACCATCCCCCCAATAGAAGTCGGACACCCCCACTAGTCGGACAGCCAAACCCCACCATCACCACCAAAACACCCCTTTATTCACAGAGATGTAAAAGAAGTCATTCAGATCAGAGAAATTCAGCAAAATTATCATTCGAGAGCGCTGAAGCTGCTCATTTGTACAATCTAGCGGGCGCCCGTATTGCGCGGCCGGAACGTGTCAACCTAGGCTGCTGGATGGCCTCCAAAGCGGCCTCTTCAGGGGCTTTATCCTCATCTTCCTCTTCATCCTCTGACTCAACAATTATCTCTTCTTATACCTCTGCAGGCGTTTCAGGGCTAATAGTACCTCCCTTAGACAAGATCTCTGTCACCGTTTTAAACTTCTTGTTAGGATTAGGGATCTTTTGCTGCTTCTTGGGCCGTAGCCGCTCCAGTTCAGCCTCCAGGGCTTTGATCTTCTGGGCTTGGATGACAACTTCCGTCTCCTTGGTCTCGAATGCGTTGGCTATCTTCCTGTACTTCAAGCGGGTGCCAGGGGATTTATTTTTGCCGAAATCCATGATCTCCCGACTTGTAGTAGGGGTCCGTTGGTCCTCTGGTTCAGAGCTTTCAGGGGTCTCAGGCTCAGGGGTCTTCTGCTTATCTTCCTGGATTTCTGGATGTGCTAGGCACTTCCTGTGGCTAATTGGATAACATCCAGTGGTTCTGAATCCAGAGAGGATGTTTGCCTTAATAAAAGCAGAAGTTCTTGCTTGGCTATAGCACCAAATGAAGTTGATCTTATTAACAGGCGAGGCATCCGTCAAGGAATTCAGCTGCGAGAGAAATTTCTGGTAGTAAGCCTTCAGGGCGTTATAGGGCCCGTTATCCAGGGGCTGCATGCCGTGACTGGTGTGGGCAGGGAAGAAACAGAGCAAGATGTTGGCGGAATAACACATGGTCATTAATTCGTCCTATTACCATGCGTTAGCCCGGATTAATTCCAAAAATTTGAAGGAAGTCTAAATAAAATAAGAAAAAATCATATACGTACAGAGGTGTGGCTACTATGGCCATCTAGTATCAAAAGAACAGCCTCAGACTGATCTTTTCCTCGTACCTTGTCTACCTGTGGGATGAACACGTCTTCTAACCACTGGCAGGCGATGTCATTGAAGGTCCAGCCGTTTTCTGAGCATATAAAATGCCAATCGGCGGTTTTTCAGAACTCCTCGATAAACCATTGGACTTGGAGGTCCTTGCCTTTGAAGATAATGCCCGGTTTGAGGATTTTTCCTGTGGCTGAGATGGCCTCGATGAAGGAGGTCTAACTGCGGTTCTAGGGGCTCTTCAGAAAGGATTTCTTGGTAACAGAACTACCCAGAACGAGAGAGTCGATACCTGTGAATACGATTAGAATTTTTCGGAATTCAAGAGGTAAATAGAGCTACCATAGCCCGCCATAATGCCGCCCTTATCGACATTATACGTGTTCTCTGGCTTCACCCAGCCGTAATCCTCGAGAATTTTGAAGAACCATTTAACTGCTTTAGGCGTTAACCCCTTAAAGCGCGCTGATTCCATCCTTTTGCCAATTTTGGTCTTTATTTGAGGGTTGTGGCGCTTGAAGCCCGCCATGAAGGTGTCTCCTAAAGGGCGTTCATCTCCCTTCTTTTTCAACAACTTTGTGACAATCTCACGAACTAGGGAGTGCGAAGGGGCTAGTCCTAGCTTCTCCTAACGCAAAATCCATTCGACTATAGTGGTTTCTTGAGCAGGGGAGAGTCTCTGTGCTGCGTGTGGGCTTCGGCCCTCGTAGGCTTGCCGTTAAGTCGATCAGACAGCGTTTGGGGCGGGATGCCGTGTTTTTGAGCGCTTTTTCGTAAAGACAGGCCCTCATCCGTGATATCTAAGATGGCATTTGCCATCTGATCCTTTGTATACAAATAGGAAGGCATTTTGGGCGGCTATACAATGCTGCGTTGCATATAGAACAAGGCTTTAAGGGAGCCTTGCAGGGCCGTAGATTTGCTATTCGAGGTAAGAAACGCGGGGTAATAGATGACCAATCACATAGGCTAGGCGGGGTAAATTTTATATTGGAATAAACCCCAAGGTCAGGGCTATCTAGAGCAGTAATTACATTCTAAGTAACTTTAATATCGGGCTGAAAGCGTGTAAGTGAATAAAGGGGTGTTTTGGTGGTGATGGTGGGGTTTGGCTGTCCGACTAGTGGGGTGTCCGACTTCTATGGGGGGGATGGTATACAATTTCAGATCATCACTGTGACGGCCTGCACAGACCTTCCCACATGACAAGCGGATACTTCCCAATAGGGGAAGGATCTGACCAGAGGATCCCCTTAAAGGGGCAACCTCCCACTGTACCTATCTCTCTCTCTCTCTTCCTTTCCTCTCTAGTCTTGATATTCTCGTCAATAGAGTAATAGCTGCTTGCTGCAGGCCATGTCCCAGCTCCCCAGTATGCTCGCCGTGACAGCTTCTATGGCATCAATCTCAAATGCCATGCGACATTCTATCAAGCTGGCAGACCCTGCAAAGCTGAGTGACGGTCAAACCCAACCTTTGAACAGTGGAAGAACAGCACTTAACGCAAGCTATGGACCAACTGGTGGCTCTTTATTACAAAAGAATCAAAATTTGACTGGCTTTATACACTAATAGAAGGTAATATAGTTATAGCATTGGAACCATTCATCTCTAAAAAGAACGCTGAGTCACTTATTATTATTGAAGTGGTGTATGACCTTCTCCGGTCCTCTTACAGCAATCCCGATGCAGCTGCTCAAGCCAGAGATCAGCTCCATGATCTGTGGATGGAACCGGCGTAAGACTTCTACTCTTTTTGTTCCACATGGGTTCTCTTAGCCAGCAAGGCAGGCCTGTCCCGGACAGAATGTAAGTATGAACTGAACCAAAAACTGACACTACCCCTAAGGATATAAGTGATGGCTTCTTACCTTGACTCTAATATTTCTTTTAACCAATTTCAAAACATCTGTTCTAGCAATGCTTAACAGCTTGCAGAGATTAAACGAGTCAAGAAGCAACGCCAAAGTTTCTTAAAAGCTTTCTCTCGCCATACCATCACTGTGGCACCTGGACCCCAGCAGTTCATCAGAAGCCTATCAACCCAAACTTTGTCCAATCAAGCAATTGACACTACCTTCCAACCAGCAAGAGCATCACCTGATCAGAAGACTCCTCGTCTCTTTATAGCCCCTGAAAAGAAGCACATTGACCGATTACACACACCCCACAAGACAGAAAGCATTACATGCTACTTTTGTGACAAAGAGGGTCATATTGCTCCCAAATATCCAGACAAAGGAACTCCTTATGTACATTTTCTGGAAGAAGACAACGAGACCTCTTTTGGTCTGACCCAGGATGTTACTTCTGACAGCCAGTCGGAAAACTCAAAGGCCTAGGGAAACTCTCCCACCTAGGCCTCCAATGTACTATTAATCAACTGGCTCACCACTCCCTTGAAATTCCATCACTTTGATCAGACCTCTCTGGCTTGATTGGCGGCAGTACCTTTGTGATGACTGCAACCATCCGATGGAATGGAATTGCAGTGCGTGTGAAAGTTTTGATTGATACCGGAGCAGAGGTTTATCTTCTAGGCAGCCGTTTAATCATGAGCCCCTTGGCTCAACAATGGGAACTCCCTCAAAGACATTTTAATGAGCCCGCTACCCTGAATGGTTTTGGTAAAGGACACTCATAAATTGTCAACACAGCGGTTACAGCAAACTTCCAGATTCAGGGAAGAACCTTCCGGGGGGCCCAACAAGAACTTTGACCTTATTGTTGGCAAGCGATTTTTGGCTATTCACAACCTCTTACCAGACTGCCGGCGGAACCGTCTATACTTCCTACCGGAACTACCTTTCCTTACCAACTGGAAGACCGACATCACTAACCCAGCTCGCCAGTGGTTAAGGCAACGGGCTATCAATCCTCAGGCCCAGCAGGACATGCTCCATAGGGATTCACAGTGGGAAGATCAAGAAAAACGCCCACAGAAGATACTACGTCGCCCCAAAGTGCTGGCTACATGGGCAAGAGACCATCATCAGTCCTTGCAGGCTATGAAAGACCAGCTA